GGGCTTATGTCGGAAGATATTATGAGCATGACATTTTCCAAAACTTGGTTCATTTCAAGCCGTGGCTACATCTTCAGCCCCAGAATCTCAGGCTTGTTTCAGTCACATGTTTCGTTCCAGGATCAGGTGTTGCTTTTTAAATTTTTGAACTAAATGGAAAGACGACAATCTTGCGGCCTAGTATTGCATGATTTTTACATACCCCTGAAGGAGAAAAAGGACCCACAGTCTATGTTTTTGCCAGGGTGAAAAATCATTAAGGGGAGCCTGGAGCCAATGCCGGAGCTGGGAGGAATGCCGAGATTTAGAAAAGTCTAATACAGGGGTGCAAATGATCACACTCCCTAAGTTGGTAAAAAAATAATGGAAATTAGTTTTTACATAACTTACTTCAAGATCTAATTTTTTATTTCACTACAAACAAACCCCAAGTACCCCTGCTGTACCGCCCTCCCCCTCCCCCTTCCCATTAGGGGGGCCCCACCCCCTCGAGGACCCTTCTCCACGTCCGCCTCAGCAATTTGAATGCATTAAGCCAGCAGTCACCACCCCTGTAAACAAACTGTAAAAAAACCTGTAATCTTGCACACCCTGCCACGGTTGGTTTTTATGCACGCTGTCATCGACCTCGCAGAAATTCCCTATTGCATTGTGACGTCAAGCGCAGAAACACTCCTTAGAGAGAGAGAGTCGGAGATGCTAAATGCAATTTTAAGACCGGTAAAGGCTTTGAGAGATGCCCGGGGAAAGTCTCCAAATGCAATTTATTTCTTTCTGATGCAGAGCAAGCCCTGTCCACGCTTTATTTAGATAAAATTTATTTGATTTTAAACAAAGAAAACAAAAGTCTGTCCAGCGGTGTTCTTACTTTATTATTCAACTTCGCAGTCAGGTTTGTGATCTTTCTGTAATCACCAAGGAGTGTTAGATAATGCTGTCTTTTCTCTACGAAAAAATGTACATGTGTTTAAAAATCGGAGAAATTGCACTTTGTTGAGTTTAAAGTAATGACCGTAGACATCTGCTTTGCGGTTTTGGAACATGTCATGAGCTGCTGAAGTTGCACTGTGTCTTGTCATGTGCAATTTGTGCATAAATGTTGAAACATGTGACATTTGCATGTAGTGGGGCATGTTAAAATACCGCCGCATAAATGTCAGATGGTATCAGAATGATGAGGTTCTTGGCTGGAATTTTTTTTGGGGGGGGGTGCCTAAAGTGGGATCTTTTTAAACTTGGTAACAGAAAAACTAGCAACTGTTTTGGCCAACATTCTGTTACAACAATTCAGATTTGAACAGGATCATTTTGTAAAAAGTGAATTTTAAATTTCAACCGTCTGCCATATTTTTTTTTGTGACTGTAATTTTGTAATGGTTGATGCCAATTCCGAATTTATTGTAAGACTTAAACAACAGTTCTGCTTCATAACTTCCTACAGGGGTTCTGTCTCAGAAATTTATCTTCCGATACATGAACAAGTCCACGTTTTGGCTGTTTAATTATTGGATGCTCGAGTCAAAACAGAATTTCAGCTTTTATAAGTGTCAGCAAAATGTCTGGTCTACACAGCAGATTTAAAAACACTTGATGTAAAATATGACAAATTGAAAAGAAATCATTAGAATGAACAGTTTAAACAGAACTTTCTTTCGGCAGGTGCTTACATGTACATCTGTTTGTGATATTAGGAGCACATTTTAAGCGATATGAATTGAAGTCATAAAGACGTAAGGTTCATAAGTAATAAATTCAGCATACCACTATGCTTCGTGCATTCATCGCATGTACATGTTGACCTACATGTGTTTCTCTGGCAGTGAATTTGCACAGTACATGAGCGTCCAGGGGCTCAACAAAAACAAATGAATTGTCCGTGTGACAGGCAGCAGGGAAACAAAAACAACAGAATCAGCCGTCTTTGACAAACAAACAACGGCGGAGCAGGAGGTAGATTCACGACCGCCCAATCAATGCGGGAATAAACTCGCCCGGCAGTTTTTAGTTTATGGATCCCGTGCCCAATCAATACCCCAGCGCAGAGGGACGGAAGCGGGCGCTTGATTTGCCCCCGAGGCGTAGCCACTCAGCTCCGGCTCAGCCAGAGAAGGGGGTGGGAGGGGTGCTGGCTATACTACCGCCGCGGATGTGCACGCGCGACGTGCTGAACATCTAATGGACCGGAATGAGGTTTTGGCGAGGGAAGAATGGTAGCTTTAGGGTGGAAAGGGGTAGGAAGGGGGGGGGGGGGTTTGAAAGGGAGGTTCAGTGTCAAAATCTTCCGGTAGGATTGCAAGGGGCTCGGGAATGAATGGGGATTGCTTTCCGTGCGTGGACAAAGCGTAACATCAGTCACGGCTGAAGTGTCTGTTCGGTGTACCTGTGGGGAGGGTTTGGGGGGGGGGGGGGGAAGGGGAAGTAACGGAGTATGTGCACGTCGTTGCTCAGTGTGTTGATCCCAGATCAAATGGGGTTATGCAAAGGAACAACATCCTGAAGAAGTGCACCTGACTTTCCAAATAAGCCCCAACGCTGTCAGGCAAATGAAATGTATCCTTAATATGTTTTGCCAGGGTGGTGTGGTGTTGGCCTGTTTTTCAACCATTTGTTCAGCCTGAACCTAATATAGTCAAGCCATTTTTTTCTCTCATTTTTTGAGGAAAAATTAAATACATTCGGAGGAAAATTCAGTACATTTTGGAGGGAAAATCACGCATCAGATTTTAGATTTCCAGGCAATTTGTCTTTCAGATGTTCGAAAATATTTGGACAAATTGAATATTTTGCTGAATTATATACTCATTAACAGAACGAAAACAGTCTTTTATTATCTAAATTATTATCTTATAATCCTGTATTCTATCAGAATGCATACCTAACGGGCATACATGTTAAAGCCATAGTGCCCTGAAAATTTAACAGTCCTGCTGAATTAAGCGTAGGCCTACTTTCTTAAATGCCATAATCGTTTCACCGTCGTAGGGCAAATGATAATAGCCACATGCACATTTGCCAAATGGCCCCAGTTTTGCAAAACGACCCATCTTTATTTTTCAGTGGCTCGTCTGCAGAGCCAGTCGTGCGTTCAATGTTTCGCAGATGGCCTTTCCACGTTTAATGTTCCGTTGAATGCAGCAATGTCTCATCGAATCCCCACCGTCCAAATTACATGGAACATCATGCCAGACCTAGCTTTATAAGGGTTGAAAACTGAAGCTGAGAAAAAAAACCCGATCTGGTTCAAATTTCAGCTGCTGATACTCGAGTAAAAAATGTTGGTTTGCAAATTTATGCTCTAAAAGCAAAAACGATCCGAGTACCAGTCACGAGCAATTTACATTGCATGACATTTTGGCTGGTAACCATGTTTTCTGTGCTATGGCAGTTCCCTGCAAGTTGCCCCTGGTGTTTCCAAAAAATTAGTTTTGTTTTGAAAATAATTTGACACACTTCTCAGGCCAATATTAACCCAATTAATTGTCCAAAAAAGGGCCGGACTCCATGTTAGGTGTAAAGATGTATTTAACACTTATTGCTGTATTGTACATGTAAATCTTTGTTGCCATGGTTACGGGGAAATTAAACACATTTCTATTACTGGACCGTTTAACCCCATATTATGGGTTGAAACGGACCCTTTATGATATCAAGCCAAAATATGAATATGAAGCCCTACATGTGTACAATGCACCGTCTTTCCATCAGCTAAGTACATAGGCTATTTTGCCTGATGTTATTTTTGTCAGAAAAATTCTGTTATAAAATCTAATCCAAACCCTCTATCAACCTCATAGGGTGTCTTATTTATTTTCTAAGAAAAAAAATGCAAATTTTCCCTCCTTTTCAATATTTTTTTCCCATTTGGTCATCACAAACACCATGCAGTCACGTTTTCCTTCATTCGGGCAAACAGGTAGTTTGAATTTGACCAAATGGTGATAAAGTGGGAAAGTTAAATTGAACACTTAAACTGAGATTAGAATATATACAGTTTGCACTGGTTCATGTTAATAGGCGGGGTAAAGCGTAATACCATCCACTTAATTAACACTGTTATGTGGTCCTTTTTACCCCAGTGATTCCCAGGTAAATAACAAGTCTTAGAACATGACAAACCGAATGTATCCGCTTCAATCCATATAAACGGCTGTAATAACAGTAACACTTAAACAAAAAACATAACATAAGTTTCTATAACCGTTTTTCAAAGAACCCTTAGCAACCGAGTAATACGTAACCTAAGATCACAAGGGTCCAAAAACCTTACCAGGGATTATTTTGAATGTTGAAACAAGCGCGGTCCAGTCAATAGTGGTTGTGGCATCATCTCTTTTTTACACACCACCATGTTTATAGTCCAAGCTGGACGGCAGTGCCGTTTTACCCTGACGGTCTGTTTCACCCCGACGGTCCGTTTTACCCCGACGGTCCGTTTTACCCCGACGGTCTGTTTTACCCCGACGGTCCGTTTTACCCCGACGGTCCGTTTTACCCCAGACGGTCCATTTTACCCCACTCTCCCCTATCATGTGTCATTATTTCTCAATCCCACAATCCTGTGCTAAATTCCTTGTGACAATCCAACCAACCAACCCTGTCCCTGTTCACAATACTAATATCAGTGCTGAAACAAACCATAGTATTTTTTGCTTGTCTCTGAGTTCTAGAGTCCTATTCGCACCTATCTCATCGTTTGACTGACTGACTGACTGACCGACACACTGTCACTTGTGAGCCGGGCAGTACCATCATATAGGTGTACCAATAAATAGATTACATATTACATATTGTGCCCTCTGACCGCTTTTAATAGACTTGCCTCCTTTTTTTTTTATCTTTTACTGGCAAGAAATTTCAAGTGTTCAACAGTGAATTGTTGAGCGTAGTGTTTCCTCTGGTTATCTCGTGAAATGTAAACCTGTAAAGTGTTTTGACAATTTGCTGAAGGATCCTAGCCAGTTTCTTTTGGACTCATCCTCATGTGTTTCTTTTCTTTCCAGTCAAGCTCTGGGGCTTCAAAGGTATTACTCACTGTCAAGCAGGCTTCAGTGCCGAAATTACCAAAGTAAGTAACAATCTCTGATAACGGTGTTTCAAATTTGGAAAATTGACACCTTTATTTATTCCTTTTTTCTGTGTAAAACCTTAAAATGCTGTTCTCAAATTGTCTAATTCAGTTTTTTGGAATGATAAAAATTATGGCTTTTGGATATAAAGCAAATTTTGTATTAACTCCCTCACCCCATCCTCGCCCCCCATACTGACCCCATCCCCACCCCTACTCTACCTCCAACCCTACCTTCAACCCTTGCCCAATGCTACTCACATCTCAAACCTTACGTACATTTGGACAGATTTTTGGAGCGAAATGTAGAGAAGAAACTTGCACTGAGATTTCACAACAGAGATCAAGAACTCAACTCAGACATTTTGTTTGGTTGTTGTTCCTGGGCAGGATTGTTTACTGTGACAAAAATTGTTTTGATCCGTATGTTTATTTAAAAATACCGATACTAGTCTCCCAACAACCTTTGGTTGAACTGTTACTTCACACTCTCCTTCCCTCCGAGATCTGTGTTTATTACACCACCTGCGCTCAGGCGGTCAAGGAAAACAAAAACCCCGGTCACTTGAATAAAAGATGACGATTGTACGACGGGTTTACACTTCGGGTTTATGCTTCCCCGTGCAGCGCAAACGGCCATCGACACCTCGGGAACACTTCTCCCCCCCCCCCCCCTCAATGATGCTTTGCGTCACTTGTCAGGCGCAACGACTCGGCAGCAAAAGGCAGATGGGGCCCTTTGCTTTGAAATGCTATCGCGGCCCATTGTGAATATTCTGACGTCGTCGTGTTGCTATTCTGACTAGCCCTGCGTTTTTTTTGTCTTGCTTTTAATCCTCTTGCTTTTATCCAGGCATGCCATTGAAAAACGGGGCATTGTTGGAGAAATCACGGGTGTTGCTATGGCAACGCTCTACAAATGTCAGTCTTTGCTAAGGCTTTAGCCTTGTCTCATCTAAGATGAAAATCAGTTTACATGTACATCTGACATTTGCAACTCGAGGATAAATTTTTGAACGGAAAAATTATTTACGGAGGCATCGGGTTCCTGGGCTTCTATATCATGTAGATATTTACTTGTGTACGCGATGTTGCAAATCGTTACCAGTTTAAGACAATTTTTCATGGGATCTTTTAGTAGAAAACAGTTTTTTTTCTCAAGTCTGTCGTTAGGAAAACAAGGAGAGGGGAAGTCTTTAATTTGTAATACCTGAGAGTGAGAAAGGAACAAATAAGAAAGACAAAAATCCATACATGTATTTTTTACAACCAAAAGGGGGTCACATTATAAACTGTTACAAGGAACATCATGATTAATTTTTGAATTGATACGTTGTACTCGCAGGTTGTAAAAAAAAAAATAGAATGATAAATTGTAACCTATAATTATGCAGGCTACTACATATGTCTGATCAAATCTACCGGGTACCCATACATATCTTCCACATCCACTCACAAATTTTTCATGGAAAGCTGTTTTTGCATCAGCAAATCCACCCCCCTCCTCTATAATTCCTTTCAGCCGACTCCTTCCAAGATTTATGACTTTACATCGGATTAGCCCAGGCATTAAGAAGAGTCCCATCTGCAACCGCTGTGAGCCAGACGGAAGAACCTCTGACATTTTTGGGTTATTTTTTTTCCCCCCGCGACGGCGCAATCACGATTGGATGTCCGTCACCTGATGCAATATGAAAAACTTGATGTGATGCGTGTGGGATCGTTAGTGTCATTGGTTCGACGCCAAACCCTCTGGAATTGATTAGGAACTTAGTTTTGGATAGATACACGTAGGTCCATACTTTTATTGATGAAGCTCCCTGCAGTAAAAAAAATAAGCTGGTTTTATCATAATTCGAAGAAAACATCTGTTATATATAGCATGTGACATTTATGCAAGCATGCATGATATTTTAAGTAAGAAACATTTGCAGGCCTCTGCAAAACTGCTTGTCAACTTGGAATGACCCAAATTACATGTAGGTGATTAAGTTACAAGGGCAGATACTTGAGTTTCTTGAAGAATCGCTCTTCTGGCTGAAGGGGGAAAAAGATGGAAATATCAAGTTGCCTTCTTTACTTTGTGATAGTACAATGGGACTTTACTGAACATTGTGTTTCAACATTCTAGTGAAAAAAAGAACAGAAAATGCCATTGCCCCTAATACAGGGTGAGTCAAAAAAAGCGGAACCCAAACCCCCAAATATATATTTCATATTTAAAAAAAATTGTAGCACCATATATAATAATGACTGGAAAGCCAATTTCATGACCTACTTTTAGATGGAAAAAATTCTGAAATTGGTCAATCCGTTCAAAAAATATTACCATTTAAACGCAATGACCCTAAAACCTGTCTCGTCCAAAGAAAAGAAGCTTTTTATTGTGTGTTTTGACTGTTTCGACCAATGTCCAAAGAAAATGACACCGAATACTTGTTTCAACAACTGTCACCAACTGTAGTACACAATATCTTGATTAACAACCCTGGTTAGGCAAATAATATGATTTATACCGGTAAAATCTACTTTTTTTATAAGACGGGCCTTCAAAAGGACTTTGTTGCATATTGCTAATATCGTTTAAACTGAGTTTTTATCGCTGGTGATGCTTGAAGACAATTGTGACGACGATTTTGGAAATCGCATTTTTTGGACGAGACAGGTTTTAAGGTCATTGTGTTTAAATGGTGATATTCTTTGAGCGGATTGAGTAATTTCAGTAATTTTTTTCATCTAAAAGTAGCTTAAGAAATTGGCTTGCCAGTCATTATTATTGTTGTTGCTACATATATTTTTAAATATGAAATATAATTTTTGGCGCTTAGGTTCCGCCTTTTTTTATCACCTTGTACTACACAGCATTGGATTTTGTTGCATACAGAAGTTTCTTAAAGGGAATGTACAACATTTGCTTTTGCTGCAATTTTCAGAAATAAATGAATTTGGAGGATCAGTATGTTATAGCAAATATTGTTAAAATGACTAGTTTCACGTTTTGGGCTTGTAGATGCTGGAAAAACCAAGAAAACCAATCATGTTCTTGTAGTCTGGTTCCTTGACCCCACTTAAGATGAATCGGAGCAATTTATAGACTTTGGGGAATTGTAAGGTCAGAGAATCCGTCTAGAAGGCTTGTACCCCTTCACATGTGTGTAATCAATTGCAAAGAAAATGCGGAATAACTAATTAGGAAAAATTAGGAGCAGTTTTTGAAAAAAAGCCAGTTTTCTCCAATGCTGGTCAGCCGACCAGCATTGGAAAAATACCATTTTTCTTGAAAATGTAAGCACACCAGGAGCCACGATTTTACAGGATGCTTTAGACTGTCATTCCCTAACAATCCAGTAAGGTATTTCGTGATAATTTGATCATTTCGTTTTCTGATGTCTGCAAATGTTGTATCTTCCCTTTAAATTTAACAAAACAAATCTAAAGAAGTATTTACAATTGTACATTTTTTGTTTTCCCCATTTCAGGATAGTAATCTGCTAGTCATGGGAGCAGCTGGAAGCTTCTATTTGCAGGGTAAGAACAACTCTGTTTGTAAATTTACTTCCAATATTGTTGGCAACAAAGAAGGAAGCTTAGGCCAAAAAAAAAAAAATATTCGGTCTCTGGTCAGACCAAAGTTTTGGAATTGACGCGGCCACGCGGCATTCTTTTTTCTTTCTTCAAGCTTGTATTGTACAGACAAGGTGGGTACTATTTTGCTTTTTTGGTGTCCTCATGTACATTGGTGTCCTCCATAATTTGCCTTGGTGCTTTCGATCATTTGCCTTGGTGCTCTTTGATAAAAACAATTGAGGAGGTGCGGCAATAGAGGGCGCTGTTGGAGCTACCGCGGAACATTTTGGGAAAAAAAAAGATTGACGCGCATGATTAAAATCAACGCGCGCGCTGACCAGAGACCGATTTATTTTTTTTCTTGGCCTTAATTATCTTTTTTACTCTCTGATGACCATTGACCACCAAAACTTGCTTTTGAGTTGAACGTCGATGCCCCCCCCCCAAAAAAAAATAAGACTGTTTTTCCAGAGCCAAGAACATTTGCATTTGTCAAAATGTATCTTGTCAAAAGCACACAATTCACAGTATCACTTTCATGTCCTCAATGAACCATTTTATTGGAAAACCTATCTGCACAACGTAAACATTCATAACCTGTTTCTGGGAAGGATTGCTATGTCAATGAATGTTCCTTTGTGTCTGGACTCGCCATGTTTTTATTCCTCCATGGTATCACCACGCCCTACCCCAACTGCCTTCACACATTGCCTCTGATAAGTATAGCTTGAGGGTGGTTTCTCCCCCCCCCCCCTCCCTCGTAAACTGGGAACTGATGGATCACCACAGCTGAGGATTATTAGATGATTGATAACATTTCCTCTGGGTTGATTGTATGTGTCAGCTCAGCTGGCACAGTAGGAATGTATTACAGCTCTGTCATGTGGAGCCACACCCCTCTATATACCTATCCCCTAGCATAACTGAAGGGGCTCACTTGGGGGGGGGGGGGGTGAGGATGGGGTTGGGGATGGGGGTGGGGATCTGGGAAAGGGTGCAGCTCATTTTCTGGAGGAGAGGTCACTCAATATATTCAAACAATACAAATCTCTATTTGCATTTCTTTTTCAGTAACACTTCCCCTACACAAACTAAACTGACTTTTTTTTTATCATGTACTAATGCTCTTGGCCTCTTGTATCCATACAAGTAACCTTTTACTGATGTGCTTAGTAACTTTGAACTTTACTTTATTGACTGCTGGTCCGTCAGTCAGTTGGTTGGTTTTCTCGTTTGTTGGTTTGTTGGTCGTCGGACAGTCGTTTGGTTGGTTTGATGTTGTGGTGGTCGGTCTGTCTCTTTTTAGTCACTGTTCCTGTAAATCTGTGTAATTTTTGTGAGATCCCTGAATGTTTTGAACTCTTATTATTAAAGTTTAACCTTATTAGTTGTTTTTGTAATTCTGTCAAATGTTTAATGTTTAATTTTAATTTGTTTTTTAACTCGATTGTACTGCGCCTATGAGCAAAATTGATTTGGATATATGGCGCTATATAAATGCTATTATTATTATTATTATTATTATTGTCATCCAGTTTTCTGTGGTGCCAGTTTTTATCCTCAAATCTTTCTGTCATTCTAAGTTTTAAGGTTCCCACAGTGCCTATATGGTACCTACCCAGCCCCTGTCCCACTTCCTGCCCTAACACCAACCCTACCCCCTTCATTTAACCCACTGTCCCACCCCTGGTTCAAGCCCAGACCCATTATGCGGTAACCCCACACCTAAAAAGTGAGCCAGTGTTTAAATATGTGGTTGACATTGTGGCCTTTGTGTTGACTGACAGATACCCACAGGTGGGAAAAACCACCTTATAGTCTAGTGTCTGTTGCTGGATGTCGATAATAAATGACCTGAAAAGGTCAAAGGTCAGTCAGGGTCAAACCTGAGTGGGCCACCTGCTAGTATTAGCAGTTACATTTTGTAAAGGGGAAGCGATATTCGAGTGTAGAGGGAAATATGTGACACTATAAACTTCTCTTGTCTTTTTAAAACTGCCTTAAGTACAGATGTACCCACAGTATACATGTACAACTACAAGGTACCGCGATATTTTTATTTAAAAATGTATGTTCTTGTATGTATGCTTTGAGCTACTTGTTTTGGTAAAGTTTAAAAGCCCCCTGTTTTCACAGTCAACATGCATATGACACAGAGTTCAAAATGCTTGCTAGAAAACAAAGCCCCAAAGCCTTTGAAAAGAAAAAGGTAGGGCCCCCGACCCGACTTTGACCCTTTCTGACCTCTCCAGCCCCACCCCCAAAACAGGAGGGATCATCAGCAAAACAGTTAACCTCACTGAACAAACTTCTAATGATCGACATTCATGTGTCATCGTCTAAATACACCCCCCCCCCCCATTACCTTTGCACGTAATCACGCGCAAATGGTGGGAAATTTAATAAGGGTTAAAAAAAAATGCCAATTTCCGCCCCTGTGGCCTGTGAACACATTGGGGCCACCGCAAAATGTTACATCCTTAGTAAGTGTGACATAAATGTGCATGACCTGCTTTTTGGTTTCTTTTCTAACTTATTTCTCATTTATAGGTCAAATTTACGTCCAGAATCTTGTGTCGAATGCCGCACCGATAGCTACTCCAGAGTTGCCGCCAACATTTGACGACAGTTATAGCGGTGAGAGTTGTTCCTTTTCAGGTGTACATTTTCTTTCCACAGGAGTTCAAAGTGAAGAAAAAAAAGTGAAAAAAAAAAATGGTCGAAATTCCAGTGTTATACGTTTGCGTGTCTGTCCTGTCCCAAGTCTCGATGAAATACAGCAACACAAACTACATAAACTCCAATGTTTGTATAAAAATAAATCTTACACGTTACATATTCATCGTTAAGATGTTTCTAGCATTTTTCCTGTCTTTGTTTGTCCCGTTACCTTCAATTTAGCACATTGAACATTTTTCTAGATACCAGCACTTTTATAAGATTGTTTATTTGGTGTTCCAGAGAGTTCACGGTCAAGCACACAGTAAACAGAAATAAGTATACAACACTGCACACATACACAAAAATCATATGTGCACAGTTCATGTATGACACACCATATACTCTGTATAGCTCCATGGACACACTAAGCAGCACTTGTTTGGCAGAATGTTTGGAATGTTGTCTGTACATGTCTAAATAATCCTGACACTTGTATTGTCTATCATGTCACATATTGGAGGCAAAAAGTGGTGGGCAGCCATGAAAAACAAGCCGTAAAACATGTCCATTCAATTCAAGGTCACTAGTTCATAAGGTGGTCAATGGTAGAGTGACCACATGTCTGACTGACCATAGACTGACCGGTCATCTTCCACCACTGTGAGAACATTGACATAACCTGGACAGGTGTCGTTATAAAGGCAATCAATTTATTGGTCACCTTGGATAAGTACATGTAGCAGTCTCCTGTCAAGACAGTGGTATGACCATCAACACAATTCTTATGCACAAAATATAAGCACCCGGCTTTTTTTCAAAAGCCCTGGATGATTGATCACCGGTGCCCTGCTCTCAAAGAAGTCACAGGTGCCTCAGCTGGTCACCGGTGCAGCGTTGCAACAGAGGATGTTGATTGCTTTATTGGAGAATGAATAATTCATTGTGCATAATAATCTGTTTACTTCGGAGTACGTAATACCCCTTACAAACCTTGCATCTATTTAACTGTAAAGCCTGACCTTTTCGCGTCTCTCTTTTGTAATTATAAATAATTGATGTAAACTTAAATGGAGATATGGCCTTGAGATTGAGGATGATTGTGAAATACAGGAGATGGCTTTCTTTCCTAGAATGTAATGAAATTTATCTTCTATATGTAGGTACATGTATCAATCAAATATTATTCAATATCAATGCACTTCTGAACTTTAATTCCAAATACATGAACATGTATGTACATATACATGTACTTGGTAATATACAACATGTGCTTTTGCTGTAATTTAATAATTAATAATCAGAAATGTATGGATTTGGGGTTAGTATTTATAGCAAATATTGCTACACTGGCCTGTTTAAGGTTTTCTGTTCATAGATGCTGGGAAAAAAACAAGAAAAAAAATGTTGTTTTTGTAGCCTGCTTACCTGAGCCTAGTTCAGACGAAACAGAGCAATTTATAGACGTTGGGGAATTGTGAGATCGGGCAACCAGACTAGCTGGCTTGCACCCGTTCACAGATTTGTAACGGATTTTTGGCAAACAAAATGTGGACTGACTAAATTTGGTTAATTTGGGGCAGTATTTGAAAAAAAAAGGTTTTCCAATGATGGTTGGCAGATCAGCATTGGAAATTGTTACAAAAATTCTACTTTTCTTGAATACGACAGCACATAGTAAGGTATTTCATAATAATTAAGTACTTATGTCTTTTTATGTCTGCAAATGTTGTAAATTTCCTTTGACGTATGTGTGGTATAATTGACTCTTAAAGAAGGGGGGGGGGGAAGTTTTTATGATTACTGTTATGAATTTTAGTGTTGACGTTGACCAAAAAATGATATCCCCCTCCAGGATTGACGCCAGTGGCTGCATGTACATGTAAATACATCAGGGATGGCCCAAAAAGGAAAAAGTCAGAAATTATTTTCGTTTTTGTTTTGTGTTTTCGTTTCAGGTTTTGATGTGGCATTAGGCGATTTCACCGGTGACAGTCAGCCGGAGTATGTCGTGGGAGCTCCACGGGGAAATTATCTCGCTGGCAAAGTGAGTGACTTTAACCAGACAGCTGGACAGTGTTTGAAAGCAAAAGTGGCCACTTTTTCCCCCAAGAATAACAGGTTTCATTTCCTGGTATTTTGTTTTGATGGCAATTCCGGATGACACCTGTCTTGCAATCTCTGTAATTTTATTTGAACACATTTAACACTTTCCATTTTACCCCAGTTTTTCCTTGATTCATGAAGGAAATGATACTCTTGATACCAAGAAAAAGAGGTGTTTGATTTCAAATTTAACTTCATTATATGCTTGATTGATTCAAAGTGTTTTTCAAAGTTTTTGAAAGATTGGAAACATTCTTGCTGCTTTTTCACTATTCCCTGATAAAAAAATTTGTATGAAATTCTGTTGTATGGGGATAAGAAAGTGACTTTTGTGTATTTATTATAAGATGGAATTTTGCGTCGGGGTGATATCAATCCAATTAGGTTTTGCCCTTCACCGACGTTTGAACACTGTATACTCAGTGTGTTACCTCCGAGTGAAAGTTGGAAAAAATCACTCTGGTGGGACTCGAACCCACGACCTCCTGCTTTCTTGTGTATTTTGTTCGCCAAGTTTTTCCTAGAATATTCATACAGTGAAATCTTGATTTCAGTCAAACTCTGATAACTCAAAGCAACTGTTAAGTCAAACAAAGAATCCATTGCCTTCAGTAGTATAACAATGATATACAACCCTGCTTAACTCATAACTCTGCCTCAGTCAAATTTTGAACCTGTTCCCTTGAGGTTTGACTTTATCAAGATTTCACTGAATATCCATAGCTCCCTAAATCCAAGTGCCAATTATTACCCTACCGTTCAGGTCACTATCTTTGACACGGAATTGAACCAGCTGACGGAACTGAGAGGGGAACAGACCTTCTCCTACTTTGGCAACACCGTGGTCGCCGAAGACCTCAACGGAGACGGGTAAGCGACCCTTACGCGTGACCCAAAGAGGGCGCTATTGCACTTCATGCATTTGACATTGACACTGACGTTTCCTTTGCGCTTTCTTAGATTGGATTCATTCTTCGACCATGCTTTTTTTGCCATTGAGGCGGTTGGAGAGCATAGATGGCGATAAAGGAGATTGCGCTTGCGCGTGACCGCAAGAGGGCGCTGTTGCTTTTTTGCAGTTGACAATGACTGTCCTTTCCTTCATGCTTTCCACATGACAATGTTGTATGGCAGTACAATGTTCAAATAATTTTAAAGTCATAGGCCCTTCACCATGAAGAAACAAACTGATTACAAATAAAGTTTTTGCCTTCTTTATGCGGTAAATCAAACCCTTACTCATAGGAGCATTTTCCATGCACTTGTACTCAAATTTACAGGGAAATGTTCCCATGTATTTGTTCCGTACTCCACAAATTTCACCAAAAGGGGAATTATAGTCTCTTCTAAAAGCTGCTTTTCAGTATTCAAGGCGTAGCTTCCTGATGGTCTGATTTTAAAGGCGTGTGTTGTCTCAGTCAATATTTCGTCTTAAACATCCCCAAATAACCAGAGGGGAAATCGACCGACACACATTTGCGGAGTGGATACAGGCATCCCAGACATTTCAAGTTGTCTTTGGAGAGGCCCCAAATGTGTTAGTTAAGCACTCGGCAGTTACAAGTCTTGTTGAAACTTGGCGCTTTTTGAAGTATTTGTTATTTTTTGGGGGCTGTTTCCAAGTTTACCTTGTCGTTACTGTTAGTATTGACACTATCAGGCACCGGTTTCACGCTCTATCATTTTGTAGTACTGTTTGCCTTTACTTACATGTACGTCTTTTATTTGTTTTTGCAAACTCACCTCTGTTTTTACTGTACACATTCTGTAGAAACTGCCCTGTCACAATTTTATCATCAAAAAGGAAAAGTTGTTTTTAGATACTGATAAAAAAAAATCAAGATGCCATCAGTTCAAGTTCTGCCTGACTGAATTTTTTTCTCACAAATAAAACATCAGTGGGATGCATTTGCCATAGCAACCCGATAAGAACAAAATTCCAATATTACTGGCAACTGTTTATGAAAACAATTTCCTTCGTTAACACATCATTGTGTTCAAATCAGACTTAATAAGTGGTCGTCATGCACACATGTTGCCATGACAACCGCTCGGTCTTGCTCTAACCTTGGCAACGAGCTGTTGTTACTGTGGCAACATGATATTATCTGTGACCTCAGCAACCAAAAAAATTATCAGTTAACGCTAGACTGCATTGAATTAGAATAAAAAAAAAACATAAGAATTTGAGATATTTCTTTGACTTGTTTTCGTGATTTGATTTGTGGCTCCGTGCAGATTGGATGACGTCGTTGTTGGAGCTCCTTTGTACTCTGACAGGAGGACCACGGTGGAGAAATGGGAGGCGGGAAAGGTGTACATCTACTACCAAAATGCAGATGTGAGTCCTCAAATCTTGATTTGTCAAATAACATCCTGAAAACTCAAAAATTAAAAAAATTAAATTCCTTTTCTGGGGACATGGGCCTTTCCTGGGGATATTTTTAATTGTTTATACCTTTATTTTTAACATAATTTTTTTTTAAATTTTTTTTTATTTTTTACCCTAACAGCATAGTTTTTCCGAACCCAGTACTATCACCGGGGAGATGATTAGGTCACGGCTGGGGTCATCCATTGCGTCGCTAGGAGACGTCAATCAGGACGGCTACAATGGTAATGATTGGCTGGGATTTCACCTTATGAATATTAATGAGCTCAGATTTAAATTTCATCGTTCAAAAGTTTATTCTAATCTCACTTAGCTGCGTATTGTTTTCGGTGGCTAACAGAAATTCCCAGTCTGGTTCCCAGACTACCTTATTCATGTGTCCTTGCTGTAGTTCAGATTCAGATCCGATGTAGTTGTGTTCTCAAACAGTACATTGCCCTCTGTGTCTTTAACTGTGTTTTTCTGACTTTCTTTGCTTTGCTTTGTTTTTCATTTTTTCTTTTTGTTGTTTGCCTGCTTTTTACCTTTCTGTTTGTTCTGCCAAATCCCCAACCTCGTCTTATTTTTGTACCTCAATTGTCTTTCTCGCCAAAGTCACCATCCATAATTTTCTTTCAATATGTCAGACATAGCCATCGGGGCACCATACCAAGGTGAGAATCAGGCAGGCGTTGTGTACATCTACTACGGGACACCAGACGGTCTGCGGCTCCGAAGCTCACAGGTAAGCCACACCATTTGCTTGCCTTCTGTGAGATCAACATTATTTATTACAGAGGGATTTGAACCCGCATCCACCAGAAATCTGAAATTGTGCTCGACCAACTTTACGAGATATCCCCGGACTAACTTTTGTTCTACCTTAAACTCACAGCATATTTGCAAGTCTTTAATTATGACCCTAAAAATATATCTTTCTGTTACGAAACTCCCTGAATTCTCCAAAATCCTCCAATGTTCAAGAACAAAATGGCACATAATTGCTCTTTAATTTCGATTTTTTTCCTTCTCCCAAATCAGGTTTTGACGCCCGCAGATTTCAACCTTAAGAATATTACAACGTTTGGCTTCTCATTGACTGGAGGGCTGGATATGGACGAGAATAACTACCCAGGTACACCAGAAAAGATGAAATGGATTCGTTATATTCCTCAATATTGCCAGGGGAACTTTTTCAAGCTTGCAAGCTTGAAGAACCCTAGAGAATAAAGACAATTGAAGGATCCTTGAAATGAATTTTTCTCAGGAACATATTTTGTGTAACTTTCTACTCGTCTTAAATGTATGAAAACTGTTTGACATCCCTTTTTGGTTAATTTTATTGAAAAGTGCACTTCTTTAAAACATTAAAATATAGTAAATGTCCAAGCTGTTCTAGACAACCGAGGGCGCTTTATTACACATTTTCATAAATTTTCTTATCATTTTCACCCTTTTCCCCGTTTTTTTTTTGGACAGATCTTTTAATTGGAGCTGAAAACTCAGATTTAGCAGTACTAGTACGGTAAGCCTTGACCACAATTTTTTTTAAAAGCTTCATTATGTATTTTTTTTTAAAATTATTATTTTTGAAATTAATTGAGAGCTGCATCATTCATCCCATAGTTTCAAAAATGGAAACTTAATTTTGAGAAATGTGTCATAAAAACTAGGGGCGTCACTCGCTTCTCAAAAGTGGGGAGGGGGGGGGGGACATACCTTGATCAGAACTGATGCAAGCACAAAGCCCTTACGGCGTGGGGTTCGGGGCCCGCTTAAGGGCCCCGAAAAAAAATGGATTCTAGATGCTCTGTGGTGTGATCTGATGCAATTTCTGACCACTTTAACTGATATTTTCTTAGCAAAAGATTTGTGTAGTACATAAAAGGGCCCTGTAAATGAGACACGAGTTCAAAAATCTGGAGGGGGGGGGGGGAACATTTGATATTGTGTCCCCCATCCTTCAAAAAGTGGGTGGGGGATGTCCCCCCTTCCTTCCCAGGACTGACGTCCATGTAAGAAACAAAAACAAAAAAGATTTGTCAATAGTTTTGTAATTATTGACAGAAAAAAAACTGTTTGAAAGTTGTGCCTTATCCTGTATGGAGACTAATAGTACGGCAGATAGGCGATGGGATTGTGCCTTTGATGATACAAGCATGGCATTTGGCACACAGTCAGAGTATGTCTTAAGAAGATATTTGGCCGTAGGGCCATCGCAGACTTGTCCTTTGAAAACACATACATGTACATAGAATAACAAGCAATGACAGCAATGTTGCGATGGCCCTATAGCCAAATATCTTTCTCATGACATGCACCGACTGTGTGCCAAATTGCATGCTTGTACAGGGTTCGACCTTAACTTTTTTGTTCACTAGCCAGCCGGGCTACTGAAACGGACTCTTTAACTATCCCGCGGGCATTTTCACTAGCCCGCATTTTTTTTTTCTTATCTCAAATACAAAATGGCGTATTTTCAGGCTCAATTCTGAGGCAATTTTGTCAGTGTTTTTGATTAACAGATCTAATAATTTAACCCTTTAAAACAGTTGATAAAATTAGACACAAATTGATGGGGTTTTCTTTCTGAATTTAATGATGTATTTCTTCCTGTACGTTCATCTTTGCCGTATCCCAATAATTTTTGACTCGCCAGCCGGGCTAGTTAAGGAATAGTTTGACTAGCCCGCCGCTGTTTTGACTAGCATTTGGCTAGCGGGCTACTGCTAATTTCGAACCCTGTTGTATCATCGAAGACACATTTCCCCCAAATATTTCCCCCATCTGTGCCACTGTAATAATTGGTCACCATCCATTGGTTGAATATTGATGTAATTGTTATTTCTCTATAATTTGTTCTGATGTGTTTTCCCCCCTCCTTTTTCCCTTTCTTCCCAGGGCTCGGCCAGTCATTTCCATAGCAGCTGTCCTATCTATCAGCCCAGAAGGAATCAACTTAGACAACAAAAGCTTAATTCTTCAAGATGGCACTCCAGTCACAAGGTACAGTAAAAGAAAAACACAAAACAAAATATTGTAAAATTAAGGCATTTTCCCAAATATGATATTTTATGGCGGAGGGTGTGGCTTGGGCTTGGGCGCCTGTTTATTCAGCGAGGTTTGTGCGCTTGCGCGCTGATATGCAAATGTAGGTAAACTGAGGTGAGGTTTTTCTTACTAGAATGGAAAGTCCCTTTGGATTTTAGATATTGTATGGCTGTGGCTTGTCAGCCATTGGTGTGCCATGGTGAACAGCCATAGGCACAGCCTTACAATTCATTAATCAAAGAAAACAAAATTCTTTCCATTGGAAAAGTTACAACACAACTTGTTGCTTTTGTTAAAACTAATACCGGGAAGTTTGAACAAGCAAGTTTGAAGTACGGCAAATTGCACAAATTCAAAACTTTGATGCACTACACCGAAAAAGGTTTTGGCCAAATTTCCAAGTAATTTATCATGTTTATGTTTTGTTTTCTTGGTTTTCACTTTTGTGTTGTTTTCACTTTCGGCTTTGCTTTATCTCAGTCCTTGTACCTTCTGGAAGCTGTGTGTTTACCTTATCATTGTACAATGTTTCCTGTGTATATAGTCCCTTCTTTTTTCTTCCCTTTCCAGTTTTGAAATCACTTCCTGTTTTACATACAAAGGGAAACATCTCCCAGACACTGCACGTAAGTACTTACCCCTTATGCCCCCCTTCCCAACCCTAACCAAACTCCAGCATCCACCCTAAACCTTCAAACTTATTCAAGATCCTTCCAAATGACCAGGCAGTTTTGGATGATTTTGAAAGATTTAGAACGCTGGAGCCCAGCCACTGTTATTTCACATGGATTTCACATTCAAATTATAGCACAAAGAATGTGTCATTGGTTTTCTGCATAATGGTTGATATTCTAGGATTACGGATGGTTCCTATCATTTATATTTGATCAGTTTCAGAAATATCTCATTATTTGAGTTGTATTTGTAGTAAAGTCGTCACAAACCAATGTGGCCCATCAGGCCGGCGTTTATCTCCAGTTTCAGTCGCATGAAACAACAGAGAATATTTCTATTCCCTTTGAATGGGATGCTAGTCCATCGCAGGTTACTCCCCAGCTAATGCCGATACCCATTTGTACTCCTGGGTGGAGAGAGGCAAGTTGGGGTGAAGTGGCTTGCCCAAGGACCAGCGGCTGGATTCGAACCCCTGACCCTCTGATCATGAGTCACAAACCCTAGGCCCTAGGCCACACTTCCCAGTTTTATTTAAGTATCTTGGTTTTTCTATGGTTGCTTTTGACCCGTCTGCAGTGATACAGTACACGCTGTCTCTGGACACTCTCCAGATGGTCAGCCCGAGGGCGCTGTTCGCCGCGGGCTCAGCGCCGGGTACCAACCAAGACAAGACCAAAATGGAGCTGACCAAGGAAAGTGAATATTGCCGCGTCAGTATGGCTTACGTCAAGGTGGGTATCCAGAACTGGACAGTAGAGGGCGCTGTGTGAAAATTTACGCGAGATTGTGTGAAGAGCAAATTGCATGTTTTTTAGTAATTTAGTTTGAGTAATTTATCCCAGTGTGGGCAATCTTGTTCGTTAGTGTGACGTCATCTCAATGCGTACTTCACACGGTATAGCATAGCACGAATGGAATTGGAAGTTAACGCACCTCGAGCGTTTATCCAATGGGCGCTAGTAATCCGTGGTGTGCACGCGTGTATAACGAACCGGATTGCCCTTAATATTTTCCAAATTTCACCGTTAAGGACGTGTCACAATCCCAATAGACATTTATCATGCTTCCATCATTTTAGTCATGTTCCCTGTATCCAATAACAGTACTGAATGATAATGTTTTTGTGCAAAAAGGAACCAGACTATTTTTCCTTCCAGCCTCGCTTTGGTTCCAGGATCTGAATGGGAAAAAAATCAAATGGCTGCAACATGATAATTGTCTGTTGTCCTTGAGCTGGACTCTTTACCTCCATCAGCAGCTTGGCAGATCAGAAAATAATTTTCCAAAAAGCTCTTAGTTTTGGTTCAGTGCCTACATCGTTCCAGTACAGTTCCCGGTACATTAGTTTCAACCCAACAAGGGGAATTGTTGGGTTTGTGTCCTTGGGCAACATGCTTTGTCACAATTACCAATCCACTAATACACTAGGTTGGTGTGTTTGAATACAGATTGTTACTAGTCCCAACATTTTAAAACCACAGGCAAAAAAGTTAACTTTTCCTTGAAGTTCCATTTTGCAATCTGATTTCCGATTGATTTTTGATGGTGTTTTTTTTAAAAAAACTTGTTTGCTGTTCCAGCCGAGCATTCGTGACAAACTGCGACCGATCTCGGTCAACTTGGAGTACGGTTTGAACACCGAGGATGCCGTATATCAAGATTATGAGCTCCAACCGTTCCTGAGCTCGGAATCCTCCTCCGTCACGATGAAGCAGGTATTAAAGGAAGCTCTCAAAATTCACCCGTGGTTAGGGATGAAATTTTCGCCACCCTTAACACTTTACGCAACATGAAATGTACCTGAGTAAATTACCTGAATACATTTTCTTTTGAAAAATACTATCATGAAATGGCATTGTCTCAACCCTTCCCACTTCCCAAATTGAAGTTTAAAAACCTGTTTTTTTTATATAAATTTGTTCACTTTTTTTCAGGTGTACATCAACAACAACTGCGCAGACAACGTCTGCATCCCAGATCTAGAAGTGAAAGCAACGACGTGAGTAATGTAGATAAACAATAAAAAAAAAAAAAAAACTTACCTAAACTGCTCATAAAAGGAACGCTGATTTTTAGCCGGTGACTGTATATTTTCCCCTTGATTCTGTACACGCAGGTCTACCAGTGAGCTGGTGATTGGCAGTGGTGATTCTATCTTGCTGAACACCATAGTGCTGAACAAGGGGGAGGATGCCTTCTTAGCAACACTGAGGGTTGTCGTGCCGACGGGCGTGCAGTTTGTGCGCGTGGAGCGAAAGCAAGAAGTAAGCCCATTGTCAGAAAGCTTTGCTCACGTTCAGCTTGAAACCTTGTTTTAGCTAAAAAAGCTCCAGGAGTAAATGGCTTCGAAACAATGAAGCAGAGGCGGATCAAGTTTTGGGTTTTTTTGTGGGGGGGGGGGGGAGAGGGGGTGTGAGGGAGTGTAGCTTTAGGGAGAGGGTTAGCTGGCATGTGCTACTATAGATCCACAACCGTTTGTGAAGAATATAGTTAGTCAAAATTCTCGATAGTTTATTAAAACGCAAAATTTCTTCAAAACGCAAAATTTCTTCAAAGCGTGTATACATTATGTATCCATCATTCTTTCAAAGCATTTATAACCATTTTTAGTTTCGATTTCTGTCTAAAAGAAGATTTTCTCTTTTAAAATATTTTTTCTGATTTTCGTTAAACAGGATTATTCCTTGACCTGTAGCGATGACACGGAAGTGAATACCATCATCTGTGACATCGGAAACCCTCTCGGAGGTAAAAACCAGGTGAGAGATTTTAGAAGATCTTTTCCTTTTGTTTTATGACGCCATAATTTGGGAAATATTTTGGGACAAATTTTGGACAATTCTCGGTCAAATGTTGGCAGGTTTAGCTATTTTGGGGAAAATGGTCTGAAATGTTCACAAATTAACAGGACACGGTGTAAACTCTAAATTGTCAATACCGGGCAAAATTGTCAAAATGAAAAGGTTTCTTTATTATATTACAAAATTTACAATTTATTTACAAACTATCATACGTACACATTCACAAGAGATATATTTTCTCCAAAATCGTATTAAATTTCTGATGAAAGATTAAATCAATCAGCTGAAGTAACTTCTCTGTTTGACAAAATCAGTTCTCTATTATTTATAAGAAATTGTATCACAAGTATCTTCAAGGGTTTTTGTTTCTTCTCAATTCACACATTTTCAAGAGTTCCTCTTACTTTCGATCTCACAATTACCAACAACAGAAAACTTCTTTTACATGGTGTTGACTCTAAATACAAACGTTTACTGCTCATCATTTGATGCGCAAGTGTGCAGATGATTCAAGAAGAGCACCCTCAGACCTGTGCGATTTTATCACTTTTTTTCCAATATTTCTTATTCTATAGGTGGATTTTGGTTTAAAGTTCTCCAGTTTCCAGCTAAGCGGCGACAAGTCGTCGGTGGTATTTGCCATGTCTGCAATGAGGTGAAAGAATCTACCTTTTAATTTGAAAACAAAAAATGATAATGGGAAATATGTTTTTTGATGGGGTGGGGGATGGTAGTCCGAGTATCACCCGTTACCCATGGAGCCAAGTCTCCTGTATAACGTCTGATATACCTAAGCATGCGTGACATCATTTCATCCTGAAATCAGGACTAAGATTGTGATTGGTCAATTTCGATGCCGCGTTTTTGTATTACAACAACCTGTACAAAAATGCTACCAGTGGGCGTGATTTTTATGCATGCGGGGAGCTCGAATTACACACGTATAGAAGGCGCCTGCTGATTGGTCGGTTTCTCGAGGTCATATGCAGTCTAGGTACATAATTCGCCGAATCTGTTTGCATATAATAGACCATGGTCGGCTTGACCAGAGCCAGGGTCTATTACATACACTAGGAGGATGATGGGAAGTGAAGTTTATTAACTAAGCATGTTTGGTGTTTTTTGGGTTCATTTCAGTGAAAATGTCGAGGCCTCCACAGACAAGTTGGCTGACAACTTTGTAAACATCACAGTGGGAGTCAAGGCCGAGGTTGACCTTGTGCTGCTGGGGTAAGTTACTCAAGAGAACATTCAACTTATTAGTTACAAAATTCTTGATCACTGTGAAATTATTTGAAGATGTAACAGTACTATTGGTAACACAGTGCTGTTCATAGTAATTTAGAGTGTGTGCACAACGTGTAAAAAGAACCTGTCTAAAAAGTCTGGTAACAGCCTTTTTCAAATTTGGCTCCAGTCCTTGTATGCTTTTATTAATGACAGGACATTGGGTTCCAGACTTACAATTTGTATTTTCTTTCCTTGGACATCTTGAATCTTGCATCAATTTTATCAGTGATCAATTTCAATATTGATTTCAGGCGATCGATACCGGCCCAGGTAGCTTACTCGCCGGAAGGAATCGACAACCCCGAGATCATCAAGGAAAGTGAGGCAGGACCCCAAGTCGTTCATGTCTACGAGGTACGATGAAGTCTAGGTTCTAGACCAAACAAAAAAGTTACTTTGAGACTGGATTTTTCAAAAATTGAATGAAATTCATAGAAAACCTTTCAAAACTTTAAAGTGAAAAAGTGGGGTTTTTTTGGGGTGAAATTTGAAGGAACTACATACACTTACATTGATCAGATCACACACATTTATTCCCTCTTAATGGCAAAAATGAAGAATACAAATGTACAACTATTAGTTGAGATATGTAGAGGTGGCAAAACCTTGAAAGCATAGCTTGTATCAGGCATGCCATTACACAAAACAAACAAACTATTACAGAAAAATAGAAAAAAAGAATGATATTTCGAAGCATTAAACAAAGATATGAGTAATGGGCTACGGGTAGTTATTTGGTCTCATTTTATTTTAATGGGACACTGGATTGTGGAGTTGTACATTTTTGAGTTAGAGGTTTGGATGTAATAATAACTGAACTTTGAGAACAGATTCTAGTATTGATATCACAATTGTTAATTAAACCAGAAAAAAAGAGTGAACAATTTGATTTTCAAATTGTTTCTCAAGTTATTGTATTCGGAGTGTGTGGGGAGGGGGTGCTTGATAAAATTTGTGGGAACTTAATCTCCGTCGTGGACTTGTTGTCCCCATACTCAATCATCGAGAATCGACTAAATCCTTCAAAACAAATGTCTGGTATTGTGGCTTTTTTGTCGCCTTCATCAGGTAAGCAACGCTGGGCCCAGTGACGCCGGCCTGATCACCTTTGACGTCTCCTGGCCCATGCTGGATGCTGACAAGAAGTTCTTGCTGTATCTCATCAAGGTGGAGCCCAGCTCCGGCAGTCAATGCAGAGTCTCCGGTGAAGTCAACCCTCTGAATCTCACGGTAACAAAGAAATCACGCCATTTTTATTTGTCACGGCAATTTTACTCCATCTTTTACTAAATTTTGGTTGAAATTCGGCTTTTAATTTTCCATTTTCAACCATTTTCAATGAACAACATGGACTGGTAAACTTTTTTTAAACAAGTCATTTTTGCAATTAGCAAGTTTCTGCACTTAGCCTATGCACGAAACAGCTGTCAGGTTTAAAATAGAAATAATAATTGAACTAACCCCATTCTGTATTAAAATCCAACCTTTTTTGATGGAGTAAACTAATAAAACTGCACCCCTTTTTCTAAATCAAGTTTTATTTCTTTGAAAATACAAATGCAGCTTGAAGAAAATAACCAAGCCAACAACGTGAGCGGCCCCAACAATGCCAGCGTGGAGGTACAACGTCAGCGACGGCAGGCTGACCAGCCAGAGCAGCAGGTCCACACAGCAGACTGCTCCACGGGCAACTGCCTGACCATCAGCTGCACCATCCAGCATCTGAAAGGTGGACAGAGCGAAGTCATTAGGTTCTTGGCCCGGCTCTGGAACAACACTCTGGTTGAGGTCAGTGTCTGAGACACACGTTGTAGAGCTATTGCTGTGATTGTCAGCTTGTTTTCACATATTTGCGGAGGAGTGTGGCCAAGTGGTTATGGTCGTGACTCATGATCACAGGGTCAGGGGTTCGAATCCAGCTGCTGGTCATATACTGTGTCCTTGGGCAAGCCACTTAATCCCCACTTGCCTCTCTCCACCCAGGAGTATAAATGGGTACTGGCATTAGCTGGGGAGTAACCTGGACTAGCATCCCTCCAGGGGGGAATAGATATACAGTCGAACCCTGATAAGAAGAGCACTGTTAATACAAGGTCCTGCTTATAACAAGCAAAAATTTAGGTCCCAAGTCTTTTTTTTCCCTTTGTTTTCCAATAATGTTAATACAGTAAACTCCGGCTAAACCGACATCGTATAAACTGTCATATCGCTTAAATCGGCCGTCTGACGAAAGTCCCGATTGTCTCTAATGTATTTCCATTGACATTTTCATTTCTAAGTCGGCCTTTGTAAGCTGCCATTTCGCCTATGTCGGCGTGTTACTTTCAGTCCCATTTCCTCAAAACCACAAAAATTCCTCTCAATCCTCTGTATAAGTTGGCATCGTGCTCTGCGGTTTGCAAGAAGTGTCGAGTGACAAGTCCCACACGCTGCTAACTGACATCTGTTTATCAATGGCACTGCCCGTGATTGATGCATCGGCCAGCACGTACATACGTGTACACTAATCGCACGTGTACACTGTTTTATGAACAATCTGTACATTGTGTGCATCGTTCGCTTACACGTGCACGATCAAAAAGGGGTTTTCCCGATAGCACATCAATACCAGTACCCCCTCTCGACTGCACGCATGCGCTCTGTTCATTTTGGGGGTCCCCTTATTGTACCAGTACCATGCACACATTTAATTCGTGACTGTTCACGTACGTACCTGCACAATGTACACTACATGTACATGGACGTACAGTATGCAAGCGATCTGTACATGTATATCCTACAACTGTTAACGCTAGCCAGCTGCGCCGTCCTTGCTTGGTACGTACAGATGTACATGCATGACTTTCTGTGATCAATACCACAGCTGTTTGTGATGATAAACATTGAGGATATATTTGCTGGAATCAACCATGGATGTAGAAATAAACCAGGGTAAATCAAAGCCTTTGAATTTTAGCCATGAATCTTGTTCGAATGATCCAGATACAGATGCGCATAGGCCATTAATTCAATCTATATTTTTCACTCCGTGATTCAATTTGTGTATTTGTGTAAGTCGGCAGCAGAAGCCGACATTCGCGTAAGTCGTCACAAATTCTCTGGTCCCGAGAGTGCCGTCTTAGCCGGAGTTTACTGTACAACGCACTTGTTATAACACGGTAATTCGTTAAGTCCAAAGGACCTTGTTATAAAGGTGTTTGACTGTATTCTCAGTCGTTTCATTCTACTGAAACCGGAGATAAATGCCGGCCTGATGAGCCACATTGGCTAGGGACAGACTTTACTTTACTATTTTGGTTACTTCCCATATAGTTGTTATTGTCAAGAACCTGGACAATTTGGTCGTGGAGTCATACATATGTCTGTGATTGGTCAATACATCATGGGGGCGGGGCTTAACGGAACAGTCTATGGATTCTCTGCATGATAGGAAGATAGTTCGACCACTGGTTTGCGCGCACGCTACGCGAAATACACACAAGTAATTGTAATCCATATGAGCACCAATCTGTAGCGTCTTCATGTCAGCCCCTGGCAGACAACGGAATGCCCATCCCAGCGATCTCCCCCAACTGTCTTTTTCTAACTCTAGAGGGGGTACTTGTGCACTGAGCCCATAGCCATGATAGCTGTTGGCAAGAGATTTAAAATGGCCTTATTGTTACCTTTCAAAATCAATGTCTGAAGTTAATGTCAAATTTTCTAAATCTTGGCTAAATCCAATTGATCATAATCATGTCAATTTTGTTTTCTCATTGTCTATATTTAGACGACCTTTGACCGGTTAGTGATTTCCTCCCGAGGTGTTGCTAGGGTGATCAACCTTCCATACACGATAGACCCGCCGGAATTACCTCAAGTCATGATGGAGGTAGGGAAACTTATCAGAAAGACTGGGCTTATCGTTATCGTTTAAGTATTATCAATCAATCAATTAATTATAATTTCAACTGTTGGTAAGCAGGTGTACATACGGTACCAAGCTAAAATTATACTGAGTACCAGCCATATACAGTATACCCCACATGAAATGTTGGCTGGTAACCTTTTTGTATTATACTTAGCCAAATTTTCTAAGCTTAGCTAAAGCAAAGTGGTATTTTTGTCTTGTACAGGTTTCAACGATAGCAAGCCCAGATGAACCTGTTGTAAAGAGGGTTCCTATTTGGATAATAATTGTTGCCGTGATAGGAGGCCTGCTGCTTCTACTAATTGTCATCCTAGTGCTGTGGAAGGTAAGGTCCAATCGTGGGTAAATCACGACTTCGGTGGGTTTTTTTTAAAAAGGTACAGGCATGTCAAACGCTTGATTCATACTTTCCTTCAAAAGTTGATTGAAAGGTAAACAAAAAACCTGCAAATTTAACCTTAACTCCCCAGGCAGTTTTGCTAGGATGTAACCTCAATCCTGCAAAATCCTCCAACTGCCTCCATGAAAAAATAGCATACAGCCTCAAATCCTGCAAAATCCTGCATTATTTCTTGAATGTGGTCCTTGGAGAAGTAACGTCTGCCTCAATCCTGCAAAATCCTCCAGCAATCACTGTCAATATGTCGAGGCAGAGCCAGTGACATCCTGGAGCAGTACAGAGGATTTCAAGTATAACATAGGCCTACATTTATGTACGTTTGAGCATAAACAGCGCAAGGTCCGGCCCAAGACCTTGACACAGTGCATCCTCCAAAAACAGCCACACATTTTTGCCATATAGCCTCAATCCTGCAAAATGACCAACTTCCATTCGGTTCCAGTACATAAAACTGACTTGTGTCTTCTGTCCTTTCTTTATCTCTCCTAGTGTGGTTTCTTCAAAAGAAAGAAATACTCACCCATCGCATCGGACGAGAAGAGAGCAGATTTATGATGAGGCTGAAACGGACCACCAAAAGACTTAGACAACTCTATTACCAAATACTGACGCATTTTTTACTAAAAAGTACACGTATGCACGCATGCCTTCCAAAAAAAAAGCACTCGTTTTTACCATTATTGTTCAAATGCATGCATTTGTAAAATGTGTTTTTGAAACTTTCACTCATTTCTAAAAACCATGTTTTCTTGAAAGTAATTTGTCTTTTGCAACATGAAGGAGCAGTGGTTTTGTAATGTAAGGCATCTCTCTCAAATGGTAAACTCAAAAACAATTTTTCGTGAAGGGGTGTCATCCAAAGTTGTTAACGTGAAACAGGCGACCCCTCGGGAAAACTTCATTTGAGATTTCGTCATCTTTTGAATGTCACGGTTTCTTTCGGTTCTGTGTATCACACCAAATTCTAAGAGGTTTTTGAAATCCGTCTGTTTTTGATGTATTTGCCTTCTCGAAAAAAGTCTTCCACTATAACTGTTTACTTCCTAGTCAGTACTGTAATTTTTGTTTTTCTTGTTGAGCAGCGTGTCTTGAAGTTGTTTGAACTTGTATTTAGAAGAACATATTTTTTTTTAGATTTGTGTGTACTACGCGGCTGAATTTTTGCAGGTTGAAATTGTTGACCTTATTTCCACATGCTGTATTCATTTGTTTAAGTGTTTGGTTTGAATGTTTTGAGAGAAATAATTCCGTGAAGTTCAGAGTTTTATGTGTTTGTGAGTGCGGGAACAAACTGAGTGACGGACAAAGCGAGAATAGATTTACTAATGCTAAAGACAACATGACTGAATTTTGTATATTTCATCCACCAGCAATTTTTCAAGCATACAGCTGCTGCAGCATGTTCAGAAATAAATAGGAAAACATACCGTAGTTGGTCATTTTTATACCAAATAATTCCACCCAAACTTTTTAAAAGAGCTTCAGTTTTAGCCGGGTTTTCTTTGGTAGTAAAATTTTACCTATTTTTTTGTTGAAATGTGTGTGTTATACTTCCATGTTTTTACATCTTTTTTATGGTAAAGTTTCAGCAGAACCTTTGAAGGGAAACTGGATGTGTTTTAGTTGAGAAAACAAAAAATTAAAATATGATCGCTTTGACCTGAGGTTCTGTAGATAATCTTGCAGCATGAAGCAAATTGCTTTTTGGACCAGATTTTGATTTCTTAAAGGGAAAATACAACATTTGCAAACATCAAAAAATAAAACTACCAAATCATTTTGAAATACCTTGCTGGACTGTTGGTGAATGACAGTGTAAAGCATCCTGTAAAATCATGGCACCTGGTATACTGTCATTTTCAAGAAAAGTGGTATTTTTGTATCAATTTCCAACGCTGATCGGCCGATCAGCGTTGGAAAAAACTGGCTTTTTTTCAAATACTGGCCCCAATTGACCATCGCACTTGTTTGCAGTCGATTACACACCTATGAACGGGTACAGGCCAGCTAGACTGGTTCCCTGACCTTACAATTCCCCAATGTATGTAAACTGCTCTGTTTCTTCTTATATGGAGTCAGGGAACCAGACTACAGGAAAATGATTGTTTTTCTTGGTTTTTATAGCATTTTCGAACCCAAAACCTCAAAAAAATCAGTGTAACTATATTTGCTATATATTTCCAACCCCCCAATTCCATCCATTTCTGAAAATTACAGCAAAAGCAAATGATGTATATTCCCTTTAAACTAATCATTTGGATCATGCTCAGTATCACTCGGCCTGTACAGTGTCCACACTCCAAAGCTGCTCGTAAGCAAAAATCTGCTCGGGCACCAGTCACAGGGACTACCCATTACATGGCATTTTAGCTGGTGCCCTGTATTTTTGCTAAGCTAATATTTTCCACACTAAGCTCATTTCTGTGGTTGTGTACATGTATATTTTTCTGCACCTAGAACATTTTGAGTTTAAATATTGCAGATAAACTCTGGAGGCTTACGACTTGTAAAATCACGAAGAGGTATATTTTAGAGTAGAGTCTTTTTTTATATAAAAAAAACAAAGCAATACTGAAGAAGCAAAGGGATATGATCTAGACGTTTGAAGTGAACTTGTAAAGGAGTCGATTTTGATTTAATGGTTACTAGATAACGTACACTGAATAGAGCAGGTGAAATGACCAACCGTAATTAAAACCCTCCCTCTCTGGCTGGCTATTTCAACAAGGCCAGCCCAGCAGTCAAAAACAAATCAGGTTACTGTTTTTAGCAGTTGAGTGCTCCCTGCCTTCATAAAGCAGGATTGACTGGTTGTGATTGTTATGAAACCTGATACAGCTATGCGTAGACTGTAGGAGATTGATAAGCCAGCTGTGCCTACCAGTCACCTACTTTTGTCTGTTGATGGAATTTGACGGTCACAGTGCCTACAAGAAAATATGATCCGACTGTTGGTGACTAGCCTGTGTAGAAGGCATGGCAGGAAACATGATTGAATTTTTGACTGTCTGTGACTGATCAAACAAAAGGAGGGTTAAGCATATTAAGCTGTGCTAAAGCTTGCTCGTGCATGAAGATATCGGTTGTGGAATCTTTGAGCAGAATTCTGCTTCTGAAGTAACATTCTCTCTGCTGTGCGTAGTTATGGTCTCCGTGAAGCGGAAATAGTTTTCGCTAGCAGGAATTTTTGCGATTAGCGGTGCCCTAAAATTAACTTTTAGCTGATTTGTTTTCCCATTTATGGTCACGCGACTGGAAACTACCTATTTGATTCGCCCTAATGGTATGGTTTCCAGGATATCATGGTGCAGTTTATAGACGAATCAATGATCGAAATAGCCTGCAAATCAGACTATTTAAGTGCAGTATAACCTACTTTATTCATTAAAAAAATGTACTTCTGATAAATCTTAAGTGTTAGTTTGAATGATAATGTGCATTTGTGTTTATGAAGAAAGGGCAAATCAAGAGGACTAATTTTTGTGATTTTCATATTTTATATTTATAGATACGAATGTATGTTGTAATGTAATTTTTGGGTGTTTTATCATGTAGGGCATAGATATAAATTACTTAATATTCTGATTTTTTTATTGTGTAGATATGTTTTGTTATTGTTGCTAACAAACTCAATTACCAGGTCATTCAGTTGCCAGAGATTCTTTTAAAAGCCTTAATTTTTTAGTTTTTAGTTTTGTAGTTGGGAAAAATATAAATTAGTGGTGAATTTGTTCCTCAAACGAAGCTGATGAGGAAAAGAAAAGTGCTACCAAAAAGTACAGTGCTGAAACTGTATAAACTGCCCTACTTCCGCAAACTGTGTGAACAATAATATCTGGTACCTAGACTCCATTTCTTTTACACCATGCACATTTCAGCCACGATTTGTGACATGGTCTGGTGCAGTTTGTTGGAAAGTGTTGTTAGAATTTCAGACAAGATTCTAAGCAGAGATTGCAGTGCTAGGCCATTTTATGTCATCAGGACTTCTTTTTTCCCCGTTCATTTTCCCATTTTAAAAAACCATTCTCTCCATTAAGACAACTCTAAGATTCTTTGTTTCAGTGCCGTCTTGAAATTTGTCTACAAGAAGGGTTTAATGTGTTCAACCTTTTTCTTGGCGTTCACAGCTAAGTTACATGGTTTGTCGGCTGTTTGGGAAAAGTGGTCTTAGAAGTCTATCAATGAGAAATTAGGTCTAGACCTGATGGTAATTATTTTGTCCATTGTAGATCATATTCTCTTTCTTAAAATTGATGTTCAGTCAAAAAATTCAATTCTTTGCCACTTTTTAAAATCTCATATTGACTTTGAGCCATTAAGGTTTATTTTTATGTCCAGGTTTTTTTTTCCTTTTTTGAAACATCTTTTTTTTGCATTGAATTTGTAGAACTGCAAATCTTTGTAATTAGCCCTTGTGACTCAAAATAGAAAAGTCTAAAACAAAAGCTATCCGTAAAAATTAGAGTATTTTAGTAGAGAAATGTTAGATTTTTGTAAGCATAAATATAAACTAATGCAATGCATTGTAATATGTCTTTCTATAAAACAATTTTTATACTAAAGTTATTAAAACTGATCAGGTTTAATTAAGATTTTAAAAGGATCTATCCAACTTAATAGGTTAAACATGCATTTTTAATCGAAATGGGTCAAAAATTACCTTTTTTTCCCAAAACAAACCAACCCAATGTTGCTTGTGATGTAAGATAAGCTAATAGCAATTGTTGTTAGGCTCTCATTAAAATATCTAGGAAAATTAATTTGAGGCAGTTTTTTTTAGATGGTAAGGGGTTAAACTTGCATTTTAAAAAAAAACTAACTTTTCCCCAACAATCCTGAAAATGCTTCTGATGCGAGATAAACCTACCGAATTAGTTGTTATACTCTATTCGAAAATTTATGACATTTGTTAAAAAATTCATTCTTCGCCAAATATTGAAAGAAAAAATATTGGTAAGGGGTTAACCTTGCATTTTTAAATTAAAAAAAATATATCCGCAAATTAACTTTCATGAAAAAACCCCAAAGTGCTTATAATGCAACAGAAACATATTGCAATGTTTGCTACGCCTCTTACTTGAACATTTTCTGGATTTTCTAACAAAGTTCAAAATTGAAAAAATGGTAAGGGGTTAACCTTGCATTTGTCAATAAAATTGTGTCAAAAATCACTTTTTCTCAAACAACCCCAAAATCAGTTTTGATGCAAAAATAACACATTTCAATAGTTTTCAAGCCCTTATTCTGGAGATTTGGTGAATAACTATGAAAATCCATTTGAGCCAAAATAAAAAAAATGGTAAGGGGTTAACCTTGCTTTTTTAATAGAATTCGGCAGAAAATTAAATTTTTCGAAAACAAGAAAAATTTCACTTTTGATGCATGATGAACTCATTTCAACAGTTTTTAAGGACTTATTTTGAATATTTGTGTCTTAAAAAGAAAATTCTTTTTTAGCCAAAATTTGAAAAAACGATAAGGGGTTTACCTTGCTTTTAAATAAGTCAAAAAAAAAATTTCAAAAATAACCTCAAAGTGTTTATAATGCAAGATAAAGTTATTGCAATGGTTGTTAGGCATTTGCTTGAGTATTTTCCGGATTTTTTTCAAAAATCCGTTTTTTATCAAAAATTAATTTAAAAGCACTCACTGCAAGGATCTTGGTTTTTAAAGTTTTGGATAAAAAAAAAAAGAAACCGACAGAATAAATGCAATTTAACACAAGATATGCTGTCAAACTCATTTATTTGTACTTTAAAACAGATTTTACTTCAGACATTATCGTACACATACTTCCCTAAATTAACAATACATTTCTGACCATCCAGGAAGCAAATCCGAAAAACGAACAAAACTTGCAGTGTTTGCGACATATACTTATGTCGATAACAAAATTAATACTTTTCACTACAAATATACTCATGCAAAAAAATAAACAGGAAAAAAAAATTGCAACGAAAATGACTTCAAAATTAGGGAAGTTTGAATAATTCAAGACTCAACTTGCTTCAATGCTTAAAACTTTGATAAGACGACCATTCCCCGTTAAATAACAGCAACTAGTATGCAGGTCTGTGCAGTTTCATAAACTGGCAAATTAGGTGACTGAGTTATGGTTAAAGTCAATGGACTTAGGATTTGTGATGCAACTGTCACAAGTCACTAAAATATTTGTTTTTTTGGAAGATACATTTGTATTGTTTCTTGTGAGAGTTTAAGGAGTGAATACATTTCAATTTAAAAGTAAACATCAAAAATAAGTGAAAATGCATTAAAAGATGAAATTGAGATTATATCAAAACACATGTCTATGAAATTACTGCATACAAGTTTAAACAGTGTTTTTTTTTCATAAAATGCAATAAATGCAATTAAGCGGAGTGTGTTTCAGTCACTCAGCTAACGTCACATGGCCGACGATCCTTGAATGTCATCGTCAGCACTACACGGACCATGAGCCTTCAGGAAGAAAAGAAAAGAAAAACAAATTTTAGGGTTTTTTAACACAGGTTAACAACTTCAAAATTAAGGTTCAATTTAAGATCAAATTAAGGGCAAATTAAATGGGTGTTTTGGGCCAGCAGCAGTTTCTTCCAAATAAAACTGCTTTAGAAATTCCCAACTTGTGAATATCACAATGTACAATCGTACAAAGCATGACTTGATATAACTCAGTAAGAGGCTGCGGAAACCAGGATTCTTTGCTTGCACTGAGCTAACTTTTAGACATCTTATCAATTATCCAAGTCGACTGTTGGTTTTTTTTTTTTGGTACTTCCAATTTGTATAGCATAAAAGTCTGCCCTCACATTAGCATATTTTCATTAGTCGTGAGGGATTTTCCAGCATCCATTTATTTTTATCCTATGAATTCTGATTCACAGGGAAAAGCATACAAGCTACAAGCTTCAAGCACAGAATTCTGTGACAATCAAATTTTGCCGAGCTGATCAACTCACCTTTGATCAAATGTTGCGTTGCTGCAGCAGGATTCTTCTGAGACAGTTTGTTGGATGTCTGTCAGTGTGTCCCCAGCGCGAGGTGACCAGATCAATTATCTGCAACAAATAACAAAGAAAGAGAAGGATTAGTCCTTGGTCCGTGCACATCTCAACCGAACTGATGTGACCTGCTCTGAGAAAACCAGTCAGATTTCTAAAAACAAAAAAATTACTTCACAATTATATTCCATCTCCAGTTTTAGGCATGTTTTGAACGGACCTGAATGAAAAAAAAAATGATTTAGAATGAAATGGGGGTTTGAATTTTTCCCTCTGGGCAAAGTTTTAGTTTCACACTGTGGTCCAAAATTGTAGAAATTTATCAAACGGACTGAGTTCTGCAAAGATTTCATTGATGCATGTTTGATTTGACCAAAAAAACCCTAATGTGTGACACTTGGGCAACTAGACTCAATTTCTGAGAGCAGGTCAAATATCCTGGTAAGGTCAGTTTAAACAGGGCTACCACGAGAAGGTCCCAGGATACCAGCCCCAACGCGCTTTCAGTATCGTCAGGCCCATTGCTGGATAAAAGGTAGGCCCCGGAGGGCCAGACACAGTTATCGACTGTCCGGTCCGCCCGCCCAGCCCCAAAGGACCAGGAAAGCACCCTAACCTATATGCACGCCCCCCTAAGTCCATCCCCCTTACGGGTTCATGCGGTCTGATAGGAAGTAGCAGCGTTTGCCGGCTGTGAATACAGGGCCACGCCCCTATAAAGAGGGACGCACTACCTGCTCCTTTATGGCACGGCATCCTAGGGTTTCCAGGCCGCTGCGTAGGACCCACGCCCCACGTGGAAGGCGGACCTGCCACGCGGACGCAACTCGCCCCTTGAATCTGTGCTGGATTTTCGCCGCACTTCAATTGGAGCACCCAGTCAGACTCCAATTAGTAATCGAAACCGCCGCACCCACCTAAGCCCTAACGGCATAGGGATATAGGAGATCCCATAGCCTTGAGTTCTCAGAGGGATATAGGAGATCCCCTGAACTAAGAAAAAAACCCTATTTATTTAGTGAAATTTGTGCATTTCACTAATGGATGATGAACATTTATCAAAAAAGATTGTCCCTGTGGAAGTACGTGTTTATGCCCTAAAGGCGGTGCACAAGATAAATTAAATTAGTGGAGCCTTGCAGCAGGGACGGATCAGGGAGCAAGTTCCTTAACCTTACTTGACAGAAATACTTCACTTGGCCAACAAATTTCCCAATGTTTGGTTTGAAGATCCCAAAATCTAAATATTTGAAATATGAATGTTTCCTCAAGAGGTGATAGGTGGTGCAAAGATCAGCAACTGACTTGTTTTCTTCAATACATTGGTTTCTATCCTTGCTAACTCTTTTTGCTTCTCTCCATCAAGGAGTAAATGACACTTTGAATATGTTTCTAATATGAAAGTTAACATTTTGCTCCCCAGGGAGCTGATTGCCACCCAAGATCCGCCCCTGGATGGACGTAGGGATATAGAAGATCCCATAGTCCTGCTGGTCTTGCATTGTAGGATGAAGGGATAAAGCAGATCCCACATCCCATCTTGATCCTGGAGGACATCGGGATATAGGTGATCCCATAGTCCTGTAGTAAATCTTGCTGTGCTCAATTTGAGCCGATGACATATGCTCAATTTGAGCTGACGACCTGTAGAGAAACCACCACCCCACACAAACACATACCACCACCAAACCCCACAATCACAAACACATACCACCACCAAACCCCACAATCACAAACACTATATCTGATGTTCTGAACCAACTCTGGGAAAATTTCAATTACTTTTGGAGCTTTTCAGAAGAAAATAGTCAGTGGTTTATGAAAATAAAATTAAATATTCTTTTTTTGGCCCCCAAACATTCAAAATTGAATGTTGGCAAGGAAATTAATTGAGTAAAACTAAAAACCAAAAAAACGTCAAAAAACCACTACCACCACATTTCAAGCTTAAGTTGTTTGAAAATCAAAGTAAGATGTGCAGTAATAAATATTTTGTTCCATTTGTTTCGTGCATCAGGCAAAATGCTTGCATTTTGCAATAAGGCCTAAGTGACTGGCCAAAAATATAACAAAAATCCAAGTACATGTCAAAATTGGAAACTTTTTGGCACATTTTTCCAGAGTGGTTCAAAACTAAATAAGAAAATTCAAGCCATTGGCTATGACTCACTCTGCACAATCCATCGAACGACTCCGCTTGCAAACTGTACTTGGGTCTGGAGTTCATGAGGTCCAACGATTCTTGCGATCCGGGGGTCTTGAGCATGTCCACAGCTGCAACAAAATGGTTACCTCACCTTAGTGAACATGCAGTCTTGTCCCCTGGCCTCTACTTGCGCTGTCTGCACTTCTTCCAAGAAAAAGTCGCTCTGTCACACGCCTTTAGCTTGATCAGTTCCTGTTCCAAAGACTGAAATCCGGGGGTCATGCGCATGTCCAAAGCTGTAAAAAACAAAAACCAATTGTTACCTAACATTTAATAGTGAACATGCAGTCTTGTCCCCCCGGCCTCTACTTGCGCCGTCTGCACTTCTTCCAAGAAAAAGTCGCTCAGCTACACTCCCTTGATCAGTTCCTGTTCCGAAGACTTCTGCAATCCGGGGTCTTGAGCATGTCCACAGCTGCAACAAAATGGTTACCTCACCTTAGTGAACATGCAGTCTTGTCCCCCGGCCTCTATACTTGCGCCGTCTGCACTTCTTCCAAGAAAGACTTGTTCTGTTACACTTCATTGATCAGTTCCTGTTCCAACGCCTTCTGTCCTCTGGGGTTTTCGTGCATAGCCACAGCTGTAAAAAATGGTTACCTCACCTTGTGAACATAAAGTCTTGTTCCCTGGCCTCTATCCTCGTGCTGCCTGTCATTAATTAAGCTACAGAAACAAAACAAACAACAACAAAACTTGTTTTATAGCTGTAAAAAAACTGGTTACCTCACCTTAGTGAACATGCAGTCTTGTCCCCCGGCCTCTACTTGCACCATCTCAACTTCTTCCAAGAAAGAGTACTTGTTCCAAAGACATCTGTTTCTCGTGTTCTGGTGGAGCAGGATCACACTGCTGCAAAAAACTTTGGTTACTTGACCCTGTGAACATGTCGTCTTGTCCCCCGGCTTCTATACTTGTGCTGTATATTATGTCCTTAAACTGCAGAAACAAAACAAACAAGAAAAATCCCAAATTTAGAGACTTAATTTACAGGAATAAATGAAAAACAATTTGATTTAATTCAGCTCATATCTCGGTCACATTATTTGGTTATTTTTTTTGTTTAACCATAAATAATTGAATTGAATAGAACTGAATTATATAACTGCTCATGACATGCATGAATGAGCAACTTTTATTTTTCCACCCCACAAATTTGCATTTTGTGACCACTACAGCTAGTTAAATGGCAACAAATGCATGATGCATTTATTTTCACACAATAAAAAAATCTTCAGGCTTGAACATGAAAGTCTGCTTTTGCTGCAGAGTCGAAGAGTTTACACACACAAAAATTCGTGCTCAGTTGGTTCCCTGCAATATTGGTGATCGTGCAGTCGCGGGCCTGGTTCCCCAAAGAGAAACAAAATCCATTTTTAATTTATTCAACTGATCAAACTAGTTGGCGACATTTAAGAGCATGTAGGTTTGTCATAGATAGAGGGCAGGTTTTTGAATTTTTGAGGGAACTGAATTTGGGGGTAAAATGACGATGACAACGACAAAACGCAACACGAAAATAAAGATGGCGATCACCGCGGTGTACCGTGAAGGTGCAAGGCGCACTGACTCGCGCGCAGGGCACCACCCGTAAACCGCGCCCTAATTTCTACCCCAAGAAACTTTTCACAATTACAAAAAAGTGTGTCATTAGAGTTGAGTGAAGTCTGCGTTGGGTTTGAACGTAATTTTGGAGTGATAAAAGACACCCTTGACTCAAATTTGATCAAACCTAAATAAGGGTCCGAAACTGCAGCATCGCCGCATTGGCGGCGGCATATTTTTTGGAGTATAAAATTGGAACGTCATTTTTTTGTGGTTTTCATTGAATTTTTTTAAACAATTAATCAAAATAAATGCTGCACGATAAATGGACCTCCGTTACGTCTTTGGATGCCTAAAAACAACCCTTAGAAAAAGAAGATTAAAACTTACTTCTTCTTTCGCCAGTCGTTAGCTTTTCCTCCGCCCGCGAATACATGAATGACGCTACAGACCACGTGTCGAGTCACGTCGAGGCAAATATAACTGGTTCCCGGCGCCCCATTATCATCGTGGCAAAATTACATCTTGTATACGGGATGGAACCAGTTCGTACAGTTAATATGTTTTGGCTGGTAGAAATCCATGGGGCTCCAACTCTTTTTATTACAAAAAAGAAGACCCACGCCCCCCCCCCCCCCAAAAAAAATCCCCACAAAAACGGAGAAAAGGTCCTTAGTTCCCCTACCGCAGGCCCAAGCCTATTAGCATTTTTAAATTGGGCAAATTTAAGTAAATACAAAATAGTAGTGAAACTATTGGATTTAATATGCAAGATTTACAGCCGAGGCCTAGCCTTTTCTTTTGGCAATTACGAAAGCCTTTTTTTTACGTTTTAATGCTAAGCTGGGACAAAACAACATATGTGGACAATCTTTAAAATGACCACTTTTTTCCCCCAGAATAAAACACGTTACATAATTCGTGGTTGCCGGCAATGCCGGAAGATATGTGTGTGAACATTGTTTTAAAGACTGGCCTAAATGGGTGAACTTTCACAAACAAACACATCATAACCACTCAAGAAATAAACGACTCAAAAACGGATTAAACTGATTGCATTTAACGATGCACATTTATTAACATTTGGTCAAAATCTAACATTTCCTAAATTCCTTTTATAGGAATTTCTTAAATTCCTATAAAAATACATTTTTAGCAGAAATGTTGACATCTATTAGTGCTTCCATTTTATGTTAGATATTTTTTTCAGCCAAAATTAATTCGGAAACAAATGGTAGGAAGTAAAAGCCTTAATTTTGATCAAAATTTTGTATTGAAAAGGATTGCATATAGCAAGCTAGCAATCAGAAACATTTTGTCGGTGAAATGAAACAATTTTCAAAGATGATTTACAATCATTATTAATAATACATACAACTCAGTTGATTTGTTACATTGATGAACATGTACCATGGCGAACAGTGGTTTTGATGTGTTAAGCCTATCAACTGAACTAAGACCTAAACTGTTATATAAAACTCGACAAACTATGGCAAGACAATCAACCATCAGAGTTATACACAACAACGTTTACAGATCAGACATGAAACAGTCACATACAATTATAACACATAGTGCATGAAACAGTAACCTGCAATTATTACGTATTTTAAAGAAATATCACCTATTAATAGAATTTCAACATGAAACAGCCACATGCAATTACGTGCATAAAGTTTAAGACATGAAACAGCTACTGATATTAAAGGAGCTTTACAAACAAAAATTACACGAAACAGACATTCTTCAGTTAATTATTCGACATCAGTACTATAAATTTGTTAACACTGATGGTAAACAAATCTATATTTATTGGGAAAGAAAAAAAAACTTTGAAAATTGTGAGGTAAATGTTCTCAAACGCCTGAACGCAAAATAAACACAGTTGTTCACTATGTTGTGTGACTGGATAATAGAATTGTGTAGTTTGAGGCAGTGACATTTTTAAAGATACATTAAAAATGTTGCTGCCTCAAACCACACAATTCTAAATTGTCTTCATAGTCAAGATTTAGCCTTGATTCATGATCAATACACATAATACATATAACCACCCTGTAAGAAATGTTAAATGTTAATATTATTTCTATATTCACAAATGTGAAGTAATATATACACATCTTGTTTACATTAGGTACTGATATTTTAACATGATAAATTTGTGAGTAAATTTCACCCATTCCTCCACTCTACTCCCCCCCCCCCAAAAAAAAGCTTGAAGTTGAGTTTAGTTCACAAATATAAACATATATTATAGATGTTTGTCCAAATGTTTTTTGTTTTCATTGTTTGCATTGCACACTTCTGCAAACACAAAAATTATCAACGTCAAAGTGTTTATATTTAACAGACTGATGTCATTGAGTTTATAAGGCAGCAATATGTAACAGCTGGAACGCATCTTCACCAAAAAACACCCCCCCCCCCAAAAAAAAAAAATCAATGAGCCTTGACTTAAAGGGAATATACAACATTTGCTTTTGCTGCAATTTTCAGCAATAAATGGATTGGAGGATTGGAGTCAGTGTTTTAAGTAGCTTGTTTCACGTTTTGGGTTCGGAGATGCTGGAAAATCTAAGAAAACAACCATGTTCTTGAAGTCTGGTTCCCTGAGCCCACTTAAGATGAGACGTTGCAATTTATAGACTTTGGGGATTGTAAGGTAAGAGTTATCAGTCTAGCAGGCTTGTACCCCTTCACAGATGTGTAATCAATTGCAAAGAAAATGCGGAATGACTAAATATGAACAGTTTTTAAAAAAAAAGCCAGTTTTCTCCAATGATGGTCGGCTGACCAGCGTTGGAAAAATACAAGTTTTCTTGAAAGTGTTAGCACACGAGGAGCCAAGATTTTACAGGATGCTTTAGATTGTCATCCCCTAACAATCCAGTAAGATATTTTGTTATAATTTCATCGTTTCGTTTTTTGATGTTTGCAAATGTTGTATCTTCCCTTTAAGTAAAATCTAGGCTTGTGCAGTGGAGAGTGTGGTGTTCTGTGAGCAAATATGCACTGTACACTCAGACATTAAATTAGTAATCAATTAAAATATACAATACAGTACACCAACTCAACAAAAACAGAATGCGAAATCCAAAGAATAGGCTGAGCGTAAAATCTCTTTACAGTTGAAAGTCCAAATGCGAAACATATGTTACAAATAACCAAATAAATATTAGATTCAATACGCTATAGTTTGTGCAATGCAATCAAACGGACCAACATATGTTTTAGTCGACAAAACAAAGAGGAAATACTGTGAAATGTAGGATTCAGAAATTGAACTTTTTGAACAAATATACTTATTGTAACTGATAAAAAAACAGCTAACAAAACCCCCCCCCCCACAAAAAAATTCCCTACACCCATGTATACATACATGTGTCAGTATATGGGCAATTCCGAGGTTACTCACGTTACATTTTTGATGTACTTTTGAGTTTCCTTGGGCTGTAATTACCTTACTGAAAAGGTGTAATAACTGTTATCCCTATGGTAGATAGAGTAGACCTAGACCAACCTAAGCACCAAAGATGACATCCAGAAAAATGTGTTATGTATGATAAACGAGACGCACAAAATCAGTTACTCATGTACGAAAATGTAACGTGAGTAACCGATTTTGTGCGTCTTGTTTATCATACATAACATATATTTCTGGATGTCATCTTTGGTGCTTAGGTAGGTCTAGGTCTACTCTATCTACCATGGGGATAACAGTTATTAAACCTTCTCAGTAAGGTAATTACAGTCCAAGGAAACTCAGAAGTACATCAAAAATGTAACATGAGTAACCGTGGAATTGCCCATATGTATTTCTTTTTAAAAATATCTTGCATGTAATATATTAACCTTAGTATGATCTATGAGTTTAGAATTTCAGCAGGGTACTTAATAGAGATAAATGAAGATACATAAGCACAATGCTAACTTGTTACGACGGGAACATTTAAAGGTGGAGTACATCATTGTTAATTTGCGCATTATGTTCGTTTGAAGCAAACAAAGTGCTCAAAATCTAAAGGCGGATGCTTAATAACTAACCTGATGAAACTTTAGCTCAGTGAATGCTGTAAATTTCAAGAAAAAATTCCAGGATCTCAATTTCAATTCAAAAGTTGCCAATTCATTTGGAACAAGTTCTTATTCAGCCGATTGCAGGTATGCGATGTCACGCACTGACCCAACGAATTATAGCAACTACACTAACGGAAAATTGAAATTCCAAAAAGAAATTTGGAAATGACACTGTTTTACTGTTTTTCTCAAAATGACAGCATGCCAGAAGGAATACTTTCACAGGGATTTTAGTTCAGTACCATTTCTATCTTCAAACCAAGTAATCTTCAACAGTAATTCAGTCAGTTATTTTTTGGATAACTGCAAATGATGTACTGTACCTTATAAACAGGTGTTCACAGTAGAAAAGTCAAACAAAAATATGACAAGTTTTGAGGCTCCTGTTCATGAAATTATTACATCGAACGAGGCAAACGTTATATAGCACCAGAATATTGCATAAATAACCAACAGAAACTCTGCCTGTTTTGCATCGGAATTCCTTGCTAGGAATGGTTTGGGGAAGAGAGGGGCTTAATCCAAGGCACCCCCCCCCCCTGCATTGACCTTTTGAACTGTGACCCTTGTACACAATTTAAATGCATGAATACTCGAGTTTCTGACACAAAATCCTTCTTTGGACCATTCTTGATTCGGCCATAAGCCCCGCCCACCTTTGGTTTGTGACTAATTTTGATTGGTTTATCGTGGTCACCTGACAAAAAGTCATGATTTAATTGGTCAATGTGCACTGTTCAATTGACAGGCAGAAATACTAACTCAAACAAGATCTTTCAGTCTGTTGCAAAATATGTAGACTTCCAAGATATATTTTTGGCTAATAGTTATATTTTCAGACTGTACAATAAACTGCATTTTGCTTAAAAACTATGATTATTTACAAAAGTTTAATGTGACCTGCCAAATTTCAGTTACAAAATGACATCATGATGACCAAAAGCTGAAAACAAGGGGTGTTTCTTTTACTTCAAACAAAACTTGGGACTAGAAAATAAAATTAAATTAAAAACTGTTCTTGAGAGACTTGGTGGAATGTTGTGGGTTTCCTCTCGTAATCAGGTAATTTTCATATAACTGCACTGATTTCTTGTTCAAATATTAATTCTCAAAGACTACAAATCAATCATCCGAAAAACTCCATATTCATAATTTCAATTATTGTGATTTTGCAGTTCTGGTAAAATATATTTTCAGCAAAATAACAGGTAGTGTCTTTAGACTAATGCTACTATAGTCAGAAAAATATAAAGAAAAATATCAGTACAATGAATATGACGTACATGTACGTCAGAGTTTAACAAATATAGAACAACATAGTTTGTATGTTAAAATGTCTATGGTCAAGTCTGAACCTTGTAAGAAATTGACAAAACTCTCCACAGATATAATAGTTCGGTTACCAGTGATTTTCGTCTCTGGTTTTGTCATACATTTCTGACCTGTCCCGCCGCCTGGTTCCCTGCACCTGGTGAGCCTGAGTAGCAATAGAATAACATTAGCTGGATGAAACCGAGCAGGGCACCAATGATGTTGGGCACCTGTGAAAAAAACAAACAAGGGAATGTTAACTATGGAGGAAATAAAGACAACAAAAATATCGCCAATTGGCATTGATATTGAAGTTGTGGGAATAACGAGATTTCTGCATTAAAAAAAAAAGTATTCTGACTTCCTCTCAACATTTTTTTGGCTTTCATGGAACTTGGAATGTGTTTAATTGAAAAAACAATTTTCTTATGCAAAAACAGAGGGGAACAAAAAAAGGAAAAAATGTTGCAACCTGATGCCACTTTTTTCTTCATATATCATTTCAATGAAGGTCAGTCATTGCAAAAATGATGATCAGACATGAATCTGGGACTGAGAAACATTTCCAATTTTGTTAGGAAATACTTAGACAATTTTCTCGACTCTTCGTAGACTTTGTACACAACCGCTGAAGTGGCATCAGGTTGCAACATTTTTTCCAAAAAATTGAATCATTCTGGTCAACTCACCTTGACAAAATTATCCATGATGATGTGACCGTAGACAGCCCACTCAGCAGCCACCAGGAAGTTGGCTAGGCATAACGGGAAGGCCATGGAGGCTGTGCTTTGGGTTCGGATTACGTCCGCCTGAAATGATAGCGGAAAAAAGATTGATAAGGCCAAAAAACAAAAGTCTCCGGTTTCTGGTATGCGCGCGCGTCGCCGTAGCCATGCGCGTCGGCAAAATGAAAAAGTTTTTTTTCAATGAAAGATGATGTCTCAAAACCGCCAAACTCACTGGTTTGACTGGAATTCTGCTGCTGCACAATTTTAACGTGTTTTTAGGTGGGGTTATGGTCGAGAATAAGCTTTATGTGGCCTCTCTGGACTCCCAATCCCATATAGGCCTATTTGTACTAAGTTTAGTCCGGCACCATTTGCAGTCATCAGCCGACATTTGAAGCAAAAAAATCAGGTAAAAAAAAAAAAAAAAGCCGCGTCGCCGCACCAATTTTGGGGCAAGCTCCATACCAGAAACCGGAGACTTTTTTTTTTTGGCCTAACTAACTTTGTGTTATCCCCTGAAAATGAAATTACTTTTGATCCAAAAACTTTCAAGACAGAACAGCTGCTTTCCAGAAACTCTATGGTGAAAGGTTTACCAAAATGGAAAAAAAGACAAATCTAAAGAAGGTTCTGGAACAAAAGTAAGTATACATGAAATACTGGGTTTTTCTTTTTCAGTCACTGATCAAAACTTGAGACAGAATTTTAATAAATCTTTTCTAGTGCTCTCGGCTGAAAAAAAAACACCCTTTTTTGACTGAGATCTTATAGGGAACATTAACAAATATTCATAGTTCTTAAAGGGAAGATACAACATCTGCAAACATCAAAAAACAAAATGATCAAATCATCACGAAATACCCAACTGAATTGTTAGGGACGGACTGAAAGTCTAAAACATCCTTTAAAATTGTGGCTCCTGGTGTGCTGACATTTGCAAGAAAAAGTGTATTTTTCCAACGCTGGTCGGCTGACCAGCGTTGGAGAAAACTGGCATTTTTCAAAAACTGTTCCTAATTTTTCCTATTTAGTCATTTTGACTTTTCTTTGCAATTGATTACAAACCTGTGAAGGGGTACAAGCCTGCTAGACTGATTCTCCGACCTTACAATTCCCCAAAGTGTATTAATTGCTCTGTTTCATCTTAAGTGGGGTCAGGGAACCAGACTACAAGAACACGATAGGTTTTCTTGGTTTTTCCAGTATCTACAAGCCCAAAACGTGAAGCTAGTCAGTTTAACAATATTTTCTATAACATACTAATCCTCCAAATCCATTTATTTCTGAAAATTGCAGCAAAGCAAATGTTGTACATTCCCTTTAAGTTTCCCTTTTCATAATGGCGAGGACTTAAGTCACATGATGTCAAATTTCCAAGATTAGACATTTTATCAATATTTAGCCATTGAAAATTAAATATGAATCACAAAGAAACTCTCATGTTTATATGGTCCCCTTACAACAGGTTCGCTCGGAATTGCACGCGCTGCCACGGATAATCATTGACCAATCAATAAATCAATGAAATAAGGATTACATGCAACACGTAGACAGAACAGTTCCGTACCAAAGTGGAAGGCTTAGAAAAGCAAGGGAAATTTTGAAAAGGTGTCATTGAAGTATTCTTTTTTATTGATTTAGTAGTTAGGATTGAAGTGAAATGCTCTGAAGGGCAAAACCTAATTTGATTTGAAATGCTCTGATTTACTTGTCTCCTTAGGTCTTTAAACCATTGCTATGACGTCACACTATCGTTAAAAGTGTGGATTCGGAACTACAAATCTGTTGCACTGGTCACAAAGTGTGGATTCGGAACGACGAATCTTTAGTAAAGTGTGGATTTGGAATTACGAATCCACACTTTGAACATGTTGTCTGACAATTGTTCTCCATAATGAGCCTAAATAGGACCGTCTGTGTGAAAATTTGCTTTCCGAAAATTACCAATGCATCTTCACTGTCAGATTCTCCGCTGTCACTGCAAAAACTACTTTGAGTCAGAAAGAAATCGTCGTCTGAACTATCCATGTTGACGTAAGGAACCTACACACAAAATGACTTGGTTGTACGGGTGTGGCGATACACATGCTAAACACACCACAATGCTTGATTACGTATAGAGCCTCGAAAAACTCCCTTGCAAATTAACCTAATTAATGGCCACAACTCGACACGAGATATGCAAGTCTTTTCATCTCCACTCACTGGACTGTTAATGTTAATGACAATACTTCTTTTGACGCAATGGTTTAAGTCGAAGAATACACTCGCAAGTGTGGATTCCTAATTTACGAATTCACTTGGCACGAAAGCGCCTCGTGAATTCTTAAATTACGATCCATACTTTCTCGTGCATTCTCCTTAACTTAGTATAATATTCCATTTCAATATTTCCTCTTCTTTTTTCTTACTAAGATCACAAATGATGTCAGAAATTTCCTGGCGAACTCACCAATGTGCTAAGAGGAGATCCATACATGATGACGGAGCAGAAACAGCCAATTAGACCTAGCTGGCCCAGGGCCGTTCCCACGTCATCCACGTAGAACTTGACGTAGGACAGGACAGGGAAAATAAATACACCGGCGTACAACAGCTTTTTGTGTATTGAAACCTGTGGACATAGAGAAATACAAATGTAGATATTGCAAGTTTGGAGTCAACTGAATTATGTTGAAGGTATCCTTGTTGCTCAATTTAGTAAAACAACAGATGTGGATAACAGAATTAACTTCGTGGCTTGAAGTCTCTTTTTTTAGTTAAACAGTTTCTAATTCGCACCAATGAGGTCCTCAGTGCTTCTATTTTGTGTTGTAAAGATTAAAACTATAGTCCATCATTTGCAGCCATCCAAAAAGTAACTGGCGTATTATTGTTGAAAAACATACTTGGTTGAAAGATAGTAAGTGGACTAAACTCCCTGTGAAATTAATCTTTCTGGCAAGCTATCATTTTGAAGTAATCAACAAAAGAAGGCCTTTCCAACGGTGCGTCTTAAGACGCACTGTAGGAAATTTTAAATTAATAGTTCGTTTTGTTATTCGGCGCAGCGCGCAAGCATTGGCACGACGCACACGTGCGCGCGGTTGCTATAATTCGTCGGATCAGTGCGCGACGTCGCGTACAGCTGCAATTCAGAACAATTCAAAACATGATTCAGTAACTTTTGTTTGAAATTGAGATCCTAGAATGCTGCTTTTTCTTGGAATATACAGCTGAAGCTTAGCTGAAACTTCATCAGGTTAGTTGTTTAGTATCCTTCATTAGATTTTGAACACTTTTGTTGCTTCAAACGAACAGAATGCACAAATTACAAATGATGGACTATATCTTTAAACAGGAAAAGGTCCTCCGTGTGAAACAGTGACTTTGCATTGTGAGCCTTGGCTTGTCAATTTGACAGCATATTTTGGGCACAATTAAAATAGATCCACGCAACAATTTCTTATGAAGTTAGGATGGACAAAATAGAGGAACAAAATTGGCAACATCTATCTCAACGCCAAAACACTTGGAGTGTCCCAAATGCAATCTGCTATATCTATCTGCATCTAGGTAAATTACCAAACAGACATGCAAAGCCTTCAGACGGCATTAAGAACTTCATTCAGAAACAAAACAAAAAGGTGACTGGTTTCCCTACTCTCTGTCCAGATCTGCAAGATTGTCCACACGGCTGTTGCATTGTGCAGGATTTGGACGGGAGCTCTAGAATTTGTGACTCACTTTTTCAAATTCATGGAGATAGTAGATAAAAATATAAATTGACTGAAGAATGACTCCAGCGGTGTTGACGATAATCAGCGCGTTGTCCTCTTTGAGAATGCCGTACTTCAGCCATATAATACAACTGCAACATAAAAAAAAACCACAAAAAGGTACTTTTGTAAAACATCATCGAAGGTCCCAACTCAAATACAGTTGAATCTTGTTAGTACAAACTCTGTTTATACAAAATTCTGGTTATAACAAACATAAAGCCTTAGTCCCGACTGTGCATTTATGTGCACAATGAATGGGACTGATGTTCCTCTTAATACAAAATTCTGATATAACAAACAATTTGGCTAGGTCCGAACGAGTTTGTATTAACGAGACTCGACTGTATACTTCTTTTTGAATACTGGGCATGGGTGGGGTGGTGATTGAAAGGGGTCGGGGGGGGGGGGGGGGGGAGGGGGAGGGGAGGGGGAGGGGAGGGGCTGGGAGACGGAGGGGGTCTGAGGAAGAGGGGAATCCAAGAAATCGTGAGAGATGTTTTACCTAACGTCTGAAGCCAGAAATGGAAACATGGAGACGTTGTTGGTGTTCCCTTGCCTCCGAACCTTCATACAAATTTGTCTGGAAAGAAAAGACAGAAAAAATATTGCGACTGTCACACATTCAAAGCTTTGTGTACTTGTTCTACATAACCCCTGAGGACAGACACACAAAGGGAGAACAACAGATCCTTTCAGTCCTCGGGAGTTGGGTCTTTTGTTCAAAACGGTCCTCTGTGGTAGGGTTGTGTGCTTAATCTATTGGAGAGTGTTCTATTACAGGGACGAAAGAAAACACAAAGCATTGTCCTTGGGAGTATGGTAAAACAAGAGTGTATGATCTGTGTTAAGAATTTTTCAAAAGAACTTTTGAGAAACTTTGAAAAGTTGTAAAGTACTTACATTCCCGTTAGGAGGAGTGCAATAGTAGACAACGTTGCCACGACGGACATAGCATCTTTTGCCTCGAGGGCCATAGTTACATGTATTGACTGCTAACAGTGGTTCACTTCGAACAATTGGATAGGTCGATGTTACAAGATGAATTGGCGATGCATGTTGATGTTATTCAAAAACACAATCTTCAGATGTGATGTCACAATCCAGATGACATCGTCTTAGTTTATCCAAGGAAGCAGTCGAAAAAAGTGTCTACGGTGCAAAAGATTAGTTAATTTCAGACGATTTAGTAATAATTTTTGCACGCACATGTACACTGAACATGAATGCTTCAATTGCAACGTTGTTTTTCCATAGTGTATGTGCAAAAAAAAATCACATCAGAAATCATCAAGCACATTTTTCCTCATATTTATGACTTAATAGTGAGACAATAAATTGCACAATAACAAAGCAATCAATACAAACACATAGACACACAAAAATGGGTCAGTCAAGCATTTGTCCATAGACAGTCTTCCAAAGTTCATACACTGCACTAGAAAGGTGATGAGTCTAAACTTGAATTTTTTAATTGTTTGCATTGCCACCGTTTACTTTTGCAAAAACTGACACATTTCATTTAGTTCTATACGTGGGCGCAGACATAGGGAATTTTTACATTGGCTTATCTAGATCCCAGACATGCCAGACCCTAGACCCATGAACGTGGCTACGTACAAATGTACATAGCCACGGCTTGTTTATATTCTCTGGACTTTCGACGTGTTCGAAATCCCGGTTGGAGACCTTCCACTTAAAGGGAATATACAACATTTGCTTTGCTGTAATTTTCAGAAATATATGGATTTGGAGGATTAGTATGTTATAGCAAATATTTTTTCAAACTGACTTGTTTCATGTTTTGGGCTTGTACATGCTGGAAAAACCAAGAAAATTAAACATGTTCTTGTAGTCTAGTTCCCTGACCCCACTTAAGATAAAATGGAGAAATGTAAAGACTTTGGGGAATTGCAAGGTCAACGAATCAGTCTAGCAGGCTTGTACCTCTTCACAGGTGTGTAATCAATTGCAAAGAAAATGCGGAATAACTAAATATGAAAAATTAGGAGCAATTTAAAAAAAGCCAATTTTCTCCAACGCTGGTCGACCGACCAGCGTTGGAAAAATATAGTTTTTCTTGAACTTGTCAGCACACCAGTAGCCACAATTTTACAGGATGCTTTAAGACTGTCAATCCCTAACATTTCAGTAAGGTATTTTGTGAGAATTGATCATTTCGTTGTTTGATGTTTGTAAATGTTGTATCTTCCCTTTAACAGTCTCGAAATTTAACGGGCACTGCATGTTCAGTACTTACATCCACGAACTTCCAGTGGCCATATGATCTATCATTCCAAAGAAATTCGAGGGAAAAATGGAGCCCATACTAACATCTTCTGTAGAAATCTTTTGAAAATTCCAGAGATGTACACGGAGCGTGGCTATGTGTATGGCCACGTTCACAGATCTAGCCAGATCCACAATGTATGTTCTTGAAACTCAATGGTTCTTGAGTCATGCGAGTCTCGAGTGCCAAATGGTAACATAGCAACCGATTAAAATTGCTGGAGTGCTGAAATGGTAACGGAATGAATGTTGCAACCTAATGTCAGTCCACCCCGATCTATTGCATGTTTTCCCAACTTCCCAAATTGCTAAAATTCATGGTTTAAACTTACAAATTTCCGAACCTACTGAACATATGCCCAGATTAACTGATGCATAGGTTTGTCATGTTTGTGTGTAATATCAACAACCTTTCAATCACTCATATTTGCAATCAAGACCTGACTACAGTGCACATTTGTATAGGCCCTTTACGCGTAGTCGTAGGCCTAGCCCATATAGCAAACTTACTGGACTACCTCTGCAAATAAAGGCCACATTTGGAACACGCACGTGAAAATATAGAATTTTGTCAAATTTTGATTTTCACATTTGGACTTTATTTGTATTTTATTTACGCTAAGAACTAAAAAGCATACTCACCCTCTTTATAGCCATAGAAAAGTAGTCCTGCATTTTTCAGACGTCTATTTTTCGTGTAATTTCCAGGTTCATCTGCACATGTTTGCATATCTAAATTCCAACACGAAATTACACGAAAAAAACAGACATCTGAAAAATACCGGATTTCTTTTCTATGGCTATAAAGAGTGTGACTGTGAGCATGCTTTTTAAAGCGAAAATAAAATACAAATAATTAATAGTCCAAATGTGAAAATCAAAATTGGACAAAACTCTACTTCTATTAATTAGTTCTAATTTTTAGGGTGCATGTTTCAACTTCAAGTGTGGCCTTTATTTACGAAGGTAGTCCAGTAAATTGGCCACATTTATATTATATGGGGCTATATCATTGGCCTACACTACAGCTAGCCACAGACACTACCATGTTGTACTCGTTACGAATCGTCATGACCGTTATTTGACAAGCAGCGATTGTAATTGTCATTGTGACACAGCTGCACATACACCTGACATGCCTGAGGCCCCGACATATGCTGCATGCACAGCACATCCGTTTTCCTTGCTCCATGTTGACAGTCATGACATTGAGTGATTGACACTGCACTGTTCGACTGTCTCGGAGGCAGGGGAAATTCTCAAGAGTTTCAGAACTTCTGTACTTCAAAATTACCGCAAATGAATTTCAATACACTGACAAATTACAACCTACCAGTATGCAGGATTGAACACGTAAGCAAAAACTGCATGAGTTTGCATGCGTATTCTGGTATTGTGATTTGTGAATGTAATTTGAGTCAAATCGACGTGACAAAACCAGGGCGCCCTCAATAGACACGATTTCTGGAGTTAAACATAGCTAGCCGCTCACTGGAGCTGCTTGGTGGCGCTATAATAAAGTTACCCGCGGGAAATGAAGGTGAATAATCGATTACCATTACCGTCCCTGACACCATAAAAAATCATATCCCTCCAAAAAAAAAGAAAAAAGAAAGAAAGACAGAAACTATAACTAGGTAATAAAAGCGGATCTAGTGATATATATACGCTCTATAAATATAAAGAAGGGATCATAGTCAATTGATCATGTTTGCTGGAGCAATAACTGCGGTGTCCCTTAATTGACTTCTCACACAGAACGTGCAAAAAAAAAGACAGGTGATAATTAAGACGCTCTTTGGTGACTTAATTATCATGCTCTTCCGGGATTTAAACTCAGCTTCTTGCATCTCATTCTTTGACTAACCGAGTACAACCGAGTAATCTTTGATATGAAAAAGAGCTATTCTAAAATTTTGTTTCGCCAAGTTTTTTTTTTAATATTAAGCCAAATTTGTTTTCCTTCTGCATTTACGCCATTTACATCATTAATCAAAAGTAAACGGTAAAAAAACACTCTAAATGTTTATCAAAATTCAAAACATCTTCAAATCAACTTGAAAATATCAAGTCGACCGCCACTGACGCAGTCAAGCTGTAATAAATTTCCACCAGACACTTCAACTATGAGCAAATAATTAGCCAGCATCACGGCGCGGCAAAATGACAAACAGAAAGACAGAAAGTCTGCCAAATCCTCGGCACTTGGCGGTTTCCCATCAAACCGCATGATTTACGAGAAGGGAATCATTTCGGCACTTGGCCGCTATGGTAATTTGTTTCTCTCCCAGCCGTAAGTGTAAACACTTTGATTTGATGCGTGTGGCCGGGATGGTGCGCCAGTTGGCGTTGGAGTCGAGTGTTTGTACTGCAATCATTCCGTGAAGCGATTTTATTTTTCATTCGGGAATTGTGTTTATGTTGATTGAGACTTTGAGAAGCCGCATCAACATCGTCCATCTGTTGTGACGTACAACTGCAGTTGAGTCTATACATCATGGAGCTAGGGGAGCCACAGGGAGCGTGGCATACTCAACCCCCCCCCCTCCCCACAGTAATTCATTGACCGGCCCAGTACCCCAAACACTCTTCGACTATGCAATCTACAAAAACTCCATTTCCTCAACTTGAGAAGCCAAACCCCTGCCAACAAAAAATTGTTTGAAACATTGTCAATTTATTTTCTATTTCTTTGCAGCGTTCAAATCGCGTAGCTTTCCAACTGATCCCGTATTGCAACATATGGAGTCTGAAACAAATTGAAGAGAATATACAACATTCCCAAACATCGAAAAACAAAACTAACAAATTTTTACGAAAGACGTTACTAGAATGTTGGTAAATGACAGTCTAAATCATCCTGTAAAATTATGGCACCTGGTGTGAAGTCATTTTCAAGAAAAGTGGTATTTTTGTTTAAATTTCCAACGGTGGTCGACCGACCACCGTTGGAAAAACCTAACTATTTTTCAACTATATACTGCTCCAAATTTACCATTTTTTCCCAGTCCAAATTGTGTTTGCTATTGGTTACATGTTCATGAACGGGTGCAGGCCAGCTAGACTGGTTCCCTTACCTTACAATTTTCCGGCATCTATAAATTGATCCATTTCATCTTTAGTGGAGTCAGGGAGCCAGACTACTTGAACATTTTTGTTTTTCTTGGTTTTTCCAGCATTTTCGAACACAAACTTCAAACATGTCAGTGTAACAATATCTGATCTATTATACTAACCCCTCAAATAGTTCATTCTGAAAATTACGGCACTAGCCAATGATGTACATTCCCTTTAAAATGAAAGTGGTAACATTTGGTACCCGAACAATCCATGCCAAAGGCACTACTTTTTAAAGTCAAAAGGCGATGCAAGGGACAAGAACATTACTGTCACAAGTCATGCAGTCTCAATATTTCCAAAGGGAGCAGAAAATGACGTCATCACTACGTAGAAAAAAAATGTAACCTCAGAAATGCAATGAGGCATTATGATCCAGTATCAAAGCTATGACCCAAAAATGACAAAACTATGGAGCTTTGATTTAATAGCCCGCCATCAAGCAAACATGAAAGTCAATCATCATAAAAAAAACCTAATGTGTGGAGTTCAAACGTTGAGGTCTTGTTGCTATAGTAAAAAAGAAAAGAAAAAGAGACAGATGAGAAAAATGGCACGAACTGATTTTGTACGTCTTTGATTTCAGCTCAGGCCATTATCCAGAGACCATAAAGATCGCGTCACTTCAACTGAGTCATGATTCATTACACAGTGTCCCACTTTCTCGTGTTATTGCGTCTGAAACCAAAGTCCAGGTTCAATAACAAGATATCTGAGCTCATTGAATACGCTAGAAGCCTTCTGTTGGTTTGATGATATTGTCGCCAAATCACTTTTGAGTTAATGGATTCGATATTTACTCCTTTTAATGGATTCGATATTTACTCCTTTAATTTGTAAAAGGTGGTCTGGACTATGATAAAATGGGGATCAAATAATGAAAGGTTTGCGGAAACACCATGTGCGAATAATTTCTCAACTAAGAGAATGGTTCTGAAAAGAACCAGAGGTATAAACTCGACGTTCCGGTCAGTATGCTCTGACCGTCTTCACTCTCCTGAAGACGGTCAGAGCATACTGACCGGAACGTCGAGTTTATACCTCTGGTTCTTTTCAGAACCATTCTCTTAGTTGAGAAATTATTCGCACATGGTGTTTGCGCAAACCTTTCATTATTTAGTATCTCCACCATGCAAAGCCTCAAATCTTACTTAAAATGGGGATCGTTAATCGTCGATATGCATTAACAAAGGTGATAGACGTTTGAATTTGGCGTACACGTACAACTAACAGTCTCTTAAGCTAATACATCAAAGGTCCATTAAAACGATTTCTTAAAAATGCCCAAATTTTATGCTGGATAAAAAATTTACTGATAATCTCATTGTACCACAGTAGACTTCCTCGCAGTAACAGCACTGCTCCTTTAGGTCTATCGAACCAATATAAGCGAAAACCGCAACGCCAACTCAGGGAATTTCTAAATTCACCAGTTCCAAATTGAAGTCTGTTTTTCTCTTGGCACAAATCAACGGATATTGCTGCGGAGCCGTGCAGTAATATCACGACCCGCTTTCTGGATATTGAGTGACCTACTGGCCTCTTTATTCCTAAACCCCATGCGTTAGCGGGTATTATCGAGTCGGGTCTCCTTTGATGGCGTGACACGAGCCACTGAAAATGCCTCAGGGTACCCAACGGGCATATCACGTTGTCAAGTCTTGTTTGACAGCTCTCTGCAAACTTAATTAGGTTTCTCTAAACCACTCTTGTTTGGATGAACGAGTGAAGAGCGTGCATATAACGGCACAGTTGACAACTTAGGAGTTTATGAATATTCACTTCCCCTGCGTCAATTCACATAATTCAATAAAGGGTTTTTCCCTTTACAGATGTATCTTATAAAGCAAATTCAATTTTATGACTATGCAGACAATGTTGCACTTTTTCGGTTTGTATTTCATTCATGTTATTCAATGTCTGAATGTAAGTCACCGTGTTAGTCACAATTTGCGATCACTATGTAGAGCCCATGTAAACAATATGGGAGTGAATACCATTCAGCACAATCTCTCTACTTTGTACCTATGTAACAGCCCAGAGAGTCAAGACTATCAGGCTAAACTCGCAAGCTTTATGTAAACCACACCTACGCTTTGCCACATAATCCAATGTACCACTCATCCAGCCGCCTTGAACTCGAGACTAGCCTTAAACATGGTTGACTTGCTGTTGCACTTTGAATGTTGCCCACGCGCGTGCACACCATCACATCGCTTCAAGAGAACCATTAAGCAGTTATGACATCATAGACAACAACCCTATGTGTCTAGTGGGAGTGCTTGTGTTGTCTGGATGATGCGTTGCTATGGCAACGACACGGCGCAGACTAAAGCCGCTCATCCCCATCTTGTCAGACAGACTCATCTCTCGCGTGTTCCCACACGCTCAAACCGATCACAATCTCCCATTTATTTTGATGATTTTATTTTAAGCGTGCGTGCACATGGTTGCATAATGTGAGCCGTTGACGTGCTGTACATGCCGTAAACCAAATGGTGGAGCCGCTTGAAAATCCCACCGCCATTTAATCGAAGTACATGTACCTACTTTATTTAGAGGAGAACAGAGTAGGATAGACAGTTGACAAAAGGTAATATTGGTATATGTGCTGTACGTGACAATGTGCACGTTTTGCCGTTTTCTAGTGGCAAAATGCGACTGTACAATAAGTGTACACTGCAAAACCGATATATTTGACGCCAGTAGTGCCATTTCAATCATTGGTATCTACTGACATGTTGGATAAGAAGTTAGATATATCTTGTGGTGTAAGTTATGCAACAATTTTTGTTGGACTGTTAGGGCAGCATGTCAACAACCAGGAACGGCAATTTCTTGCCAATATTGGGGGGCGGGGGCGGGGGGATTACAAACAGCAGTTTGCAAAAGTCGAAAACCGGGGTTGGGGTGGATCTCACTCTTGGGGGCGCTGTTCAAACATGTATGCATAATATACACGTGCATGTGCGCATTTTACACTCCCGCAGTATACTGTTGAATGAACGTAAAAAGGTAACAGAATGCAACATCTTAGATATATAATACCAGTGTACTGGGAAAAATTATTTGGGGAGGGGACATCGCCATTGGCGTCACCCACAAAAAATATGATGATTGTTGCTCATGTCAACATGATAACAACACTCGAAGGTAGCTCAGTAGAATCACGACTCGGCTTTATATAGGAGCAAGATCCCGCTTTAAAACGTCCGAGTGAATGCCGATTGGCGAGCGTGAGACACACTCTGCCTAAATTGCCGCGTCGTGGTATGAATTTAAATGACAGCATTAGCAGATCGCGGCAGCGTCATTACATGAGAGGTTCTCGTGGTTTATTTTCCCCGGCAACATTATCAACTCGGGAATGGGTCTTTCCTGGGAAACTGTTCCAATGTTCCAATTGATTAAAACGCGAGCAGGAATCCTGGGCGCCCTCCGTTAGCATTATCATAATTGCTTTGGCTCCCTAATCAACCACGATGCTGGATGCGTTATGAAGTTCAGTTCACAGCAGAGAAGATGATACCAGATGGTTTTGAACATCCTTTAAAAATTCCTCACAGAAATGACAGTTTCAGCAGTTGTAAAAATACAAGAGTCATTGTCAACATTTTTTTTTAAATCTCATATACAATAAGACTGCCTGGACCATTATCTTACAAATTTAATGGGATGCCGACTCAATGACAGTAAATTTATCTAATCTGAATTCCATCGATATCAATCAAAATTATAGGTATTTTAAAACTAGTTATGCTAATTTTAATTATACAATGTGGGGAGGTACCATGAGAAAGATACTTTGGATGGTCGTTTTGCCTGTTTGACGACAGCAGGTGTTACATCACGGTGACATGGTCACTAAAATGTACTCAAGATGTCATTGTCCGCATAGGTTTCGCAGCGTTCAATTTCGACGAAATAAACTCTTCAAGTGCAAGCGAAGGCCTTCTTTTGGCCGTGCTGAGACCTCGCTGTCTCTGAATGACAGGTTGTTAATGTCCTGCTCAGTAGGACATTAACAATCCGACGGAATTAATGAAAGTCTGCGATGTTGAGACAATATCACAGCGAGTTGTCTAATTACTGTCTCATCACAGACACCTGAGGTGAAGTACGGCGTGCTGTAATTAGCCAGCCCGAGGGGCATTCGGAATGTGACGGCCTGCCCTTCGGTTGCACACCGTCTCTGACGTCCCTTCTCCCCGGTCATGGTAGGTCTTCTACCGTCGTTGCCCTTCGCTTTCTCCGCGAGCTGGGGAGTTGTTGCCTTTCAGGGGCCTGCTGGGGGAGGGGGGGGGGGGGGTCTGAAGGCATGGGCCGGGGGGGGGGGGGGGTCCGGGGGCATCTCCCCCCCCCGATAATTTAAATGTACGATGATTTCTCTTGCATTATAAGACAATTCAAGAATAAATTTAGGAACTTTAGCATTATATTTATTATTTTGGGCTCCATTTTGCTAGTTTCATAAAATTAGTTTAACGGCCGAACGGGGGGGGGGGGGGGGAGGTCAACCCCCTCCTCTAGATGCGCTACTAACTTTCATTTTCATGGATCAGAAAGCCGTTGAAAGGTTTTATGCTCTCAGCTTCGGCTAATAGTTAGTCGCGGAAACCAGGCTGTTACAAAACATGAGGCGAAAAACAGGACACATTTTAATAGTCGGTTTGCAGTGTATCGCAATGATAGTGTTATATTTTCGAGAGGAAATTCAAATCTCGTATACCTCGTTCTGACCGCCAGATAACTCCACTAGAAAATACCTTTAAATCTCTTTAAAAGGCCATCTAACCATGGTATCTGAATTCTATACCCTGCCGTCCCTTTAATATATTTTTTCCGAGAGGGAAATTCAAATCTCGTCTCGCTCGCTGAGCGTTCAGCCAGAAGCCTGTCGTTAGACCATGGTTAGATCAGTCCTCTCCCAACATGAGGACCTTCACTGTGATCAGATTATATGCAAGTGACGCGGATAGTTATTGAATCCGGCCGTCCAACTGCCTCTACTCTAGGGACCTGCCGCGATGCTGTTCAAGCCAGATTTGGTCCTCTCCAGTCTCGGAAAATTATCCATCGCGCGCCCACTGATTTGCCCGCGAGCTGACGAGGTTGCGACGCGGTAGATGGGGCGAGTTCTCTGGTGGTGATGCGCACGTGGTTTGCGCGCTCGCTTTATAGATTGCGAAACCATCCACAGATTATTGTTGCAGTATACATCAGTGGCAGCAAAACGATGGCAGCATTTCTATTACGAGGCGGCTTGTGAAAATCCGCGTAGCCCAACACCGAGAATGATTTATTCTCGACGAGTATTTCGCATCGTCTGCATTTCGTAAGGAGAACGCGGGCAATTTACGAGACCTCATCTCACTCAAGTCAATCATCAGCTACGCGTTTTCTTTTAAAAACACTTTGATGGGGAAGCACAGTGTGATTACGGATAAATGGCAAAATGCCGCAGGGATGATGGGAAGAGCGGATGTGATGCGAGCACGACGCTCAAAGTGTTCGCCCGATCGCATACAGGATGTAGGACTGTCTGTGCCCGTGTGTGTATCTAGCGCCGTGAACGAAGCGATCCACCGCGATTAGAAACACTCTCGGTCGGAGTATCTACGGGTGATAATTTTCCATCTCATCGCTCTGACGAATATTTTCCCGGACTAGTTAACCGTTTAATGGCCGGCTGGTTAAATTGTATTGGTAAATGCTTGTGAGAAGCAAGTCTGCGGGTAATCTGCATTTGGGTTTACCAAAATCTTGTCAACAAGGTCTTTCAGTATTCAAAGTCGCACTTGACTTCAAGGCTTTCAGAGACTTCGATGTGATTGGCTTGTCTCAATAAATTGCTTTGTGATAAGCTTTTCTTGGTGTTCGCAGCGTGTATGGGGAGTGCAATCCAAGTATAAGTAGTGGGTTTTGAACGAAGCTCCAAGATTTTATTTCCGGGACGATGGCGAAGTCGGCGTGGACGGCCAACCATGATATCGCCTCGGCATCCCCCGTGAACTTGAGAGGCGCGCACGGTGACAGAGTTCACCTTAGTCCTTCGGGGGATGATGCTACCCCTCCGACACTCCCACTGAGAGGGATCTTCGACATCAAGAGGAAACACTACGACGTGGTGCTGGAGAAGGATCGCATCGGCTGGAGTCTTATCTTACCGACGAGACAAAGTGGTAAGTAATGAGCAGAGAGTAGAATCTGGGTGATAATTTGGTGACAATTATTGTGCAACAGTTAAGAGGAAAAAAATAGATTTGTCCACAGCCAGGCTACAGTATCGTAATATTCACACAGCTAAAGTTTTCTTGAGGAGACAAGGACAGAAATGTGGGAGGAACAGACAAATATATCATTTATGGGGACTTTTGGGAGCCCGTGGGTAAATTAAGATTGTAGGTGGGCATTGCCTACAATCTACATGACGCCCGTGCCGGGAATTGAAGCTGTGCCCGGCGAATAACCACCGTAGGGCCCAATGGTGGCATGTGCATTGTAATGTAAGCAGCACCAACCGATATACTAATATACAAACAACCCGTGGAAGTATTTTAGGATCTATTTCCAGGCTTTCCTTAAACTTTAGCACATCTTTTAGGTTCAGTTGGTATTCAGTTGGCAACAGTGTAGTATTTTGAACATATCTAAATATATATTACCGAAAATGGTACCTTCGGGAGACATTCCCATAGGGTTGTGCACAGGAATTTCAAAGCTTCATGACCCCTGACCCCCATATTACCTTGTCCTTCCCACACGAATTTGGTACATTAAGTTTTGGACCACGAACAATCGATCTAGCCTAGTTGCGACATTACAATTTCGCCTCTAAATAGGAATTGTGATATTAGGGAGACATTGAAATGTGTCCTTAATCTACTTCATCTCACTAAGATAGCTATAATTTACTTATGACGAATTATAGCCTATAATTATGCTTAAATAATATCACGAACGTATTCGTGGATTACATCCCATACTATAAATGATAACCAGTGTTTTGTTGTCGTGTCTGGGCGCGCCCCATGCAAATGTCCTGCAGACAATATGAAAATGAAATATAGACAAACTGACAACATTAAATACCCTCAAAAAAATGCTATCAACGAAACATCAAAATAGATGACAAATATCTACATCTGTACCGCAAAACACTAGCTGTCGCCTAACACTAGCTTTATCTTTATCTTCATCAACCGATTGGAGTAATGGTTTCCACGGCAATGGATAATAACAATCGTCCCAGGATCGACCCTTGGACCGGGTTTCGATTCCGTCTGTGAAACATTTATTAGTTGACCGGTAAATAAACGCGCGTATGAGTCAACAGCGCAGCAGAGCCGTGTAATATGCTCGCCCTTGTTCAAAGCAATATTGTCGTCTGTATAGTCCCACTGTACTGTTAGCTTTATGGATTTTCGTAATGTTTGACCTCCGATTATTTTTTAATTAGCCTCTCGTGGCTACCAGGTTTTGGTGTGTGTGTGTGTTTAGACACAGGTCGTCAGGTAGCTATTTAATTTATGTGATGTTTGTGTAACGCAAGGTTCAATATAAAAGTGAATAACGAATGAAGTGACCACAATATAAATTTTACTGTTTGATGTAAAGGATTGCATCTTCTATTTGTGCCATTAAATCTTCAGTATCTACCAACATGTTTCAGATTCGCACAGAAAGAGCAAACTTGTTCCTGAAATTGGCAAGGAACTTTTAGGTAGGGCCTAACCGGGAATACTTGGTACCAAAATTCAAAACGGAGCTTTTAATATTTAATTCAAACGAAATGACTTTGTCAACGCACTTTATCAGACCTTCTGCAAAAGTGAATGAATTGGTTTGAAGTAAGACGCAAAAGATTATTTTAATTAAGTGGACACTTAAGCGACCCGTGACGAAAGAAATGAAAGTAATCTTTAAAAAATGTCAATCCAGAATAAGCAAATACATTCTTCTGAAATCCATTCTTTCTCTCATCCAAGTGTATTTTCGTCTTCAAGGACAAAGTTATTTTCAATCTACTAATTGCAGCAGTGACAATGAGATGCGTGCGTCAAAGAGGATTTGATAAGACTTGGTGGCTTGTCGAGTGAAAGACTTCAAACACGGACCGTGAGGGATTAATCCCAGATCCACGGTAGAATTGCCGCACCATGCACAATTTCACGGCAATTCATATGTCAGGGGCTGAACAGCCATCTCTCTAAAACTAAATAATGTACAGTATCCCCCCCCCCAAAAAAAGAAACACGCAAAACCTAACAAACAACACCAATGACCATTAGTTGTAGGCCTATACTGTAATTAAATATCACTAGCACAAATGAAGATACTTGCTCTTTAAAACAAGGCTGAATAAATCCTTGATAGTTTATGCTTTGAATCGTTTACTTATATCCTGTATTTCAAAGGTCTGGTTGAAAGGAAACTAACCTAATGACGCACTGTTCCTGAGCAAAGAAACTTCTGACACGGCGGACATTGTGCGGCATATGCATACGCATTTCCAGCCGTGTCCATTCAATGTACTGTACATGCACGTTGTGTGTGTGACCCACACTACACACAGCACCAATACATAAATGTGAAACGTGCGGCAGGATTCACGACTAGCACCCAACGTTTATATTCTACTTCTCTCAATTAACATCATTTCGTTTAAAATGCATTTTGTAGCCCAATTGGGCGCATTCAGGACATGATAGGGAGGTTTCGCAAGCGAACGGATACGCTTACACTTACGTTTAGCTGTCCGTATCCGTTTTTTACTTACGTGTAGCGAGCGAGATATGCGTGTCGTCTGCACGTATGACGTCATACGCCACTCACTATCCGCTAAACGTGCAGACGACACGCATATCTCGCTCGCTACACGTAAGTAAAAAACGGATACGGATAGCTAAGCGTAAGTGTAAGCGTATCCGTTCGCTTGCGAAACCTCCCTATTATCCCTTTAACTACCGATAGCCGCCCATCCAAAGTGGCGGTCAATTGTTAAGAAAAAGTCAAAGGTTAAAATGGCTTGATATGGACAAAATTATGACATGCAAACTTACCTATTTCAAATGGTTTCCAGCAGGCAGTAGGCGCAGTATACACGAGTCGACAGTCTCCCTGCACGACGTGTACGCCGTCAGCATCAAGAGAGTCCAGAAACCAGGAAAGAATCGCGGGTACCCGGAGGGCGTGACCCTGCACGTGGCCACGCCCAGCAAGAAGGACCCCAACGTGCTGACGGATGAACGGATCACGCTGCGCTCCACCAATGAGGACAACTGTCAGAAGTGGAGGGGCGCCATAGACTCGGCACTAAAAGGTCATTGATTGATTGATTTATTGCTACTTACGTAAAAAAAAAAATACAATATAGTGGAAATCCACTTGATTGCGAGTTAAAAATTTACTATTCAACTATTTGATATTAACCCTTCGGACGTCAGCGGGTGAAATGATTGATTGAAAGGAAGATCATCTACAACCCTACCAAGTTTCATGTTTCAATTTGGCAAATCTTATTCGGTAACTCATGACCGAAGTATTTATTGTGAAGGTACCGTTATAGCAAGAACAAAAAATGAAAGGGAAACAATGCTTATGCCCCTGACCTTATGAATTTCGTCCTTACAAAGCCACAAATGTAAGTGAAGAAGACTTGTCCCTTTACTTAAGTTTTTATTATTTTCCAACGAACAATAGATAACGAGTTCAAATGTGTCAATTAGTCAATGCGAAGATCGACGCTAAAAGCCTGTTTACCGCAGCCATTCATAACCCTTTTAAATTTTCAGCGACCAAACCAGTGCCGACCGGTGGAATTGTCACGTCGGACTTTTGTTACTCCAAAACCAAACTAGATGATGTCCAAGGTTGTATCTCAATTTTCCGTAAATGAACTACCTTTCTTACAGTTTAATGGACCTTTTGCGTGGGTTGTGTAGATTACACATAGCTACATGATCACTGCGTATTATTGCACGTCAAATATAGTAGCAGCGCAGTGAGGGAGATATTATTTGTTTTTATTGAACCCCTCCAGAGACTATAGATAATATAAACCACGCATGAAAGAATGTTACGATAGCCTACAATTATTATTGGTTTCTAACACGTACTCGGACCTTGTACACAATAATACGCATTATGCTAACCATTTTCAATTATACCCTTGCCAATATATTGCCTGACCGCTCGTTAACACAGGCATTTCTCAAGGTAGTTGGCGGCATGACACACATATTATGGAACGTGTTCATTACAAACAGGTCGATGCTTTTACATTATTGCATTCTCGACTGCGACTCCTGTATACTGTGCAGTGTTAAGTAGGAAAACAATATAAGTCCGACCAATGTGATAATTTTTTTTGCATTATGACGCGTGATATGACACAGTTGTGGCCCCGGTGCCCTTCCAAAGAAATCGGGGCACTTGCAATGATATTATATACACGTGTATATCCTTATCCTGTCATTAATGCATTGCTTGACAATGAATGAAGGCCATTTTGTGTCCATGGCAATTCACTATGGTACAAGTCAAACGAGCTATTTATATCTCTTCCTTTGTAACTTAACTAAAATGACCGTTGTTATACCATGACCCTCCATTTCTCGCTACCCTGACTGATTAACTGCCTCATTCAAACTGACAGCATATCTAGCCAGATGGGTTCTAGGTTAGAAATTAATGTTCTATCTTTTGTTTGATTAGCGTCGCAGATGGCGGCCTTTCGTTCGGTCTTCGGACTCACCACGCTACACACATGCAATAAACGGACCCTTTACTTGGTCGTTATACGCAGACGTTGTCTGCGTTTCAGGCCAGAGCAAAAAACAATGACATTTTAACGATTTTTACCGTCGACATCCATTTTCACCCCAATTTCAACGAGGTATTTGGATTTCTAAGCCAAATGCAAAACTGGAAAAGCAAGTTTGCGACTCCATAATGACTGTTTACACCACCGATCCAATTGGGAGTGTAGGCTATATTTAAAAAGATATTCAAACTTAATTTAAAAAACCCACCACTAGTCCCTGGAGTCACGATTAAAATAATTGAAAACGTTTTATATGAAGTAATAATGATTAAATACATCAATAAAATATTCAGAGACATAGTTATTCATTTGATATTGGGGCGAGAAACCGTGTCACGAGAAAAAGTGTGTAAATATTAAAATAGTTTTTTTTATTCAGGGTAGGCCTACTTAAAACACCGACGTCTTCAATCATAGTTTTTACTGTAACACGAAACACTAATTTCCTGCCCAATATAACCGAATATCTTTGTGATTTTTGAAACTTTTGTTTCGCAGTGATCTAGATATAAGATTGAAGAAAACGAATCTCCATTTGGGTCGTGCGTTGATGAAACCGTAACCAAAGCTTCGTTCGTAAAAACCATTCTGGCAAAAGAACCGGAGCCTTCTAGCTGGGTTTTCCTGTATTGTTATTTATAATTCATACCACGGCAACAAAAAGAATTCGATTGACCTTGGCTGAGGGCACAAGACAGTAAACAAAAGTTGCACGCTGTTCTAATTTCTCGTGGTCTAATTCTTCTGGAACGCACATTAATTGAGTGAGACGAGAGTATTGACAATTCTAAGGTTTTATTCGATAACACATCTGTTAGCTTCGAGCGCAAAATCCATCAACCTGCACAATTATTGAAGAGTGCGACCTTGTCAGGAAGTAAATATTGACGCGGAAGAGCTTTTGAACTCAATTACGTCCATATTGGATTTGGTACAGTCTTTTTTTAAAGTACTGTTCTATTATACCAAAAAAAGAAGGAAAAAAGGTTTGATATCGTCCATTGGATGAATTTTCTTAGGAACACATTTTGTGCAACTTTCTACTTCTCTAAATGTATAAAAACTATTTGACATCCCTTTTTGGTAATTTTAATGAAAAGTGCACTGCTTTGAACATTTTAAATATTCCATAATTTGTTCGGACAGCTGGGGCGCTGTTGCTGGATGTCATTACAGAAAGACACTGGGTTTTTTGTTCAATTTGTGAACCGACAATTTTGCTCATCGAAAACATTTGTGAGAAAAGTTTGCTCATTGGCTTACTGCCATGTACTGACACAACAACGAACAACCAAAGAAAAGAAAATTAACGACGGCAAAATATCCCAAACTCTGGCAACCGTTGGTGTTGAAAAAGCTGTGACATTGAGGGTTTCTGCCTGAAATGACATCACACATTTGCTCATGAATATGGAAACTCGCATTAGTATAAAAACAAAAAAAAGGCATCAAATTACCCTTGAAAATGGCAAAACGAAAATTAAATATAAAGTTAAATGGGACACAAAGGTGCATTTTCAGGAATTAAAAAAAATCACATTGCATGAGCCATTTGAAACTATACATTCATGGCCAGACTTTATCTATTTAGAGTGGATTTTTTTTTTATTTAAAATGGAATTCTGCTAATGCCTGCATACCAAATATGGCCGATGTCCGCGCATAAGTCTGACGCCTCATAGGTCCGACGCCTCATATTAAGTCTGAACAAAATCGCACCCCAACCAAATAAAGGCCCATAAGTCCGACGCCCCATAAGTCCGACGCCCCATAGGTCCGACGCCCCATAGGTCCGACGCTCCATGGGTCCGACGCTCCTTAAGTCCGACGCCTCATAAGTCCGACGCCTCATAACCGTCCGAAACATCGTTTGCCCGTTGTCGGAATTATGAGGCGTCGGTCTTATGAGGCGTCGAAGCTATGAGGTCGAATCCTTAAGTCCAATGCCTCATAAATCGACGCCTCATAATTCCGACATTTCGGACTTTTCAGAGGCGTCGGACGTATGAGGTGTCGGACGTACGATACGGCCCCATATGGCTATGGCTGTGTATTTTACTTACCGTGATTGGTTCCAGAACTATCTTGATTGTCTGTCTGAAGTGACGCGGTCTGACTCTCTTAAAACGAATCCGATAGACTTTAACAAATTCGAGACGAGAGACTTGAACCAAAGTTGTTACGCAAGCGTCGTATGCACTCCCGTTAACTTGAGTTGGTCTGAAATGAAATAGATTTTGGAAATATAGTCCGGCAACATCTGATAACTTAATTGGGCCTGCTATGTGAAATTCTTATACAATGATACATCTAATACATTTTGACCACTTACTCCAAATTTCTTGTGTCGTGTCGCGTATTTCTGTCAATTTTCTGTCCCTTGGCGGAGAACGCTGTCTCTCTCAATCGAAAGGGAAAAATCCATACGACTTTATGTTAAAATTAAGATGTGTGACTATCCCGCCAGGTGCGAATATACCCTTCAACAGTGTGAAGTGGGTGGTCCATATTCTAAAAGGCCTGCTTGCGAGATTTGTAGCGAGGAAAATATCTTACCAAAAAATTATCGTAGGTGTCTATTGAATCGATTGTGATTCTACCTTAGCCAACATCAATTATTTCTTGGTGAATATTTCCGCAGAACTCAATGGGTTGTGTTGTGGATAAGGGATATACAAGCTAAGTAAGATTTGAGGCTTTGCATGGTGGAGATACTAAATAATGAAAGGTTTGCGGAAACGTACCATGTGCGAATAATTTCTCAACTAAGAGAATGGTTCTGAAAAGAACCAGAGGTATAAACTCGACGTTCCGATCAGTATGCTCTGACCGTCTAGGAGAAGACGGTCAGAGCATACTGACCGGAACGTCGAGTTTATACCTCTGGTTCTTTTCAGAACCATTCTCTTAGTTGAAAAAATTATTTGCACATGGTGTTTCCGCAAACCTTTCATTATTTGATATTCAAGCTGTACTCGCTCGTATCGGTACCGTATAAATTAATAACGCGGGAACGTTCAGAGAACCAGACAGTTTTCCATCCAAACACAACATTCAATGTGTTTTTTTAGCAAAGCGCGTGGCCCGTGTATTAATTATTTCTCCGCTTTTAACGAGGTGGCAAATACTGCCCGCACGCATCCAAGGTCGACCGCACGGCGATGCGTACTATTTCGATCACCGCTCGGGCATCGCGTCCTATTAACTGCGACACGCTGAGCCACTATCTATTATTAAAAAAGTAGATACCTCCACAATGGAGTCGTATTCTATTTGAAGCGAACTAAAATACAGGCTTCTGTGCGTTATTTCAGTCGGGAAAGAGATCCACCACCTGAGGCATTCACACTGATTGTAATTGAAATTGTAACATGTAACGAGACCTCTCAATGAAATGTCGTCTACCCACTAACGAATTTAGGACATTTTTTTTTAAAAAGCTGTTGATTATAAACACTGGAGCGTTTAGCTATGTACATTTAGACTACCTTCCAGAAACACGACATAATTTTGCCGTACCCAATCACCGTACATGCAGCGAAAGGCTAATTTTTGTTTTTGGCTTCATAGTGCGTAAAATCTGCTCTATTCTGACGCGCAGATCCAAGAATTACGCTCGACCAACTTGCCTCAAACCTTGAGGCATAAGACACAAACCCCCTCGGCGGATGCCGCGCTTACAATGGCACGCAGGGAAATGACTTTAATTGAGGTTGGAACATCGGCCCTTAAGAAGGAAAACCTCCCCGAGAGATACGAACGAGTTCCGCTTGCGTGATACCTCAGCTTTGGTTCATCCATGGAGGAACAACAAATTTTTCCTCCATGGTTCACCCACAGTATTTCTGACAAAAAGCACGTCTCCCTATTATTCCCTACCTAGTTCACTACGCTATAAATGTCACTCGGACAATACCAAGGTTCCATGTGACGTGCTATGACCACGTGTCATGAAGATGCTTGGCATGGCGGCATTATTAAAGTCACGGAATCACAGGTCTCTATTAGGTCTTTCATACTGAAACCATGACCTGTTTATTACTTTGTAATGTCAAATTTTTATACCAAGCCCTAGTTAACGTGGGAAATGAACAAGTTTTCCCCTTTTAATACAGTACATGTTTTCTATTCATTTTGTGAATTGGGCCAAGGGCTGTGTATGCATTGGACTATAGCCTATTGATTTTGCGTCTTTATTGCGATAGAACTAAGAAATAGAAAATACCAAGAGGTGATTCACTTTATTGTACACATACCTCACGAAAAAAATGGGACTAAGGACTGAGGCTTTTAAATTGCACTACTCAAAATGTGCTGCAGTAGCAGTTGCGTCAAAATGGTGTCAGAAGTGGGATAACTCTTAAAAAGTTTCAGTTTAGTGTATGCAGAAAACTCTTTAACCAATTGGAGGTACGGCTGCGATGCTAACACGTATTTTTAAAATAGATATAAGGGATGAGTCAACACAGAACAAGCATATGTTCTGATCGGCCATCCTGACACTGATTCGATTTCTAAACCAATTTATCACAATATTGATGAGTTCGTGCGCTCTATTAGTAAAGCATTTTCCCCACGCTTTTCCTTTTAATTTGTAACAGAATTCGAAGCGTCGAGTACATAAAAAAAAAAAACCTCCACAGCCAACACTTTAGCGTGGCAAACCAACTCAAGATTGTCGTAAATTCAATATAGTCACATCTCTTGTTGTCCAGCATCAAACTAATCTTATCTTGTCTCTTGACGTGTCGTTAGCGGCGCAACACGCCCACACTTTAAGACTTAGTTACGTGAGTGAGTACCGCGTAACTCTTAATTTGATCACACCACGCGTACGCACCGCAGGTGCCAGGCACTGATCTCTATATAAAGACTGGATAGCGGATATGCATACAACATTCACACAGTAGACTTTGCATATTGACCAATTCGCCCCCGGTCTCACGAAGATGGCCGCGTATAATACGAACGTTCTATGCGTAAATACGCGCGCGTTGTATCAACAGTTGACGCGCATTTTGGTCACGTACACATATTATGATGTTCTAAAAGGAACACATTTCCGTAGTGATTATTATTTCAAAAACGCCGAAAAAGTGATTTGCGGCATTATAAAAGTAACCACTACGTTAGAAAAATTGTAGTAAACCTTGGTCAGTTGGTCAGTGGTGGTGGCCAAAATATAAGTCAAGTGAGCCGCGACGTTACAAAAGAAATCAAGCTGTCTATAAAGACGGCAACTTGTCCTTTGTAGATCACCAGCCGGTCTCACCAATATGGCGTCAAATTCGTACATTGTGCGGCTCTTTATTAGCTATCCAGTCTTTATATAGAGATCAGTGGTGCCAGGGCGCAATCATTGGCGGTATCGCCGGTGGTTTGATCACCGCGTCCGTCGCTCATCAACGAGAGATACGGCGCTCTTTAATTCAATTCCAAGAGAGTTTGGTATGCGATCTAAACCTTGCGCCCGGGACGTGACGCGGACGGAGGCAGGTTGTGTGCTGATGAGTACGAGTGCGGACGTGTATGCGAGTGTGTGACACCGATTTCATTTGGTACTCGCATTCCTGACGAACAACTATTACTGCTGGTGACGTAAGCAATCGGCGTAATGTGCCTTAAAAACCCCAGGCGTTAATTTGGTACTTTTCATCGTATATATTTCGAATATTCCCACTTTGTGGTTAACCAAGACTGGAGTATCTCCAAAGCTCATCCATATTAATTATCTGTCATGTTAATTGAAGTGATCATAAATGATTGCGACGACTGTTCGTATGGGCACTTAATAGCATCTACATTATCATTGATTTTGACAAGTATCTGACATTTCATTTCAATTGCACGAATATTCGTTGCAAGAATATATCAACAATAATCATCATATTTTTTTTAACACAAAGAACATTGATTAGGTTTTCATATGGACTTCCATGCATATGACACTAAACGGGGATAAGGGGCATTGTTCTGATACTTCGCAGCAACATTTCTTCGTCATCACCACTGAGCGTTAATTTAACTGCACGCATTACACGGTTGACCGGGCCGGAGCTTTTGAGCTAATACGTTACCACGGAAACAAACGGATTTGAGTTATACGCGCAAAGAAGCTGGAGGTATATTGTAATTTTTCGGTTGGGTTGGTGAAGGACTCTCGGAGAGCCGAGTATTTCCCCCGAATTATTTCCACATCTTAGGGATGATGAATACAAAGGCCTTGGTAACCAGGCGTATCACTCGCTTAATTTACCCAATGCCCAGATTACCCTTGTGCTCCATGCGCATGTGCACGATCTAAGCACATAAAGGCAAACCAAATGTGCCTTGGCAAAGATTGAGTGAATCTGTGAACACATTTCTCGGCGATCCACTGTAATTTAGTTTTACTGCCAAATCAAAACGTCCTCGTATCCTGACTATCCCCATACCAAGAATGAAACGTATTGAAGCACATACCGCCATTGTATCTAATAATGCGGCGGTAAATCCGTATAAATCAACCATACGGGGAAAATACCAAGGGTAGATCTTTGCAATAATTCGTTCGGTTGGCATGTTGAATGCGAATGCATTAGTGCTCCGACGAAACAATTATTCTCGGTCTTACGAAGATCTTAATTTCGATTTTGTCAACTCGAATGCAGCGAGAACTCCTTTGATCTCGGGTCCATTTTGGAGTCACGTGACGTGAAGACCCCCACACTGCTTCTATACGCGTCACACTCGTAATTTGATTTCGATAAAACGGCATTGAAATTCCCACCAAAACGTAAGGTCGAGGATGCATTAAGATATTGAAGTAGTGAGTTTACTTTTGTCAATGTCATGACTTATTGCGCGAGTGATACAGGCTGGGATACAGACTTTTCCAACTTTGCAATTCCGATCTTTCTTGAGTCAATAATCGTGATTTATCTCTGTGTTTCATCAGCTAGATGCAGTTCCAGCCGGGTGAGCAGCAATTCATGGCGCTGAGTGTGTGATGTGAATATGGCTATGCATTAGTTTCACACTACCGCTTGGTGGTGCCTTTGGCCCCTCTCTCTCTTTTCCTATTTTTACTTTCAATTTAAAAGCCCTTTTTGAAATCATCTCACCAAGCAAGAACACACACCAAAGCTAGATGGGAGGAATTTCTCCTACCAATTCAAAAGAATACAGTTCTTCTTAAAAAAAAATACCCCGGTCTGAATATCATAAAAAACCTCGGAAACTTTCAAAGGTCTTGCATCACGTCCAGGTGAATGGCCACCGTTCCTTCACTGCCACACTCCTGAGGCAAGCGCCACATACGCGTGAGATGACACGGCCCAGTCGGTTAAATTGGACTCAGTCAGTCGAGTCCAAATGACAGATTGAATCGCGATATACTCCCCAGTCCCGCGCTCTTGATTAAGGCAGCGGCAGTAATACGATGTTTGAACAAGATTCTGTTTCAATCTCGCATCTGTAAGGGTAAACTAAAAGCCATTTTCTGCGATCGATAGGCCTTTTTTGAGCCCGACTTAACAAACACCAATCTGTAGATAGCATCCGCGCAATAAAAGAAATGTTCAAACCAGCCTTGACTTCGACGTTTCCAACAACTTGCCCGTCTAATATTGCTTAAGAAGACCTTTTTTTATCCAATAAGCCTTGGGAGTTTTATGGTTTATTTAGCAAGCTTTAAAGGAGAATCTGCCGTTCTTTATTTTTTTGTGGATGGTCAAAAAATAGAAAGACGCACAGATGGATTCGTCTTGCCAGGATGTTCTGTACAAAAACAGAAGGACCTTTTTTAAAAAAAATATTTTGTTTTGGCTAGACATGCACAGATAAACATTACCTGGACAAATAGAGGGTGTTGCAGTGTCGCCTCTCTGTTTGAACACATTTTCAAATATAATGAGCTTACAAATTAGCTTTGAGGCTCTTGGTGGCATCTTAGACATTGGTCCGTTTCAAGTGCTTGCGTCATGTTCAGTATACATGTACGCATGCTCAAAATGAGACAAAAATAGAAAAAAAAGGTGTGTTTGCCGCCACCTCGCGTCTCCAAAGTCTCCATTCACAGTTTTAAAGGTATCCGCGGGAAAAGTTAACAATTCCCATTCATCAAATCAGTATTGTTTTTATTTATTAATTAGGCATTGGTAATCGCCCATGCAAACTTCGCGCCTTCGTGAACGACTGGGTGAACGATGGTGAGGCGACGCGTGTCTTCTACTCCAAGGTGGTTCCGGTCTTCCAGGCGGCGGGAACCAGACTTGATGTGATTGGTAATTATAGCCGTGGAGATAACTGACTCCCATGCCTACACTTAATGAACCGAAATATTGAATGTAGACATTTCCCCCTTAAAGTGTTTTTTCCCTATCTTGGGTTGGAAGTTCAGCCGATTATGAAAGCGGTGGTATACACGCGTAAGCAAAATGTCCGTATCCGCCTCGGACATTATTGGAAACTGTCTTAAATTTGTATGGTGCAATACACCGATTAATCAACTGAAATCCTACAAAACGCAATTAAGCGGAAATGTTTGGTCCACTGCTTTCACATATCACACCTTCCGAAGGCAATGCATTTTTGCAAATGCCATGAGTGCGTGCATGTGTAAAATTACAGGATTTAATCTTAACTTTGTTCGCAAAATATAGTCGATGGCAGATGAACCCTAATCTTCCCAAATCCTCCAAAATCCACTTTGCAAAATGTGCAGGAGCGAGGCTATATGGCTGAATTTGAGGGTTGCACTGTGTCAAGCTTGTGTTGTTTCTGCTCAGCCATGAATAAATTTAGGCCAAAATTATACTTGAAATCCTCCGCATTGCTCCAGGATACCTCACCATATTGATAATTGCTGGATGATTTTGCAGGATTAAGGGAGTGTGGTCACCCCTCCAAGGACCACATTGAAGAAATAACGGCCGATTTTGGAGGATTGAGGTTGTATGCACATTTTACATGGAGGCAGTTGGAGGATTTTGCAGGATTGAAGTTGCTAACGAAAATGCCTATAGGGCGTTTAAGGTTTAAAAGGTCAATAGAGATACCGCACTAAGCAGGCTGTACTGGTGTTTCCAATAGGAATCCAAAGACTTCTGATCTTTAGATTGAAAATGTCAGCAAATGGATCGAATGTTCATGCATAAACTGAACCTACAAAGCATTTGTCATGTCTGAACCGAGTGTGTTCATATCACATTGTGAGTGATCAGTTCGGTTTACCATTTGAACATTACAGTTTTGCTATATTACAGAATTAATGACGGAATATTCTTTCCACTATGGAAGCTTAATGCTCTGGTTTTTTTTTTAAAGAAAACAATGAGACGAGAATATGCCTATTCTAAGATTCAACGTACGGTGTCATCTAATAATGCCTGCTTTGCATAATTTATTTCAAACTGTCAGAGACTTTTTCTCAAGGCTACGGGGAAATATTTATATATACTTGATAAAAATATCTTTGTTCAAATCGGGACCGGCACGCCGTTACATTAATCTAATTTACAACCGAGCGCTATTCTTAAGTAGTTATGTGATTAGAAGAAGGAGCTGCGTTGACTTGCGTGATGGACAGCCAATGTTGTAGTATAATGACACTGAAGTGAACCAACAACAAGGGTTTTAGGAACGCTGTATTGAACTCAGCGGTTCAAAATGATAATTTGCACGTCAGTGTTTCGGCATGTGTAATGAAAGATCGTACGGACTATATGTTTTGTTTGCTCTTTGTAAAACCTCTTGCTTTCACCAACGCGCATTTTGTAACAGATACACCCGTCGTTTAAATAAACCCAAGCATTGGATTGCTGACTTTTTTCTAACAATTGTTCTCGACAAGGCTACGGACGGTGAATACAAAATTCATACATCATATTGCAATTGAAGGCGAACATTCGAGTTATACTAACGTGACTGTCATATTTGTTTTCCTTTAGTGACGACCAGAGAAGGGAGCGCCCATCAGATACTACAGAAACTCGACTTTGACGGTTACGACGGGTAAACAGTCAAATTCAATCAAAATGTATTGAAATTCATAACTGATATGTTAACACGTGGTTTTTAAACATAGCACTGCCATCGTCTTATTAAAGTGGGGTCCACAGATATAAAGTTGTTCGCAATACTATACTTATACATACGGCTGTGTGGGGCCCTCATAGTGTTAGTAAGAAATGTTATAGTACAAGACCATTATGGTATCCATCCACACAACAATAGCAAAATATTGTATCTTCAGGCTCATGTTGGGTTCGCACAGAGATATCAAAACTGTGCCTAATCAATGCTCAATTGTTATCAGGTTGATGTGCGTTGGTGGAGAGGATACAACGAGGGAAGTGGTGCATGGTCTGTTAGAGAGGACGCAGCTGGATGCGGACCTGGTAGAAATCACCCCTGATACCAAGCTTACCAAGTGTAACATTCCGCTGGGAATTATTCCTGTCGGTGAGTTACCTCTTAGAGGAGGGTGCTTGTTATGTTAATTACAAGGACGGTATCTATGCATTAACAAATGATTAAATCTGTCACGTTGAAATTGTTGTTTCGTAATCAGAAAATGACATTAATCTTTATGTGGCGTTGGATCCATATTTCTTTTTTTTAGTAAGTTCACTTTTCAGCCATAGTTTATACCTGACGTGATGTTGGCTGTTGGTGTTAAGAAAGAGTTACCAATGGTAATTATTATCTGTTAACAAGCCTTTTGAAAATGTTATCAACTTTTCAAGTGTTTCTTTTCTACAGGATTGTTCAACCTCGTTGCCCATTCTTCCCAGGGGACCAGCGACCCCTTCACGGCGGCAGTGCACATAATTCTTGGTAAACTGACACTTTATTAGGAACTTTAACTGTGCATGTAATCTGAACATATATTGTTGGACTTAATAGGGGTCATTACAAATATATTATCCAGGGCATTTAGTATGGGAATTGGATATTATTCTGTTACATCCCTTGATTCGTACAGGTCACCGCCATCCGTTAGACGTTTCAGCGATCTTCCATAACGAGGCCTTCATCCGTTTTGGCTTCTCGATGATGTACGGGTTTGGCGGGGACTGCCTCCGGAGGGCGGAGCAAAGGGCCAAGGGGGGCGTGATCAGTGCCAGAGGGGTGGAGTATGCTGTGGCCAAATCGATCTTCAAAGTAAGGTACATGTATAGGCTTTTTATTGGGGGTTGAGGGCTGAGTTTTGTTCAAGCTTTTAGTGTGGATCTGAATCTGAGCCCTTCGAATTTGGCAACTGTCAGTGCTATCGCAACTGGAACAGGAATAATTATTGGTCAAAAACTCTGAGAAAAAAACACTCGGAGAGAGTTACAAACACTTACGAATCTGCAGACATTGGTGTTAAGTGACACAGTGAAAGATGGTCTGGAGAATTTGGACATTAAACGTTGATAGTCTTTTTTTGCCGACAGAACGTACCGCTGTGCGGTGGAATATCTTCCGTGTGAATCTCAGGAGATTATCAGCGAGAGGTCACCCTGCAGAACGGGGTAAGGAAGAAGGGAACAATTGGCGTCTTAAGGGGATCTTTGGAGTAAGTAATATGAAGATTAAATGGTACCAATTAGACACAGATTGGATTTGTCGTAAACTTCGTGAAGCATGCCTCTTGAACATCCACTGTATCCACTTTACTAAAATACTGCGTTTTAATTGATCGAGTCACAGGTGCAACAGGTGCAAGGCGGAACAATCGACCAATGAAGATACAGAAAGGGGAGACTCATTAAAATGTACGGAGGCAAAACATGGTGCTGATGTTGATGACGTAGGCAGTTGCTATGACACCGACACGGGTCATGACAGAAATGGCAGACTCAACAGAGGTTGCCAAGATATCGAGACACTTCCACATAGAACTGAAGGTAGGTTCCGGATTTTTTTTTTGTAAGAAAAACAAATAGAAACGCAACAATGTGAAAACAAAGTTACTAAAATGAGTTTACCATTAAGGCACATGTTCATTGTTTAAAGGCATGAGTTGTCATACAACTTTATGGACAGCAAAACATGTCTTCTTCAAAACGTGTATATACCGTCCTCAGTAGTTCATGCAGAAGGTGAAAAGCCACAGCTAAGCTTTAGTAAGGCTGCAGTTTAAGCTCTTGATTGTTTTCGTCCTCAGATGAAACCAGCGAGTCACAGGACTGGATAAGCAGCAAAGACGACTTGGTCAGCGTCGGCGCAATGACCCTGCCTAACCTTTGCTCCTGGTGTCCGGCTGGCATTTCACCTCTGACCCATCTCGCCGACGGCAGCCTCGATCTGGTGCTAGTGCGCAGCACAACGAGAGGGGAATTTGTGCATCACCTCAGGCGGCACGCTAACGCAAAAGATCAGGTACACAATTTTATACCAAACTTTAACACCAAATAAAAATGTTCAGTTCGCAGAAAGTTATAACATGATAATCTGTATTGTAATCCCTGTTTTAACGGTGAAGCAAACTTGAAGGACAAATGTCACTCGTCCACTGAACCGTTCCGGTAATTTAAGCTGTTTTCTCCTGCTTTTCCCTTCAGAAAAGCGAATTTTCAAGATTCTTTAATTGTAAAAGTGTACATTTGGGGCTTCACAAACAAAATATCAGGCCATACCACTTTACCACCAGAAATCATGACGGGCAGTGACAGTTGTCTTGAAATGATGAGTACTTTCATAGAAAATGTTGTTACGTTATGCACTGACCTAACAAATTAGATTATGTCTTGGTTTGTTTGTCTTCTTTTGTTGTAAAGTTCGACTTTCCATTCGTCTCCGTGCATCCTGCAAGGGCAGTCAGGGTCCATCCCCTTGGGGCAAACGACAAACCGTGCACGTCGCCGTTCGACGAGAGCCACAGCGAAGGGGACACGACCTGTCAAGAGGAGGCCTCTCTCGAAACCGACGACGGGGGCGCCTTACCTTCTACGGGCAAAGAGTTCTCCATGTGGAATGTGGACATGGAGCTGATGGCACCGGTTGCCTTAGAAATCAGGTGAGATACAAATTGTTTTCTGTGTATTCACAATGGAGTGTAGTTAGTGCACCATCAAGCGTCCGTCCGAAAATACCAATTTTAATCACGGTCGGCCTCCTACGTGCTGCTTACCTGGTAACTATTGTTAACAAAATACCCGTCATTCACAGTATATAACCTAACTTCCAACTTGCGTATTATGAAAGTAACATCTAGTATCGCAAGTGCAAAATGACTTCCATTTGACAAAGCCTGTGTATGATGTCGATTTTTTTCCCATGATGCACTGCGGGTTTAATTAGATTTGCGCCTCCAACGTGAGGTTTTTGTGTTGTGAATCAGAAAGACTCCGACAATTCAAAACATACAGGAGTAGACAAAACATCTTCGCAACAATGATCTCCTCTGGAATAGAACATCAAGTAATTGCCAGAAGCTTTCTTCAAACATGCTTAAAAAAACGTACATTGTCCATTAACTCCGACTAATTTCTTGATTTGTTTGCCGTTTCTTTTCGCAGGGTACATAAACAGCTTCTGACTGTCTTCGCCTCCGGCATCCGGGACACTGGCCAGGCACATCGGAGCTGCGCGTGCCTCTGACGTCATCAGCCAGTCACCATGACAACCGTGAAGAACAAAGGATTCATGTACCTCTTCAAACAAGACATGAACAGACTCATTAGTGCCGCAGAAGCATGATGAGTGCGGCAATTGCCGCCAATTTACTTTTAACAACCTTTGCGAGGTTGACAAGATAACAAGACAGACGCACGGGTGCTGTAATAAGGAAATAAAAGTCTCCTCTCGTAAGCTGTCCACGACGATATTAATTTTCCCAGGTGAATGTCCTTAAGATGTTCTCGTCCTAAAGGGATGTTCAGTCACCTGATGTCTTTCTATTTTAAAGTACAAGATTTATGCAGTCACATCTTCATAAAACAAGATGAGGAAAACCTAGCATGGCTGATTGAACTGCGGACACATTTCTATTCAATCGATTCATAGTTGCTATTCACTGGAAGCTGTTTCCATGCTGAACCCCTAACGGAGTACTGTGCAATAGCACTGCCCGACTCTCTGGGACCAGCAAAGCAATGTGTATCAGACATTTAGACAACGGTTGATGATGGAAACAGTGGCTAAGTTGACGAGTATAACGAGTTAAATGAGAGATTGTTAAAGCACCTTTGCATAATTAGGGGAATAAATATTATGTGCTCGACCGGTTTAAAACAAGACAATTTTGCCTAAAGCCGGATAGGGGCCTAGACGTGGATGAAGGCTAGGGTTTTAAATGTACTTGTTTAATACCGGACAAGCCTTTGCATACTCATTCATAAATACCATTCGGTCAAGAGGTTAAAACAAGAAATTTCTTTTTACAAATTTCCAACGACTTTACTCCATTTTGGTGAAAAAAAACTCCTCGGGCCATGTTTATGGCATGTGCCTCGCGCGCTTGATGTTAAATATTTCCTTTTTTTCAAGATTGGAGCGCGTTCGGCACGTACTGCGCTATGTGGTGTAGAACGCAGCGGCATTTTACCGGTGGTTTAAAACCGGCCACGTGACGGGCTCTCGACCAATAGAAATGGGTAAACTGTCTCAGGTATTTATGAATTAACAATTGTTGCTCATTGCTTCCCTGATGATAAAATCAAACGGGATTTTCTGTACTTTCTAATTGTTAAAATTCGCGCTTCCAAACTTTTGATAGTTCTGTTCTTATTAACGTCCCCAAGATTCCGCATAGATGATTGAATGAAACTGAGGAGAAATGTGGAAACACGTTTTAAAGTTATGATCCTAAAACTGCATTGACAGAATTTACTATAAACTGAAATAAAGTTCTCCGGATAGAAAACAAAATGAATCTGACTGTTGTCGAGTTGTGGTCATAATTAGTAATTTATAATTAAGAAGAAATACAAATACCTGCGACAACTCGGCCATGTAACGGTACGCCCTCGATACAAAAGTATAGGACGCCTTCTAGGATTCCTTCCCGAGTTGCAGAGTACCTTCGCTCGTACCGCCCCCCCTCCCCCGCCCTGCAAACAGGACGCTGGGAAGGGCTGACGAATTAACACTCTGATTGGACGGATAATGCGTGACCTTTGACCTGCAAGGCATCACGACCACGACCTTGCCAGGTTAGAAACGGAGGTAAAGACAGAGTCATTCATGACTCTTTTATTCCCATTCATAAATGCGGCGCCCTTTTTTGTATGAAAAGCTTTGTAGGAAAATCTGTAAAACTGTTTTGTAAGTTTTCAACTCCCGTCAGTTGCTCAGGCTTCGTTTCGAATTCACGAAGGGTCGAAATGCATATCATTCGACGCTCAAAATTTGCCCACATGGCCTGCAATGAAAAAGAAATCACATCCGGTATGGTGTGCATGCGTTTCTATGGCAAACTTTTCGGATAGTTTTTGCGCGCATTGGCTAACGTATATTTAACCACAGTCTACAGCTGCAGCCAGATGCTTTATACGTAGGTCATGATAAATTACCTAGAATGCCATCCCACTTCCTTCACAAGATTCTGTGAAGCTCATCTGCCCTTCCCAGCGCCCTGTTTGCAGGGCGGGGGTACGTTCGAGCGAGAGAACCGAGTACAAAGCAAAGATGAGAGTGCGCCCTCCCACGACGCTGATAGAAAAAAAAAACATAAATTGTCTCGTACAAGTTTGGGGGCGCCATTCAAAGCGATGTGAATGGGGATCCGGCTCTATTTTTCAGAGAGCCATGGTTCAGAACAAAAGTTATTTATGTCGGACAGATATTCCAAACAGCGAATCAGAATGTCGAGTCTGTACAAAGGGGCGTGGCGACAAAAGAGGAGGTGGCCGAAATGTATGAATTGCAGATGCCTAGTGAACGGCTATATAATCATTTGCAGGTTTTTCTTTGGACAATTTAACCATTAGCCTAATTTAAGACACATACGTAGAGTACAACTTAGTTGCAAATAATGTTATAGTCACATTACACTTTAAAGCTGGTGGCGGAGCAATTTAAACTCGAATATTTTGTGATGCGCTTTAAGTTAGGGAAATAGACAAACAGGACTGCAGCGATGTGGGTTTTTTTTTAGACAATGACAGGAAATACTACTTGGGACGTCAGCATCCGTTTGTTATTGCCTTGTCGTTTAAAGGAAATTATCCGACGCATTATGAAATATGCAATCTGTGCTCGTAGGTTCGTGAGTCGCTAGGCCACGCGGCGCATCACAACATTTTCAATGACCCATTAAATTTGAGACTTGAAAACTGGATCTGTCACGTCCCACGGCGGCTTTTCGCAACGGTTCTCGGAAATGTTTTTGCCGTGCAGGACCCGGCAAGCCCCTTTTTGGCAGTGGTTCTCTTTATAGCGTTGAATTATTGATAAACATAGGCCACAAACGACAAAGCTTGATAGATTCCTAGAATGCAACTGAAACGTTTTATGTGAACAGTTACGTTTGGGTGTGACTCATACAAACAGAGACATATTTCTTAAAAAGTTAAATTAAGGTGAATAACAACTACATTAAGGTATGCCATAGCAATGTGATGAGACGGGAAGCGCGAAGGGCGTGTCCCCTGATGGGCTAGTCAAAGAATTCGCACACACTCAACAGCGGATCCGGGGGGGGGGGAGCAACGGGGGCCATGACCCCCCAAGATGAACCCATTTTCTTTTTTAATTACGTCGCAAAAAGGGCAGCCACTGCGTACACCACCCATAAAACTCAACAAAGGCAATACATTGCCCCCCTTGCTTTTCAAAAAACTTGGGATTGAATCTTTTTGGACCCACTTTTATGGGAAACACAATTTTTTGGCCTCCCAACACATTTTGGGAGGCCAAAAAATTGTGTTCTGGATCCTGCTTTGAGCACGCTGTGTCCCACAACGAAAGTTAAACACTCTAAGATATTCATGGATTTCAGTGATTTGTATTCTGATGTGGGGCATCTCCAAGGAAAATACCCACAGGGGTTTGTGTGTTATAGTGTTTGCGATGATTATGTAATTAGCGAAAACATGGCGTTATTAATGGTACAACAAGGGGACCTTTTCTTTGACTTTTATTTAAAACCTAGAGATGGGAGACCGCTCGGCTAAATACATTTGTATTTGCGCTGTGGGCTCGACTCTCTCTGGCGGTGACGGGCATGATGCGGTGTAGAGTTGTCTTACCTGGTGTTTTGGAACCGCACACTAGACTCGCGTCGTGGTTCGGTGTAGATTTCGGTAGTAAACAAATATCGGAAACGACCTACAACTTGAACTGAGGTGGTCCAGACAGAGCGCGTGCCAAACAACATGCACGAAAATTTAAAAAAAAAAATCGTGTGGGCACCGGCACCTACTGTACATGTATGTAAACGTTTCGGAATCGGTGAAAGTTAAGAAGATTGTTATCGAAAAGTATGATTTCAAATGGATGGAGGACATGACAGTTTGACATACAGGTGAGTTACACACAGGTAGTAAAAAAATAATAAGTGAAAAAAATAACCCTCATAGAGATATAACGCCTTAAGTTAAAGTACCAAAACAAAGAAATCTGTGGTAAAGTAAGATCCAAACCGATTGTAGTACTAGTAGTCATGTTCATAAATTTCAATATACGCACTTTAAGTTAACTTTGACACATGCTATTCAACAATTCAGAAATGTCAAGTCACTGCAGCTTACAATAGGCATTTTCTCAAAATGACTTGCATATAGATTTTTTTTTTAGAAATGCAAATATTTGTACAATGGCCCGGATACATGATTATTAGTGCACAATGAATCGGGCTATAATCCAATTGCTTTCAAAGTTATTGCGGTAAACTTCTGCATGACCGATTTATGACTAATATTGTATATAGTGGTTCATGTATTGTCGTGTACTTGCATGTTTCCGTAGCAGACCGAATATGACACCTCGCTATGGCACGTGTAGGTGTACAATTTCAATGGAGGTATCAAATAACTTGCGGAAACGAAACAATCAAAGCTTTTGTGTACGTCATACTTCCAGCTGCAATTTTTTTTTTAAAGCCAGGTGTTTATTTTGACGTCACCATCAGGAATGTCATTTGTTTTATTTATTTATTTGTTTATTAGATAATTTAAGTTCTCAGGGAAAATACAAGACAATTAACATATATGAATTTCAAGGATTTTGAATTTAGGAAGTTCACGCATCCTCCATGGTTCACGTTAGTATGATTATAGAAAGCAAAATGGAGTCCCTTTTTATCCTTCATTTTTCAAACAGAAGGGAATTCGTCCGCAGGCACTAACAGTCATGAAGTAAACGCAAATCACTAATGAAGTGGTGACAATAAAACTACATTTACATATGAGGCCTGGCCTCAAGAAAATAGACAGAAAAAAAGAAACTGCTACATGTGGGCAAGGCATAAAGCAAACTTGGAAAAAAATATTGCAGGATATATAAACAATTGTGAATCAGAAACCAAAACAGAAATGTATCAATTTTTTCTCCACAAGTTCGTAGAATTAAAATGGTGCGAGAAGCGCTGATGTAGGCCTTTGACCGGGGGAGGGGAGACACCGCCTGGCGGTGAAAAAATGAGCATCTGCGGGGGAAATAAGGCCGACGGGTCGCGGTGTGACTTCTACTATGAGTAATGGATGCTGCTATCGCTGTTCACAGAAAAACCACAAATGATAAGGAACACTGACTCAAAAATCATCATTGAGCCGGAAAAATATGTTCAAATCGAGTTGACCTCAATGCATTTGTTTCCATATTGAAACAGATGAAAAGTTGTCATATGCTACTAAACAGAAAATGAAAGAAATAAACATATGTCAAATCAAAAAACCCGTAAGCAAAATGTTAGTTTTAATAATTAACTTTCTGTTATCATAATCCCATTCTGCGATTGGAGATAAAGCGCACCATGTGTAAACATCGAAGACATGTGTGTGGATTTTACATTAGCTCATGTGAATGTGTGACTGCATAGATGTCGTTAAAAGGGGATGGCCACTGAACAATGTGCCTATTCAGTTGCTCATTAATTGGTTGCCTCAAACACTCCTGCTTGGCATAAATTAATAACAACGCCCTCTCTTGAGCTAGGAGCTCCATGGCAGTCACAATTTGTACGGGGGGCAGTACTCAGTTGAAGTTATAATATTTATTTTAAAAAAATGATGCATAACTAAACCACGGAGCATAGGTCAACCACACAACATCAATAACCCACAGGCCATCCTCAATATGTTATGACTTTAGAAAAACAGCAGGGAATTGACTGGTCATTGTATATGGTTTTACGACCGGGTGTTGATCTTGCCCCTGGCGAATTCTCTACCTGTGACACATTTTGAGTATAGAAATGTGGGTGGACAGGCCACTGATCATACCACAAGATTTGGGTCCACTTGAAAACAGGACGTACAGCTGAGCCATCGTCCATAGACGGACCACGGACCAACGGACGAAGTGGAAAGGAATGTTGACAAGTTCAGGTGACGTCACAATAGACTTGCCAAACACGGGGAGTGTAAAACCCCGTCTATCTTTGCACATGTGGTAGTGCACGAGAAATAGTAAGGTTTATCTTGCGTGTGGATTGACTCGAGGTCAGATAGTTGACGTGCACGTACGCTGGCACTGGCAGGCTGATATGACAATTGTGATGTATTACAATAGAGCATGAATAGACCAATAGACAGTGGTATAATGCATGCTACACACAACTGCACGTACGTGGAATAGTACAATATTTGACTGCAATATTTGACTGCATTGTTATATTCTGGCTCCCGTGTGAATATCGCTCCAACTTTTGTTGTATAGCTGCTGCTTTTGGTTTGTGATTCTCGACTCTTCCGGGATGTCGCTGGTGGCTGTGTCGAAAGGTAAACCATAATTTACGGAGCAATTTAGTTCACTCTCCTTTTTTTTTTTTAGAGAAACTTTGACAAAAGAATATAATCGCTACAATTGGGATATAGTCACAATATGGTGCCATCTTCCGTCAGTCAACAAGTTAAAATCGATGGACTACATTCCGTAGACTGACGGTAGACACAAGGGCCGTCCTTTTCAGTGGCACTCAGGCGTGGCAAGTTGCACTGTTGACGAGTCATACATGGGCACCCCCGTGTAAGACCCGTGTGGTTTTAACCCGGAAGGGGACATGGGTAAAGGAAAAGGATGTACATGTATACTTATAATATGGGGATACACCACTACCGGGTCACTTTGCAAAGACAGCCGAATACCTTAACCACCACCCGTGGATATTATAGGATATGGGATACACAACCATCAACTTTATTGCTTTGTGAGTATGCTGGATTTGACCATGGCGGGGCCTGCCTTCGTATAACTGACATGGTTTGTGTTGAACTCGTGAAGGTGAGTACGTGTACTTTGTACACCTTTATGATGAACAGTCTGACACTGACACCATGATAATACTATGTCATGGTTGTGTTATCCAGCATTACCAGCAACAAGTCAATTTTGTCCAGCGAGTGTACTCTACTCTGGAATGCGGAGTGGTCTTCCATGATGGTGGTATTATGATGACCATCTAATCTAATTCTACGTCCATGTGATGACCAATTGTGTAAGATGACTGACAACAGTACACACAGCAGGGAGTAGGTATAATACCCTTCAAATCAGGGTAAACGTTTGACCGTACTAGACATAAACGAATACCATTTGTAGTACCATATAGAGTTGGGAATGATCACTTGTGCCAGCTCACTTGAGTAAGGCTGGCGGGCACTACTATTTATTGTCTTCATTTCTTAGCTCATGGAGTACATCACTTCGGTCGATCTTTGAGAATACCAGGCATTACGGAGTTTATTCTCTATATGCCATGGTTTAACAGAACTATATATATGTAATATAGAGATGTCAGAAACTCAGAATGTCCTGAACACTACACTTTAAATAATACCAGGGTCGTGGACAATCGCTTCACGGTCGCAGACAGTGTCCATGGTCACAGATGGGGGTCACTACATTTACAGAGCAAAGGTTATAAGCTCTTGTAACTGTAATGTATCACCATCAATTTTATATATTTTGTACTTTCTGCACAGATCCGGCTGAAACTGAAAGTGCCTCATGTTGATTGCGAGCGTGCACTATTGTAACCCACCACCAAGTTATACCAGTTGAAAAGCTTGAACTTCAGATCAACAATTCCTCCGCTACCTTCCCTGACAGACCATGAGAGATAAACTCGATACTCCCACAGCGTACTGAACGTTATACCCGGAGCTATTAACACACTACATGTAGAAGTGCAATTAGTACACAATAACTGGTGTTGACACAGCAACACGAGAACCTATACCGGGAATTGTGGATAATATTAACTCCCCTTGCATCAGCCATGGGAACTTGGGTGTATTCTCCGGTTGTGGTGTTCGTGTTGGCGGTGGTAGTACATCACTGTGCCACTGCATGCAATGTGGACGATAACCCGGATAAGATCGTCACTTTCACCAACAATGAGCCGGGCAGTTATTTTGGATATACCGTGCTGCAACACAGAAATATCTTTCAAACATGGTGAGTATAGCTGTTTGTTGTCTAATCATGGACACAATCGCAGAATGGGACACATATAAAGCTTGTTAATGGATATGATCGATAACCATGCTGGCCACTCAATGCGGTAGGGTGAATAGAAAAACAAATTTACTTCTGGTCACATACTGACAAAATATTATGAGGGAATCAAACCTACTAGTAAGGAATTTATAAGTGTGGCAACATGAAAACCTACCAGCGAGAATATCTACTTAAAATATTGGACATTTTAAGATAGTCAGGATTGTGTTGCAGGTTACTTTAGATGATGTGGTTTTATCACAAGTAACGACACAGAACACTGTGCTTCATTTATAAAGAGACCAGTGTTTGTTGACAAATTATGAGCAGAAAGTAATATATTACATATTATAAGTAATATATTGGCCGCAGCACCTCGTAAACCCTTATAAGGTGCTACATAATGGGTCTCATATTTCTCATGTACTTCCTTCATCTAATAATAGACATAACTTCCAGTGCCTTGAGTATATACTCCGTTGCGATGATGCCTGAATAGGTTTCTGCAACGTAACCATACAGATACAGAGATACATGCGGTTCGTTTAATTATGACTAGCGGGATGCCGCGCTTCGCGCGGCACCCGCTAGATGGGTGGAGTTGACTGTTTCGTAATAATTACTGTACACAGTGAAATCTCGATAATTTAAACTCCAATAACTCCAAACAACTGTTAAGTCAAATAAAGAATCAGACCCTCTGCTGCACGCGAGCCTATTTGGACTCGCCATCAGTCTCACCTAAGTTGTATTTGCGTTTAGCAACGTGCGCGCACATAACATTTCCTGCGGAGATTGTGCGAGGGTCCAGGACATATTGTCAATATATATATACGCCCAATTTCCGTACAACCCGTCAACCATGTCACAAATATTTCCGGGGATGGGGAGAAATATTTCCAGGGACGGGGAGAAATGGTTTTTGTTATAGAGGGGAGATGGTGATATTGAAATCGCTGATATTGTGGAGGTTTATGTTTGTGCTGGGATTCATACCGTTTAAATGTTGTTTTAAATTGCGCACCGATTAGGAAGGTCTTGCTGTCAACAGTTGAATGAAATTAAGTATTTATTGCCGACCGATTGTCTCATGCGATGTCTCATTACATGTATATAAAGCTCATAACTAATGTTGTGCTGGAATATTGTCCAGTCAAATTGAACATTGATTTTTCAAGGTGCCAAACCATGAATGACGTATACACCAACTGTACAATTAGGTAATTTAGATGAAACGCGGTTTGATCTTGGCCTTTACAACGTCGTATTCATCGTTCTCACTACAGAGGAGAGGAGGGGGAAGCCAGTGGGGGTGGGGGTTGGATATTGTGTGGCCTATTTACATGGGCGTCGCCAGGATTTGTTTTCTAGAGGGGGCAAAACATATTTTTGCCAAAAAAATGCCTGTTTTTCTCAACACATTCTCCATTTACATGTATCAGTTTTAGAGGGAGGCAGGGACATTTAGCCCCCCCCCAACTCATTAAATTTAAAATTAAACTCATTTTTTCCCTTCTTTTTTTGGTTTTCTCTGGGGGGGGGGGGCAAGTGCCCCCCTTGCCCCCCCCCCCCCCCCCCCCTTGCGACGCCCATGCCTACTTATGTTACACCTGTGAATGGTCACTTATATTTCCGGGGAAGTGGGCAACAATTTATATTCGTTATGGTGAAGGGGGTGTTTCTTATGTATTAAGTAGTAGTTAATGTCATTATAACAGTTGGTGTTTTTATTATGGTGATGGGGTTGTAGAGCAAAGTATTGTAACACGTTTATTTGCAGAAGAGAGTAAAACTATAAGAAAGGACATATTGGAGCACTTCATAATTATGTCAAGCACCACATGTTAAATGTATTTATTACAAAACTGTGAAAATGAAATCAGGTACAATACACACACGATTTGTTAGTAATAATGTATTTGCATTCATTACAGGGTAGTACTTCGACAAAACTCAGGGGATATAATTGTAGTAAATTTTCGGAGCGATTTTCGCAAGGGACGTCGGTCAGCATAGGCAAAAACATTCCATGAAAGACTTTCAAGCAAGACGGGTAATCATTCCATAATTATTCTTGGGTACAACTAAGCCAAGGATATAACTTTACAAAAGGATGGACATAAAACAGCAGAAAAGAGTGATTATATTTGCACTATTTCATTTTCATGACTTCTAAATAATAAAATTATGGCTAGAAGAAAAATGTGTTTTGAATGGGTAAAGAGAAAAAGCAGGAATCTTGCAGATGAACTGGAAAGAATAGTGTCACGTTTTCGTCTTGAGTCGAGATTCTTGCCTTGGGAACTGGTTGAAGCATGCACTGGAGCATGCTTGGAGCATGGTTGGAGCTGGTCATGTGATGTGGGTGTCATCGGGAGTCCTGTGTAAAGGAGTAACAAAGAAAACTTGTAAAAAAAATACATCGGCTAACAATAGCTACAAATAAATTGTTCCTGCGCGGTTTGTGCCTTACGATTCTGCGCGCCGTGCGTGCTCACAGCACATCGCGCAGTAATCGCCATCTTTATTTTCGGGTTGCGTGTTTTCGGTGCGCTGTCATCGTAATTTCCCCCCCCCCCCAAAAAAAAATTTCTCTAAAAAAAATCAAAACCCGGCCCTCTATCTATGACATACCTGTTTATTGAGAATGTCTCCAACTATTTTGGTCGGGCTTTTTTAAAGTGGATTTTGTTCCCTTATAGGAACCGGGCCCTACTACTACATACTAAATACTACACGATCGCCATGTCCGAGGCCCACGCGATTGGGTCACACTTTTCACAAACAACAATTGTCATTGCCAGCAGTGGTGTTCGAAAGAATACTTATAATCCTTTGCCAGAGGTGTTCGAAAGAATTACTACTAACTATAATCTATAATGTGTCATAGCACAAATCGGACTTACCATTGAAAGAGAAAATTGTAGCATAATCAATGCATCAAACGACCATCAAACGAAGCTGGTAGTGCTGAGAAAATGTGGGGCAAGCATGCCTTTAGCTAGCTTTGCATGTTGCATGGAATACCGTTGCATGCGCTGCAGCGCATGCTCCTCTATACGAACGTATACGTACACGTGGCACGACAGGTGTAGCGTGAATATCCGACTCCATGAAATGTGGACTCATTGGTAGTACTGCGCACGCGTGAGTACGATACTGCGCTATTTTTAGGATCATTTCGGGAGAGTGACCTGTCACGTGCGAGGGATCAACCAATAATAGGGAAATAGCGGTCCGATTTTCATAGGAGTCGAATTTTTATGTGACACCGGCCCATACGCAAGATGGCCGGCGCGGCCCAATGGGGAAGGGAATTATGGGAAATATAGGGTGGAAATAGCCGGGCCCCGTTCCGCATCCCCCGCGGCCAACGGGCGCGTGCGGGACGGGAGACCGGTCGGGAAAATGGCAGCGCCCTCCAACTATTTTCGTGATTGTAGTATAGACTAGCGGGATGCCGCGCTTCGCGCGGCACCCGCTAGATGGGTAGAGTTGACTGTTTCGTAATAACTACTGTATACAATGAAATCTCGATAATTTAAACTCTAATAACTCCAAACAACTGTTAAGTCAAATAAAGAATCATATCCTCTGCTGCACGCGAGGCGCGAGCCTATTTGGACTCGCCATCAGTCTCGCCTAATTTGTATTTGCGTTCAACGTGCGCGTACATAACGTTTCCTGCGGAGATTGTGCGAGGGTCCAGGACATATTGTCAATATAGGGGAAGGGGCTAGCTAGGGTGAAGGGTGCTAAAGGGAACGTCCAATTTCCGTAAAACCCGTCGACCATGTCACCAATATTTCCGGGGATCGGGAAAAACATTTCCAGGGATGGGGAGAAATGGTTTTGTTATAGAGGGGAGATGGTGATATTGGAATCGCTGATATTGTGGAGGTTTATGTTTGTGCTGGGATTCATACCGTTTAAATGTTTTAAATTGCGCGCCGATTAGGAAGGTCTTGCTGTCAACAGTTGAATGAAATTAAGTATTCATTGCCGACCGATTGTCTCATGCGGTGTCTTATTATATAAAGCTCTTAAATAATGGTGTGCTGGAATATTGTCCAGTCAATTTGAACATTGAATTTTCAAGGTGCCAAACCATTAAGGACGTATACACCAACTGTACAATTAGGTAATTTAGATGAAACGCAGTTTGATCTTGGCCTATACAACGTCGTATCCATCGTTCTCACTACAGAGGAGAGGAGGGGGCAGCCAGTGGGGGTGGGGGTTGGATATTGTGTGGGCGTCGCCAGGATTTTTTGTAGAGGGGGGCAAAACATATTTTTGCCCACAAAATGCCTGTTTTTCTTAACACATTCTCGATTTATCAGTTTTAGAGGGTTAGAGGGGGGCAGGGACATTTTGCTCCCCCCCCAACCCATTAAATTTATACCACTATGACTTCGCGCCTCTTTTTTTTTTTTTTTTGCTTTTCCGCCCATGCCTATTTATGTTACACCTGTGAATGGTCACTTATATTTCCGGGGAAGTGGGCAACAATTTATATTTGTTATGGTGAAGGGGGTGTTTCTTATGTATTAAGTAGAAGTTAATGTCATTATAGCAGTTGGTGTTTTTATTATGGTGATGGGGTTGTACAGCAAACTATCGTAACACGTTTATTTGCAGAAGAGAGTAAAACTAAAAGAAAGGACATATTGGAGCACTTCATAATTATGTCAAGCACCACATGTTAAATGCATTTATTACAAAACTGTGAAAATGAAATCAGGTATACACAATTTTTTTTAGTAATAATGTATTTGCATTCATTACTGTACAGGGTAGTACTTCGACAAAACATAGGGGATATAATTGTAGTCAGTTTTCGGAGCAATGTTCGCAAGGGACGTCGGTACAGGCTTGTTTACCATAGGCACAAACATTCCATGAAAGACTTTCAAGCAAGACGGCCAAAGGTTATTGTGCAATTGCAGTTTTTTTGTGTTAAAAGCTGTAATCATAAATAATGACAGTGGCATTGTAAGTTACAGGACAACATTTTTTTAATGAGTGTTGGTGAAAACTCATGAGAAACGGAGGGGTATGCGATCATGAATATTTTGTTGTGAAATTTTAAGAGTGATTATGTAATTTGATAATCAAAGACATTGTTTTGTTATCAAATAAGTTTGCCAGGATCGACACAGTCTGCTTGGCCAGTAATTATCGGGTAATCATTCCATCATTATTCTTGGGTACAACTAAGCCAAGGATATAATTTAAAAAAAGGATGGACATCAAACAGCAGAAAATAGTGATTTTGTTGGCACTATTTCATGACTTCTAAAAATAAAATTATGGCTAGAAGGAAAATGTGTTTTGAATGGGTAAAGAGAAAAAGCAAGAATCTTGCAGTTGAACTGGAAAGAATAGGTGTCTTCGTCTTGAGTTGAGATTATTGCTTTAGGAACTGGTTGAAGCATGCACTGGAGCATGCTTGGAGCATGGTTGGAGCTGGTCATGTGATGTGGGTGTCATCGGGAGTCCTGTGTAAAGGAGTTAGAAAGAAAAGAATAACGATTAAGGTGAAGAAAACTTGCAATACCCCATTTATGCGGAATGCACTACTGAAGTACTAACCAAACATGCCAAACAACGAAACATGTCTTATATGTTGTATTTTTGTGAACCCCCCCCCCCCCCCGCATATGATTTTATCTCAGCAGAACAGCGATGACACTGAACAGTCATCAATGTATTAGTTTCCTCTTTATCCTGCTTGGGTTCATGTCTGTTGTCGAGTCATGTGATTTCTGCCAGAGTGTATTCTCTTAGATCCACTATTCTAACTGTGTTGGTTTCAGGTTTTAGTCTTTGCCTGTATTTTTTGGTGTTTGGCCTGAGGTATGAACTTGATCACGTCTTTAATTTTGATTTGAGGGTTTCTTTATTAAGTTGGTTATTGGTCTTTGATTTGCAGTAAATTAATTTTGTTTTGCCTATGAGTATGAAAGCCATTTCTTTAAAGGAAATTTTTAGTATGATTTGCCGTGTTCTAATATTACCACAAAGATTTAGTTTGCATCATTTGTATGGAATGAATGTACATTCATGGCCTATATACAAATGCAGCAGTTTTTGTAGCTAGTACTGAGTAGTAGTAGTAGACCTAGGCTTAGGACTAAAACAAACTGAAGCAAAATCCAAAAATAAATTACCAACAAAGCCCAATTGTGAAATCAAAAGTTTACAAAGTTCTACAAACATGTTCGGGTACATGTTCCAAGTGAGGCCCGTAGTTGCGGAGGTCATGCAGCATGCAGTAAATTGGCCACATTAAGCCTAGCTAAGTAAACACACGGCCAAACTCGGGCCGAGGCCTCCCCCAGTACAACCCTCCCCATACAACCCTCCCCGTACTACCACCAGACTACGCCATCATTGGACACTCACACTTTTCACAAACAACAATGCTTCTCAATGCCAGTGGCGTTCGAAAGAATACCACTTTTCTCAAACAAAAATACATATCATAAATGAGACTTACCGTTCAAAGAGAAAACTGGAGCAAGAAGGAACAGATACATCAACCATGTCAACAATGCTGTGCTGTTGCATGCGCTGCATGCTCACAACGAACGTACATGTATACGTGGCACGTCAATTATCCGGCCGGCCCGTACGCTGCATGCTCATAAACGAACGTATACGACGTGGCACGTCAATTATCCGGCCCGTACGCAAGATGGCGGCCGGCTCAATGGGGAAGGGAATTCTGGGAAAATAGGGTGGAAATAGCCGGGCCCCGTTCCGCATCTCTCGCAGCCAACGGGCGCGATGGGGACAGGAGACCGGTCGGAAAAATGGCAGCGCCCCCGAATCATTTTCGTGATTGTAGTATAGATGGTAGACCTATTGCTGCACTGTCTTATCACTGTATGCAACAGGTGGGCAATATGGATAGATGTGCATTCAAACATATCAACCTGCATAATGAATTATTCACAAGGGCAGCACACGATGATGCTAGTTATTGCATGGTTATTGTGTGCTCTAGTATAGACGGGTTCAAAGTTCCAGAATGCAATAGAGTACGCGGGTTGTAAAATCAACAAAATATGTCATAATGTGCTGGTTATTACATTTTGGTAGAGACTGTCCATATATATGGACATGCACAACGGATTTTGATGTTGTTGAATAATATTTATGTTTTCCCTTTATTTCCCTTTACTGCACAAGAAGTAACCACAAACATTAGCAGGAAGCAGAGGGATTTAAATATTTCTAGGACATGGATCACCACAACTTGTGGTTTCCTTTCATTATGCGCGGGAATTATCTTGTGTGAATCATTTTTCTTTCCTTGTCTTTAACGGAAGCCACAGTAGAACGCACTACTTGACAAAACTATTACCCTCAAGGCTTTGGTCGGCTTTTGTTTTTTTCCAGTACAAGGTCGGTTCAAATCAACCGTCTAGTTTTACAATAAATAAAATACTGCAAGTTAAACTTGCGCGATCCCCTGGCATGCTGGCAGCATTTATACAGTCATGGAGTAAGCACACTTCTCAGTACCTAACCAAAATCAACAATGACCTCATTTTGAACCCTAGATGACCTTGGACCTGAAGTGTCATCTTAAGTCCCCCTACCCAAAGATTATTGCCACCAAGTTTGGTTGAGAGTGAAGTCTGACTTTTCCTATGACAGCACATTTTAGTTGACCTAACCAAAACAATGACCTCATTTGACCCCTAGAGGACCTTTGACCTCAAATGTCTCATGTCATCTTAAGTCCCCCTACCCAAAGATGATTGTTACCAAGTTTGGTTGAGAGTGAAGTCTGACTTTTCATATGACAGCTTATTTTAGTTGACCTAACCAAAACAATGACCTCATTTGACCCCTAGAGGACCTTTGACCTCAAATGTCTCATGTCATCTTAAGTCCCCCTACCCAAAGATGATTGTCACCAAGTTTGGTTGAGAGTGAAGTCTGACTTTTTAAATGACAGCACTAAACAGTTACCCTAACCAAAATGGAACACACCGACACCAAGACACACAGATGGAGTACCATATCGCAATAAAGGGAATATACATCATTTGCTTTTGCTGTAATTTTCAGAAATGGATGGAATTGGGGGGTTGGAAATACATAGCAAATATAGTTACACTGACTTTTTTGAGGTTTTGGGTTCGAAAATACTATAGAAACCAAGAAAAACAATCATTTTCCTGTAGTCTGGTTCCCTGACTCCATATAAGAAGAAACAGAGCAGTTTAGTTTACATACATGGGGAATTGTAAGGTCAGGGAACCAGTCTAGCTGGCTTGTCACCCGTTCATAGGTGTGTAATCGATTGCAAACAAGTGCGATGGTCAATTGGGGCCAGTATTTGAAAAAAGCCAGTTTTTCCAACGCTGATCGGCCGATCAGCGTTGGAAATTGATACAAAAATAGCACTTTTCTTGAAAATGACAGTATACCAGGTGCCATGATTTTACAGGATGCTTCACACTGTCATTCACTAACAGTCCAGCAAGGTATTTCAAAATGATTTGGTAGTTTTATTTTTTGATGTTTGCAAATGTTGTATTTTCCCTTTAATGGCAAAAGCCAGGGGGATAAACAAATCCGTGAAGTGTGAATTAAGTATGAAGTGGTAAAATGTTCATTCTGCAGTCGGCCTACTTGCATTTATCATTTCTTTATCTTGATCATTTTGTAATTTTAAAGGGCTTTGATAGGAGCACCACGCGGCCAAAGCAGAAGTCAGCCGTCCTTACAGCGGCCTGGCGCCCTCTATAAATGCCTGACGGTGCTGCCTTATAGTTGCGAAGAGGTGATACTGGACGAGTTCGATGGTGAGTTGGGATCAGGCTTGGCAAGTTTGAGGCTGTGAAAAATGAACGTAAAGGGTTACGGTCGCGACTTTTGCCAGCGTGTTCTCACGTAGTTGTATTGGTCAAGACCTAACCAGGAGGACTTGCCCAGCTTTGGCTGTCGGAGATTAAATCAGGCTAAATTATTGTCCCATGTTCGTGACTCCAGCAACATCATAATGCCAAGGCTAGAGTTAAGAATACTTAAACATGCAGTAATCAAAAATGAAAATAAAGAGACAGAGAAACCAATACACATTATTTTTTTTCTATAAGCTTCCAGTTTCATAAGCTGGTTTTACTTTAACAATACACATTGCTTTCGTTTTCCCTATATTTATTGAAATCGAGAATATTTGTTTTGCTGCCTATGTCAATCACTATATACAATTAACTGGATGACAGTTGCTTTTGTACAGCATTTTTACAATTCAGTTGAAATTATGAATCCAAATATTTTAACAGTGTTGTCCTTTGGTTTTATTTCCCTGAAGGAAACGTGGACTCGCCTGCAGATAAGATCCTTGAGGTTAAGGACAACCAATGGCTTGGCGTGTCTCTTACCAGACAGCCCACTGACGACCGATATGCCTTGGTTACGGTACTTGAACAACCAATTAAAAGCCTCGTTTCAAGATTATTTGAGAACACATTGTTTTGTCCTTTCCAGCGGAGCCTCGTGATCACCACAAACAGCGAAAGGTTTTTTGTAAATCGTTTACGTGTTTGTGTACTGAGAATATATAATTTATAATTACAATACTAACGCTGTGTAGAAAATGTCCATGTCTATCATCTTCCTAACAGTGTTGTTTTTTTGGTTTCTTTTTCATTTGTCAATACATAATTATTTCAGGTCTGTGGCCACTTGTCAGCGAACGATCACTATTACCAGCGGCCCGTATCCCCTGATGCCACCGCTGAAGAAATCGACAGATATGTCAACGGGATCTGCTACACTATCGACGCAGAACTCGATGTTGGATCAGTCGTCAAGATGCGCCCCTGTCATGATGGTAAGTCTCCGGCAGAATTCCATTTATTTACTTACCCACGAAAAACAAATGTATAAAAAAACTTTTTTGAAAGCACAGAATCCTGTGCTCGTGTACACTTGTTCACAAACTCATATTCCTATTCCTTGTTTACTCGGGAATCGTGAAATACGGTTTTCCACGCGAACGCAATTTCATGCTGCCTTAAGCGGTTATTTTTTGCTTGTAAACCATGAAATCGGACCAAGCTTTGAACCTCTTCGACAAAAATATATTTGAGCACTAGCCATTATAAAGAAATACACGTGTCTATATGGCTGGAAACTCATGGAGTTCTGCTTGAAATAGAGAAAAACAGTCATCTTTGAAATAGATTCGGTTATTCGATGCCGATGTTACAAGTGTCGGGTTGTTCCACCTAAAACTGTGCGACTGTCCCTAGAGAACTAGAAATGCATAACCACGACACAAGTAACCGGATTCTAAACTATTTTTTGTGGCAGAGTTTCAGGTGGTGAATGGCACTTATCACTACCAGAGCCACTGTCAGGCGGGTATTAGCGCCACCTACAACAAGAATGGTCGCAGGCTCATTCTGGGAGCTGTGGGATCCTACGAATGGAATGGTATGTGGGCAATAATCACAATATACTCTCATTTCAGTTGATTTGGCAATTCAGTTAATCAGCTTCCTGATTTGAACTTGAGAATCGTTCTTCCTGAGTCGGTGAAACTGAGAATGAACAATGATGTAGATTGTATAGAAAACAGATCTATGGATTTTCATAATAACAATGACGAATATTTCATAGCAAATGCAATACAAATTTAGTGTTAAGTAGAAAGAAACTGTAACTGACGCAAACAATGACTTTAAATACAACTGTCATGGAATTTGTTTTATCCCCATTGCAAGAGAAACTGAGCAGAAACTTTAAATCGATTGGTTTGTTTTTAAGCTCTGGCAGGAGCTTGGTCATTCTTGAGAGCACTTGGTGGTCGGTGGGTCTGTCTGTCTGTCCCCAAAAATTGACCAAGAGTATGGTGTTCCATATGGGCCATCGGCGTCGCATTTTTCGGCGTCGCATTTTTCAGCTCTGGCAGGGGTCATTTTGATCGATTTCATGCAAGACTTTCATGCAAGACTTCTTGCAACAAGGCCAGAGCTTATTGTGCACTCGCACGTGTTTGATATCCAGGTACAACGATTGATGGAAGAAAGGAGGGGAATGGCTTCACGTATACCTACGGCCAGCTGAGCGACTGGGGGTCGGGAGCTAAGAGAGACACCGAATATCTAGGTAAGGTTGCAAAATATTGAAAGGAGATTGTTCAAGTTTGAAAAAGACATCGAGACCAAACAATGTGACGTTCGTGATGAAAGTTTCAATGCACTTTGATTGCAATGTTAAAATTTGGATTTTGGTAATCTTAGTTCATGTTCAAATCAACTGATGAACATTTAACAACGAAGGGCGTTTATTTATTGAAAAAAAAAGGAACTTAAGAGTATTATGAGACCAGTATCACGGGACATGAATTCTCATTGGATAAACTGTTCCATAAACTACCCAGCTACTCAAATTTTGCAGGGAATTCACTACAAATTCATTGTACAAGATGTCCCTTTGAAATTGAAATGTTCTTTAAATTTGTTTTCCAGGATATTCAGTATCGACTGGCAACTTCCTATCCATCGCCTCCGAGCAGGGCGTCACGGGGGCGCCCAGGTCGAAAGAAATCGGGAAGGTCGTCATTTACGACTTGGAAACCTTTCAAGTGTACAGAGAGTTCCTGGGCGAAATGGTAAAGTACACTTGACTGTCTACTGTAGTGCACCCCCTTGAAAATTATGAACTGAATCCGGTTTTCATTGGCTTTTCCACTTGCTCTTTACAAGGCATCCATTTTGAGATCAAAACGAGGCTTCAATTGCAAAGCAAAGACTATTGTGTAGGTTGCTAAGCTTTTACGTAAGAATCAATTCCAGAAGCCATCCAGTCTCGCTTTCAACTCAAACTGTGCAGGCTCATGAAACAATTCCTTGAGGCAGGAGTTTTATAACAACAAATGGTACCGGAGAAAGACACTACTTTTGTAGTGAGACACTGGTCCATAGAGAGACATTTTAGTGTCTTTCTTATGTTTGACTACCATTTCTAAACAAATTGATGCTTCAAACGACACCTTAGGTCAAGATTAGTACAATTCACAAGTTTGGGGAGGGGGTATTATTTTTAAATGGGAAGGTTTTTGTTTCTCCACTGGTCATTAGAATGTCTCCCCAAGGTATCATTTTCGGTAAAAAGTATCTATAAAGATCTACAATTTCCAAGATTCATTGCAGCATCCATAGCAGATAAGAAGATACGAGAAACTCGGTATTAACTTACCATTTGTTTCCTGGCAAAACTTGTCATGCAGATGGCCACATACTACGGTAGCTCCGTGCTGGGTGTTGACCTCAACAGTGACGGGTTATCTGATCTACTCGTGGGGGCGCCCTTGTACTCTGACGCCATGGACGAGGGCCGAGTCTACGTGTACATGAACAAGGGAGAGGTAAGGTTGATTTCACATAGTTCAGCTTTAACAACCTAGAAATACTACACTTGAAAGACTTCATTCGACTTATGCAAAAAAAGTCTTCCACAACCATCCAATGAAGGCTGTTATATTAATGTTTGATATGTTTTTGGTTTTCTTCCTTTGTTTCTCTCAGGCTAAGATGGAGCCTGCTGACTTCAAATTGGAAGGTTCTAACGCTGTCGGTGGTCGGTTTGGCACAACCATGGCTTATATCAAGGATGTTAATCTGGACGGATTCAATGGTAACTAGAGCGATCTACCGCCCCCTTGGGCCAATTCTCTCTACGAATTTGTTTTTGATTGAGAGCACTAAAGTTTGACCTATGTTATGCCTGTACTGTCATTAAAGAACAACATGATGTGATGTGTCCGTGTCTCAATATGCAGATGTGGCCATTGCAGCACCATATGAGGATGACAATACTGGTGCAGTGTATATCTACAGAGGAAGCAGGAACGGCATACGAAGAATGTACTCGCAGGTAGGGCCAAAGGAAGAGAAAATTATTTATCAACATGTATTAGTTTTCAAGGAGGACATCCAGATAGTGTGCCTTAGGGGTAAGGCTTTCTGACTCATCAGTAATCATGGGTCAGGCGTTCGAATCCAGTTGTATGCCTCATGTGTTGTGTCCTTGGGCAAGCCATTTTACATGATTTATTTTGATAAACTCTCTCTTCCAAGAACTACAAACGGGTTACTTTATTAACTTGGGAGTAACCTGTGATCGACAGACAAATTAGAACTATGCTCAGTCTTACAGATACATTTTAAACCAATGTTCTTCCCCGTATCTTCCCCATTATTTGTACCAGCGCCTAGCTGCCAGAGATCTCCTCCCGGGTGTCCTGAGTTTTGGCTCTTCCATTGCCGGAGGATTGGATATTGACTACAATTATTACCCTGATCTACTGGTCGGTTCTTACGCCAGTGACAAGGTCTTTATGTTCAAGTAAGTTTCTTGTTTGGTAGAAATGTCCCTTTGGGTTGACAGTAGAAATGTCTCTTTGGTATGACCGTCCCCTTTATGCTGCTGGTTATTTTCAAATTTCAGAACCCTACCTGTTGTGAAGCTGCGCGTGTGGATTGAGGTGGCGCCCGAGACCCTTGACCCTGACTTTAATAATTGCGAGTTAGGGGGCCGCAAGATCACGTGTTTGACCGTCAGCGCGTGTTTCGACTACACGGATGAGTTCGGTCTGCCTGACAAGATCCGTAAGTATAATAAAGCATGGAATACTGAGTCACTACTCTGAAACAATGATAAATAGCTAAAGGTAAAGCCAGGGATTGGATGCTTGTGTCCTTTAGCAAGACACTTTTCAACAATAATTACTTAGCCCCACCCAAAATTAGGTACCTGTGAAGTTTATTCGACCAAAATGTTCTCGTTTTGACTGGACATCATTCTTGACAGCCTGTTCATTTATTCACACAATACATCAATGGAGTATTATAATATTATGAAATTGGTAATGTTTTCCCAATCTCTTTTGAAGTATTCGACTACAATCTTGAAGCGGACGTGATCAAGACAGACCTGTCGGCCAAGCCCAGGTTCTTCTTCCAGGATGAGTCAGGGTCTCCGACCAATTCTGTGCCAGATACTGTGGAACTGACTAAATCTAGGCCCCAGTGCTTTCCGCGATTCGTTTATTTAAAGGTTCGAACTTTTTGTTTGTAATTTACAAAGTAGTTCTGCATTTCGGCTGTTCGACAGTCCAGATGATAAACTACTGTTGCTTCGATGTCAGTCATCATATATACGGGAACACAGATTTCGAATTTGTTTGTAACTTTAAGATACACCCTTTGTGGTTTCTATAAAGGAATAGACATTTTCAAGAAATGTCCTTCGGTGTTGCATTACAACAAAGTAAAGAAGAACAGTTTCAACCCTGTTCTTGTCAAACTACAATATGAACGAGCATAAGACCTCATACGGGAAATTACATAAACTAGCAATCATTTAATTTATATCTTGAAAAACAGAGCGAGGCTCGTGATTTTCTGACCCCGCTGCGGTTCTTACTCAACTACAACATCTTCGCTTACCCGGACGAGCCTCCGAGGCGTGGTGATGAGGTGGACTCGCCGTTTCCCGGTGGCCTGGCCCCCGTGCTGGATGACTCGGCTTGCTCCAACGGAACTGCTGAGAAAACGGTGAGAAGAAACAGATTTAGTGTCGTTTGTTCCTGCAATTTGAAGCTAGAACCTTACCGAAGTTCCCAGATGGAACCTTACCTGAAAGTTCCAAGATGGAACCTTGGCTTTAGTTCGAAGCCGCAACTTTGATCTCAGTCCCGAGTTCGAATCCCCCCCCCCAAAAAAAAAATGAGTTAAATGCGAATATTCCACAGCCAATGAAAAAGGCAATCGTCCCCAAACAAGCTTGAAAACTCTTGTGGTTTGAAACTCCAATATCAGCCCTTTTCCCTATCTTATGCCTTGAATGAGCCGTTGAAAACAGGTTTTAAAATACAAGCTGCAATGAATAATTCGTGCTAGTGGAAAGTATTGGAATGTTAAATTTTTTTGGTAAGGAATCAAAGTATTATTATGATGCATGTTTTTGTAATTGAAGGTGCTGTTCATCCGAGATTGTGGTGATGATTCCATCTGTCAGACTGATCTTAAGGTCATCACAGACCTCATTGTATCAAGGTAAATCATCCAGAAATGTTTCCTAAAGACGATACGAATATACTCGGAACGTCGGATTTACAACAAACTTTATATAGCACTGAATTCCTAAGACATTATTTTATGATGAAAATTGGTATCATTTAGGTAAAATCTTCGTATCTTTTCTCCCCAAGTGGCAACCCTTTTATTACTTTTGGAGGCGATGGAGTGGTGTACCTCCTGATACAGGTTCAAAACCTGGGGGAGGAAGCTCACCAATCAGAACTGCTTATTCGCCATTCACGGGATGTGGTGTTCGAGTCACTAGAGTCAACTACGGTGAGTAAAGTTACCGGGGAGCTCCCCTCTGAAATTGGCTTCACTATTCAGTAACATTGCTTTTATGAAAAGAGCTTTGAAAATTGAAAAATCACTGAATTTTCGTGGTTTTCTTTCTTTTAAAGGTGGAATGCATAATGGAGCGGTCGGGGTCTGGTACCTGCAGTCCAGACAACGTTGTAACGTGCGAACCTAGGGAAGCTATGAATGACACAGCCGAGGTCTTCTGTTCCCTTGGTAACCCAATGAGATCTCGTACAATTGTGAGTCAAAATTTTCGTGCTGAACTATTTAAGTTTTTGTGAATCCTTTTTACTAGCCTTTACGACAAAATAACATTATTAGAAGGTTAGGCACTCTACTAACAATACTTGATTCATATTTTGGCAACACTTTAAACAGTGTAAAATAATGAGAGTAATGCATGATTGTTATGTTGGTGATGGTGTAATGAAGTTATCTTTTTAATTATTTTCAGAATATCCTGCGAATGCGGTTTGACGTTGGTGGCATGGCTTACGGCCGACGAATCGTTGAGTTCATAGCCAAAGCAACAACCCGGAGTATCGAGCAGAATAGCACACTGAATGACAACACAGCCATAGCCAGCCTGCCAGTCATAGTTGTGGCTGATTTAGGAGTGCGAGGGTAAAGCTATTCTATTCAAAATTATGTAAAAGTCCTTACTGTAGAAAAGGTCAGGGATACCTGCCAGTCGTTGAAAGATATAACATTTAGTGAGAGCATGTCTTTAACAGGTACTATTTTTTTTACCCTGTTTTCAAACACTTTGCAAATCCACGAGATCATGCATATCTTGAAGTTCGTCTTCCTGAATCTTAAAATATTTCAAATATTCTGGATGGCGATCCTTAATACTGCATAATAAGGATGGCACCACTAAAGAAATAATATTTCCAATTAAATTGCTCATATTGTAGCACAACCTAAGTTGGAACTTTCAAAAGAGATAAATATCTTCGGGTGTAGTATACATAATGATAACAATAATTTAAATGTCACATTACTTTAATATCAACTTGTTGTGTTCATTGTTATCAATACAATTATTTAATGACAGTGTGATGCAACCAGAGCAGCTTTTCTACTTCCCCGACAACGAGACCATTGACGGCGAGGCCGTGGGCAAGGACGACCTCTTGCGGACAGCTTTAGAAAGGGCGGGAATACTGAACGGCGAGGGTAGTGGATCTACAGACAGAGAGGCTATTGGCCCGACCTTCACACACGTTTATGAGGTATGATAATAACAACATTTTTGAAGAATTGTCAAACTTGGGGAGTTCTGATTTGAAGAATCTGTGCGTGTCTGCATTATCAATGGGACGCTCTATGTCTGTGTCATGTCGAGCAATAAAGTCGTTTCTGAAAACAAAAATTTGAGCAACTGATGTTACTACTTGATGCTGCTACGAGTCTCCTTTTTCATACATAATTGCTCCTGTTTTCCCGCTATTTTCTTTTCACTCCAGAGAACAACAGTAAACAAAATGTGATTTTCTTTTTGCCAACCCAAACACATACATCACTGGACCTTACAAAATACAAATATGTGACCTTCCATAGCATAACGAGGAATAACCCCCACCTTTGACTTCTCACGATATGTACATCATCTTACAGCGCAAATCATTGGCTTTCCAATAATACCAAATTTATTACTGTAGCTTAATTTATTCCAAATATATGACGCAGAAACTTCAACAGTGTCCTGCCAAGTTTCGCTAACCTCATAAAAAGACACGCATTGCGCCACCAACGGCTGTGACAAATGTTCTTCAGTTTTTTCCACTTTTGTTGGTATTTTTTCCTCAACAAAAATGCATAGTGTGAATCTGGGATACCTTGGCTACTCAAAAATACAAAACAATCAATATCGATTTTGACATCATTTTTCTAGTGTATGCAACTTAAGGCGTTGATTACTCAAAACAAGGTTTTGGCGGACATTCCTCATTTTGCCTCAGTAGTTCACATATTCTAAATAAATCCCAAATGATATTTTTTATATAATTATGTTTCCTATTAATTTTTTTCCTTTGGAAATAATTTTTAGGTTGGTAACCAAGGCCCGGGTCGTCTGCCCTTCGACTCCGTCATTACTATTCAGTTGCCATGGAGAGCAGCCAACGGTGATTGGTTGATTTTCATCCGCGGTGTCCAAGTACGTCATTGCAAAAGCTTATTCCTTTCTTACTTTCCTCCGAAATATAGCCAACAAAATTAACTAGCCGAAGTTTTCAAAAGTACTCAGTTTTGACAATCACTTACACTAAAACTTTCTTAAAGTAAATGGGACAGAAACCATATTGTAATTGGGAAAAACAAATTCTGAAATCTTTGCAGCATTTGTAAGAAATTGCACTAAAGACTACAAGATACGTAAGGTGATCGTACAAAAGACGTTTTGTAGAACTTCACGAAACGAACAGATTAAATTGCGTGTAAACAAAAAATGTGCCGTTTGCCCAACACCTGAGAAAAATGACTTGATTTGTAACATTCATGTCGTTTAAATTTCCTTTTACGTCGTTTTTTCCTCAGTTGAATGGGGAAGGTTCGTGTGATGGCAACAGTATCTTGGAAAACCAAAAGACTCGAATGACAGACCACTACGTCACTCAGTCTGGCACCCTGACGTACTCGCCTAAAGAGATGCCGGCCGGCGGGGATGGGTCAGGCAGCCCAGAAATCGTGAGTATGGGCTCTGACAACACGCCTACGGCAGCTAGGATTGCTTCTGGATCTTGACATTAAGCACCTGGACGCATGGGACCAAAAGACGCATTTATGTCTGAAAGGGGAAACAAAAAAGGAAAATCGTAATTGGAAATAATCCCAAGTGCATACATTGTGGATTTCAATATTCTTCTCCCCTTCTGAAATCTGACATGGATACAAAAATCCCCAACAGTCAGTGTAAACAGAAAACACGTCTGATTTAGACATCAAAACAATTAAGCATTGGCGTAACAAACATGTTTGGACGGAAAAACATCCAACGCAATGTGCAATTTTCAGGTCTTTTCAACTATACATGTTGTTCACGAATCTACATAAAACGGCCACTGTAGTTTTTGACAATTATAGATTTATGAAATTTGACGAAACAGCAAAACAACTTCTAAAGTAACAAACGTGTCGTTTGAAAGCAAATACCTCTGATATGTTTACGCGGTTAACAGTCTCGAATATTTCCCCTGTGCTGCTTTAAATGCGTCTCATTGTCGTAGGATTTGGTAAAAAAATATTTTGTTTTTTACTTTTATTTCCTTAGGGATGTAATAATGCCAAGTGCGTGACTATCACGTGTGTGATCAAGGCGCCATTAACCGGAGGGCAAGGAGCCGTCGTCAGCGTGAATGCCGTGCTGTGGCAACGCACTCTAATTGATGTGAGTACAGGATTTAGACATCGGCACTTATCTTGTTGGCTTTGCCTTATTGGATAAAAGTACATTTTAACATTTATTACTACAAGACGCTGGGACATTCAGCATCGCAGTGGTAGATGGATTCTTTTTCTAAGTCTTAGCCCTGGCTTCTGGACTTTGAGTGGTACTCAAAGTAAGGGTTCGTACACAGTACCGCAAAAACGCAATACTTAACTCCGATAAAGTGTCCTGCAAAGGGACATCAACAACAACATTTTATGCTTACATCCGATGCTTACACTGTAAAGCAATGAATGCATTCAAATTTGTGGCATTCATTTCAAAACAATGCCAGAAAAAAACAACCAAAAACCAATCATAGAGGGAACGAACACGTTTGGCATTTTACAAAGTTATTTTGATTGTGTTTTAGTCTCCAATATCATGTATACTGATCCATGAACGAGTTAGCAGTTGGTATCGTTTCTTGAAAGTTAACAGTTTCACATGACCGTGTTTGCTACGAGACACGATTTCAACACTGTACCCGAGGCTAAAACAGCATCAGCCGAAAATGTCAAAGCGCAGACAAATTGGCGTCGTTTGCAATTATCAGAAACAAAAAAAATGGTGAAATCATTTGTTTGTTTGTTAGAGACAAACGCCAAACATGCGTCAGCCGGAGATCACGTGTCCGGAAATGGGCACCCAGGGAGATAATTACGATTGCAGTAATGAGGCGTTTTGTCCGGAGGTGACAGACGCGTCAACTTGTCTCTTGCATTCCGTGCAATAAGGCATGACTCAGAAAAACGCGGCCAAGATAATGAAAGTCATAAAACAGAATCACATCTGGTGATTTATGAGGCGTGATAATGCAACATTAGTTTTATCCTATAAAGAAATTGGCAGTGGCAACGTCAGCGATTGACTTTTTATGGATCAGTTTTTAGGACTTCAAAATTCTGTTGCTGTGAAAAATTGGGGCAATTTTTTGGGATTGGAGATGTTTTAAGTAAAAGAAAGGTTTTTTATTCTGAACCGAAGTTTTGATATACATGTAGTTATACGCCCGTAAAACAAAACAGTATTTTTGAATATTACTTTGTCTGTAGGTCCTAGCCAAAATTAAACTTTATACAATTAAAATTGATTACACCTACTGTCAACTATACCTTATTTTCAATTGCATGCTGCAAGCATAATGTTCAGAAAAATCTAATATTTACATTCTCCTTTATAATTATGAATGAGTCGATGTAGAATCTGTTGGGATTTCGTTATTGATTCAATCCAAATGTAATGTCAACAACCCATGAATTGCACCCCTAGAGGCGCAGCCAAAACTCTTGGATCTCTCAGTGCATCTCAAGTGTTCTCTCAAATTCGCATTCCCGGCATCCTCACGACACATATGTGTATATCAGTGCCCCTTAAGTGCAGTCAGAGCAAGTTGGCCAGCATCCTTCGCTGCCAGCATCCTCCGCTAAGCGAAGCCCAACTCTCCAGTGTTTGCTGTCCATTAACCAAGAAAACATATCTACACACGGGTGCATACTAAGTGCTTGCCGATGATAAATTGTGTGAATGGGGCTATTAATCACCTGGCTAGACTGCTATGGACAGTGTTTAATCACATGTTTTTGTTTTAGTGCTTGTTTTATGATTATGTGCTTTAAGACATGGAAAACATGGCTGTAAAAAGTACATTTGCTTTCACTTCTCACCTTACAAGTCCGAAGAATTATATCTGTAATCTCGTTTTTCACTCATCAGTGACGAAAGTCTCTTTCTGGTGGTCACAAATTAAAGGTGACATTTCTCGAGCTACCTTCCCCCCCCCCCCCACTCTTTGGATAATCCGACAACCGTGTGATAAAGCAAGGGGGTTGAATATTAAAGCAGCAAATAATAAAGAAATATTCTGTAAGCTTGAAGTACTCAAAACTTTTAATATAGCGATAGGTATTGCAAGTAAGAGAATTAACAGATTCAAGAAAACATCACACTGCCCAATGTGCTCACGCTGGCTGAGAAATGAGAGCCACAGGGACTGCCAGTAAAAATTTCCCTCATTTTGCAAACTTTTCCCCCCGCAATTTTAGAGTTCGTTTGGAAGCGTCGACCTTATTTCAACAGCAACAGTTGCGCTGCAGGATACCAACCAACCGCACACGCAACCGGATGGAGGAATGCCGGATACCATTCAGGTAATTCATAACATTGTCAAAAAAGGTAATTTCCTGGTTGCGTGGACATAACGTGAAGTGACAGCAAATATATGAACATTATGTGCCTAAGGCCTGCTACATAGTTTTGTGACTATTTAATATCCGATTTAAATTTGCCTTTGGGAACGAACCAATTTGGCTATATTAGCTCATGAGAATTATGAAACCAATGCTATGGAACATTTCGTCTTAACGAGACATATTACGATTATTGATGATCAAACATCGATAACCCTGGATACTTAACAATGAACCTCAATTTTTAAGTTGCATGTGTTTTTCTTCATTTCGTAGTTGAAGACGATGGTCTTCACGGAGGAAGTGCCCCAGAAGCCGGTGGAGCCCTGGATCATCGCGGTCAGCACCCTGGGAGGAATACTGGGACTGATCATCTTGATTCTCGCCTTGTGGAAGGTACGTATGATAAAACACTGGTGGTATTACACTGGTGCTTGACCCGCTGAGGGCGCTATTTACACAATCCATGTGACATTCATTGGCACATCAAACGTTAATTTCTGTGCGCCGTAAGACTGATTTTGCATTTGACTTTTATTTTGCATTTACCTAAATGATTTTGCATTTACCCAAACATATAAATTGGGACAACACCTTTATGAAATTCCTTTGAGGGACTCATTTTGTTTTGTATCCTTTTGTTTTTGTCTGCGCCAGCTCGGATTCTTCAAAAGACGTGAAAAGGACAAACTGGAACAGGCCATGGAGAACGGACTCTGATCAGTCGACCTTTGATCCCAGATGACCTTTGACCCCAATCGTAGGTTAACGTGTGCGTGTTGTCTGCGTTTGGTTGGTTTTTGCTCTTTTTAATAAGCCTGTTAAGTGGGGCGATATGGTCTAATGGTTACGGTGTTGACTCGTGCTGTGTGGTACGTGGGTTCGAACCCTGACGTGCGTGTGTCCTTGGGCAAGACACTTTACTACAATTGCCTCTCTCTATACCCAGGAGTATAAATTGGTACCTGTGATGGTAGAGACCTAGTTGCGCTGATCTCGAGCTGCTGCAAAACAAATGGTATCATTCCTGATGAACAGGGATAATTATAATTGTAAGGCATTTTGAAACCTTAGGTATATAATTACAAGAAATTGATTAAACGTAATCAGTACGCATGCGTTGTAAAATACAAAATTGCTAACACTGAGCCAGTACAGTTGTAAAAATCTGCTGCTGTGTATAAGCCGTATAGTTTTTTTTTAAGTGTCTTTCTAGTAAATTTAAAAATAAGGTTTTACAATGTTTCATATGTGTGAAATCTAATGATCAATATTGAATCATTAAAATAGTTTTGCATGGGTTTGGTTATGGTTATATTTTTGCATCGCTTAGCCATAGTACTGGTATATATAAAGGTATGTATATACCTAGAGTATAGCTATCTACTTTTGTTATTTTGTATGTACATGTACTAATGTTGCCACAATATTTATATGTTATGATTATGCACATTAATGATTTATATGTAAGTGATTATTAAATCAAAAGCTGAACTGGTAACTGGGAGCATTTCCTAAAATTTAATGAAATTTATTTTTGAGATAACTTGCTAATTTCAACAGACAAATTCTGTATGTACATAAGGCATTTTGTATAAGTGTTTATTATAAGATGGTTAAGATGTTTAAAAGCATGGGGTGAAATCAACCAATTTCCCCTATGACAACTCTGCTTTCTAAGGCTTGATAACAATTTCTTAAGGACTGTACATTTGCTTCATTTGAATCTTTTTTTTTCTAAAAATTGTAGCATTGATTTAATGTGAAGCCTTCTTAAGTCTTGCAAAATAATGAAGGTAGATTTTCAGTGTTGGCCAAAGCTAGAAGTGATGTTCCGTGTGTAAATATTTTATAATCATGTGGAGCAAAGCAAAAAAATACTGTTTTGTAATTTATATTAATGCAAGCCAATATAAGCAGAATTAACAAAATAATGTATTGACCTGACCTTTGACCTCAACCGCTCTTAATTCGGTTTGCAGTATACGATACACAATCCAAGCAGTAAAATTGATAGCTTTTGGGTTTATTAAAGGAAGACTACGGACAGCATATTATGTTATTTTGTGCAATGTCTATATGCCATGCATAAGGAATATTTAGTCAGAACTCTCCTTTGAACTAATACTTTTTATATGACATAATGGACAAAGTCACATAAAGAACTATGCATGTTTAAATTCATGTGTGCTGACGGGATTAGTTTCTTTTCTTAAATCACCATCCGACGCATCCGTAAATGTTCTCGGCGCCGGCGAGATGCAGCTCTTAACGACAATTACGCAGGAAATGACATGTCAATTTCCATCGAAATTGGAACATTAAATAATGTCGTTATTGTTCCCAGTTCATGTGTTCAATGTGATCGCAATTGGCTGGCGCCCCGCCAGGCGGTAACGCCGACACACTCATAGTTTCCGTCATTAAGTTAGGTGTCGAGGCGACACATTAAGTAGCAAATGAAGCTCGCTGTGACAGAAGCCGAAAATGATATGTTGTTTTTCTTATTAATAATTCAAATGAGCTGCTCTATGCTGTAGCTATTACGTGTTCGTGTCCGGAGTGTCAATCGAGCATTCTGTGGCAGTCTTCAGTTTAACATCTGCGCTTGTATTATGAAAACGTTAGAATTGAAGCTGGAGGTAAGCCAGTTAATACCAGATCACTGTGCCTCATGCAAACATATTGGCTTAATTGGACATTAACAATTTCTGAATCGAACTTTATTATTACATGTCATTATGCAATGACATTATGAGGAGTCATTAATGTATTTGTGGTATATGTTGCAGTTGCTGGTGATTAATAAGTAAGATAGTTAATACGTAACTATCTCGTTTGGGTCTTGCATTTTAATTTTTTTTGGGATACTGTTGTGTGTTATGTTCGTCTTAAAAGGTTAACAGCGTAAGACGAGTATAATAAAGTGTCAAATACGGCTTGCATGGTGCTGTGTGACTGCACATAATAAATAAAAGTAACCACTTTGCAATTAAAACATTTTGATATTTGCAGAGACAATTTCTCATCCCTTTTAAGCTTCGATATCGATGTAAGTATTTTGTAAATATTTTTAAGACAAATGTATACTCAAGAGCGTAGCGTGCAATTTATTGTGGTGGACAAAAACATTTTTTTTTAATACAAAAATATATAAGCAAATCCGGAGCTCACGCACGTGTACTAGGAATCGGTTTATGCAAACAGAGACAGAGACGAAACAGGAAGAAACGTCAATGCACAATGTCAATAATACTAAGCTTTGCTCCTCTCATCATGAGAAACTGACGAGGATGAACAAAAATTGTTTGCTTTTAATTAAGGCACGAGCTGGCGCAGTCACGTTTTGTAACTAATACTGGCCCGGGGCTATACTGACTACATGTATTTGATACAGTTATATTGATATCATGAGCGTGGGGCGATCACCCCTGGGTTGCGGAATGGAAGCGTCCGGCGTAACGCGGTTTGAATACGTAGGAACAGTTCATCAAGGACACCCGGGGTGTTCAAATAGTGTTGGTTGGCGGGTGAGGGATCCGCACACCTGAGGTAAGTGGCGCACCTATGCACGGGTCACTACCTGTCTATTGACTGCACGAGCCGGCATCATAATACGGCGACAGGGGGTTTGTAATAATTATATAGATGATACATTGAGTTCGTAATATACTGATGGCTATATAGAATCCCCGTGGGAATAATAGCAGGAAGCTAAAAAATATATACCACGGCAGTTGGATTTCCTGCGAAGACCGCGTTATAAAAAAGGGGTCGGCAAAACTTTCCACTTCCAATCTTATTCTGGAAGATAGTAGGGATTTCGCAGTGGAATCGTCTACTCATGAGATGAATAATTATTAAAGCGTGTCGGGGTGCGATGAGCGCACACGTGAAGTTCAACCGATGCGAATGACTTGCTGGAGTCTTTTTTTGTTAATACGAGTGAAATTCTCCGTGAAGGGGCCAGCTGCGAGTCGACGGAGCGAGCGCTGACGGGGAGTTGGTGAGGTCGAGACGGCGCAGCCAGCCGGTCGCGACACGCAGTTCAAGGTGAATTAACCGGTGAATCGAACAATGATGTTCCTTATGTTTCTCCTCATTACCCGTACCATGGGGCTCGAGCAACGAGGAAAATAATCAATCCATTTTCCTTATATTTTTTTCTCGCACGATCTGGTGATATGCTGTGAACGTAACATTCACAGTTTTTTTCTCGATTTTTTGGCTTCAGATATATCAAGGAATAATAAAACTGCTTGTTAGAACTTGCAAGGACCGTACACACGTCAAGAACCCCTCAGCAACAGATTTCATCTTTCAAAATTAGATATCGAGCCAATTTCCAAATGATGGAAAGCAATGACGTTTGAAAGGACAAAGTACGCCTACCTGATTACCACTGCTGGTTGATGTCCTACCAATTCCAACTGCGGAGGCCACCAGTAATAGAACTATACGCCATTATCTGCAAAAGCAATCTCCGTTTTTATAATTGCCGAGACTGAGCAATCGCCAAGAGTTCGTCTTCTCCTGCCAAAGATGAACAGAAGTGCAAGTAGCGGAGATGGTAAGTACAGATACGGATCAGAGTCCAAGTTTTAATTTAATGGAAGTTCCTTGTATTTGCATTCGTGAATATGGGGAATATATTAAACACACATACACTGCAAAAACTGGAGTGTTAAATCTACACCATTGGTATCTATATAGGACCATCTGGTGTTAAATTTTACTGGCGTTGTCCTATATAGATACCGAATGGTGTTAAATTAACACTGTTTTTGCAGTGTACAGGCCAACAAATGCCTGCTCTGCTGTCATAATTTTACTCGTAATTACGTTAGCTGTGTGGAAATCGGCAAAGGTAGTCAATTTACATGTGACACGATTTATTTTACTTTATTAGATTACTTTGTCGAAATAGTTTGTTAATGAGTTCACTTATTTATAATTGCAGTTAATACTCCTCGTAACATTATAAGGGAGGAAAAATAATAAAATACCGTTTATCACTTTTCTAAAGTGTAAGGCTTTCGAAAGACCCAATCTCCCGAGATGTCATTGTGAACGAACAATTTAAGGACCTGAAAAGTGTTATATTTTTGAAGGTTGTGTTCACGTTCCCCTAATTACCAACTGAGGTTATGTTTTTAGTTGGCGCAAGTCAATTTTTGTAAGCGCCGGGTCTCAGCTGCGTTTTTCGGTTGATGAACCGTTTACGGCCCGGCGACGTTAATGGAAGCTGCATTTTGTTAAAAAATTCATACGAAATTATCATCGCAGCACCTGCACGATGATTTGATATGGGGGAAGACCTTGGATGCACACGGGAGGACGGTATTCTTTAAGTGTTTTCACTTGAAAGAGATGAACGCATGTAGCGTGCGGACAAGCTGTGAGCGCCTCCTCCACACAATAGCCCTTGATTATGCACATAAGCTCACGCATGACTTCAAACAATCAATTATGTTTATACGACAGAGGTTGCTACAATTCGAGAAATCACGAGTTGCTATGCTAAAAAAAAACCGGGTTCTTAATCTTTATATCTTGTTACAATCTTCATTTTGTTACAAAATATTTGCAAATTGTTAAAATGCACAATTTTATATTCAAAAATGACACATTCACAAGTCGGCGAGTAGAACAATTTTCCAGTAATGCCAGGCAAATGCACTTTTAGGTGTTGATACAGCTGAGCATTCTGTAATCAAAACACTCTAAATCGACACCTTAATGGACTTGGGAAACTCTACCTTCATAATTGATGTCATCTACACCGATTGTACACTCAGAATCTTCGTTACTCTGTACTCTTATACGAGATATTATGCAAGTGGAGTCGTGAAAACATGTGTTTTTACCCGGAATTTAGCAGCAGATCCGCCTACGTAAAATGTGAAATCAAAGAAGAGAAAACAAGGCCAGACGAGCTAATCTCATTACAAGACTCGGGTATGCGGATTTATTGAGCCAAGCATACCGACCTATTGATTTTCTTGTAAACTTACACGGACTAAGATAATGCTTGCCTGGGGGCGGAGGAATTTTTTGTTCAAGTTTGTTTGTCTAATCGAAGCAACGGTTGGTTTTAGTGTCGTGGTGGTGGAGTGGATTTAGAAGAGAGGGAATTTGCAGAGACTCGAACCCTTCCGTGCCTGAGGGTTTCTGAGGAAATTTGGAGGAGGAAAGCTTCCTCTCGCGAATAACTTCAGATCAAGTGCGTCTTTTTATTTGCTTCTTGGAATTGAACTTGCCGATCTAGAGTTACAGTGAAATTGGAGACAAGCTTGTTATCGAACGTGCGAATCTCGCATGAGTATGACGGAACAAATGACATTCAAGGGAACTTTCGATGACGTGTCTGTTTCTTTGGGTCAATGAGTTCTGGATTTTCCGGAGACTTCCTGAACATAAAAACATATTTTTCTTCGTTGCTTTTTCTTATTGTTGTTCATCTCCCGAAAGAGTCATGGATTTCGTACACATATTTCTAAACGAAAGATTTTTTTTTTCTACACTGGGATTGTGATGTTAAAAAATATATAAAAAACAAAATAAAGGACGTTGTTCTGCAAGTCTTTTTTTGTCACGTACAAATTATCTCCCTCCAAAACCTACAACTATAGCCTTTCCGGGATGAACGGAAACAGTAGAATATTATCCGCCCCAGTGGCTTCAAAAGAATCCTTTTCCCATGGATAACCTTGGAACTACATGCATTACGCCACACAGCAAGAATTATCTCGCTTGTTTTGCACGCAAAGAAAATGATTCCAAAGAAAACTACGATAAGGCTATGAAAGTAAATTACTAAAAACTAGTCAATACGAAACGCAAATTGTAAAGGTGCTGTTTTTGGTTTTTAATTTAGAAGAGCACTTGTTTTTAAAGAGGATTTAAAACAAGAATTTGCTTGGGGAGAATAAATTTACTCTCTGAAATTGAAGTTTCTACAGTCGTGTTTGAACGGAAGGTGAAGGTGTAAATCTGTTTTGTGATGGACTAGCCCAAAGCTTCAGTTTTGATGAAGCTCCTGTATAAAGACAACAAAACCTGTTTCGGCATCTATAAACAGTAGTCAAGATCTGCAAGAATCAATTAAAGAAAGTGATTTCCAAAGTTGTCTCTGAGAAGATTGTCTTATTCTTCAGTTGATTTCGCACCTCCGTGCCAAATGCTTGTCGACAATACGAGACATGGGTGATCTGGGGCTAGACGCTACTCGCCAAGTTCCACCCCCCCCCCCCAAAAAAAAGAACTGGCAAATCATCCAATGTAGACACGGATGGTGGGAAGTCTCTTTCTTTCGTTGTTTCTTTTCCGGGAGAGGATGAGAGATTGTTTTGAGAAGACCTCCGCGCAACAGGTTGGTGATGGGTTTTGTTTTTGTGCGACACTCTCGCTGTTGTGAGTTGCCTTGAGGTGTTGGTTTGGGAGAAAGAGGTAATTCTAAACTCCGCTCCGATCGCGTTGCAGCGTGTGGGATTCCTTCTGTAGATCGAGACCGAGATAGAGGCGTCTCGATCCATTAAAATGGACGAATCTTTCCGGGCTTCTATGAAAGGTTTTTGCCTCTTGTGCAGGGCTTCTCACTTAAAGAAGACCATCACGGGATAACAAGTGCCTTCGGTTCACGGGATAAAAATAACATTTTTTCAAAGATATTGAAAGTGGGACTTCGCTGTCAATCTATAACCAGGTTGTTGAACAGCTATCCTGACGAAGACGAAAATACCCTTTCAAATTGGCACTTTTGCAGCATGAATTCATTTAGTGTTCCAGAAAATGTGTTTTTCAGAATACGATCAATGCCATGTGGTTATTTTCTTTCTCTTGAATAAAAAATACTAGGCCAATAGAACTATACTACCAAACTAATAATAGTAGGCCTACATGAATGTTTTGTACACGATGTGCGATATCAACACCAGAACAATGACAAAGTACAAGAACAAGATTATTTAGAAATGTCCATGTCGAGTTAACAACTCCAGACGGGTTGACAACGATTATTTTCCCCAGTCATTAATTCCACTAACTTCCCCTTTGGTGATATGATTCCAAAAGGATAGGTTCAAATTACTGGTACCAATATAGGTTTCAGTCGTTGATTCTATACTAATAACGGTCTCCGATTTTGTTCGTTTTAAGCCTGACATAACACAATTAAAAAAAGCACAAGGTACAAGGAAAGGTTTCTGTTTATTCAGTTCGTGTCGTGCAATGGTGCATAAAGATTTCAATGCGTCTGAAATAATGATTATTATTTTTCAGTTTATAGCAACGGCGTACCTGCCGTGCCTGTCACGGGCCACGCGCACGGCATAATGGGGTAAGAAAGTTCAAGCCTTGCGGATGAACGGTCAATTCGCCTCGCGCTCCTAAACTGTTCCATTGTGAATAATCGCTATACTTCGTCGATTCCGTTTAGGGATTCATGAAAAACAAATTTTATTCAATCCTCGGGTAATTGTTGTCAAGGACTACTTTTTTTTCGTGACGGCGGTTTAAATTGCTCCCCTGCGGTGATATTTTTTTTGTCCCTGCTTCAGGAAGTTTAATCCACTTTCGAATTATTCCTGCCGTTCATGACGTTATCTTGCTAGGCCATCGCGGAGCGGAGATGAATTTGTTGAGTTTTAGGCAGCGCCGGAGGATTAAACTATTTCATCATGAATATATTTGCGTTGATATACACATGGAACTCCTGCTTAAAGGGCACACCAACACCTGGAAATGGAACAATAAACAAACAAAACCATTATCAAAAATCTAAGCGTAAATTTACCTTTCAAATTGCGTTAATTTCCTAGAATTCGGCGATTATATAACATGATATATCCGCCTCCAATTCAAACCACGCCCACCGGAACTTACTTCACCCTTCCACCATGATGGAGTAAAGACGACCACCTTATCACTCTATACCATCTATAACCTACAGTAAAATGTCGGATGATTCGTGACCAATTTCTTCACGAGCGATTTGAAAACTCGTTCTTCGGAAAGCACGAATGTATGAACTGCCTCTACGGTGACATTAAGTCAGGGGAGCCCGGGGCTCGGTGGTTTTAACACGCTCTTGGCCTGCAATTCTCAATAGTACAAATGTAAGGGCACCACACGATGGGCTGTGATCCAGTTATTGAATGTTAAAGAGATGGTTCTATAAGCACGCTTGATTTAATAATCGTGTCGCGTTATTAAACGGACCGTTCGCTTAAAGGAGCAAACCACCAGCTGTATGGTACACGTTTTGCATTTTAAGTAGCAGCTATGGGCTGAAGGATTATGATCTTATCGGGCAGTCTTGCACTTTAAACTATTAATGAACAGATGAGGTTACAATGCTCAGATGCACAGGTGTTTGAGAGCTACGGTGGCTGGTCACTGACACTACCTGTCCAGTTAGATAACATTTGAAAGTCTGCATATCATATTCACTGAGGTCAGTATTTTTGTGAAAGTGCGCATCTCATTGCATATGAGTGCACAGCCACAACTCTACCATGTTGGCCTATCCTCCAAGCTTCGTCCCCTGACTCACAAGTGTTCACACCTTCATACGTCAACACTTACATACTCCAACTAGCTGGAACACATCTGACAATGAACGGGGCACAGTACTCGAAACGTTGACTTCACACATGTTCCTCATAACTCAAAAAAAATATTTATTGTCACAAATGGTGTCACCTCGGACGTTCACTATAGTTATAGAATCTCTTCTTATTTCTCTTCTGGAAATTATTCGCTGACACTCACCAGCTTTACTAAACCCCGACGACTGTTTCATTTTTATTATTCGATTTTGCTCCCCGGGGAGCTGTTGACGCAACGTGAGAAACCTCCGATGGGAAACCATAGATGGTTATGAACCGAAGATGTAGGTTAATTGTTCCTTGAATCCGGCTTTATTGCTTCGGTGAGTTTGCCCGAGCACAGTGACCGCAGTTCACGGTGATTTGTCGTGTTGCCTGTGCGAGACACTACAAAACCAGTGATGTAATGTTATCAGAGCACAGGGCGCTTTCCTCTAACTTTGCAAAATCATGACAAAAAACACCCATTTACTGATTACAGCAGGGAAACCAAGGAAAAAAATGAACCTGGCACTAAAATGTGAAGCCCGGGGCAACGACATCACAGGTGGTGCGTACGTGCGATTTCAGAAAGGCAGGGGAAAAACAGCGAAATTTCAGCCGGCCGTGGTTTTAATTTTGTGTTTTTGGCCAAAAGGAACGTACGCGTCACGTGTCGAATTTGGCCCATTACTGACGCAATTTACTGCTTAATGAACCGCGAGGTGACGGTGCGGTCGACGCTTGATTTCCGTCTGGGGAGTCGGAATTGGACTGAATTTGTTGATGGCTGCTTGGTCTGATGTCGAGTGGAAACTTTTGTTGACGGTCGTCTAACTTTTCTGAGGCGTACGACGGCACGTAGGCCCCGTCCAATCGCTTGGGTTGAGCGTATACCGAGCCGTACTGAAGGAAAGGGTAACAGCATTTGGTCAACTCTGCGACAGCCCGATTTAGTAGAGACACGCTATTTTGGATTGACAGATTATACATACTGGTTGTATAAACTATACTTCCTCCCAATGATTCATCTGTTAAATAATGTATCCGTCTGTAACAAGAACGCTGAATGTTTAAGCTAAATATGACTAAACAAACCAATAATATATAATTGAAGACACATCTTTATGCACAGGAGGAAGGACATTTATTTACTCGTTCTCCAACCTTGCCCGAAAATCGAGGTTAATGGAAGGGCAGTAATTGTCAAGGAGAAACGACGGGAGCGCCGGCTACGATTGTTCAATATCAGGTCAAAGACGCAGCGCTATCTGCCAGCATGAGGGGAAAAAGGGAAGAACAAAAAAATAACTTGAACGAATATAAAGTGTATTCGCGGTTGATGATGCAGCAGGTTGTGGCATGGTTGAGGCAAGGAGCAAGCAATCGATCGCCTCATCCCATTCCGCATCACTGGAGGACCGAGGACTCCCTTAGGAGCTGTGCCACACACACACGCACAAAGCCAAGTGACAAAAGGGAAACGGGGACACCTTGCATCCGTTGCCATGGTGAAGTGGGGCCGTTTCGGAACAAAACTATCAATTTACCTCCAGTAAATTTGAGACAGATGAGCGGGTGTGTTTTTGGTGAAGGAATATAAATGATGTTACATTTTCTTCAGTTGATTAAAAAGGTACTTGTAATTGATCACTCCACTTTTTTACATTATTGCGTTCAAATATTTTTCTTTATAGTCGTATGATTAGGGCCTACATGTACACAGATATAATAATTTAAAATTTTGAAGAAAAAACAACAACAAAAGGGTTTTAAAAATAATGAACTCTTTTGGTGATTTTTATTCCCATACTATATGCTGCTGTTATGATACCGAATCATATTGTTACCTTTCGATTCTGATGTTCAAAAGTCTGAATCTGTGACTCACCGATTCAGATCACAATATTCGATATTGTGACTCAGTCTATATTTGTCAAGTCGATATTTCATAAACACAATTCGATACCTTGAGCCATTCGAAATTCGAGTGTCGATATTCAAACGGTGCAGATAATAAATCCCGAGTCGATTTTTGACTAATTTCCCGTAACTAGAGACTAGCGTTTGCCGAGCAATTCTCGTCGAAATTGCATCCTCTTGGTGGCCGATTTCAACGCTCAATGTATAACAGAAATCCTATATCCTTGCAAACTGACGAGGCGCACGCGAGATTTCAATTAGATTATCTGCCATCCTCCCTCGAAGTAAAACACTGTCTGCGCATTTCATCAGTTAAGTATCTGGTAACAGGCTGTCCGAGGAGTGATATACGAGATACGTGGACGATAGATGTTTTTCGTCTATTCAGCACAGTATCTGTATAGTAACATCCAGGGGTGTGAGTGACCACTGATAAAAATAGCTGAAAACAGCTGGAAAATGTGGAAAAAACCGAGTTTCGGAAATCTCCTATACTTTTGTACACAGCAAGTGGGGGAAAAAGCTAGAAAAATAGCTGAAATCCAACACACATAACAGCTGAAATCAGCTTTAAAGCTGAAAATTCACACCCCTGAACATTCTCTACAAATGTGACAGCTCGCGAGGGATGCATCAGAAATATATTGTGATGTGTTATGAGAAGTCAGTAGCAACCCCCTCTCATGAGACACCTCCCACCGTGTGACTCGGGTTCGAATCCCACCTGGGCCATTATGTGGATTGGGCTTTCAGTCCCTGCCTGATTCCGTGGGTTTTCCCTAGAATATCATTCTGGGGTTTTCCTCCCACCACTAAAACTGTGTTTGCCTTCCACATCTTATACCAAGTCTTATCCATCATGTGCTTGCGCTTGCGCTGTTGTAAGTTGTCGAAATATGTAAATGAAATACAAAGTAAATAGGATACCATGTAAATATTATAATTAGTATACTAAGTTGTAGTCTGATTTGAATAATATGGTGATTTGTCTCCGTAGTGCGCCTATAATCAGTATGATTATTCAATTATTGTAGGCCTATCACTTGAGTAATTATAAATTGTCTCTAGTCCTTCATCTCGACTATCTCTCTTGCCCCATGGTCTAATCAGACAAAAAACTAAATTCAGTACAGGATGATCGCATCATCAGCAGACATCTTTCATGTGTGTTTTGTTTTGTTAATTCATTAACAATAAATGCAGAGGTCTGATCATGGGCATCCTAAAACGCTAGACATGAAACATCATTATGAACATGTCTCTTGAGGCGCTGCATCCAATCACGAAGTCTAATCCACAGGTATGAGGATTAGAACCTCTAGCGGTGCAGGCTGTAATCCGCTTAGGCCCGTAATCCCAGATTTATCCTCATAATCTCCATCGTGTTGTCAAACATTCTTCATCTGCTGGAACTACAGGTACATCTTCAGGGGCTTCACATCTCAAACATTAAATTAAGAAATACTGGTTTTTTTTATTGTAGTGTGTGGACGAATTGCAAATTTGTTTGCCTTGTGCATGCCGGTAGCTGGGCGAAAAGTCTCTTGTGAAACAAAACACTTCCCGTTACTAGAATAACATTTTGTCGACGCCACGCAAAATTCGATGCCTCATGATTCATTACATTCAATGAAGGCAGATTAATAATACCGCCCCTTCTCTAAAAATAACCTGAAGTCGACATTGTGCCGAGACGAAATGGATGTCTTTATTGGCATGTGTCCTTCGCTTCTATGTAAACTATATAAAAAAATAACGAGAGCTCTCCACCGATGAGTAAGACTTTAATCTGATCAGGTATACCCGGGAATCCATTACCCTAGTCATGGAGAAAGGAACTTCCTCCATGCCCTAGTTTACTGACAAAAAAGGTGTACCCTTCTTAAAAGCGGATCAAGGTTGTCAATTCATTTCGTTTTATACAACACTCCAACATGAAATTTGGTTTAGAAGATCTGATGAAACGCCGGTGAAAGCTCGTCGCAAATGGGGAAAGTAATCATCAAGGACTGCCTGAAATTCAAAGCGATTGTCCCACGAGCTTGTCAACGCGAGCCACATCATCATCATAGTCAAGGAGAAATTAACAAAAACAAATGTGCTGGGTAGCGACATTCATAAGGCCGGCGCCGCTTATCGAGCCGTTGTGACAAGGGAGGTCAGAGCAGCTTGAAGTTATTAAAAGATCCAACTTCATGGTCACAGTTTGTAGTTACCATCAAGATGTTTATGTTGGTCGTAAGCGGTCTCATGAGTATCAGAGTAACATTCAAGAGTGACGGTGCACCATGTAGTATTTTCTCAGCTGAATACTATTAGCACGAAATCAATGCCTTGGAGGTTTACGACTGTCGAAATAGCCGTTCAGCTTTGGAACTACATTAATAAACAATGTCAAAACAGGGAATTGGTAGGCGGAGACAAGATTTTGATGTTTAGGAATTGAAGGAGTGTCGCCTTTAACGTTGGGAAAGCAATTACATGCCGTCTGACTTCTACACACCATCTTACGCACGAACTCTCGATCGCTTAGCTGTAATGCTTGATTGATTCGGCGAAGCGACTACAGCAGCGATAAAGCCAGCATCACTCAACACAGGTAGCGCAGGCTCAGCTCCATCCAGGACAGTTTAATCAGACTCGAAGTAACTTCCAATTCGCCGTCTGGTAATTGAACGGCTTGGGGCTTTGCTAGCCTTACCCCCGTTCATTATTATCGAGTTAAGTGGTCAGCCCACGAGGCTCTAGTCCCTCGCAGGTTTACGGGCCATCCATCGCAACCACGCAAGCTGATACGCAAGTCTTCTTCCCGGAAATGTTTTCCATCCACTCCTACTTGCTCTCGGTGATAAGGAGAAAGTACAAGATGTAATCATGTTATCTTGTCAATGTCTCCACGCACGGTGATAAGAGCGCTATCGTGAGTGTCGTCCTCACTAGCCAGTTCATCATTCCAGCGCAGACGTCTTAAAAACGAACTCTCGGATACTTCAACTTGTGAATTTGAAAGAAAACGACTATAACATTGCCAAGTAGCCATGTCGACGCCCAAAATTCACATCATCCCTTCGGATGATGGCCAGGGAGATGGGAGGAGTGATCCTAGTGGTCAGTTTCTTGACCACAGCACTCTTAAAAGAAGAGACAATCGAGCCTTTTCCTCCGGAAGCAGCGGGGACGAAGACGCGTCCATGTGCACCCAGTCTCCCAGGTCTGATGACGTAACGGATGACGTCATAACAAGTCCAAAACAAGCCAGTTTTTCCCCAAGGAGAGAGCAGGGGTTCAGCCATCCGGTTGATGAGGGGTCAAGATCGCTTCTAGGTCACCCACCATCCAGACCCAGGCGGCACTCGGATTCACAGGCCTATGCGACAGACCCTGTGTTCAAGGAGGCTATACTATCTCTGAGGGATTCGAATGAGAGAACCTCCGAGGATACGGAATACTCAGCCAGGGAGGACGACCGGTTGACGGTCAACAGAGAAGCTGGCACGGCTAGGAGATGGAGCACTCCGTACTTCCAAGGTAATCGATATGTCCTACAGAAAACCACCTGCTAGTGTCTGAGATGAGAACAAGTATCTAGGAATTGCAAGTTTTATCTTGGCATGTTCTTTGAAAACAAGTGTATTGAAAGCATATGAAGCAATTGGCAAAATACCATGAAATAAAACAAAGCAGTTTCGTCATTAAAGTTTAATACATTTGATTATAGCGATTGACACATACATACTGTACCTATAATACATGAGGGAAATATACGTAGGGAAGAGAATACTTCTTGTTCAGTGGCTGAGACACGCAGTCTATAATGCTGACCAAACTAAAAAAAAATGCTGGTAATTTGATACTTGGCCTTTGTCTACATGTATCTACACGTTGAATGTTTATATTCGATGTATGTTTTGTCTTTGTATACCCTTACTTTACACACAAAAAAGGAGAAAAATGACGATTACAAGTAAGTCAATAAGTACCGAGTAAAGCTATTATTCAACCAGGCAAAACGCAGTATGTACATATCTCTTTTCAAAATATCCACAGCTTTTGTCAAACAAGTCATGATAAAAATGAAATATTGCTGGAGCACCGCAACATGCTGGTCCCTTAGGCCTATCAGAAGGTGAATACAAGGGACCGCGGTCGACCGATCAATGACACACAGATGATTATTAGCACGTGAACACGTTGACATCATTATCGCTCCGCGAATTGAATTATGACTACAAATCTCAATTCTGATCATTCAGCCGCTGGGATTCGAATATCATGCTCCCCCAAAAATGAGAGATTTATGTGGCGGACCAAGCGGAATGATATTTTCATCGTTGATATTAACAGTCTGAACTTTTAACCCTGAGGCTATTCATGGAATATGGGTGACGAGAAGAAGCTGAGTTAGCATGATTCTGGGTTCAGGCGGTTGATTGAGTTGGCTTATTTGCCATTTTGCATTTGTTCATTATAAGAAATGACATTCCGTAGTTAATAGGTATTTGTCCATAATATTACTATTTCTATTTCGCGGATCCGTCGCCAGTTTTGTTAGGCCAGACGACTTGGGAGGATTTTAATTGCGAATAGGTCTAGGGTGCGAACCAACAACAAAAGCTGTAAATTACTGCGCGCGAGCTCACTAATATTTTGTGATCCCACAGGTAATGTAGAATTTCTGGAGGTCAAACATTTGTGACTTGGAATTGTGGCTTCAAACTCGTGGGCTTCGTTCACAAAAACCCTCAACTTGTTGGCCTGTTTCGCATATAGGCGGGGGCTACATTTAGACCTGGGCCCATAGATTGGCAACCACTTTAGGGGTGCTTTTTTTGGGGGGGGGGGATGACGGGGCTTTCTCTGGTATAATTAAATAGAATTGTCGTAGAGGTCGTGATCTTTGATTTCCAGTGAAACACACATTGGCGCCTTGCTCCTGGCGGGGATTTTTCTATCCAATTTTGAGGTTTTTTTTATGAGACTGTATTTTGTGGAGTGGAACCCTAGGCATTGATAGAAGCGATTTTTAAGGGACACAGTTGACTGCTGAAGGGGGATTTTCCCAGAAATGCTCCCGAAGATGTAGCCATTGACTCGGTTACACACGAAAATATCATTTAAAAGTCTACAATACAGACGCTGCACCTGCACCTAACGCACACCTGTTGTACCCAAAGTGCCTCTCGATAGGATTTCAGCCAGCAACTTCGTTCCTATCTGTGACCGATACATACTTGAGAGAGCTTTACACTGGCTCTTCAATACCCTGTTGACATACATTATACACCTAGGTACAACACGGTAATGCAGGGGGCAATCAGAGCCTTTTTGCACTCGTGTTATCGAGAAGGTTTTCCCGTTACAGAGTCCTTTCTTCATGGTTTAACCAAGAGCTTAAGCTGCGAATTCAAGTGGCGGATTGGCAGTTCCGGAGCATACAGCGACGCTCTGTGAACATGTATTATGACGTGACACGTCTGCTAATAATTTGAGCAAAGAGAAACCAAAAGTCTGTTTTGGCTGTCGTGCGTCAAAAACAGTTTACTCCAGCGATTGTCTCAATTTAGAACGTTTGTACAGCTCCCTTTTGGAAGAAAGGAAAGCCAACAAGTGAAAAGTGAAAACACGAAGAATACATGACGTGTGTTATGTTGCACACTAACTTTAGGCCGAAGGATAAATCTGAGTTCGCCAAATGGTAAAAATAGTCAGCATCATAGAGCAAGGACCCACTATGGCCAACTGCTGAACTCTACCTATCTGATCTCAGCTACTGTCCGTGTGGTTAATCATAGTGCCACTGCACTGTTATTAATGAAGCAGGTATCGAGCAAATACGATACGGTCTCAATGCGACACAACCTCGAACACTTAAGTATCATTCCATCTTGTTCCTGAGCGCCACTATCTTCAATTACACACTTATATTTTTCGTTCATTTATTGGACATTTCAGAACACAGTTAAGTATATAGCACTAGTTATAATTACGGGGTTGAGTACAAGACGAACCAGTTCATTGGCATTTAACAGGATATACTATCTAGAATTTGACATTTGAAATGATTGCGACACTTGGGATATCACTGCACGAATAACTTTAAATCTGCAGCTTGTTTCAAGCAAAGCACAACGATCTCATTGGAAAGAAAAGACAAATGTCGGAGAATTGTTGATTTAAGCATGAAATCACAGACAGAAATTCTTGCAATCGAATTCCCACACTGACGCAGGTGTCATATGCGATTTCCACCGAATGCCCCCATTTGGCACATGCACCATTCAGAGCGTTCTCTGCATGAAATCTAAAACCCTCTTCCTCTCTTCCAATGATCTGATGGAACGCGCTCGCGTCTCCTGGAAAACAAATTCACTAATGGTGTGTCATGATGGAGAGTTGAAGTGTTTGTCAAGCCGGAGACGGAAGGAACTCCCAGCTTCCTCATCCGCCAAGTCATCAATGGGTGTAAATATCCGTTCAATCGCGCCATCTTAGACTGACTCCATGGCAACGCGGTACGCATCACTGATGAACCACGAGATGGGTTACCGGTGACTTCGTAAAATGCTGGCAACAAACCGCACTAATGGTGTAGGGTTAGGCAGTGTTCGGCCAGGCGAGGCTAAACCGAAACAAAACTCCGTTCAGGTGCTGCGTCTCTCATAATGAATTCATTGTTTCTCAGTACCGACTGTGCGAGCAGGAAAGATTAAACAATGGCTGCGAGTGTAAACTGCCCTTGTGACGCATGCAGGAGCTTATAAAATTAAGATGAAAACTCAGTACTGTATGTGTTTACGAGGAACCTGTAATGCCACTGCTTGGGATATATCGGGTTATGCATACAGGTGCCGCTCCTGTCCCAAGATGATACTGGATCTGAACTGGTAACCAATAGTCGGGCTTGAAAATACCATGGAGTTATGGAAATACACCGGGGAGCTATGGAAATACACCGGTGAGCTTGGAAACCATAAACTTTGTTTATAGCTGCTCGGCGTGTCGAGTATTGATTGTGCTGTTTTTTAATTAGAATCCTGTGGTCTGATCTAGGTCTCTGGGGCAGGGGTAACCTTACAAGTGTGTTACCTGTGGGGTCAGGTCCGGGACTGAATGACGCGCGGTTTAGCACTTTCGCAAACATGATCGATGAAAAGGAGTTGTTTTTAGAGAGACGTGTATTATTGAAAGCTCAGCAGTTTGCATGAGTTTGCGAAACTGCGAGAAAGCAGAAAGCCAGGCGGGAACACTGGAGTTCATTTATGGACACATCCTGCGAGCGAGAGGATTATTTGTGATTATAGTAGTCAGTTGATACACTGGGGGATTCAGTGGTGTGCATTTTTGTCATAGTCCTGCGTATGCTTGTCAGAACAACCCAGTCAATCCTGCATCAGGTTTGTGAAGAGAAATATAACTTCATGTCGATGGAAGCTACTCAAGGAATACTATGTTACTTCGATCTTGTCCATGACTTCATCAAAGTGTGGAAGGATATCTCTGTATTGCTTCATAGCATCTACCTCTGAGAGAACGGAAGGCTACTGTGAATCCTAAACGTCATGTCTTCACTGTCTTATTAGATTTAGCCTCATCTAACCAGCCTGGATCTTCCGTACATCCATCGAACAGGCGATGAAGGAGTGGTAATCTACGTGACGCAGGTTTGACTAGCCCAGCTCGCCACTCGCCAGAGACAACACTTTGCATTGGATATTTTTTCTTTCCTCCCTTGCTTGGTTAAGGGAACGGTGGAAGATCCTGGGCATCGAGATGGCACGCCGGCACGTACAGCCTACGTGCCCGAACCACCTTGTGTACACCAGGAGCCGCTGGGCTGGCGCGTCCAGCGCAGGTAGGTTAAGTAAACGCCTCTATTTCACAACTCCAAGGCACTTGCCTCGTGAAAGCGGCAAAAAAAAAATTACCTAAAGAGCTAATGGATTTCAAGAAGACCATTCTAAATGCAGCTCTGTTACTGACCACAGGTGAATTCGATCGCAGGTTAAACATGTTTGGGTTGCAAAACGAAACTCGTTAATTCGCGCGGTGTGGGTTCTCTTCCAGATTTTGTCCTGCGGCTTCGAGCTTCAGAAGCTGACTGGAATATCACGGTCGGAATATCACGGTCAAAATATCCTCCTGAAGAAAATACACTTGCCCCACTGGAATATTCCGTAAAAGAAGCTCACAATAACATTGGAAATTCCACTAAAATGTCTTCTCCCTTCAGCTCTATTACTTTACTGTATCTCAAGAATAAAGAAGTTTCCTTTATAAAGTCTGAACATGCTCGAATCTATTCTAGACAGCTCTGTCGTCAAAGCTTCCGGGTCAAAGGTTGTCAATATGTCTTAAGATATTTCTTAGGATTTTTTTTGAAATCTACCTAGGCATTAAGTTGGACATTCTGAAATATCCTTTCATCAAATTATTCTACTTGGAACATGTATTTATTTATTTATTACATTTCTTTACCCAGGGTATGTAGCAGTGGCGTAGCCAGGATTTTTTCAGTGGGTGGGGGGGGGGGGGGGGGGGGCTGGAACATTTCATGGGGGGCGTTATGTAGGGGCGTCAATCGCTTCTCAAAAGTGGGGGGGGGGACATACCTTGATCAGAACTGATGCGAGCGCGAAGCGCGAAGCCCTTACGGCGTGGGGGTTCGGGGCCCGCTTAAGGGCCCCGAAAAAAATTGGATTCTAGATGTTCTGTGGTGTGATCTGAAGCAATTTCTTACCACTTTCCTCCATGCTTTAACTAATATTTTCTTTAAAAAAAAAGATAATTATTTGAACATCGTTTTCGAGGTTGGAGTCATTGAATCAGCTATCGGTATTCTGAGCTATAGGCGTGGGGTTCGGGGCCCGCTTAAGGGCCCCGAAAAAATTGGATTCTCGATGCTCTGTGGTGTGATCTGAGGCAATTTCTTACCACTTTAACCAATAATTATCTTACTTCTTAGCACAAAAGATAATAATTTAAACATAATTTTCGAGGTTTTCTCAGCTAAAGGCGTAAGAAATATTTTTGAACATTGTTTTCGAGGTTGGAGTCATTGAATCAGCTACCAGAATTCTGAGCTATAGGCGTGGGGTTCGGGGCCCGCTAAAGGGCCCCGAAAAATGTTGGATTCTAAATGCTCTGTGGTGCTATCTGAGGCAATTTCTGACCACTTTAACCAATATTTTCTAAGCAAAAGATACATTGTAGTACATAATAGGGCCCTGTAAATGAGACACGAGTTCAAAAATCTGGGGGGGGGGGGGACATTTGATATTGTGTCCCCACCCTTCAAAAAGTGGGGGGGGGGGGGGGACCAGTCCCCCTGTCCCCCAGGATTGACGCCCATGGCGTCATGTAGATCAATGATAATTTTTTTAGAAACTTAAAATCTCAGTGGGGGGGGGGGGGCGACAAGGTTTCATGGGGGGGGCGTGGCTACCCCACTGATTTCAAGGAATTTTAATTGGTCTATTATTATTATTATTTAGCTTATATGAATGGAGGAAAAAGTTTGTGCGTAGCCGATTCGCGTGCATATCGCTGACTGAAACTGTGTGACCCACGGACCACCCTGTCTATAATACGTGTCCCGTGGTGTGAGCGAGCAGTGCTGTGGGTGTTAATACGCATTTTATAGTATCATTATGCGCTATCTCACGCCGGTTGTCAGCTTACTTGTCCGCGGTTTCCGGCCGAAGGGTCGTTTCTCAGTGGTCATCATGTGGATCATTCGCGACTATTTAGATTTAGATCAATGATAATTTTTTTAGAAACTCAAAATCTCAGTGGGGGTGGGGGGGGGGGGGGCGACTGGGGGGGGGGTGGGGTGCGACAAGGTTTTATGGGGGGGGGGCGGTCGCCCCCCACGCCCCCCCCCGGTGGTTACGCCACTGGTATGTAGTCACAAATGACTACACACATGTAAAAATACAATACAATAAAATAAATACCAAGGGATTAATGCATAAATTGTGAAGCAACTATTTTAAATATTGTAAAATTATTACAACTATACATATGAATATACAGTGTGAAACAACATTGCTAGCATGCTTTACTATAAAGTTAATTAAGTGAACACAAAGAATTGGCAGCTTGAAATGTCGTAGTTTGACAAGAGCTAACGTAGCAGGGAGAATCTACTGTGATTCGCCTACTTCAGAAGAACCTTAATTGCGCTACTGGACGAAAAGCCAGACCAAGTCAACAAGGAAATGTCATGTTGTCGAGGGCATATTATGCCCTCGACAACATGACATTTCCTTGTTGACAGTTTTCTCGAACATACTCCGCATTTAACACTGCCGTTGGGAGAATGTTTTAACCCACGAACTTTTATTTTTGCCGGACAAACATTGCACCTCGCCACCGTGATGCCAGGCGAGAGGAAAGAACATCAGCGGCGGGGGTTTTCCCTGTGGGGTCCGGAGCTAGTACCAGGCAAGATCGAGAGCGTCTCTTGAGCAATCAAAACATGTCCCAACCCCTTCCATTGATTGCTGTTCACCTGTCGCGCATTCTGTCTTGATTGCTTTATTTTTCGTAGCAGCTCACCCCTGGGATCCATCTTCTAGAATGATCATCTTCCTTCCCATTCTGCCACGTCCAAAGAGGTAGCGATCCCTGCCTCCCCCTCACCAGATCTTCCCCCGCGAGTTGTTTGCCTTCTTTCCAACAACAAAAATATGGAGATCACCTGCGACTTTTGCCTGTGCGATCCATAAATGAGCACTTGCAGCGCATTAGATCGGGCTCGACAGGATGAAGAGCTTCACGCTGGAGAGTTGGATGTTTTTTGGATCGACTCCGGTTTTTTTCTTGAAGAGGCAGAAATAATTCCGGCCGTAGAAATGGGACATTTGGAATGACGCGGAATGCTCACTTGACCGGACCCTTGGGCGAATGACTTTCAGAAGTTAACTTGCGTCAATCAGGTCAGAGAGAATTACAGAAAAAAGAAGAAAAAAAGAGATAAAAACAGGTGTCATACCAGACGACCCAAAACCGTCGCAAAAGAATCTTCCATTACACCTGACCTTCTACATAGTACCACGCTAAATTATGATAACCTTATTGAACACTGCGAGCAATAATAATGAGAACATGATAATATGACCTTTTGACTTCAAAATTGAAAGTTGCTCGCTGTCGGCGATTGATAGAAAGTTTAGGAACCTTTCAGGATTAAATATATTCTAAAAGAGAAGAAACTCTACCTGGGGTTTGGGATGGGGTGAAGAATGGAAGAGTGTCATTCTTGAACATGACTGGACATCGGCACAGCACAATGATCGCGGTAATCTGTATGAACGATTGGTAAGATCAACGTGAAATTGCGCGTGATCCTGACGAGTTCCGCGCTTAACGAGACGATAATGGAATATCAACATTGGGTGATTTCCGCGAGATCTGAGTGATCTATGGATTTACCAAGCCAATCTCCTGTTTACACATCGAACTCAAGTCGTCGGAATCGAAAGATAGTGCATCACCCAACGGGCTATATATGCATTGCAAACGAACAAGACGCGCACGTCGGTCTAGTACGTTGCGATAACAAATCTTTCAAATTTATCATATGACTCTCTAAAAGTTTTCATATCGGAACTCCTTATCTATTAAACTACTACATAATCAAAGCGTTCGTATACGCAGTCTTCCTGATTGGTGCTATCGCAAATGCATGAAGGGTTTGCTGTGCGAACAACAATTTCTAAGATTATTATCAGTCTTGAAACACCGTAGAAATAAATAACGAGGATAAAATCGTGAAACTGTGAAGATCAAATTTGTTACATTTTTAGTTTGCACAAATAATATCTATAGTCGTACATACCTGGGTTGATTGCCTTGGAAGTCCTCAGATAGCGTGCATGTATTCGCCAAGATAGCTTTCTCAGTACATTTCATTGAGATGCAAAAAGTTCCGTGAACTGGAAATAAAAACATTACAGCGGAAATGTAACGACTCAGCTTGTGCGATATCTTCACAGCGATGGGCCGTGAACCTTTAGTAAAACCCATCGATGATTAAAGGGAATGTACAACATTTGCTTTTGCTGCAATTTTCATGAAATAAATGGATTTGGAGGATTAGTATGTTATATAAAATATTGTTAAACTGACTTGTTTCATGTTTTGGGCTTGTAGATGCTGGAAAACCAAGAAAACATATCATGTTCTTGTAGTCTGGTTCCCTGACCCCACTTATGATGAAACGAAGCAATTAATACACTTTGGGGAATTGTAAGGTCAGAGAATCAGTCTAGCAGGCTTGTACCCCTTCACAGGTGTGTGATCAATTGCAAAGAAAAGTCAGAATAACTAAATATGAAAAATTAAGAACAGTTTTTGAAAAAACCCAGTTTTCTCCAACGCTGGTCGGCCGACCAGCGTTGGAAAAATACAGTTTTTCTTGAAAATGTCAGCACACCAGGAGCCACGATTTTAAAGGATGCTAGACCGTCATTCCCTAACAATTGAGTAAGGTATCACTATTTCGTGATAATTTGATCATTTCGTTTTTAGATGTTTGCAAATGTTGTATTTTCGCTTTAACTAGGATGAGATCACTTTACAACTTCAGAGAGGAACTGTTGAATGAAAAAGTGACATCCCAAATCCACGTGATGCGTCTTGATTCACACGTGGGTCACCATAAAGGGGAAGGTGATACCATAATAAATACATCACCTAATATATTTAACTATATTAAAATGCACAGTATATTTAGTCTCACCTGCAAATTACACGTCATGTTTATTGTATACCATAGACAACCCATAATGTTGTTGTCCAAAATGCATTAAGAACTTTGTTTTCAGTATGCAATTCCAAGCAGTGTGTTTGAAATGGAAAGAACGGAAAGGATTGGGAAGTCTCAGGGATTATTACGTTGTAAAGTGGGCGCACATACCCTCACGGTAGATAGGGACAGGAGATTGGAAAATTAAAGGGCCCTTCCTATAGTGTAGTCACAGTCACACATGCTGATAAACAGACACACAACTCGCCTGACAAACAGACAGCTAAACAATATGGGGAGGCAAGAAGATGGAGCGAATATGATGAAATGAGGCAATTGCATAAGAGCAAAGACCACAAAGACAGACAGAAGTGGGAGATTAAGAAAAGTGGAATAAGAGACAGACTGACTGTAGGGATTAAAAAAGGAACCTTTTTTTCTCGGGGTAGGGGCAAAAGAAACCAGTGGCTAAAGTATACCAGATGTTAATGTCCTACATCACCAGTCAAAGTGTCACTTCGACTGAATTTAATCCAAAATGTCTGTATTTCTTTTCAAAAAAACTAACCGAACGTAATGGGGCTAAGCTGTTCCAATTAAGTATTGAATCATTGGGGAAGAATTGACAGTGCAACTTGGGGGTACTAAAAGCAAAGCAAGCAGAGCCACAATTGGCATTTGAATTTGCCTGTTGATAAAGGAGTTCGTATAAACATTTTTAGATCAAATAACTCGCGTTGTATGTTCTATTGTATTTGGCGTTACATCGAATCGCATTAAGTTCGGATGAAGACTCATGGGCTATTATAGTGATCTCCTTTAGCTTGATTTCGCTGTGGGAAAGCACCGACCTACTTGTCGTTGATGTCGGTTATTTTGTCAATTAAGGGTTTGCCTTCACCTAGGGCCTCAGTGATCGACTTTCTGGAGAGGGTGTAAAAAGGTCCTCTTGTGACGTAATGACTGGTCGATTTGAACAATGAGTTTACCATTTTGAACGGCGTTTATATAAATTCGGCAGGTGGCACATTGTTGTCAGATCTATGTTTTCCTGTGGATGACTTTAATCGATAACCGTGAAACATTTCAGCAGGTGCTTAAGTGATTTTGATTGACACTTTCAATTTTCACACTCGCCTACGGTCGTTTGTATTAATGTCGTCTCAGCATCAAATATCATGCCAATGTAAGATCATCTTCAAAACGCTTCCTTTTGTAAGTTTTCTAAGGCGAACAGCTCCTTTAACTATAATCCGAAGTCAGAGGCACACGCAATAATTGCAATTGCTTCGTGCATGGGCAATTGCTGTAGGCCTAAATGTAATCTCCTTGATTTATACGATTATATACGGTACATTTCACATGAATATGGCTAGTTCCGTTTGGGTGTAGTACGCTAGCTGGCTTTACGAGTACACTTACAATGGAAATCTTGTAAATAACAAAAGATGTGATGACAAGGTCAAAAATATAAGGCCCGAAAAAAAATATGAAATGAGGTATGTACAGATGTTGCTGGCAAAATTCATATTTCACATAGCATAGGCCTACAACGTTTAATAGCTCCACATAATCCCTGTAAGCATAGCGACATTAAACGTATGCTCTTCAGCCTCACCACAACATACACAGCTCAGGTGTTCTCCCTTACAAAATTCCTATGAGTCAATCAATTGAAATAATTTAAAATGTGAATTTCAATCGCTCAGGCCTTGACGACAGGCTGCTAGTACACCATTGTAATCACAAGACAATACCATGATTCAGGAGCCTTGCACGACAGTCACGCCGGGGGCACTGTTCGGCCTTAAATTGATCATAATGTGATATGACAAAAATGAGCCAGCATATATGTCTCAACGTTCTTGCACAGAAGCATGCTTGAACAATTAAGTTGCATTTCAGGTGCCTAAAGGTACAGTGCACGGGCATTTTAATTCTGCGCGCGACGTGAGTCCACTGTAGTAATGTTCATTACAACAACCCTCGATGATCACTGCAGGCATCATACCTCGTTGGTTATCCAGGGTGCAGTTTACTCCGAGTCTTTCTTCTTCATTTTTACCTTCCTTGGGCAATTAACCAATGCACTTGGTTTGAAACTGACGCAGTCACTGCATTGTGGTGCACTCTTACAGGAAGTCAGGTGCACAGAGCCATTGGGAGGATTTAGGGAATACTTTTTTTCTCTCTGCTGAGTGCCACGATCGAGCTTAGTTTGTTCCGGTGTGGTACGTACATACACAGCGCTATACACAAGAATGGTAGATATTAAATAGAGAGAGGTTGTTCCTTTGTTGTCATGGTTGCGGAGAGGGCTTCATGCCGTTGCCCTGGCGACGCTGACTGAATGAAAAATTACTTGGGAGCGAGTATGTTAGGGTACTGAAGTCGAGCGTGATATATTTGAGCTGGTAGTGTGTCGACGCCTCGTGTATAGTTTGAAGAAAAAAGAAGAACGGCGATCTGCAGTGCTTGAGTTCTGATTAATAATTGTGCTTTGCTATTCTTGCCGCCATGCCAATGATTGGACTAATTAAACAGAAATTCACGAGCATGGCATTAATCAAACCAATTTCAAATATGTCAGTCAGAAACTCAGCTGGCACACGTTTAATTTGAAGGCCTATGGATGGACAGATTTCTACGAGAAAGAGTAGTTCAACTAATTTTGTACAATAAAAATACACTTCCAAGTAATGTGTCATCGAGAGCCTGTCTCGTAAATATCTGCCCAGGTTTAAGGCAAAGCTAAATCAATAAAGAAAGTCTTAAGGTCAACAAGGAATGCTTACATTCATTCTATCGTAACAAAAATTAATACGGTACCTCTAAAACTCTCAGTGTCGTGCATGCAAGCTACGTATCTCCAGGGTTTAGGCTTATGTTTAAAATAAAGTTGACGTGAGCCTCTGATGTGAGTATCACTGTGGGGTCACACTTTAGCAAACAAAAATAAATAAAATTATTGAGAACAAAAAGTCCAGCTGACAATAGCTTTGATATGTGCCATGCTACACCTACCAGATAATCAAATCTTGTAATTTTGTCTTAAATGCGTATTTTGTCTGTACAGGACTAGGATCAACCTGAACTATTTTCTATTAAATTGTGCTAGTTTGTGAGAAATGTCATCTAAGAAAAAGGCAAAACAGTACTATACGCTTCAGCTGCACACGTCAAGTGATACCCGACGTGTGTCTTAGATTCGTCTCCAATTTCCAGGTTGTATATTAAATGCAAACACGTCTCACCCCACGGGGGCATTCAGCCTTCAATGGCGCCCCTTATTGTCCCTTATCACTACACTTGACCGATTTCTGTCTGTTTGCTCATATATTTTTGCTGTCTTCCGTCATTGGAATTCGACTGGGAGGAAGCGAGCGTGTTTGTCGGGGCTGTATCCCCCCTCGGGAAAGGCTGGGGATTGGATGTTAATTTTGAGGATGAGCCTTGGTAATGTCTGTCGGGCTTTGAGGGTAAGCCGCCCACGCGAGCCCTACATTGGTGTTCATGTTCAGTTGAACTGGAATTATTTTCCCGGGTGTGAGCTGAGTTATTAGTTAATACCACAAAAGTCTTTCCCTTTTGTCAACAGAGGCAAAAGTTGGGGTACACAATCACTCAATATTGTTGGGTGTTTTAAGTTGAATTAAATTTACGACACGACTTCGTTCAGATCATCTGAAGAAGTACAGAGAAATTCTTTTTTTGCAAATACGTTTCACAAGAGGGCGGCAGACCGACAGACGAAGGCCTTTACCAGGACGGCATGCTAAAATACTGTTTTTTTTTAGAGGAGAGTAGACAACTTCGGCCGTCACTTCCTATTAGGCCAAAAAAAAAGTCTCCGGTTTCTGGTATGCGCGCGCGTCGCCGTAGCCATGCGCGTCGGCAAAATGAAAAAGTTTTTTTTTCAATACAAGATGATGTCTCAAAACCGCCAAACTCACTGGTTTGACTGGAATCCTGCTGCTGCACAATTTTAACATGTTTTTAGATGGGGTTATGATCGAGAATAAGCTTTATGTGGCCTCTCTGGACTCCCATATATTTGCACTAAGTTTAGTCGGGCACCATTTGCAGTCATCAGCCGACATTTGAAGCAAAAAAAAAAAAAAAACAGGTAAAAAAAAAAAAAAAGCCGCGTCGCCGCACCACTTTTTGGGCAAGCTCCATACCAGAAACCGGAGACTTTTTTCTTTTTGGCCTTAATACTACCTTTTTTTTTAATTCTTAAACATATGCTATTAATGTATTCATTGTTCATCAATATATGTACCCTACTGAAATAGAATCGCATACGTTCTGTCCAAGATGTAATCATTGATTTTATTCTCTGTTTCTCTCATCAGTGTACAGTGTGCAAGAGGAGAGCCCGGACCTAACGAACGTGAAGAGCGCCCCCATTGGTCCGATGGGCAGGATGGCAACGCGCAACTTCTACGAGAACAAGATTGGTCTGGCCGACGATCTCAAGTTCATTTCCCGCATGCCCGAGCTGTGCGACGTAACTTTCCTGGTTGGGGAGAGGCGGGAACCAGTCTGTGCAGTCCGGGCAATATTGGCGGCACGGAGCAGGTATGTGGCCTACGCAATGTGTCTGCACAGACAAAGCACGCAAAATAAGCTGAACGTCTGTAGCTATAATATTTTCCTATACTTTTCCAGGCCCTACACTAAATTGGCCTATATTTATATATATCTATAGGTCCACTGATGGGTTTCTACTGACATGACGGGGCACCGCACCTTGAGCATATTTTATACAGCTTGAAATTACCTAAGTAGCCTAATCCTATTTAAGCATCGCCCTAGCCAACACCTAGTACCTACAAATACACTATTGTATCCAGGAAGAAAGATACACACACTTTCATTCTTGTCCTTTGCTGATAAAGTATATTAATATGCTCCTCGTGTGCAAATACACACACTTTCATTCTTGTCCTTTGCTGATAAAGTATACTAATATGCTCCACGTGTGCAATTTGGACCCTATGTTGTATTCTTCGCGCCAAATTCTGCAGACAATTAGTGCGCGTTTTCCTCAAACCGTTGGAATGCTGCAACGTGACAATGGCCAAACTCCACACGTACGCTCATCGTTGTGGCTTTAGTGCGTACATCGTTTTAAAAAAAACCCCAACTATTTTCAAGGAAAGGTCTTCTTCCTACCTTCTCCTAAACTGTCCAGGGTCTTCCACAAGCTTCTATACTCCGGTACCGTCACCCCGTCCAGCAGTCCGCGGCGGCGCGCCAACAGCATGGAGAGCCGCTTCGCTCGCAAAACCGTCTCCTTCCTCACGCGCTCCAAGAGCAATGGCGACCCGGACGGCGGCAACAGCGCCACCAAGGGTCCGCGGACGGTGCTCATCGAGGAGTTCGATCCCGCCGTGTTTTTGAAGTTGGTGGACTACTGCCACACGGGCTGTGTGATTCTCAATGCGGAAACCGTCTTAGGTAAGAACTTGTCATTATTTGGGGACTCATTTCAGCTAAGATAATTGAATTTTTTTTTCAATGCGAGGAAATGTGAATGAGATTAGCGGAGTGAAAATGTATCAGCGCGTTTCGATGATTTCAGTTTTGTCGAAATGACGAACGGCCGAGCATACATTTGGTATGAGACGGTAAATGTTGCATTTTTTTTACTGGCAGTCTCAAGGCATATTTTTATCGGTCTGTCTACAGAAATTATTAGTCCTGGCAATTGGGAAATGGCGAATGGGGATGGATGAGTTCGGGATGCGTTGTTAACGTTGGTAGGGGAGGAACTGGATCATATTTGGTGCACGGAATACGTCAGTGTAGGCTACCTCTTCAAGTATTGTCTTCTTGTGTTGGCTTCGCACACGCACGCAATATTTTTTTACTCGGTGAAACACTGTAAAAGAAACACAGTCTATTTTCGAACAGAAGTTTGGGTGCATTTTGTGCATTTTTTATTTATCGTGCAAAAAGTGGGGGGAAAAATCGTTGGACGTTAGACATTTTTCAAAAGTGAAGGTTTGCCTAGGCCTATAGTTTTCAATTTCCTATCATTTACTCACACAGCTTTTAAACTAGAAACCAATTACAGAAGGTATCCGTGTGAGATCAAACAATACAAGCCAACGAGTTACATTGAGGCATGACGTTGAAACATTGGGGAATGAAGAAAAACTTAGCCGAACACCAAAGTCACAGATGCGTACACAATCAAGTAAAAACAAATTCCAAAAATGTGTACACAACCGAAAGACATTTTGTGCATAATTATGTGCAAGGTACAGTCATAATACGTTTTAAGTGAATATTACTACATTTTACTTAATTAATGAATAGTATTTTGTGTAAGTTAGGAATAACAGTCATGTACTGGTACCAATAAACATGACAAATATATTTACATCTTAAGGCATTTGCCTCTGACGAAGGCCTTGCTAAGGCTAAAATATCAGGCTACTTTAATTAGTTGATTTACGTCTGAAGTCCACTTAATGAAACTCAGTTAACATGATAAATGTTAATAAGACTTTATCACATTACTAAAAATGTCTGTTTGAATGTAACAGTCGCAATTTGTATATTTAAGTACATAAACCACACCGCTTTGTTTTTATAAATAATTTTAATTAAACAAATAAATACTTCTTAGTGATTAAAATGGATCCTTTTGTTCATCACACATTCTATACACCTTCACATTACAAATGCTCAGTAAGACGTCCAATAAACTTTTGGTTGCCACTGACAATTACATTCACAATAAATGTTTGTATTAATTAATTTTTTATATATAACGGGGTTTTATGTCGCACTTTTGACTAAGATCAAAGCGCTTTTACATTATTATTACCAAATAGTTCAGTTACAAACACGTGAAAGATACCCTGCGGCCTTAACCATAATATCTAAAAATGTTGGTTACTTCTGAAATAATTACATAAATTTGTGCAGCGAATGAGAACGATTTTATAATTGAAACCAAAAAAAGTTACATTGTATAGACACCAAATGGTTGTAACACGTTAGATTGAAAATAATGCGGATACCCCAAAAGATGGGCCCGTTATTGGTGCGTGTACGAATACACGGAAACACTAATCAGACTACATGAATATGCAATGCAAGAAAACAAGAAGTAACTTTTTCTCAAAAGTCAACTTCCTCCCCGCCATTAAACGAAGCTTGATCAAGCAGGAACATCGTGTCTACTTTCGTACCAATTGTTTAGACAGCGATGGTGGACCTTGCTACAATAATTTTGTGATTTATGATTGGAATGACGGCGCATTGCATCGGACTGCAAAAAAACTATTTCTTTTTAAACTGTAAAACAGCTCTGTTGTGAAATGAAATCAAATGGACGGTTTGATAACGAGCAAGGCACTGGATCGTGCTATGCGAGATGAATTGCTCGCTGGTTGCCGTCAGACAATCACGTGAGATATGACACTGACTTATGATTGTGATTCTGGCAGGGTTTTGCAGGCTAGGCACGTGCGCAAACATCCACAAACATTTCATTGCACGAAGCATTCGAGCTGTAACATCGCAATTTGTAGACACAGATGTGGGACCTTGTACACCTGGGTGAATTTCATATTTCTGATATGCATATCGAACGGTGTGTCTTTTTAAATTGTAAAAAATATCTCTGTCGTGGAATGAAATTAAATGGACTGTTGACGAGCAAGGCATTGTATCGTGATGCGACCATAATTGCTCGCTGGTTGCGCCAAACCATCACGTGAGATGTGAAACTGACGTGATTGATTTTTTAGCCGAGTTTTACAGGCACATGCGCAAGAACGCCATGTGGGACATTTCCCAATGCCACGCCCACCAGGCCAATAACATAATTATACGCAGGTGACATAACGCATTCCGCGTTACGCGTCACACTTATCTAGATCTCCAGAGGAAAAACCCTTAATTGGTTTGAACTCCATTCAGACTCGAATTTTCAAAACACAATAGGACGTGACCTGCACATTTAAAGGAAACATGCAGTCCAAAATTTTCATAACGTATTTTATTTTATATATACATTCATTTATGTGTATTAAATGTGAATTAAAAGCAGAACTGGTTCTGGTGTACGTTTAGTGTGGTAATTTGCCGTCCAAAATTGAACCCCCCCTTTTTGATTTTCGCGGCAACTCCAAATGAGGGCGCTGTTCATGACATAAACAAAGGCAGAGAAATCCAGGGCCCGTAAATGACGTCTGGGTACGAGACGGATTAGCGAAGCTACTGTGCTGTGTGTATGTGCAGCCGCCGCGTACCCGTACGTGGCATTATATGCACACGTACGAATGTGTCTACATGGGATATGTACAGTACACGTGGACGTGCCACGGTGCCACCGTTGTCGAATGAACACAACGACGACCGTCATGACCGTAAAAGTTCCGAAGACCGTCCTCTTCTTTCCTTAGCGAATCCAATGAAAATGGTACAGATTCGTCCGATTCGAATCAGAGTTCTAATGATTCAGACACGTACACTGACTCGATGTTTTTTTAGGGGCATGCCCAAGTTGCTGTACAGACCAGCATCAAAGCACGACGGCTCAAGTGCAGCGCAGAGGGCAGCGAACTCACTGGGCCCGGACCACTTTGCTCTGGTATTTACCTTCACTTTGGCTCTCCAAATGCTCCGATATTTCGGATTTACTGGAAACAAATGAAGGCTTACTCCATCCTTGGTAGTTTTGCTACACCCAGCAGCCACACACCTTGTCGGCATGGCCGAAAATCGGGTGTTATTTCTCCTCGATTCCGAACGAAACACCAGAAAAACTTTCAGTGCCGCAATGTATATGTACATGTATTATGATGCACGCCGCAATGCCGGTGCACCCGCAGCGCGGCAAGTCTCTGCCTCCGCTTGCGTCATACCCCTCGCGAAGTTTTATGTTAATGAAGCTTCCCTTTGTGGGGCGGAGTAGTTTGACCAAACATGTTCACAAATTATTTTCCCCCATTTATCTTAGAAAATAAACACCGCCATACACAAAATATTGTTAAGAACATCATCCTTTATTGATATAAGCAAAAAAAATGCAATCAAAATTTTATTTCATGTTCCCTTTAAGTGCGAGTCAGCACCAGACACAATGTGCGTTTGTATACATCCATCATAAACAAACGGATAAACAAGGAAATATTTACCCATTTGTAAAAGCTAAAAACCAGCAGGTCTTATTGTCAAAATGGCATTAAAAAGATTTAACAATCACCATTCACAATTTACAATTCACTAGCATATTTCTCAACATAACAAACTTTCATAATTAATAAATTCTGGTTTCAAATGGATACCAGTCGTGCAGAGTGCCACTTTGTACAAAATCCCGCTAAGTGGTCGTCAAAATATAAAGTTTCAAGCTATCATTCGCCATACCTTTAAGCATTGTGCACGAATAATACAACACAAACTCAACTGGTTTGAACTCCATTCAGACTAGAATTGTCTATACACAATATGACGTGACCTACACATTAAAGTGCGAGTCAGCACCAGACACAATATGCTTGTGTATACATCCACCATAAACAAACGGATAAACAAGGAAATATTTCCCCATTTGTAAAAGCTAAAAACCAGCAGGTCTTATTGTCAAAATTTACAATTCACTAGCAAATTTCTCAACATAACAAACTTTCATAATAAATTCTGGTTTCAAATGGATACCAGTCGTGCAGAGTGCCACTTTGTACAAAATCCCGCTAAGTGGTCGTCAAAATATAAAGTTTCAAGCTATCATTCGCCATACCTTTAAGCATTGTGCACGAATAATACAATAAACCTTTACAAAACTGCGCCAGGACACCACATTACACTAGAAAAGTCATGACCTTGCCTTAATATGGCCTCGAAATTGGGTTAGGTGCAGAAATCAGATTTTAGATTAAAAGAAAGTAATTACCGATTGCATGTATTATAGTTGAGGCTACGTGAGCGCATGACTTCTAAAAAGTAATAAATAAAGAGATATACCTTAATCCGACAAACTTTCCAGAACAAAGTTTCACAACTTTGGCGTATCGTGTTCTACTTAGTACTCACTTTTCTTAGACTGTGCATTTTGCCCTTCATTGTTTGGACGCGACTTTGGGGTATAGCATTGAATCGACAACGAACTATGAAGCTAAATGCTTCCTGGAAATCAGGATGAGATGTGGCGTTTGATTGGATTCAAACAGCTGTTAAAGAAGAGGATGGCCCCAGCTGGAAGCTTCCTTGTTGCGTGTGCGGAACGAAAAAGCGAAACTCAGGAATGCGTTACCGTATTATTCGCTTTATACGCAGCTCCTCGGCATGAGTTAAAACCAACCGCTTTTTCCTTTAATACGACGAGACCTTTTGTATGTATTGAAGAAACGTGTGTCCTCCGTCAAAGCGCAATTTCCGACGAAGTTACCAATGCGTGCCTTTGAGAAACAATCGAGGAAGCTGATCGGTGCGATAATAACTCGAGGCGGTTCAATATTTCGTGCCAACCAAGCGCACGGACCACCTTATTCAGCCAATTTTCTTGTCATCATTTCCAGTAATGTGACCAACCGAGAACTATTCAACTGTAATTGGTGTGAAAAAGAATTAAAAAGCGACCTTGCCTTTTGGACGTGATGCTGGAATTAGACTTGTTAGCCTCGCTGCAGTCTGTAGTCACTCTAATTGAAAATTGGCGATTCAACAAGCATTTAACCGTTAGATATAGACACGGCAAACGTGACCAGGCCATGTAATCAACCGGTCTTAGCCTTGAGGGAATGAAGTGTAGACTACTACACATACAGTACTACGTAACGGTTCTTTTTGGGAGGCACAATTTCATCATGATTCCATTACGCTAATGTGTTTTCGGCTGGAAATCATATGAACCGAAACTAAATCATGGCCTAATTTCATGGCGCTGCTAACACACACACTGTAAGCAGTAAGCACAGCAAAAGGCACGCTTACCTCAGGGGAAAAACAGTTGCTTACTTCACATAGAGCTATATTAAATTGCATTAAAATCACACTAAAATTACAGTAATGATCTTACATTATTTTGTATAACTGCTGTGGGCGTCATTGCATTATGCACGGAGTTAAATTGGGGTTTCTTTTGGCGTCTGGTGAAATTGATTTTCTTTGCATAATCGATAAATTTGGCCTGTGCTTATCATTAATCGTATGAAAGCACAGGCCAAATGTATAATGAAAGTATATAGCGCTGTCAAAAGAAATACGTTTTGACTTCGCAAAGACAGCTGACGTTTGTATTAGTCAAGGAATATCGATCAACATGGCACAGAAACATGTATAAAATTACCTGTCAAGCTACCTGTCAGGCGTGGGCTTTGAAAAAAATAGGAGCATACTTTGGATTTTATTTTCTAATTTGGAGTACGTACGTTGGCGATATTTTAAAGGAAATTGGACGATCGTACGTTTCAATCTCCATCTACATGTATTGCTGGCATAAATGAATGGTACCCGCAGAACATTAATGGGCACCTATAAAGGGGAAGCGATGTCTCATTTTATTTACCAGGTCCTTGCAACTCCGAAAAGTCCATGCGATCGAACATCATTTACCCAGCAAGAACCTTGTAATGAAGTCATCCAAGTATTTCGGTATAGCCGGTTATACAATATTACGAAACGACAACCACAGACAATTTAACGCTGTCTATAGCTTTGCATTAAAGGGAAAATACAACATTTGCAAACATCGAAAAATAAAACTACCAAGTTGTTACGAAATACCTTATTAGGATGTTGGTAAACGACAGTCTAAAGCATCATGTAAAATGAGGGCACCTGGTGTGAAGTCATTTTCAAGAAAAATGGTACTTTTGTATGCATTTCCAACCGACCACCGTTGGAAAAACCTACCTTTTTTTTTAAACTACTGCTCCAAATTCACTATTTTTTCAGTCCAAATATTTGTTTGCTATTGGTTCCATGTTCATGAACGGGTGCAGGCCAGAAAGACTGGTTCCTTTACCTTACAATTTTCCGGCATTTTTTAAAATCCATTTCATCTTAAGTGGAGTCAGAGAACCAGACTACTTGAACATTTTTGTTTTTTATGTTTTTTCCAGCATTTTCGAACACAAAACTTCAAACATGTCAGTTTAACAATATTTGGTCTATTATACTAACCCCACAAATAGTTCATTCTGAAAATTACAGCAAAAGCCAATGATGTACATTTCCTTTAACAGTTACCAAATTCGGGGAAAGTAATGTCCCGCCATAAATTCAATTCCCACAGCATCTAGAACTAAATTCGTAGATAATGTGCAATTTGTTTGATAGTACCTTAATTGTTGAGCTCCGTTATCACTGTGCCGAATGTCCGCCGGGCAGGTGTAGGTGGGCGTGGTGGTACTTTGATTCTATACCACGTCCATTTCCTTATCGCGTTCCCTTTTCATAAAACTTCACCACTTTATGACATACCATTCAGTCATTAATGTCTACATGAGCTCTGGGCAATGCCAAATCATTCTTTGTAATAATATCACTATTCAGTAAACAATGTTGTCTCACCACATTGGTGTTTCACTTTCCTTAGCGATTTGTTTTCATCTGATGAGAAGTTGTTTGCGGAATGTCTTTCCATTTGCCGCGAATCATGTAGGAGAAGGCCTCCTTGAAGTCGGGGTGAGTTGTGGCATACAAGATGGGGTTGATACAGGTGTTCACGTAGACGGTTAGTCCAGCGTAGGGCGCCATACGATAAATCCAGGCTTGTCCTGGGCTGCTGGCCAGAACTATGAAAAATGGAAGGAGGCAGAAAACGTAGGCCAAGACGATATAGACAAGGTTCTTAGTGACTGCGATCTGCCTCTTCCAAAGCCTCCTACGCATCGCCCGGTCAGCTCCACTCACCGAACCGGAGACGCTTTGGGTGTCGTGACGGGCCATGCGGCGGGACGTCTTGAGAACGTACCGGAAAATAGAGATGTAGCACATCGCGATGATGATCAACTGGAGGGGAAAATAGAATACCACGCCCAAAATGTTCTGGATGTGTGCGTAAGGGTTGGATTTGACCCAGGAGCAAGTGCCGAACAAAGGTTCGTAGCCCAGCTCACCGAAGCCCATTGCCGCTGGGAGTATCGTGCAACAGACTGGCAGGGTATACGACAACACCAGCATGCAGGCGACGGTACGGTGGGTGTAGATGCGGCGTGCGAGGGCTTTTGATTTGGTGATGCCGATCCACCTTCTGACTGCGATCAGAGCTAGGGTATTGATGCTGCAGCCGTTACCGATGAGCATGGCCGCAATGGTGGCCACGCAGAGCCAGTAGGCTTGTGGGAGGGGCCAGCCATCCTCGCTCAAGACACCAACCGCCTGCCAAGGCATGAAACTACACGAGAGCAAATCACTGATGCTGAGGCTTACCACAAAGACGTTGGTGACGGTGCGGAGTTTCTTAGACAGCGAGACAGCAGTAACAACTAGGGTGTTACCTACAAATCCAGTTATTGACACCGTGAGACACATAGCTGCGAAGATTTGTCTACCCCAGTATTCTTCGTAAACCATAAACGGCCCTCTTTCCGTCGGGGTCGTCCACATGATTGCGTCTGTGGAGTTTTCCATACTAGTGTTGTGGATAGACGAATTCTCCGGCACGATCTGAGGTGCAAATTAAGCTTCTATAATGAAAAAGAGAGAAAAACAGAAAACGCGTAAGCACTTCTGCAAAACTTTGAACCCTTTTCCGCATCAAGTTAATATAACAGCAACAACCAAATAAGAACTTATCGAAATATCGAAGTGATCGAAATAATCGTCTCATCCTAGTTCGATCAAAGAAGCACACCTATGCATATAGAAATGCTATTTTGCCGTTTCCCAATGCAAAGTGAAGGTTAATATCAATTCCCATAACACTTACTATAACAATCACACGGCTTTATGAAGCTCCAACATTTAAAAATGCAATGATTGTATACATTTAATTAACCATCGAAGTTTCAAAACCACTCCTGCTATTTGACAGCTTAATTTGATTCTAACAATCGTAACATCGTAAGGGAACACAATATTTTGTTGCAACTGCCAATATGTTTATTTTTGCAAAAACAAAAGGTAAAATCAACATACCTGTGGTCTGTTCCAGTTTTAAATGCTGGTCGAGTATTAAAGTGTTAAAAGTCCCATTACCGTTAAAAGTCTCACTAAGAGTAATCGTAAGCGCAGAATGCTAACATGTCCTCCAGAAATGGAAAGCAACTGAGTGAGTATAATGGTCGTCACGCAATGGATCACCGGCACGTCGCCACGTGCATCCACAGCGGAATGCAAATGAACTGCTAGCTGTCGTGTATTCCAACATTATGTGCACGGTACATGGACGGGGGACAATTCATTTACGTGGACATTTTCCCCCAGAAAATAAAATGTGTTGGTTTGTAGTTGATGTGACTGCGCCATCGCCGCAGCCAGAAAGAGAAACACACACACAAATCTCCGCCCTAATTTTGAACGTATGCAAACTTTGAGGGGAGCGACAAATAATGTGAGCGCGACCAGGTTAATGTGTATGTCGAGGTCTTCCGATTAATTAAGTAACTAACAACACGGTCAATTAACTAAACGGGGGCGAAGAAGGTACTGAAAATCAACTTCAATTTCCACGTGCTATCACACATCATTGCGCCAGCCTATGCTTAGGGAGAAAATCTGCTACTTTTCTAGTTAAATGGTAAGTAGGTCCTTAATACAATTTGAATTCCCGGGGCGTCTCAGAAGTAATTCAATTATCTAAACGCCTACGATGTCTGTAATGTGCCGGGCAGTAACTTCAATTCAGCAGAATATGTTTTGAAAGGCAAGCGCCCGTTAATTCTGCGAAAAGCTATTTAATCATATCACAAACTTGGGAAGTTATTAAAAGGGGCACGGCCACCTGAAATCCCCAAAAATGTCATGCTTTGGATTGTTTACTTATCGTAATTCAAACATCAGTTCTGATTGAAAGGAAACCAACCTAGGCCTCATGTCTTACCGTTCCCGAGAAAAGACGAAAAATACTCCGGTTGTTTACATCGGACACGACGGAGTACGCATATGCTTTTCGTGTCTTTGTCATTCAATGTAAGATAGGCCTACACGTTGTGTATGTCACATAAATTTACACACGGCACAAATCACAACTAGCACGAACAAACCGAATTTTTGGGGTCGCAAAAGTGGACCCCGAAATTCGTTCTCGCATGAAATAAAACACAAACGGGGTAGTTCATTCTCGGGCCATTATCGCAACTTTCTGAGTCATTCTGGGGGTGAGAACTCTTAGTTTGGTTTTCAAGAACATTGTCTATGTGCAACAAGAACATTGGTTATCTGCATCCACGAAACATGAAAGACAATGCTTCCTTGAAGTCCGGGTGAGACGTCGCATATATCATTGGGTTGATGCAGCAGCCAAAGAACGTGATTTTGGCCGCGTATGGCGTCATGCGGATGCTCCAATCAAACCCCAAGGGGATAAGAGCCACAATTGAAGGCGTACGTAGAATGACGTAGGCTAAAACCACGTAGGCCAAGTTCTTGGTAACTGCAACCTTCCTCTGCCAGAGCCGTTTTTGTATACCACTTGCAATACCATTAACAGTACCAGATACAGTAGTGACATCATGGCTGACTGTGCGACGTGAAGTCTTGATCACGTAACGGTAAATTGCAGCGTAGCAAAGTGTGATAATGATGAGATGAATAGGGAAAAAGCAGATGCCAAGAATAAGGCCGTAGAGATTCGTGTATGGGTTGTTCCTTACCCACAGGCAGGAGCTGTAGCGAGGTTCGTAACCGAACTCACCAAAGTCAGTAAAAACAGGGACCAAAGCGGAGCACAGCGGGACAAACCAGGCCACAACGAGCATACAGGCGATGTTACGACGGGTATAGATGCGGCGTGTTGTGGCATGAGTTTTGGTGAGACCAATCCACCTGTTAATAGCTATGAGTGCTAGAGTGTTGACGGTACAATTGTGGCCAGTTATCAAGACGAATGCTGTCATAGAGCAAAGCCAATTAGCTTGTTGGAGTGGCCAGCCATCCTCGCTTAACAGCGCCACAGCGTCCCAGGGTAGAAAGAGGCAACTGAGCAAGTCACTGACGCTTAGGTTCAGCACAAACACGTTGGTTACCGTGCGAAGTTTCTTGGACAATGGCACGGCTGTGATGACCAGGGTGTTACCAATAATCCCCAGAATGGATATCAAGATGGTCATAGATGCTATAATCTGCCTTTCATAGTAATTCCTGTACGTTTTGAACGGTTCATCAGAAGTCCAGACAACATTCGTAGTGTTAACCCTCCACGTATCCATACTTCGGGATGGAGACATCAAAACCCTGGGGATGGAAGACAGAAATCCTAATATTATGTCAAGCAATTGAAGAGCCAGATTATAGTATCGCCTCATACAGGCTATACACACCACTGAATTGGCAGACATGTTGCGGCTTTAAAATGAACTGAGTAAGACTGCAAACATATTCGCAGCATGTATGCATGTGTGATCTTCGTGAGGTCGAAGCGACTAAAAAGGCTGCGATAAATGATGCTGCGATACCTGCAGAACTTGGACGTGATATTGCTAAACAGTTCAAGCGCATCATGCATGACTGACGTGAACACATTCACTGTAAGCACAATTCCTGTCAATCATTGATCTTTGTGGCAGTGACAGATCACTTTCTTATGGATAAGTTCCGTAAGAGCGAAAGTACGTACCTTTTATTGATGGCTGTGCAGAAGTCTCCTAAGAACAGCAAACGTTTCCATAAGTGACATCATCGTTGAAGGCAAACTGCTTAGTTGATGCTTCAATTAAGTTCCCATTTGTCAGATTAAACTTTCTGTCGGACATCTCTGGGTAAATGGGCCAGAATAATACGTCACCCTCAAGATAATCCCGGTAGGCCTGGGAATTGAGGCCACAAAGCTACGTTCATGCAGCTGGCCTGACACAATTGTAAAATATGTTCTCTGAAGCTGCTGCGTCTGCGACCTTCCCTCCTTTTTATGAGAAGAACAACGCACTGCAGGTTGGGGGCGTGTTCCAAAAACAATGAATGCGCTTGACTCACTGTGTTAAAAACTATGTTCATGTAGTACTGGAGTCCAGGTTAAAAAGAATTACTATACCTCATACATATTCATGATCGAGAGCCGAACTCTCACTGGTCAATTCACCATCACGTGCCAGATGTTATTCTTGCTGTTTACCAAACGCGCGCACATTGTAAATACGCATGCGTAGTAGAATGTCGCATGGGTTACCCGTGCGACAGTCTAATATAATAAATACGGAGACATTCCAAACCACACAAGACTTTGTACAGTTTTTTTTTTTTTTATTTGTAAGGGACCGACAAATAATGTGAGTGCGACCTGGTTAATGTGTACGTCGAGGTCTTTCGATTAATCAATTAACTAACAACACGGTCAATTAACTAAACGGGGGCGAAGAAGGTGCTGAAAATCAGCTTCAATTTCCACGTGCTATCACACATCATAGCGCCAGCCTATGCTTAGGGAGACAATTTGCTACTTTTCTAGTTAAATGGTAAGTAGGTCCTTAATACAGTTTGAATTCCCGGGGCGTCTCAGAAGTAATTCAATTATCTAAACGCCTACGCGGTCTGTAATGTGCCGTGCAGTAACTTAAATTCAGCAGAATATGTTTTGAAACGTTTTAAAAATATGTTCTCTGAAGCTGCTGCGTCTGCGACCTTCCTTCCTTTTTATGAGAAGAACAACGCACTGCAGGTTGGGGGCGTGTTCCAAGAACAATGAATGCGCTTGACTCACTGTGTTAAAAACTATGTTCATGTATAGTACTGGAGTCCAGGTTAAAAAGAAATAAACTCAAAGCTAGTGGGTAACATTCCTCAATGCTGATTTGAACGCATCGAGGGAGGGTAGACTGGCTGGGTCAAAGGTCAGGGAGTTCCAATCTTTGCAACTTTGTGGGTGACGAATGATGAGGAGTAGACCTGTGTTCTGCAATGGGGCACGAGGAACCGTGAACGGCCCGATGTGGCTTCAGAGAGGAAGGAGCTGAAGTGTATGTCTTCCAAGTTGAAGCGGATCCTATAAAGCATCCCTAGCCGGCTCTGGAGACGTCTGGCCTCGAGTGGACTCCAGTGCACTGTTAAAAGTCGGAGACCAACTCATGAATCCGAAACACGGGGAAGCAATCTGCAGTTAATCAGGCATGCAACTGGTAATCGAGAAATAACGGAGACATTCCAAACCACACAAGACTTTGTACAGTGTTTTTTTTCCAATTTGTAAGGGCATTCAAGTAAAACACGAGGAAATGAGCGGGTCAGTCCGTGGAAAGGTTTGATGCCTGAAGTAATGGTACGTATTTCGGTTGCAATAACGGAACATGCAGTGATTTCAAGGCACCTATCACATACAACATACTTAAGAAACACTTAATTAAATGTATGGTTGACTGGTCATTCTATTTCGCACATCACAACCCCCAGGTTGCAATAACGGAACATGCAGTGATTTCAAGGCACCTAAGAAACAATTAATTAAATGTATGGTTGACTGGTCATTCTATTAAGCGCGTCACAACCCCCAGGAGTTGTGAACTGTTTTGGCACCGTAAAGAATTACAGGGAACAAAACAGAAAGCCAAATGCCAATCAGTACAAGGTATGGAAATGCAAATCATAAGTACAATGGAAAAAGCACTGAAACCTGTACATCCAGCCATGCACAGCTTCATTGGTAGTTTGCCTGCAACAAGACAGTATATGAAGCCATTTTGTGCTTGACAGAATCTAATTTTTACCGCCGGTGTCACATGAAAATTCGACTCCTATGACAATCGGACCCCTATTTCCCTATTATTGGTTGATCCCTCGCACGTGACAGGTCACTCTCCCGAAATGATCCTAAAAATAGCACAGTATTGTACTCACGCGTGCGCAGTACTACCAATGAGTCCACATTTCATGGAGTCGGATATTCACGCTACACTGGCACCCCACCGTCCACTCACAAAAAAGTTATTACAATCAGCATCACCTAGGGGTAGGAGTAAAGCAGTTATGAAGTTGTAGATTTATAACAAGCAGCAAAGTAGATCTAGAGATGAAAGATTAGAAAGATTAAAGTTAATTAATCCAGTAGCTGACAGTTGACAAAGCATAGCGCCAACAGGTCTTTAACCAATTAAAATGGTCATCTGATATGTTCTTACTATCGAGATTGCAGTAAACAAAAGACACTTGAACAAGCAACGAAGGTCAATAATCAGATTAAATGATGTATTTATTCTGTGTATTAAAAAGCTAAAGCAGAAGATGTGATAACTTTAATTGATGAATATAGTAAAAGTTTATTTTTAAGAATTACACTATAATGAAAAGGACTCCTTAACCCCAAAGTCATGCTGTAATTCAAAATTACTTATTTGGAATGAAATGACCAAGAAAGACATTAATATCGATTATGCCCGATGGGTGTTTATAAATCACCTGATGTCTTCGTATTTGCGCTTGTCGTACCGTCATACTGTACAGGGTGTCCCAAAAAATGCTCCACTCTCCTCTTTTTACAAATTCAAGCAAACCTGAATGCATAAATTTTCTTATTATGCAAGGTAAGAATGCTATGTGTCTTGGTTGTTATCTACCCAAAAAATCGGATCATACTATCAATCCACTAGGGACAGAAATGCTTAAATATGAACTCGCCTCCATTTGCCAACTGCTCTGGGGACTCAAATCACCAATTTTAAAATGTCGATTTTTGTCAAGTGTGCTTTTCAAAAATTCTACTTGGTATCTATTATGAAAGACCAGTCATCAGTCGTTATCAAGCATACAAGAGAAAACCAACCAACCATGGCATTGTCCATTTATAGGACTTTGACTAAAAATACCTATTTGTAAATCAACCACACGTAACAATTGTTCACCTATGGCTGATTGTTCACAATTGTTACGTGTGGTTGATTTACAAATAGGTATTTTTAGTCAAAGTCCAATAAATGGACAATGCCATGGTTGGTTGGTTTTCTCTTGTTTGCTTGACATGCATAATAAGAAAATTTATGCATTCAGGTTTGCTTGCATTTGTAAAAAAAAGGAGAGTGGAGCATTTTTTTGGGGACACCCTGTACATCGGGGAAAATCGAACACTGCCACGTATTAGCGCGGAAAACAAACACAAACCCTCCGAATTAGCTTCTATTTAGCGGACATCTATTAGTTTTGTCACGTTTTGCAGACAGGTCGAACACATAATTCATTTAGTCGGCGTTGACAGGCAAAAGCTTCTGTTGCATTTACTCTAAGCACATGGTCAACTGAAAACTATCTTTTAAGCACATGGTCCACTGAAGACTATCTTTGAACGAATACGGCTAGACTTCGCCAGAATTTATCAGTCTTCAAGAAGAGTTACGTTTACACAAAGTTACGACGAAATTTCTACGAATGTAGGCATGGCCGCCCCGCGGGGTTGTCTTAATCAAATTAACTTCTTCCGTCTTCCAACACATTAAAGATAAAGTAATATTTAAATTGGCAGCACCAAAGAAAGAGTCATGTACATATCTGTCGAAAGGATAGGCAACAAATGTCACGTTACGTCCAAGGCGTGCCCTCTCCTCATTCAGTACCTCGTAATTTGTTTGTTGATGTCGACTTCCATTCCATCTTCTTGATTTATTCGATTTATTTACGTGAGAAAGAAGTTTCTTGTCCTTGGTCCGTCGTTACGGTACAATTTACGTCGAAGGAGCAGTACTTTCGATCGGCTACTTCACAATATGGAATTGCGTAAGGATTGGCTATGACCCAGGAGCAAGTGCTGAAGAAAGAATCGTATCCGAACTCACGGAAGCCAATCGCTGTTGGGAGTATGGTGCATCGGACAGGCAGAATATAAGAGAATACCAGCAGGCAGGCGATTATAGATACAGCGTGTCAGGGCCTTAGACTTAGTGATACAGATCCACCTTTTCAATCCTATATATCAGAGCTAGGGTATTGATACTGCAGCCGTTACCGATGAGCATGGCCGCACTGGTGGCCACGCAGAGCCAGTAGGCTTGTCGGACGGGCGAGCCAACTTCACTCACGACAGCAACCGTTTTGCTTGGTGGAGCTATCGACAGAGTTAATGTATAGCAATACTGGCGATATGAAATGCAAATACACTTTTATTGAGAGTGGCCTACATGACTGTGTCACTGCGCGTCGCTGTGGCAAATCTCATTAATTAAATATTAAAATGCGCATTTCCCATTACTGCTCTATAGTACATAATCTACCTGTATCTCAAATTGGAAATCTCGCTTTTTTTTTAAATTACAACTCATACATCTTAGGCACAGAAATAAACAATCATCTTTTCAATTCATTTCAAAACTTCCTTCGTTGTAGGCATTCTTAACAATTCAGGTTATTTCTCGTATCTTGCGGTAATTCTCCGCCGGGCATTTTCACTTTTTTGGGAGTGAACTTTTGGATTATAAAAACAAACGTGAACAGGAACAATCCGCTGGTGGGAATAACGAGCACAAATGGATTACCTCAGTTGAAAATGAGGTTGGATTACTCCTTAAACTTATTGTATAACATATTGAGGTTTCAGTATAAGTAAGACGCATTCCCAGTCACGCTTTTTTCTATTCCAGTTGGCCCGTGGCCCACCACCATCCTTACAAAACCAATTAGATTCAAGTTTTGTAAATCTCATAACTCGACTTCGCTTACGCCGGCGGTTTTATGGCTCAATCGGTCAACTCCACTTGACGTTTTGATGTCACTTTGCAAAGTTAATGACTATCATTAGCTGAAACAATTCTAATAACAACTATGGACGTCTTAATCAATCATGGTACAAATAGTACCTTCAAGTGCTTGTACCAGATGAATAATTTCCGATCGACGGGCTAGATTTTCGGGCCGTGATCTCAAGTTTCTGAGTCATTTTGATGGTGAGAACTCTTAGTTTGGTCAACAAGAACATTGTCTATCTGCATCCACGACACATGAAAGACAATGCTTCCTTGAAGTCCGGGTGAGACGTCGCATATATCATTGGGTTGATGCAGCAGCCAAAGAACGTGATTTTGGCCGCGTATGGCGTCATGCGGATGCTCCAATCAAACCCCAAGGGGATAAGGGCCACAACTGAAGGCGTACGTAGAATGATGTAGGCTAAAACCACGTAGGCCAAGTTCTTGGTAACTGCAACTTTTCTCTGCCAGAGCTGTTTTCGTATACCACTTCCAATACCGTTGACAGTGCCAGATACAGTAGTGACATCACGGCCGACTGTGCGACGTGAAGTCTTGATCACGTAACGGTAAATTGCAGCGTAGCAAAGTGTGATAATGATGAGCTGAATAGGGAAAAAACAGACGCCAAGAATAAGGCCGTAGAGATGCGTGTATGGGTTGTCCCTTACCCACAGGCAGGAGCTGTAGCGGGGTTCGTAACCGAACTCACCAAAGTCAGTAAAAACAGGGACCAAAGCGGAGCACAGCGGGAAAAACCAGGCCACAACGAGCATACAGGCGATGTTACGACGGGTATAGATGCGGCGTGTTGTGGCATGAGTTTTAGTGATACCAATCCACCTGTTAATAGCTATGAGTGCTAGAGTGTTGACGGTACAATTGTTGCCAGTAATCAAGACGAATGCTGTCATAGAGCAAAGCCAATTAGCTTGTTGGAGTGGCCAGCCATCCTCGCTTAACACCGCCACAGCGTCCCAGGGTAGAAAGAGGCAACTGAGCAAGTCACTGACGCTTAGGTTCAGCACAAACACGTTGGTTACCGTGCGAAGTTTCTTGGACAATGGCACGGCTGTGATGACCAGGGTGTTACCAATAATCCCCAGAATGGATATTAAGATGGTCATAGATGCTATAATCTGCCTTTCATAGTAATTCCTGTACGTTTTGAACGGTTCCTCAGAAGTCCAGACAACATTCGTAGTGTTAACCCTCCACGTATCCATACTTCGAGATGGACTAGACATCAACTGACCAAACCCTGGGGATGGAAGACAGAAATCCTAATTATGTCAAGCAATTGAAGAGCCAGATTATAGTATCGCCTCATACAGGCTAACACACCACTGAATTGGCAGACATGTTGCGGCTTCAAAATGAACTAAGACTGCAAACATATTCGCAGCATGTATGCATGTGTGATCTTCGTGCGGTCGAAGCGACTAAAAATGCATGATGCTGCGATACCTGCAGAACTTGGACGTGATATTGCCAAACAGTTCAAGCGCATCATGCATGACTGACTGCAAGCACATTATTCCTGTCAATCATTGATCTTTGTGGCAGTGACAGATCACTTCTTAATGGACAATTTCTGTAAGAACGAAAGTACTTACCTTTTTTGATGGATGTGCAGAAGTCTCCTAGGAACAGCAAACTGTTCCATAAGTGACATCATCTATATCTGACAGTAAACTGTTTTGCCGATGCTTCAATTAAGTTCCCATTTGTCAGATTAAACTTTCTATCGGGCATCTCTGGGTAAATGGGCCAGAATAATACGTCACCATCAAGATATTCCCGGCAGGCCTACAAATTGAGGCCTTAAAGATGCGTACATGCAGCTGGCCTGACACAATTGGAAAATGTGTTCCTTATTGCTGCTGCGTCTGCGACCTTTAAAGTCGGAGACCAAGTTATGAATCCCAAAACACGGAGAAGTAAACTGCAGTTCATGGTGCGCATTTCAGATGCAACAGCTGAACATTTAGTGATTTCAAGGCAGCCATCACATACATATATCGATTATGCGCTTGTCGTACCGTCATACTGTTCATTGGGGAAAATCGAACACTGCCACGCATTAGCGCGGACAAACACAGACCTTCCGAATTGGCTCATATTTAGCGGACATCTATTAGTTTTGACACATGTTTGCAGACTAGACAGGTCGAACACATAATTCCTTTACTCGGCGTTGACAAGCAAAAGCTTCGGTTGCATTGACTCTATGCACATGGTCCACTGAAGACTGTCTTTGAGTAAGCACGGCTAGACTTCGTCAGAATTTATCAGTCTTCAAGAAGAGTTACGTTTACACAAAGTTATGACGACATTTCTACAAACGTGGGCGGGCCGCCCTGGCCTGCGGAGTTGTCTTTATCAAATTAAATTATTCCGTCTTTCAACACATTAAAGATAAATTCGGGAGCAATATTTAAATGAGCAGCACCATAGAAGGAGGCACGACTGTGGAAATGATAGCAAACAAATGCCTACACGTTACGTCCAAGACGTGCCTTTTTCTCATTCAGTACCTCGTAATTTGTTGGCTGATGTCGACTTCCACTCCATTTTCTTGATTGATTCGATTAATTTACGTGAGAAAGAATATTAAGTTTCTTGTCCTTGGTGCGTCGTAACGGTGCAATTTACGTCGAAGGAGTAGTACTTTCGGCTACTTCACAATATGGAATTGCACGAGACATCTTGAATTGAAACACTTCAAGAACGTGTTTCTATTGGTGCTATCTGTTGACAAATAACTGCAAATGCTTCCTTGAAGTCCGGACGAGATGTGACACATCATTGGGTTAATGCAACAGCCAAAGAACATGAATTTGGCCGAGAACTGTCATTCGGGTGCTCCGATCGAAGGGTATTGAGCTACCACTGACGGCGATCGAAAGATTACGTATGCTAGTCAGGTTCTTTGTTACTGTATTTTCTTTTCCACATCAGCTGTTTTCGTTCATCATTTCCCACACCGATAACAGCACCTGATTCAATGGACTTCACGGTTCTCAGGCGATATCCCAATCAGGTTATGTAATGATGTAATTGTTAAATTGTTTCATCATATCGGTATTTTATTATCCTTAGGGCTAACATTTGGCCTAACGTTAACAGCTTGTCTGTGGAATGTATTTGCAGTTGCCACGTATCATGTAGGAGAAATTAAGACTCCTTGAAATCGGCAGTCGGGGTGTGTGGTATACAAGATGGGTTTGATTCTGGTGTTGACGGTTAGTCCATGCAGCGCGCGTAGGGCGCGATTCGATAGATCGAGGCTTAATTGTTCTGGGCCGCTGGCCAGAGCAAATAAAAATGGAAGGAGGCAGAAAACGTGGGCTGAGAGGCAATATGCCTCTTCCAAAGCCTCTTACGCCCAGATGCATCAGCTCCAATCACCACACCGGAGAGAGTTGGAGTGTCATGACGGGCCTTGCGGCGGGACGTCTTGAGAACGTACCGGCAAATCGAGATGTAGCACATCGAGATGATTATCAACTGGACGGAAAAACAGAAGACCACGCCCAAAGTGCTCTGATGTGTGCGCAAGGATTGTCTGTAATTGACCCAGAAGCAAGTGCCGAAGAAAGAATCGTATCCGAATTCGCCGAAGCCAATCGCTGTTGGGAGTATGGTGCATCGGACAGGCAGAATATAAGAGAATACCAGCAGGCAGGCGATTACAGATATAACGCGTTTTCAGCATTTTCCATTAAGTGCACTGACTGGAAACGCCAGGTCGTTAGTTGGGGACTGATATGAACGATATTTGACTGGTCGACACATTGTTGCAGAAGAACGGCACTGGTGGATGCAAGCAGTACTAACGTAATTCTGGGCAGGCGTATGACTGCTTTGATATAAAGAGATACTAGTTCACCTGCTCACAGTCACTTTGTAATAAAAACTATAATCAAAACAGATACTAAGTCTGAATATTGGTAAGATATTAATCGTCACAGTGAAGTGTTGTGGCCTCGTGGTTAGGGGCATAGGATTCGTGGTCTGCGGGTAAAGCTGCAGGATGTGGGTTCGAGTCCAGCCTTGGGTCATGGTGCGTGTGCCCTTGGGCAAGGCCCTTTGTCACTCGATTGCTTCTCTCCACCCAGGAGTAAATGGGTACATGTGAGGGCAGAGATGGTCATTGTGATTGAATTAGCTTCCTTGCACCTAACAGGCTGCATCGAGCTGTATACTTCCCAGGGAGCTGAGACGGTATCTGGAATGTTTCATGGGCCCAATGAGCAGGGGTAATAATGATGTAGCGCCTTGAGCACCAGTCCTGTTTGATACGTGCGCTTTATAAATACCCATTTTTATTACTTAATCTTTGTATTTTTTTACAATATAATATTCTTGAGATCTTTATTTTCTCCGTATTTCTCTGCAGGTCTGATGAATGCTGCGGACTACTATGGCTTGGACGAGCTACGCCGAGCATGCATTGAGTACATGCACAGCTGTCTGGACCTGAGCACCGTGTGCCTGCTGCTTGCCTCCGCTGAGAAATACATCCAGTACAAGGCCACCAAGACACTTGTCCAAAGGGTTAGTATATCAGCCTGATCCTGTACAAGTATTATGTCATGTCAAAAGATGATGCCAGGGTGACATAATTGGTTGCCTCGTAAGATTATTGGGTAAGTCTATGTTCCACCTCTACAGGGAGGCACTCAGAGTCAATACATATAGTATAGCTTTGACCGACACTCCTGATATTCCTGGATGGCGGAAAGGTGTTATCCATAGGCTGACAAGATTAATTGATGGTCAGTAAAACTGAAATACCACAGTAGACAGTTTTGATGTTAAACCAAAGCTTTGGTGTTTGTCTTTTTTTCTGTTTAGGCTTTGGAATTCGTGGATGAACACGGTGAAGATGTCCTTGGTTTCCCAGCCTTCCTGAAACTCCCACAGCACGTGGTCCGTCTCATCCTATCCCGAGACGAGCTACAGGCTGATGAGCTGACGAAATTCCGCGCCGCCCTGGCCTGGAGCACTCTCCACTTCCGCAACACTCCCGGCACCTCCATCAAAGGTGCCATGTCGCCGTTCGTAGACACCATAGCGTTCCATCTCATTCCGGCCTCGGACCTGATGCAGGAGGTGCGGGACTCTGGAGTGGTGCCCGATCACAAGATCATGACTGCCCTGGCCTTCCAGGCCGACCCGGGCAGCGTGGATGCCCGGTCCCTCTCAGCTACCCCGAACCGGGTGCGACTGTCCATGCTGAGTCTCACTCTGGACGACCGGTCATCAATGGCCGGAGACACACAAAGTGCTGCTGAAACAGAACGGACGGACCTATCGGATGACGAAGCTTCCGATTACAATCTCAACAACCGTGGCTCACCGACCAAATCTTCAGAGTTCCGGCGACTCAGCACAGTTGACTCGGACGATGGTCAGGGAGGGAATCGAACCGATCAGATGACAGAGTCGGGGTTTGGGGACGCGGGGACAGTTACCTCCCGTCACTGTGACAATGAACCAAGCGCCATCTTTGAATATGTCCCAGACAATCACAGCTACCACTTGAAGTCACATCTGGAGCGCCCTCGCTCGGCCGATGAACTCTCTACCGCGAATTCGCTCAGCAATTTCGATTCCATGTCTATGTCGACGAGTTCTGACGTCACCGATAGCAGCAGTGCGGGCGGGAGCTTTGGTAGGGCCGACCAGAAGATGTCGGTTCAATCAATAGGAGCCAAATCGCCAATTCCCGGCATACCTTTCTGAGGGCATGGACCGTTCATTATAATATAATTATAGGAAAACTGAGTTACCGAATAAGAACCGACGTGAAGCTTTTTACTGTTGCCGCGTCTCTCTCTGACCAACAAAATGGAGACGTTGATGCACGAAGGAGTCTCCACACTCCTAACTAACTTTTGTTTTGCTCTCGTTTATTATATTGTGTACAGAATTTAATGTGCATCGCATCCTTGCGACAATGTCTTTATTCTGTGTTGATACTACTTATGGTAAGATCAGCGGTAAATTAACTGTGGGATTGGTTAGCACTTGAACTAGCTGTGTCATTTACTGTCCTGTATGCATGAACTGACATTGGGCTACAATATTTTGCAATTTGTGTATCAGTAATTTGACAAACAACTAGCATGGAGGTGTACATACAAACAATGGCCGCATTCATATTAGTTTCAAAATGTACGATGCAGTATAAAGTTTCCTTCAATTATTAGTCGAATCTCTCGACAAAGCACTGCTTGTTTTAGAGGAATATCATGATGATCGTAAGAGCTCTTTGCCGTGTTTAAGGTATCAAAAGCTCTCCGGCTAAAACTGTACATATAACATGTGCACTATACAAAGTTTGTAAGCTTGGCTCACTCAACGAAATGGTTCATATTTTTCATCCAAATGGTGGACATAACAGTTCAGATGTTGTCGGTATGATATTCTCCAGTGTCGAACTATTTTGGTGTCGACTCAGCGTTTGTCTACATGTCACTTTAATAGTTGTGTATACGTGCCACTTTTTTCCTTTCAATCAGGTATGTCTTTAAAGCATGGTTTTGGAATTTATGTCGGCTGCGAACAGTACCCAATCATGACGCATAATTTACTAATGTAATTTGTTAATGTGAAGTATTTTCCGGTAACGTTGTTTGTATTTTATAGAAAGTGGTGTACGCGTTTGCCATTCTGGGGTATATGCCGTCAGGAAGATATTATTATACTTCCAATATCACAAAATTAACGTACATACCAAAAAGCTACTTTCATCTCGGTTCAACTTTTGCTAGCTTACAAAAACTCAGGGCATGTTGACAGTCACTAAATGCATAGCTGATGCTTCGATAATAAACGATATATACAAGTACATCTTGCATCGAGACTACCAAAAAAGAACGACGAAACCACACAGGTCATGACATAAAGTCACGAAAGAAGTTGGTGTCGTCACTGTGAGTAAAAAATGTTTTTTTTTTCACAAAGCTTCGTTTCTGTTGAATTGGATGTTTACATCATGTGCATATTGGTAAGGGCGAAGAATGGATTTCAGTGTCGACTGTGAGTTGCAAAGTGCACAGGCAACGCTTGCAAATAAATGTTTGGAACGGGGATAAAAGCTGTATCAAATATCGCTTGCTGGTTTATCAGGAGACGTTTAAATGTCAACTAATATACATTCATTAAAATATTACATGTAATACTCGTAAACAAGACTACCAAGATAAATAACAACTCTCCCAGTATAACAACAATAATAGTCTACTTATTTTTTGTCTTTGATTGCTCAAGCGGTTGTTGCCTTTTCTTTGGTTCAAATCACAACAGAGTCATTGTTCCTAAACAATAATGGGAGACCTTATGACCATGGTGAGACTTTATAACGGTCATGGCGAAGTAAAATCAAATCTAACTAGCAAACCTTTCGGACAATTGAAGCAAAAATGTTACAGCAATTGTTAATTGTTTGTTTTTGGTGAAAATTTCTTAACTCTTTAAATTTGCAGAAGATATTTAGCTCGCTATTACAAATACGATGGCGGAAATCTGCATGCAAAGCATAGCCTAACGTTTCGTGTGTTGACTATATCTTTCTTATACGATTTAACACTGAGAATAATTTCCCGGACGAAATTTACTGCCTTTGCTATGTTCCTTCGTTGTCCTTTGTTAAATATCATACAACGCTTGAATAAATCCCCGTCATCTGATTGGTTGGTCGAGACACGTGTCCATTAAATTATTCATCTTAACCCACGGCCCGATCGCGATTTTTTTTTCTCCCAAACGACATCCACATATGGGTGTACGCTATGGCGTTTTGGACTTAACTTTTATGAAAACATGAGAAGAACATATAAAAATGAGGAAAAAAAGAATTGGAACGTAATGAAATTCGGACTTTATTTCCCTTTTAAAAAAAATCCTCCAAAGTCTCAGGTTAGAAAAGGGAAAAAATTCGGGTGCCAAACCAAGATGCGAACCCGCAACCTCGCGGTGCAAATCCTATCCTCTATCGACTGAGCTGTCGCACTACACGCCAACATTTGGGGAAACAAATAATAACCTGCGCGCGTATCATAAAAGTATCGTAGAGGGCGCTAAACAACTATGTATGCGGATGTCGTTTAGGAGAAAAAAATTCTCGGCCCGGTCGCACCGCAAAAGGGTCCATTCCAGGGTAACGAACAATTGCAACGCAAGGTCGCACTATATTACTACTAATCACTTTTAGTAATCAGATGACGAGGATTAGGCGTTGTTTTCAAACAAATAATTAATGGTTCACATTCTTGCAATGGAAAGAATCACTTTTATCGGTGACAAATGGAATGTTCCATTCCATCTATGACCTCATGAAAATACCACCGCACTCTTAACTGTTCATAATCGTCACTGCCATACATACTCCGAGGGCAGAACTGACCTCCAGAAGCTGATAAAACTAATGACCCCGAGGTGTTGGATGATTGGGACCATCTCCCGAGGCGAAGTGAAGTCCCAATCATCCAACACCGAGGGGTCATTTGTTTTCACTATTTCCCCGCAAAACATGTTGTATTTGTTTTACTATCCCTCATGTATATTCATCAGGCAGCTGCGGTATTTCATTCGTCCATTCCACCATGTTTTTGAGCGTGCAGTATTTGGATAAAGTGAAACACTATTTTAATTTAAGGAGACAGACAGAATAGAAAGTTAATTTTGTGTCATTTAATAACTTTAACATTCACGCAAAACACTGCATTTATTTTTATTTTGTAAAATTTCACCCACTTCCTCCTCGGTTAAAATCGCCAAGAGGGCGCGCTACACAAACACTGCTCACCGCGCTCCGACGTCTGGCCATTCGAGATGTAAACACAGTTATTGAAAATTGATAGTAACCGCCAAAGAATGAATGTAATATATTGAAGGAAATTGACGTGTAGGGGTGCACACCTGTGAATAGGCCTAAGCCCATCCGCCGAGCTCATGAATAAAAGTCGTACCCTCAAAATATTCTATATTAGAGAGTTCTGAGAGCCACAAAATTGGGGAATTGAAAAAAAATATGGCAATGAACCTCTGGCCCAGACTTGGGAATTCCAATTTTGAGCATTTTTGATGCGATTGAGCTCGAAAGTGGCGCTATTTTTTCATGTTGTGGAGGGATCATTTTTCAAGCTGGCTACTTTTCCGCTTTGGGAAAAATAGGGGTCGTCTTTTTTGGTCAATGGTCAACCCACCAACAATTGAAAAAAATAAATAAAAGATGACATATTGATCGCCATTTCTCTGCGCAGCTTAAAAACATGTGAGAGTTCCGAGTACAGAAGTATGGGTATTTAGCACTAGTGTCTATGGGAATTTTAATACACTGTAAGGGACTCTCCGTATTTTCTCGTCATGGAACATTTTTTTTTCAAAAAGCGGGCGCGCTACACAAACACTGCTCACCACGCTCCGACGTCTGGTCGTTCGAGATGTAAACACAGTTATTGTGAAAACGGGAACTCAAGATAAAAACACATTGTATTGCAATGACATTTCATGTAATTTTTGCCATGGTATTTGACACGAAACTCTAGAAAATTGACAGGAACCGCTGAAGAATGAATATGTAATAATAATTTAAGGCAATTGCAGTATGAAGGACACATGTTGCCACTTTCAGAAAAGTTTTTTGTCATCTTTGACCCTGAAAACATGGCTTTAGATACCTTATTCGTTCAGTTATCTGCAATATTGGCTGAGATATAGCAAACAATAGATTTTTCAGTAATGGCGGCACTAATTTGCAGAAAACAATACGTGGGACATTTTTTTTTGAATTTTTTTAACATAGCAAATCGTTTTCTACGCAGTTAACTTTGTCTGACCTAAAGCCGTCAATTAGAAATTGATTTCCGAGGGTGCTCGATTACCCCTTCTTCCCACTGGACTAATTAGGTTGGCTGTGAACCAGGACTGACAAGGCGACACGAACAAAGAAATTTATTGTTTTGTTTACGCAGCCATATGGTTGCGAAGGGCGATTTCTAAAGGTTACGTAACACTTTATTTTGAATGAAATTACATGTACATAGGCATGGTCACGTTGGCGGGTGAAATCTTTGAAAATTAATTGCTCCAGGTTGGAAGACCGTATCTTCATGCAACTTGCAGGATTTATATTTCCCCTATAATGATCCAAGTATGTGCTAAAAGTCGTTGTGATATGTTCATTACTTTTCGTTGAAATCGGAAAAATAGGCCTCGCTACGTGCAATTTTGAAAATTGTAACACTGGCGTGCGCAATATCTATCAATCTTTTGAAGCCTCACGAATATTAATGAGGTTCCTATCCATTACGATGTGCAGTAAACAATGGGATAAAAGCCTCCTTCACGAGTTGTTAATTAACAAATATTACCCTTTTTGCCGTCTTCCATTGGTCGATACTGAGACCCACGCCATGTCACGCAGATTTTTTTCACTGACATGAAGTTTAGAATTTCTTTTTCAGTTAGAATGCAACATTTCAATCACACCAAGCATATTTTCTGAGAAACACAACGTTAACTAGAGCTAGTGTGCTTCCCGAAGCACGGATATCAGCCTAAATTGCCATTTCAACGGTTTGTCTGAATACTGACTCGCACCGACCACAAGGTGACCATTGCTAAATGTGGCTGAGATCGGCAAAGGCATGTAAGAGAACTACTATGAACATAAAAAAATACAACAGGACGGCAAAGATTTAAAATGTAAAACAGCTTTTTGATTTTTTTCATAAAATGACCCCTAATGACCAGTAAGTGACCACTGGCCAAATTCTGTGAACAATTTTTGTGAGGCTTGGTCCAATGATACAACTGAGCAAGTTTTACATTAATTGGGTCAAGACTGTGGGAGAAGAAGCATTTTGTAAATATTATTTAAATGACCACTACTGACCATTGGATGACCATTGGCCGGATTTTACGAACATGGCTAGTTAGGGCATGTGTCAAGGTTTAATTTGACCAAGTTTGTTTGAAATCGGCTGAATATTTGAGGAGTTATGGCCATTTTTTCATTGGTCACGTGACCGTTTGCCCGAAGAAAGAAAGAAAGAGAGAAAGAAAGAAAGAAAGAAAGAAAGAAAGAAAGAAAGAAAGAAAGAAAGAAAGAAAGAAAGAAAGAAAGAAAGAAAGAAAGAAAGAAAGAAAGAAATCGGACGATCACAGTATACCAGCGTGCTTCGCACGGCTGATATAATAAAAATGCCATGTTTTTGGGGTGCATAATACCATATGGCTGAACGGGTCAATGCCTCGTCTTTAGGGCACGTATACCGTACCGTCAGGCGCATCAAACCGGCGACATTGTAAGATTTCCGTTAGCAGAGGGTCCATTCCACAACCAGAGAAGGCCTCAGCATGATCAACGGCTCGGATAAGAGCCGCCAAAATTCCTGGCGTTGGATGATATTATTCTCTCGCTTTTTGTGGTCGTTTATCGCCCTCGGTAAATTTAAAGCCATGGGAGTTTTGCTTCCCCACATCGTGGTCAGCTTTTCCACCAGCACAGCCGTCGCAGGGTTCGTGACAAGCGCTAGTGTAGGCATTGGGACTACAGTGTGCGGTGAGTTATTCTACCATATCACTGTCATGCATGGGCACCCAATCAAAATCAAAGTCACTCGTAACTGAACGATTGATGTTTTTCAAAGTGGAAAAGCACCGTAGCTATCTTGAAAAAGGATCCCTCCACAGCATGGCTAGCGCCATTTTCGGGCCCGATTGCATCCAAAATGCTCTGAATTGGAAGCCCCAAGTCCAGGCCAGAGGCATTGCCATATCTCTTCAATTCCCCAATTCCATGGCTCTAAGAACTCTGAATTTGAGTGTGTAACTTTTATTCATGAGCTCTGCGGACGAATTTTTGGCCTTGATACTTTTCATTAGGCCATTTTCGTTACACGTATGGAGTGCTATTAGCATTGTTGGCCTAATGACTAGCCGTACGGTGTATAAGCTATCACCATGATCTCGGTCAAACTCGGTCACAAGTGCTGTGTTATAGCTCCATGGTGAGAGACAGTAGCAAATCCTGGTTTAGAGTGCGGGCCGGGCGGGGAAAAATTGGTATATTTTTCTTCTGAGAAAGTGGCTCCAATGTTCCACAGAATAAATAAGAGCGCGGGGATTATATACAACCTGAACTGTTGAAAGCTTTCATGTCATTTTAAACAAATAATAATATGTCGCCGGGGGGGGGGGGGGGGGGAGGGGGGCCTTCCTCCGCCTTTCGCTGTAGACGGCAACGGTGAGGCTTGCTGAGACCAAAGGGCGAGTATAGCCCAAGCAGGAACGGTCCATAGTTGTAAATTACACGTCCTTATTCCTGTTTCTTGTGATTCCAATGCTTCTCATAGGTCCCTTAGCTGGTGCTGCGCTGAAGGTTTGGTCCCCACGGACAATAACAATGGTGGGAGGAGCAGTGGTTGGAACCGCCACCATAGCAGGGTCACTTGCAACATCTACTGTACAACTCGGAGTGCTCTTCTCAGTCTCAAGTAAGTTTTAACATGTAGTCAGTTTCATGTGAAATAATAACCACGTCTGTTGATTGCATAACACATTAGAAAACAATTCAAAGAATTTGACCAACTGAAGTTACACTTCGGACAAGACCGAATCCACTTGCGAGGAGCTACTTCACTTAAACTGGAGTAAGCTCCTCTCGCTGCGTTGAACATCGCTATAATGTCATCTGTGCAAAGTTATCTAGATTCTACCTCACCATTACCTCCATTCCGACTCACGTGAGATTGTATTGTTTAGTAGCTAAAGGTATGCCACAATTGAAAGAAAAGAATGCAATTCCTGCCTGCGTGCCCCTATAAAAGGCCCAACCACAGGCATGCTCACCAGTGTATTTTTAGTGGCTATCGCGTGTACATCGGTGCGTTTTCACGCAGCGCTCTAGCCAGTCACATTGAAAGTTGGACCACGAGCGTGGCCAGTAGTGTAGCAATGGCAGATGAAGCCATATTGCATATTAACCCCTCGGAAGACGAGGGCCTCATGGGTCAACTGGAAGACGAGTTGTCATTTCTCACGCAGCTACCAATAGCGGAGACTGCATGCTCATCTTTAAGCAAACCAACGCCACCGGCGCCAGCAGCTAAAGCCAAGAAGCGAACTGCTAAGCGTAAGAATATAGATCAAGCAAATTCATGTACGCTGAACGAGCCGCCTAGTGCCGCGAAGAAAACTAGCAGCGACGATTCGGACTTGCACAAAGCAGTTTCTAGCTTGCAGCAAACAGTTGCTACTTTGACAAATGCGTTTTTGCACCGCAGCGATTCCGGTTCTAGCCATTACGCTAACCGCTTTCCAACTGAGGAAATATTAAGCGAGGGTGAAATTCCTGATGATAATTTGGTGGCATTAAACCTTGCACCGGAAACGGGCAATGACAACGCAATTGTTGGGCAATAGTTATGTACATGTACCTGAAAAGGGCATAGACACTTTCACTGAAGGTGATTTAGATAACCTGTTGTGCGATACTGGCAACCAGGATGACTTGCTGACCGAAATGGCGGCCTTAATTGAGGGTGACGAAAAAGAAAGTTCAGCCCTAAATGACCAATTGGCTAAAACAGTAAATGCACTTGCTCAAGGCAAGATAAAGCCAGAAAAACTAGAAGAAAAATTGGGCAAATACAACAAACCAAGCAACTGCGGTAATCTTTGCCTAACTAGAGTGAACCCTGAGATATGGTCAATCCTAAAACCCACAACACGTGCAAGGGATGTTAAATTCCAAAAGGTGCAAAGCTCTTTTGTACGGGCATCAATAGCCATCGCAATGGCCACTGATCAAATGCTAAAAGCCAGAAATAACAATGAGACTATTGATACAGCTCAGCTTATTAGAATGCTGGTTGACGCAATTGCTATACTTGGCTCGGGCAACGCCCAACTCAACTTGCGCAGAAGAGACAGTATCCGACCTGATCTCAACCAAAAATATGCGGCCTTGTGCTCATCGCAAGTCCCGTGCACTAGTCTCCTTTTCGGGGATGACTTAGTTCAGTCATGCAAAACTATAGTGGAGACAAACAAAATAAGTTCACAGATGTTTGTAAATGACCCCAAACGTCGTAATACTAGACAGTTTTCAGGCCGTGGATCATCCCACCGTGCGGGGGACTTTCGCTCACGGGGTTTCCCGAAACAGCATTACGGCAGCCACCAGAGGGCACCTTATTACCCGAGAGGCCGAGGCTACTATCGTCGAGCACAGAGTCAGGGCCAGGGTTATTACCGTTCCGGCGGCAGCAGCGGTCATGGCAGTGGCAATTACCACCAAACCCCAAGCCAATCCACCAGCACCGGGGCCTCGACAGCCAAGAAAACGGTGACCTAGCGGCACCATTACAGTTGGTAAGTGAGTATACATCACCTATTGCTGGAAGATTGCAACAGTTTATCCCTGCTTGGGAAAACATAACCTCTGATGAATGGGTGCTAGATACAGTTGCACATTGCCATATCGAATTTAATCGCACTCCGGTCCAGGCACATGAACCTAAGCTTATTCAATACTCTGACCCGGAGGCGCAACTGATTGACGAAGAAATTCAAAAATTACAAGAAAAAGGAGCGATTATCAGGGTCAACCCCTGTCACGGACAATTTTTGTCCAACATTTTTCTTCGACCAAAGAAAGACGGCTCAATGAGACTCATTATCAATCTAAAAGCTCTAAACAAATTTGTCAAATATCACCATTTTAAAATGGAGACCTTTGAATTTGCACTGACATTGATTCGGACAAATTGCTATTTAGCATCAATAGATTTGAAGGATGCATATTTTACGATACCCATGGCCCAGGAACATCAGAAGTTCTTACGGTTTCAATGGCGAGATAAACTGTGGCAATTTAAATGCTTATGCTTTGGGCTTGCTAGTGCACCTCGTATCTTTACAAAGGTCATGAAACCACTCACATCAACATTACGTAATGCTGGCCAAATTTCGGCAAATTATATTGATGATTCATTACTTATTGGTGACACATTACAGGAATGCACCAGTAACATTGCAGCTCGTTGTGCACTGACAAATGAACTTGGGTTTGTGATTAATCAATCAAAGTCACACTTTACCCCAGTCCAAGAATTGGAGTTTTTGGGATTCACCATTAATTCAGTAGAAATGACAGTGCGTTTACCGCCTCGCAAATTATCAACCGCGGTTGAGGCATGCCATGAACTCATAGGACAGTCGAACCCGACGATTCATCGGGTGTCACAGGTCATAGGAAAACTTGTGTCATGTTTTCCAGCGGTCCCACTTGGGCCTTTATATTACCGAAGTTTGGAAGTGAGCAAAAACATCGCTCTGAAAAAATGTCATGGAAGTGAGCAAAAACATCGCTCTGAAAAAATGTCATGGAAATTACAAGGCCAAAATGCCTCTCACTGCAAGCAGTAAGTCCGATTTGCAATGGTGGATACAAAATTTACCATATAATTTTCGACCAATATTACCCCGTGTAACAGACATCGAAGTGTTTACTGATGCTTCCCTCATGGGTTGGGGAGCCTCTTGTCCAAAGGCTAACATTCAAACTAATGGCCGTTGGAATTTGCATGAAGTAAGGTTTCATATTAACTATCTAGAACTCCTTGCGGTTTTTTATGCTCTAAAGTCATTTCAAACTGACATTCAGAACAGAACTGTGTCCATTGCAATGGACAATGTCACAGGAGTTTCATATATAAACCACATGGGAGGTTGTCATTCAGCTGAACTGAATGACTTGGCCAGACAAATTTGGTTTTGGTGCATCCAACATGACATTTGGTTGATTGCACGCCATATACCTGGTGTACAAAACACTTGTGCAGACACCTTGTCACGATCCTTTAAGGATAATCTGGAATGGAAACTAGATGCCAATATTTTTAACAAAATCATATCAACATTGGGTGTCACACCAAGTATTGATTTATTTGCGTCCAAAGCCAATTATCAATTTAAGCCATTTGTGTCATGGCTGCCTGACCCAGAGGCAGTTGCATGTGATGCGTTTACAATGTCTTGGGCGAACGAAATATTTTACGCATTTCCTCCTTTTGCTGTCATTGACAGGGTATTGCAGAAAATCGAGGTAGACGGAGCCATGGGAATACTTATATTCCCATTATGGCAAACCCAACATTGGTTTCCCAGAATGCTGCGCCTGTTGATAGCTACGCCAGTAACACTACCAAAGACATACGGGTTGTTGAGACTACCACACGATCCACACAGTCGCCATCCACTAGAGGGCCGAATGACAATGTGTGCTTCACTCTTATCCAGCAGTCGCTCCGATCAAGAGGATTTTCGAAGGAAACTATTGACATTATCCTCCAATCATGGAGACCGAGTACCAAGAAGCAATATGCATCATCCATCGAAAAATGGCTACGTTTCTGCACTAAACGGGCTGTCGATCCAGTTCATGCGACTGTAACCGTGGCAATGGAGTTTCTCACCAAGTTAGTTCACTCTGGGGCAAAATACAGCACTGTTAATACAGCACGGTGTGCATTGTCGTCACTGCTTTGGTCAACGTCTGACAATAAAACACAGTTTGGTAGCCATCCTTTGGTTATTCGTTTTATGCGAGGACTATTTAATTTAAAACCTCAGTACCCTCGTTATTCACATACATGGGATGTTGGTATTTTACTTCGATATGTTAGTAAGATGGAACCATTACAGTCTATTGCATTGAAACAATTGACTTACAAACTGATTTGCTTATGTGCACTTACCACTGCACAGCGGGCTCAGACATTGAGCCTATTCGACATATCTAACATGAAGGTTAGAAACAAACAAGTTTGTATTAAAATAACTGATTTGATTAAAACATTTAAACCGGGCAAACCTCAACCACAAGTTATATTGTCAGCATACCCGCATGATAAAAGTGTATGTGTTATGCGAACCCTCTTAGAGTATCTGAAAAGGACAAGAAGTTTTAGGGGCTCCAAGTCAAAATTATTTTTAAGTTATACAGTGCCGCATAAGGAGATAGGCACTGCCACTGTTTCCCGTTGGTTAAAACAGTCATTAACTGAGGCGGGCGTAGATGTGTCCGAGTTCAAAGCACATAGTTTTAGAACTGCCTCAACCTCGGCAGCCGCCAATAAAGGTGTACCAATTAACTTAATTTTGCAGACGGCAGGTTGGGCAAGTTCAACAACCTTCGCCAAGTTTTATAACAGAAGTGACAGTATTTTATGCTCAGAAGGAGCACAAAGTCAGTTTTCTCAGGCAATCTTAAGTCAAAAATGATTAGCCGAGCATATGTTGTGTAATAAAAATGAAATGGGTCAAGGAAAGTTTTATTCCATTAAATAGCACGGTAAAGTGCTGATTCGACTCATGAAACAAGTGCCAGTTTAAATATGGATTTATACTGAACATCGTCAAGAGACAAAGATAGTCTTGATTTGTTTATAATGAAGTGAATACTACTTTAGTCAAAAGACAAATTAGTCTTGATTTTGTTTAAAATGAGAATTATACTGTGTTCGGTTGTCAGAGGACAAACTAGAATTTAACTTTGTTTATTATACCGTGTATTGCCAAGAGACAATTTAGTCTTGGCGTAAAAGTGTGTATAATGAGATTTATACTGTATGCAAAGTCATGTACTTTTGTCAAGAGACAAATTGTTTCGAAGTTATTAATAATGATGAGCTAGAATAAGCTCTAGAAGTAGAATGCAAAAATAAAATCTAATATATCCGATAAGGAGTACTGCAAAATTTCTCTGTGCAGTTTCTTGTTTTAAGGGACTTGATTAACATTACACTGTCCCGCTTTAAAGTCTCACGTGAGTCGGAATGGAGGTAATGGTGAGGTAGAATCTCCCAATTAAACGAGTAAAGTGATGTTTAATTAGGATTCTACCGATACATTACCGTAATGAGGAGTCACGTGACTCCCACCCAATGTGCCCAAGCACAAGTTTTGACTCCGTCTCTTTGCTCAACCCGCCCTAGTATACGGGACCAGTGTAATTTGTTATAATTACTTTAAATCACTGGTGAGCATGCCTGTGGTTGGGCCTTTTATAGGGGCACGCAGGCAGGAATTGCATTCTTTTCTTTCAATTGTGGCATACCTTTAGCTACTAAACAATACAATCTCACGTGACTCCTCATTACGGTAATGTATCGGTAGAATCCTAATTAAACATCACTTTACTCGTTTAATTGGGAGATTTTGGGGCCAGTATTACCGGTACCATTAACGAGTTGAGCGTCGTTATATAGGTTTATTAAACTTTCTCAGCAATGCTTATAAAGACGGGTAAGAAAAATTCAATCGATGAGTTGTGTTAGGGATTCTTCTCTCTCTCTCTCTCTCTCTTGATACGAGTACATAAAAAGTGATTCATTACGACTTCTTTATTACTGATGACTTTTTGTTCTCTTTTGTTTTGGTGGTATCTGCAGGTATTGGCCTGGCCTTTATACAAGTAGCCATGACACAAACTATCATGGACTACTTTCCAGACGACTTTGCATTTGCTAACGGTGTCACCCTCGCAGGAGGCACGATCGGCATGATGGTCCTTCCCCCGCTTGTGGATTACCTGGTGTTCCTGTACGGTTGGCGAAATGCTCTGGTACTGACGGGAGCTCTCTGTTTCAATTACGTCGCGTGTGGAGCACTACTCAGACCACTCGGCATGCGATACAGTCTGGTGCCCAGTCACGCCGATGAGGAAACTGAACTCCCAATGCCTGGTAACCCCATTAATAACGGCTCCTCTGATTCGAAGGCGGATCCTGGAGGAATGACGTCCGTTCTGAGGAGAGTATCTGAGACTCTACGCGAGCGTCTTGATATCCAGGCACTGACCCAGCCGACTTTCGTTATGTTCCAAGTGGCAACTTTGTTAGAGGGGATGATTTTCAGTATGTGGCATTTATTTCTCATTCCACAAGGTATTGAGCTTGGTTTCGGGGACTCCCCTTCTGCCTTCCTTGCAACCTACGCTGGAATAGGATCCCTGATCGGACGCCTGAGCCACGGACTCTTGGTTGATCTCGGTCTCATCAAAGCCTCAACACTCTTTATCCTGGCTGGCCTAGTCTTTGCCGTACCCAATCTTCTAGATCCTCTGGCAGTTTCCTCGTACACGGCTATGGCAATCCTAGCTAGCATTACGGGTATAGCAATTGGCGTCATTTACCCTTTGACGTTTGTGCTGATGAAAGAGGTGGTAGGCGACCGGCAGATGTCTGCGTACGGCTGGCTCTTCGTGTCCCACGGTACCGGGACACTCGTAGGCGGAGTTTTCGCTGGTGAGTTCTCTTGACTATTCTCCTGACTATACGAGGAAGATGAGACATGAACTATGGAAATGATGACTGATCCCAAATTTGTCACACCGCTGCTGATTGAAAACTGTAAATACAATTAAAGCTTTACACTGAAGAGTTGCCAAATTATTTAATCAGTGTCATCAATCAAAAAGACATTCACAGAGGAAGGCCTGACATCCTGAGTAGCAACTGACAATTACACAGAGCATTTTAAGGATTTTAAGGATCATTTTAAGGAAATAAAGAAATTAAAAAAAAGAACGCCATATCAGCAATCACTGAATCTGCCACATTACGAAGTGACTTTGGAGGAACAATCTTTGTCTATGAGAACAGAATAAGAATACATTATTTTACTGAGTATTATTTATATCTTTCTTGTACTTTATTCTTAGGTTGTGTCCATGATATAAGCAAGGCGTATGAGATAGTCTTCATGGCGACAGGAGCAACAGCAGTTTTGATGGCAACCATGATAGGAATAATGCGATGGTTTTCATCTGTTCGTAAACCGGATGAATAACGTCGGTCTTTACTTGTCCATCCTGCTGTGACCAAGCACAGTTCCACTTCTCGGTTTACTAAGAATTGCAGGCATGTACCCATATTTTACATGAAAACGATTTCATTTTAGTTTTTAATGGTTTTAAATTTGATAAATAAGACCGAGACTGAAATACTTCATTCCATCTTTCTCTTAGAATTGAATGTTTATTCATTCTAGACCAGTTAAACGATTTATCAGTATGTCATTACTCGTGTATTTTTTTTAGGGGTCTACTCCGCCTTAAATTCAATGGAATATTTATGAATCGACTTTCGTGCTTTGTATAAAGAATAACCGTCTGGCAGGTGGGGAGCGCGGAGGAGAAAACCCCGCTTGATATTTGTGCCGTGCTCGTCTTCTCAGTAGGGCAGTCAAGACGAAAGTGAAGCACATGTTTCACCCGCCCCTTGAGCTCAAACGTTTATTGTTATTTAACCTATTTCTTTGACGTCAAACTATTGTTAAAAGTGTAGATAATTTTCACGAATCTACACTTTACTGTAGATTATTTTAAGAATCTACACCTAACTGTAGATAATTTTAGGAATCTATAGTTTTTGTTGTGAATAGCCTCTGCAAACAACTCCATTTATACACGGTTTCAGTAAAAGTTTCAGTCCATTATAATGATAAGAAAAAAAATGTTAATGGTACTCAAAAATGTACGAATTTTGTTGTTTTTTCCCGAAAAACAATTGACGTGTACCTGATTTTAATAAATACCCTACTATTTTAGTTCTTTAATTTTTTACACAAAATGTTCTCGTTTGATTTTTAATTTGCCGTGCTGATATTTTTAATTTAATATACGGTGGCGATTATACGGTGGCGAGTTGACTCGGACGACGGCCAGGGAGGGAATCAAACCGATCAGATGATAGAGTCGGGGTTTGGGGACGCGGGGACAGTTACCTCCCGTCACTGTGACAATGAACCAAGCGCCACCTTTGAATATGTCCCAGACAATCACAGCTACCACTTGAAGTCACATCTGGAGCGCCCTCGCTCGGCCAATGAACTCTCTACCGCGAATTCGCTCAGCAATTTCGATTCCATGTCTATGTCGACGAGTTCTGACGTCACCGATAGCAGCAGTGCGGGCGGGAGCTTTGGTAGGGCCGACCAGAAGATGTCGGTTCAATCAATAGGAGCCAAATCGCCAATTCCCGGTATACCTTTCTGAGGGCATGGACCGTTCATTATAATATAATTATAGGAAAGCTGAGTTACCGAATAACAACCGACGTGAAGCTTATTACTGTTGCCGCGTCACTCTATGGCCAACAAAATGGAGACGTTGATGCACGAAGGAGTCTCCACACTCCAAACTAACTTTTGTTTTACTCTCGTTTATTATATTGTGTACAGAATTTAATGTGCATCGCATCCTTGCGACAATGTCTCTATTCTGTGTTGATACTACTTATGGTAAGATCAACGGAAAATTAACTGTGGAATTGGTTAGCACTTGAACTAGCTGTGTCATTTACTGTCCTGTATGCATGAACTGACATTGGGCTACAATATTTTGCAATTTGTATATCAGTATTTGACAAACAACTAGCATGGCGGTGTACATACAAACAATGGCCGCATTTATATTAGTTTCAAAATGTACGGATGCAGTATAAGGTTTCCTTCAATTATTAGTCGAATCTCTCGACAAAGCACCGCTTGTTTTAGAGGAATATCATGATGATCGTAAGTGCTCTTTGCCGTGTTTAAGGTATCAAAAGCTCTCCGGCTAAAACTGTACATACAACATGTGCACTATACAAAGTTTGTAAGCTTGGCTCACTCAACGAAATGGTTCATATTTTTCATCAAAATGGTGGACATAACAGTTCAGATGTTGTCGGTATGATATTCTCCAGTGTCGAACTATTTTGGTGTCGACCCAGCGTTTGTCTACATGTCACTTTAATAGTTGTGTATACGTGCCACTTTTTTCCTTCAGGTATGTCTTTAAAGCATGGTTTTGGAATTTATGTCGGCTGCGAACAGTACCCAATCATGACGCATAATTTACTAATGTAATTTGTTAATGTGAAGTATTTTCCGGTAACGTTGTTTGTATTTTATAGAAAGTGGTGTACGCGTTTGCCATTCTGGGGTATATGCCGTCAGGAAGATATTATTATACTTCCAATATCACAAAATTAACGTACATACCAAAAAGCTACTTTCATCTCGGTTCAACTTTTGCTAGCTTACAAAAACTCAGGGCATGTTGACAGTCACTAAATGCATAGCTGATGCTTCGATAATAAACGATATATACAAGTACATCTTGCATCGAGACTACCAAAAAAGAACGACGAAACCACACAGGTCATGACATAAAGTCACGAAAGAAGTTGGTGTCGTCACTGTGAGTAAAAAATGTTTTTTTTCACAAAGCTTCGTTTCTGTTGAATTGGATGTTTACATCATGTGCATATTGGTAAGGGCGAATAATGGATTTCAGTGTCGACTGTGAGTTGCAAAGTGCACAGGCAACGCTTGCAAATAAATGTTTGGAACGGGGATAAAAGCTGTATCAAATATCGCTTGCTGGTTTATCAGGAGACGTTTAAATGTCAACTAATATACATTCATTAAAATATTACATGTAATACTCGTAAACAAGACTACCAAGATAAATAACAACTCTCCCTGTATAACAACAATAATAGTCTACTTATTTTTTGTCTTTGATTGCGCAAGCGGTTGTTGCCTTTTCTTTGGTTCAAATCACAACAGAGTCATTGTTCCTAAACAATAATGGGAGAGTTTATGACCATGGTAAGATTTTATAACGGTCATGGCGAAGTAAAATCAAATCTAACTAGCAAACCTTTCGGACAATTGAAGCAAAACTGTTACAGCAATTGTTAATTGTAGTTTTTGGTGAAAATTTCTTAACTCTTTAAATTTGCAGAAGATATTTAGCTCGCTATAACAAATACGATGGCGGAAATCTGCATGCAAAGCATAGCCTAACGTGTCGTGTGTTGACTATATCTTTCTTATACGATTTAACGCTGAGAATAATTTCCCGGACGAAATTTACTGCCTTTGCTATGTTCCTTCGTTGTCCTTTGTTAAATATCATACAACGCTTGAATAAATCCCCGTCATCTGATTGGTTGGTCGAGACACGTGTCCATAAAATTATTCATCTTAACCCACGGCCCGATCGCGATTTTTTTCTCCCAAACGACATCCACATATTGGTGTACGCTATGGCGTTTTGGACTTAACTTTTATAAAAACATGAGAAGAACATATAAAAATGAGAAAAAAAAGGAATTTGAACGTTATGAAATTCGGACTTTATTTCCCTTTTAAAAAAAATCCTCCAAAGTCTCAGGTTAGAAAAGGGAAAAAATTCGGGTGCCAAACCAAGATGCGAACCCGCAACCTCGCGGTCGAATCCTATCCTCTATCGACTGAGCTGTCGCACTACACGCCAACATTTGGGGAAACAAATAATAACCTGCGCGCGTATCATAAAAGTATCGTAGAGGGCGCTAAACAACCATGTATGCGGATGTCGTTTGGGAGAAAAAAATTCGCGGCCCGGTCGCACCGCAAAAGGGTCCATTCCAGGGTAACGAACAATTGCAAGGTCGCACTATATTACTACTAATCACTTTTAGTAATCAGATGACGAGGATTAGGCGTTGTTTTCAAACAAATAATTAATGGTTCACATTCTTGCAATGGAAAGAATCACTTTTATCGGTGACAAATGGAATGTTCCATTCCATCTATGACCTCATGGAAATACCACTGCACTCATAACTGTTCATAATTGTTATGCCATACATACTCCGAGGGCAGAACTGACCTCCAGAAGCTGATAAAACTAATGACCCCGAGGTGTTGGATGATTGGGACTATCTCCCGAGGCGAAGCGAAGTCCCAATCATCCAACACCGAGGGGTCATTTGTTTTCACTATTTCCCCGCAAAACATGTTGTATTTGTTTTACTATCCCTCATGTATATTCATCAGGCAGCTGCGGTATTTCATTCGTCCATTCCACCATGTTTTTGAGCGTGCAGTATTTGGATAAAGTGAAACACTATTTTAATTTAAGGAGACAGACAGAATAGAAAGTTAATTTTTGTCATTTAATAACTTTAACATTCACGCAAAACACTGCATTTATTTTTATTTTGTAAAATTTCACCCACTTCCTCCTCGGTTAAAATCGCCAAGAGGGCGCGCTACACAAACACTGCTCACCGCGCTCCGACGTCTGGCCATTCGAGATGTAAACACAGTTATTGAAAATTGATAGTAACCGCCAAAGAATGAATGTAATATATTGAAGGAAATTGACGTGTAGGGGTGCACACCTGTGAATAGGCCTAAGCCCATCCGCCGAGCTCATGAATAAAAGTTGTACCCTCAAAATATTCTATATTAGAGAGTTCTGAGAGCCACAAAATTGGGGAATTGAAAAAAATATGGCAATGAACCTCTGGCCCAGACTTGGGAATTCCAATTTTGAGCATTTTTGATGCGATTGAGCTCGAAAGTGGCGCTATTTTTTCATGTTGTGGAGGGATCATTTTTCAAGCTGGCTACTTTTCCGCTTTGGGAAAAATAGGGGTCGTCTTTTTTGGTCAATGGTCAACCCACCAACAATTGAAAAAAATAAATAAAAGATGACATATTGATCGCCATTTCTCTGCGCAGCTTAAAAACATGTGAGAGTTCCGAGTACAGAAGTATGGGTATTTAGCACTAGTGTCTATGGGAATTTTAATACACTGTAAGGGACTCTCCGTATTTTCTCGTCATGGAACATTTTTTTTTCAAAAAGCGGGCGCGCTACACAAACACTGCTCACCACGCTCCGACGTCTGGTCGTTCGAGATGTAAACACAGTTATTGTGAAAACGGGAACTCAAGATAAACACATTGTATTGCAATGAAATTTCCTGTAATATTTTGCCATGGTATTTGACACGAAAGTCTAGAAAATTGACAGGAACCGCCGAAGAATAAATGTAATATAATTGAAGGAAATTGCAGTATGAAGGACAATCCGTATTTTATCGTCATGCAACAATTTCTTACAAAAGAGGGCGCGCTACACAAACACTGCTCACCGCGCTTCGACATCTGGCCATTCGAGATGTAAACACAGTTATTGTGAAAACGGGAACTCAAGATAAAAACACATTGTATTGCAATGACATTTCATGTAATTTTTGCCATGGTATTTGACACGAAACTCTAGAAAATTGACAGGAACCGCTGAAGAATGAATATGTAATAATAATTTAAGGCAATTGCAGTATGAAGGACACATGTTGCCACTTTCAGAAAAGTTTTTTGTCATCTTTGACCCTGAAAACATGGCTTTAGATACCTTATTCGTTCAGTTATCTGCAATATTGGCTGAGATATAGCAAACAATAGATTTTTCAGTAATGGCGGCACTAATTTGCAGAAAACAATACGTGGGACATTTTTTTTTGAATTTTTTTAACATAGCAAATCGTTTTCTACGCAGTTAACTTTGTCTGACCTAAAGCCGTCAATTAGAAATTGATTTCCGAGGGTGCTCGATAACCCCTTCTTCCCACTGGACTAATTAGGTTGGCTGTGAACCAGGACTGACAAGGCGACACGAACAAAGAAATTTATTGTTTTGTTTACGCAGCCATATGGTTGCGAAGGGCGATTTCTAAAGGTTACGTAACACTTTATTTTGAATGAAATTACATGTACATAGGCATGGTCACGTTGGCGGGTGAAATCTTTGAAAATTAATTTCTCCAGGTTGGAAGACCGTATCTTCATGCAACTTGCAGGATTTATATTTCCCCTATAATGATCCAAGTATGTGCTAAAAGTCGTTGTGATATGTTCATTACTTTTCGTTGAAATCGGAAAAATAGGCCTCGCTACGTGCAATTTTGAAAATTGTAACACTGGCGTGCGCACTATCTATCAATCTTTTGAAGCCTCACGAATATTAATGAGGTTCCTATCCATTACGATGTGCAGTAAACAATGGGATAAAAGCCTCCTTCACGAGTTGTTAATTAACAAATATTACCCTTTTTGCCGTCTTCCATTGGTCGATACTGAGACCCACGCCATGTCACGCAGATTTTTTCACTGACATGAAGTTTAGAATTTCTTTTTCAGTTAGAATGCAATATTTCAATCACACCAAGCATATTTTCTGAGAAACACAACGTTAACTAGAGCTAGTGTGCTTCCCGAAGCACGGATATCAGCCTAAATTGCCGTTTTAACGGTTTGTCTGAATACTGACTCGCACCGACCACAAGGTGACCATTGCTAAATGTGGCTGAGATCGGCAAAGGCATGTAAGAGAACTACTATGAACATAAAAAAATACAACAGGACTGCAAAGATTTAAAATGTAAAACAGCTTTTTGATTTTTTTCATAAAATGACCCCTAATGACCAGTAAGTGACCACTGGCCAAATTCTGTGAACAATTTTTGTGAGGCTTGGTCCAATGATACAACTGAGCAAGTTTTACATTAATTGGGTCAAGACTGTGGGAGAAGAAGCATTTTGTAAATATTATTTAAATGACCACTACTGACCATTGATGACCATTGGCCGGATTTTACGAACATGGCTAGTTAGGGCATGTGTCAAGGTTTAATTTGACCAAGTTTGTTTGAAATCGGCTGAATATTTGAGGAGTTATGGCCATTTTTTCATTGGTCACGTGACCGTTTGCCCGAAGAAAGAAAGAAAGAGAGAAAGAAAGAAAGAAAGAAAGAAAGAAAGAAAGAAAGAAAGAAAGAAAGAAAGAAATCGGACGATCACAGTATACCAGCGTGCTTCGCACGGCTGATATAATAAAAATGCCATGTTTTTGGGGTGCATAATACCATATGGCTGAACGGGTCAATGCCTCGTCTTTATGGCACGTATACCGTACCGTCAGGTGCATCAAACCGGCGACATTGTAAGATTTCCGTTAGCAGAGGGTCCATTCCACAACCAGAGAAGGCCTCAGCATGATCAACGGCTCGGATAAGAGCCGCCAAAATTCCTGGCGTTGGATGATATTATTCTCTCGCTTTTTGTGGTCGTTTATCGCCCTCGGTAAATTTAAAGCCATGGGAGTTTTGCTTCCCCACATCGTGGTCAGCTTTTCCACCAGCACAGCCGTCGCAGGGTTCGTGACAAGCGCTAGTGTAGGCATTGGGACTACAGTGTGCGGTGAGTTATTCTACCATATCACTGTCATGCATGGGCACCCAATCAAAATCAAAGTCACTCGTAACTGAACGATTGATGTTTTTCAAAGTGGAAAAGCACCGTAGCTATCTTGAAAAAGGATCCCTCCACAGCATGGCTAGCGCCATTTTCGGGCCCGATTGCATCCAAAATGCTCTGAATTGGAAGCCCCAAGTCCAGGCCAGAGGCATTGCCATATCTCTTCAATTCCCCAATTCCATGGCTCTAAGAACTCTGAATTTGAGTGTGTAACTTTTATTCATGAGCTCTGCGGACGAATTTTTGGCCTTGATACTTTTCATTAGGCCATTTTCGTTACACGTATGGAGTGCTATTAGCATTGTTGGCCTAATGACTAGCCGTACGGTGTATAAGCTATCACCATGATCTCGGTCAAACTCGGTCACAAGTGCTGTGTTATAGCTCCATGGTGAGAGACAGTAGCAAATCCTGGTTTAGAGTGCGGGCCGGGCGGGGAAAAATTGGTATATTTTTCTTCTGAGAAAGTGGCTCCAATGTTCCACAGAATAAATAAGAGCGCGGGGATTATTACAACCTGAACTGTTGAAAGCTTTCATGTCATTTTAAACAAATAATAATATGTCGCAGGGGGGGGGGGGGGGGGGGGGGGAGGGGGGCCTTCCTCCGCCTTTCGCTGTAGACGGCAACGGTGAGGCTTGCTGAGACCAAAGGGCGAGTATAGCCCAAGCAGGAACGGTCCATAGTTGTAAATTACACGTCCTTATTCCTGTTTCTTGTGATTCCAATGCTTCTCATAGGTCCCTTAGCTGGTGCTGCGCTGAAGGTTTGGTCCCCACGGACAATAACAATGGTGGGAGGAGCAGTGGTTGGAACCGCCACCATAGCAGGGTCACTTGCAACATCTACTGTACAACTCGGAGTGCTCTTCTCAGTCTCAAGTAAGTTTTAACATGTGGTCAGTTTCATGTGAAATAATAACCACGTCTGTTGATTGCATAACACATTAGAAAACAATTCAAAGAATTTGACCAACTGAAGTTACACTTCGGACAAGACCGAATCCACTTGCGGGGAGCTACTTCACTTAAATGACTGGAGTAAGCTCCTCTCGCTGTGTTGAACATCGCTATAATGTCATCTGTGCAAAGTTATCTAGATTTTGGGGCCAGTATTACCGGTACCATTAACGAGTTGAGCGTCGCTGTATAGGTTTATTAAACTTTCTCAGCAATGCTTATAAAGACGGGTAAGAAAATCCAATCGATGAGTTGTGTTAGGGGTTCTTCTCTCTCTCTCTTGATACGAGTACATAAAAAGTGATTCATTACGACTTCTTTATTACTGATGACTTTTTGTTCTCTTATGTTTTGGTGGTATCTGCAGGTATTGGCCTGGCCTTTATACAAGTAGCCATGACACAAACTATCATGGACTACTTTCCAGACGACTTTGCATTTGCTAACGGTGTCACCCTCGCAGGAGGCACGATCGGCATGATGGTCCTTCCCCCGCTTGTGGATTACCTGGTGTTCCTGTACGGTTGGCGAAATGCTCTGGTACTGACGGGAGCTCTCTGTTTCAATTACGTCGCGTGTGGAGCACTACTCAGACCACTCGACATGCGATACAGTCTGGTGCCCAGTCACGCCGATGAGGAAACTGAACTCCCAATGCCTGGTAACCCCATTAATAACGGCTCCTCTGATTCGAAGGCGGATCCTGGAGGAATGACGTCCGTTCTGAGGAGAGTATCTGAGACTCTACGCGAGCGTCTTGATATCCAGGCACTGACCCAGCCGACTTTCGTTATGTTCCAAGTGGCAATTTTGTTAGAGGGGATGGTTTACAGTATGTGGCATTTATTTCTCATTCCACAAGGTATTGAGCTTGGTTTCGGGGACTCCCCTTCTGCCTTCCTTGCAACCTACGGCGGAATAGGATCCCTGATCGGACGCCTGAGCCATGGACTCTCGGTTGATCTCGGTCTCATCAAAGCCTCAACACTCTTTATCCTGGCTGGCCTAGTCTTTGCCGTACCCAATCTTCTAGATCCTCTGGCAGTTTCCTCGTACACGGCTCTGGCAATCCTAGCTAGCATTACGGGTATAGCAATTGGCGTCATTTACCCTTTGACGTTTGTGCTGATGAAAGAGGTGGTAGGCGACCGGCAGATGTCTGCGTACGGCTGGCTCTTCGTGTCCCACGGTACCGGGACACTCGTAGGCGGAGTTTTCGCTGGTGAGTTCTCTTGACTATTCTCCTGACTATACGAGGAAGATGAGACATGAACTATGGAAATAATGACTGATCCCAAATTTGTCACACCGCTGCTGATTGAAAACTGTAAATACAATTAAAGCTTTACACTGAAGAGTTGCCAAATTATTTGATCAGTGTCATCAATCAAAAAGACATTCACAGAGGAAGGCCTGACATCCTGAGTAGCAACTGACAATTACACAGAGCATTTTAAGGATTTTAAGGATCATTTTAAGGAAATTAAATTTTTTTTTAAAAGAACGCCATATCAGCAATCACTGAATCATACCACATTACGAAGTGACTTTGGAGGAACAATCTTTGTCTATGAGAACAGAATAAGAATACATGTACATTATTTTACTGAGTATTATTTATATCTTTCTTGTACTTTACTCTTAGGTTGGGTCCATGATATAAGCAAGGCGTATGAGATAGTCTTCATGGTGACAGGAGCAACAGCAGTTTTGATGGCAACCATGATAGGAATAATGCGATGGTTTTCATCTGTTCGTAAACCGGATGAATAACGTCGGTCTTTACTTGTCCATCCTGCTGTGACCAAGCACAGTTCCACTTCTCGGTTTACTAAGAATTGCAGGCATGTACCCATATTTTACATGAAAACGATTTCATTTTAGTTTTTAATGGTTTTAAATTTGATAAATAAGACCGAGACTGAAATACTTCATTCCATCTTTCTCTTAGAATTGAATGTTTATTCATTCTAGACCAGTTAAACGATTTATCAGTATGTCATTACTCGTGTATTTTTTTTAGGGGTCTACTCCGCCTTAAATTCAATGGAATATTTATGAATCGACTTTCGTGCTTTGTATAAAGAATAACCGTCTGGCAGGTGGGGAGCGCGGAGGAGAAAACCCCGCTTGATATTTGTGCCGTGCTCGTCTTCTCAGTAGGGCAGTCAAGACGAAAGTGAAGCACATGTTTCACCCGCCTCTTGAGCTCAAACGTTTATTGTTATTTAACCTATTTCTTTGACGTCAAACTATTGTTAAAAGTGTAGATAATTTTCACGAATCTACACTTTACTGTAGATTATTTTAAGAATCTACACCTAACTGTAGATAATTTTAGGAATCTATAGTTTTTGTTGTGAATAGCCTCTGCAAACAACTCCATTTATATACGGTTTCAGTAAAAGTTTCAGTCCATTATAATGATAAGAAAAAAAATGTTAATGGTACTCAAAAATGTACGAATTTTGTTGTTTTTTCCCGAAAAAAATTGACGTGTACCTGATGTTAATAAATAACCTACTATTTTAGTTCTTTAATTTTTTACACAAAATGTTCTCGTTTGATTTTTAATTTGCCGTGCTGATATTTTTAATTTAATATACGGTGGCGATTATAAATTTTAAGCTAAAGTGCAGTGAAAAATATTCCTCTTTATCTTAGTTTTATCATTATTTCGTCTGTTATTGAATTACTGGCCTGTGCAAAAAATACAATATCAAAATGACAATCATAAATAGATTGGACGAATAACAAACGGATGAAACCTACCGAATCATATACGCCTGAGAATGTATTCCAAAATAATGTATTTTCCTAACAAAATTATTTCCTGTGGTGAGTGAGATGGTCATATTTCGATGTGTAGCCTAGTCCATAAATATATTGTAACGCAAATGAGCGAGATCTGCTATGCGATGCGAGCGCGAGCAAGCGCGAGCGCGAAATCAGAGTCTAACTACAGAGGGCGCTAGAGCGCTACTGCGCTAGTTGCACACAATCGGCGCGCGAGCGGCAAAGCGTGTTAAATAATACAGACATCGTCGGGAACGGACCTGCGGAGTGCTGAGCTCAGGTATTGGAGGCTACAGTGTGCGCTACCTATGGTGGCTTTAAAGGGATATGGCACATAAATATTGACGCCAATATTCACGACATGGCCCCATGTCGCAAATATTGACGCCAATATTGACGCCAATATTCACGACATGGAGCCAAGTCGCAAATATTGACGCCAATATTGACGCCAATATTCACGACATGGACCCAAGTCGCAAATATTGACGCCAATATTGACGCCAATATTTACGACATGGTCTCCAAGTCGCAAATATTGACGCCAATATTGACGCCAATATTCACGACATGGTCTCCAAGTCGCAAATATTTGCGCCAATATTGACGCCAATATTCTCGACATGAACCCAAGTCGCAAATATTGACGCCAATATTGACGCCAATATTCACGACATAGCCTCCATGTCGCAAATATTTACGCCAATATTGACGCCAATATTCACGTCATGGTCTCCATGTCGCAAATATTGACGCCAATATTGACGCCAATATTCACGACATGGCCTAAGTCGCAAACCCACTCAGGCGTGAATATTCTCTTCTTTTTTTTTAGCAACCTAGGTAGCGATTCAAGCAACTTGTCTGGCGCACCCTACTCTACAGCACACACGTTTTAACATTGTGTTTGTGTTAGCGCGAACTTCCTTCGCTGTAAGGACACGGACGTCCAATCAGTGTGACCGTAAGGTCGGAGCCAAATTGTGCTAAATGCACACAAAAAATCTGTCAGATTTATCAAAAATCTGCCAAATTCCCCAGAATTACTCGAAATACACTATAAACACTTAAAATCACATGTAGATTGGTAGTATTACCTTAATTAAGGTTCAACTCACATTATAAACAATCTATAGTCACATAAAGATGTTATAAAATTATCCCGTAAATTTCGGGCAAAACGTGGATCCGGCCACGACGACGTTTCCAGTGAACTTCAGCACCTAGACCCAGAGTTGTAACGAGTCACTGATTTTTGTGACTCGAGTCGAGTCGAGTCATTTTAAAGAAGTGACTCGAGTCGAGTCGAGTCATTTTAAAGAAGTGACTCGAATCGAGTTGAGTCATTAGGTCAATAGGTCGAGTCAAGTCGAGTCGAGTCAAATATTTAGCTCGAGTCAGCCCGAGTCACGAGTATTTGAACACTATGTATACCAAAATTTATAAAAGGAGGCCATTAACTTTAGCGAGCGTTCAAATCCAAAAGCTTTATAAGAAATCGCCCAGAACCAACGATGAAACAGCGAATTAGAAAATGTGTTTAAAAATCTGGTTCCCGGATAGTATTTTGTGCATTCTAGAACCAAATTAGGTGGGAGTCTGTGACACTCGTATATTTGTACATGACTGCTATTCGCAAAGTAAAGTGAGCATAAATTCTGCACCGTCATTACAAATACTTTTCGCAAAGTTGCGCTTTTTATTTTTGGGACTCGATCGAGTCTTATTAGTCATCGCTTGAGTCGAGTCGAGTCTTCTGATGAGGGACTCGAGTCGACTTGAGTCATTTGCTCACAGTGACTCGGGTCAAGTCGAGTCATTTACCCTTAGGGACTCGAATCAAGTCGAATCACCAAAAATTGTGACTCGAGTCGGACTCGAGTCGAGTCATTGACTCGAGTCATTACAACGTTGTAATGACTCGAGTCAATGACTCGACTCGAGTCCGACTCGAGTCACAATTTTTGGTCACTCGACTCGAGTCCGACTCGAGTCACAATTTTTGGTTACTCGACTCAAGTCCCTAAAGGTAAATGACTCGACTCAACTCGAGTCACTGCGAGCAAATGACTCGACTCGACTCGAGTCACTGCGAGCAAATGACTCGACTCGACTCGAGTCCCTTATCAGAAGACTCGACTCGACTCGAGCGAAGGCTAATAATTAAGACTTGATCGAGTCCCAAAAATAAAAAGCGCAACTTTGCGAAAAGTATTTGCCTAGACCAGCCAACCTGTCCCATTACGCCAGGGTTTGTATGAAAGGATTGACGCTTTTTCAAAAATATGTACCATTTTTTGTTCAAATTTGCCGTTCAAATTTGCTGTTAATTTTTTGTTCAAATTTGCTGTTCTCATCAAATCAAATTGACAACCATTTTTGCAGAATTGTGCCAGAAATCTGCCCCCCAAAAATCCATTCTGTCAAATTTTCTGTCAAACTCTCGTTTTTTACAAAAATTCTGTCAAAGTTAGGCGAAAATCGGCTAAAACGGTCACCTTGCGTCCAATGTACATGTACATCCATGGCTCGCGCTGCGCCTCACGACGAACGTTCAGCCAGAGATAGGTTTATCTGGTGCCAGACTGTGGGGGTAACGGACACCCCGAGTTGCTGTGAAAAAAATTCACGCCTGAGTGGGTTTGCGACTTGGGCCATGTCGTGAATATTGGCGTCAATATTTGCGACTTGGGTTCATGTCGTGAATATTGGCGTGAATATTGGCGTCAATATTTGCGACTTGGAGACCATGTCGTGAATATTGGCGTCAATATTGGCGTCCATATTTGCGACTTGATGGGTCCATGTCGTGAATATTGGCGTCAATATTTGCGACTTGTGTCCATGTCGTGAATATTGGCGTCAATATTGGCGTCAATATTTGCGACTTGGCTCCATGTCGTGAATATTGGCGTCAATATTGGCGTCAATATTTGCGACATGGGGGCCATGTCGTGAATATTGGCGTCAATATTTGCGTCAATATATATGTGCGATGTCCCTTTAAAGCCACCATAGCTACCTCAATTCGAGCGTGGGCCACTGTTAGGAATACTTGAGTGGGACTGCGGTGGGATGCCGATAAGGAAACTAGGGATTAGTTTCTGGTCCGTGTACTAGGGGAAGGGAGTTAAGTTACCTTTGGAAACCCTAGGGGGAGGCACTCGTAGCCTCGAGAGGCTACAACGGGAGGATCCAAACTAGGAGGCGCGCCAATCGCTGGGAGGTGGCACGGCTAGCGCTAGGCGGATCAGAGGCACTCATTCAATTATTTATTTACTTGTAATTACAGCAACCAGTTAATTATTTAGGGTACAATTTAATCGGTGATTACTGGGAGGTTCAAGCAGCAGTAATTGAGTGATAAATAAAGGAGGTCACATCATCATTATTTCCTTGTCCCATTAACTCTTGTCCTGTGTCATGTCTGTCCCCGAGGAGGTTTACTGAGGGTCCAGTCGTTAGCCCTGTGCATTAGGCGGTACATTTCCGCCCAACGGGCCTACTCGACCGGTCTTGGGTCTCTTGAAGGAGGTACCACACCTGCTGGGTGACCACCGGGGGAACAAATCGTCCGGGGTAATTTGGTAAATCCGTTACAATATCAAGGTGAACAATGTGGTTCCACAATGCACACTTGCCAACTTTTGCTCTTGTGGTTTGTAAAAACTCCTCAGATCAATCCCGTAAAAGCAGCATCAAATTAGTTTCCAGTATAATCCCCTGACTGTAACTAAATACAACTTTACAAGCGCGAACTCCATTTGGCTTTGGGAGTAAGGCAAGACAGTGTGTTCGCACTAAACATGGGTGGGTGCATGTGCGTGTGACTTTCCATAAGGACATGTTCTGTTCATATGATTAGAAGAACAGAAGATGTGCACCCATCCGACGGGCTAACAATAGCATCTTGTTATTATGCAAGCACAGGGCCAGGCAAAGTTGACTAGATTGTACGAATCTTCACTTATTCACAAATGTGGTAAACCAGAGATCTTATTTGCATAAACTATTGTTGTTTCAAGAAATAGGTTAGGTCAGAGAATAGACTCGGAACTGTAGATTCGTGCAGCACGAATCTACAGTTCCTCGTCCATTCTCTTTAACAGACGCAGTGGACTGTAAAACCATCATAATAAAGACCCGTTTGCCTCTTGCGCATCTCAAAAGACTGTTATGTAATTCTCCCAGTCAACTCAGTTAAGTCATTGCACATGATACAGGGAGAGCACAATCGTTAGTGTCACCAGCTGTATTCCTCAGAACCCAGCCTGGTGAAAAGTAAGCACAGCGAACACATGAGCATGTGATAACCCGGTTGCTCTGTGCTATTACGTGCTCAATGTTCCATTGAATCCACCCGAGGGAGGTATAGCACGCCGGAGAAGCGAGACCGTGACACCGGACCAGCACAGCCACGTACCGACCGTCAGGCGAATCAGACCACCGGTTGAACTTGAGGAGGACTCAGCATGATTAACGGCTCGGATAAGAGCCGCCGAAATTCCTGGCGTTGGATGATATTATTCTCTCGCTTTTTGTGGTCGTTTATCGCCCTCGGTAAATTTAAAGCCATGGGAGTTTTTTCTTCCCCACATCGTGGTCAGCTTTTCCACCAGCACAGCCGTCGCAGGGTTCGTGACAAGCGCTACTGCAGGCATTGGGTCTACAGTGTGCGGTGAGTTTTTCTATTCGTGGACATTATATCAACCAATCAAGGGTGCACCCAGTCAAATAAATTCCCATAAACAAAAGCGATAAAGGCCGACCCTTATGAAAAAAAGGAAAAGATATTACCATGTAAATCAAGGTTATCCAAGAAATACCTTGGTTTTACCATGGTTGTACCATGTCATTGACCGTAAAATGATGGTGAAACGGAAGTAACTATGGATTTACCAAGGGTTCACTGTGGTTTTTATTGTTAAATGATGGTTTCCATGGTGTGGCACTAAGCGTAACAGCTCGATCGGAGCGAGTTGCGAGAATTTTATATTAATTTTATTAAAGTATTTATAAACTTTATGAAAAAGTACCACAAAAAAAAAACATGGACAAATCATGATGGAACAGTCCATTGGAAATTGCCTACAGTAGATCCATGTCATCTTTTACATGGTGTTACCATGGTCATGCATACCATGGTATTACCATGGTATATGGCTCTCTGAACTCTCTAATAATTATAGAAGAATTGGAGTGTATAACTTTTATTCATGAGCTCGGATGACTGATTTTTGCCTATTTACTTGGGTGCACCCTTTAGGCCATTTTCGTTACACGTAATGGAGTGTTGGGATGGGGATGGGGATGGGGATTGGGGATTGGTTTATTAATGGTCCCTCGCGGTCACAAGCCGAGTTACAGACACAATGAAAACAACCTTATGTAAGAGAAATAATATAAGAAGTAATCATTACAGTAAAATAGTACAACACCCAAAATAAAAATAAATACAATTATTCACACCACCCCCCTAAATCAAACGGGTCCGGGTGGGTCAAAATTGGTATTTTTTTCTGAGAAAGTGGCCCTCATGTTCCAAAGAAAAAATAAAAACGAGGGGATTACAACCTCAAGAGTTGAAAGCTTTCATTTCATTAAAACAATAATATGTCGCCGGAATCTTGTGATTCCAATGCTTCTCATAGGTCCCTTAGCTGGTGCTGCGCTGAAGGTTTGGTCCCCACGGACAATAACAATGGTGGGAGGAGCAGTGGTTGGAACCGCCACCATAGCAGGGTCACTTGCAACATCTACTGTGCAACTCGGAGTGCTCTTCTCAGTATCAAGTAAGAAAGTTTTAACATTGTAGTCAGTTTCCTTTTAAATAAAATAACCACGTCCGTTGCTTGCAATTGCATAATACATTGAAAACAATTCAAAGAACTCGACAACTGAAGTTACACCTCGGAAAAGTCCTAATCCACTTAGAGGGGATGTTCTACTTCACTTGAATGACTGGAGTAATTAAAGAAGCTCTCGTTGTTGAATTGAACATCGCTATAATGCCTTCTGTGCACATTTTTGTGCCACTGTTACCGGTACTATATATCAACGCGTTAGGCGTCGTTAGGATTATTAAACTATCTCAGCAATGCTTATAAAGATGGGTAAGACATATCCAATCGATGAGTTGTGTAAGGGTTCTTCTCTCTCTCGATACGAGTACAAAAAGTGATTCATTACGATGTCTTTATTACTGATGACCTTTCTTGTCCTCCTTTTTTGGTATGTGCAGGTGTAGGCCTGACCTTTATACAAGTTGCCTTGACACAGACTCTCATGGACTACTTTCCAGACGACTTTGCATTTGCTAACGGTGTCACCCTCGCAGGAGGCACGATCGGCATGATGGTCCTTCCCCCGCTTGTGGATTACCTGGTGTTCCTGTACGGTTGGCGAAATGCTCTGGTACTGACGGGAGCTCTCTGTTTCAATTACGTCGCGTGTGGAGCACTACTCAGACCACTCGACATGCGATACAGTCTGGTGCCCAGTCACGCCGATGAGGAAACTGAACTCCCAATGCCTGGTTACCCTATTAATAACGGCTCCTCTGATTCGAAGGCGGATCCTGGAGGAATGATGTCCGTTCTGAGGAGAGTATCTGAGACTCTACGCGAGCGTCTTGATATCCAGGCACTGACCCAGCCGACTTTCATTATGTTCCAAGTGGCAACTTTGTTAGAGGGGGTGATTTTCAGTATGTGGCATTTATTTCTCATTCCACAAGGTATTGAGCTTGGTTTCGGGGACTCCCCTTCTGCCTTCCTTGCAACCTACGGCGGAATAGGATCCCTGATCGGACGCCTGAGCCACGGACTCTTGGTTGATCTCGGTCTCATCAAAGCCTCAACACTCTTTATCCTGGCTGGCCTAGTCTTTGCCGTACCCAATCTTCTAGATCCCCTGGCAGTTTCCTCGTACACGGCTCTGGCAATCCTAGCTAGCATTACGGGTATAGCAATTGGCGTCATTTACCCTTTGACGTACGTGCTGATGAGAGAGGTACTAGTAGGCGACCGGCAGACGTCTGCGTACGGCTGGCTCTTCGTGTCCCACGGTACCGGGACACTCGTAGGCGGAGTTTTCGCTGGTGAGTTCTCTTGACTATTCTCTTGACTATTCTCCTGACTATACGAGGAAGATGAGACATGAACTATGGAAATGATGACTGATCCCAAATTTGTCACACCGCTGCTGATTGAAAACTGTTAATACATTTGAAGCTTTACGCTGAAGACTTGCAAAATTATTTGGTCAGTGTCATCAATCAAAAAGACATTCACATAGGAAGGCCTGACATACTGATTAGCAACTTACAATAGTACACAGAGCATTTTAAGGATCTCTAAATTTAAAAAAAGAACGCCATATCAGCAATCACTGAATCATACTACATTACGAAGTGACTTTGGAGGAACAATCTTTGTCTATGAGAGTAGAATAAGATTATATAATTTGACCGAGTATTATTTACATCTCTCTTGTATTTTACTAATAGGTTGGGTCCATGATATAAGCAAGGCGTATGAGATAGTCTTCATGGCGACAGGAGCAACAGCAGTTTTGATGGCAACCATAATAGGATTGATGCGATGGTTTTCATCTGTTCGTAAACAGGATGAATAAGGTCGGTCTTTACTTGTCCATCCTGCTGTGACAAAGCACAGTTCCACTTCTCCAAACTATTTCATTTGAGTTTTTAATGGTTTTTAAATTTGATAAATAAGACCGATACTGCACTCACAGGCCCCTGGATTTGATGGTTTAAGTTCTTCTGTCATCAAACAAGAACGGTATTCTTTAGCCTTTGGCAGACATCTTTAACAAGTGTTTGACAGCTGGAGTTTTCCCCGATGATCTAAAAATAGCCCAAGTAACACCGATACATGTATATAAAAAAAGGTTGTAAGCATGACATTACCAAATATAGACCCATATCAGTCCTATCTACGTTTTCAAAACTATTTGAAAAGCTTATTTATAAACGATTGGTATCTTTTATCACTAAAAACAATATTCTCTCTAAGTCTCAATTTGGATTTAGACAAAATCGTTCAACTGAATTAGCTATATCGTATGTAATTAATACATTATGTAATGCAATTGATCAAACTATCTTCTCCATAGGCATTAACTTGGACTTATCAAAAGCATTTGATACTGTAAATCACGATATTCTAATCGGTAAATTAGAAACTTACGAAGTGCGGGGAACAGCTTTGCATCTACTGAAAAGTTATTTATGTAACAGAAAGCAGTATGTGTCATTTCACTCTGTAACTTCAACTAGCCGATTCATTACGTGTGGGGTACCTCAGGGTTTTGTGTTGGGTCCTTTTCTATTGCTTCTTTATATTAATGATATATGTAACACCTCAGACACTATAACATTTTGTTTATTTGCAGATGATACAAGTTTGTTGTATACATTGTACTCACGATAACGTAGATGAAGCAATTAGTAACCTAAATATGGAACTTGAAAAGATCAGTACATGGCTTCTCACAAATAAATTAGGTATTAATGTCGTCAAGTGAAATTATATGATTTTTTGTGCCAATCAGTACAAATACACACAAACTATTCCTCTGATTTTGAATAACTCAAGGCTTAGTCAGGTTAAGATGACTAAATTCCTGGGTGTAACTTTTGATGAAAATCTCACTTGGAAACATCATATTGATGAAGCAGCGACCAAAATAATGAACACTGGAATAATGAATCGTTTGAAATATTACCTTCCGAGTTAGATTTTATTGACATTGTATAATTCATTTGTTTAACCATAGTTAAATTACTTAATCTTGACCTGGGGTAGTTTGCCATATACGCGTAACAGATTACTTACTTTACAGAAACGAGCAGTTCGTGTAATTTCAAATGCTGGCTATTGTGATCATTCTGCTCCATTATTTGCTAAATTAAATATATTACAATGTAATGACTTATATTACCTTTATTTTATAGGAAAATCAATGTATACATTTATGCATAATTTCTTCCGTCCTGTTTTAATTCTTGTTTTACCTTGGCATCTAACGTTTATGTATACATGTATAACACTCGAAGTAGTGCTTAGGGGAAATTTGTTCGTCCAATTTAACAGCACGTCAAAGCTAGTCATCGGAGGCATCTTGTACTGGAATAGTTAGATGATTCTCTTAAATCGTTACCCTCACTATCTGTCTTTGTCAAATATTTAAAAACTCACTTTCTCCAATCATATTCATAAATTGAAATGTCATTATTTTGTGCATTAATATTTAGGCCTTTAGTCTCACACTTGCCCTGTCTGTCTCTCGTAGTGTTTTGTTTGTCCCTTATTACAGTACTTTGGTTGTATGTTTGTCCATAGGTAAGGGCACAAAAGCGTTGTGCTTAACCAGATCTGCTTAATGTTGTCATTTAATTTCCCACTTTATTATTAATCACTGTGTACATAACTAACAAATATTATACTACTGACTTTTTCTAATTTATACATGATTGTACAGGGTGGTTAAAAAAAAGGACACCCACATTTGACAGCAATTTTCACCTATTTTTAAAAATTATTTTTAACTGTGGATTAGTAGCTATTAAAGTACTGGCCTTTAAGCAAATGTGACGAAAAAAATCGTTGCATTTGCACATTTTGTCGTTGAGCTATGCTAATTTGAACATTTCATGTGCGAAACCTGTTTGTCCATGGAGGTATACATTCCCTTCACTTGACTGAGCTCAGCTATCGGAGCTTTATTTGAAAGGGCATGGCATTTGATTGTTATGTTATGTAATGTTATGCAACAATGAACTTAAGCCGACAGCTCATTGAGTAGATGATCTTAACACTGACATGAAGAATTGGACAGCTTCAAAAAAAGCTACCATGGCAAAATGTATTTTGGTGGGAAAGTTTTTTTAAATTTTTATGAACTACGAAAACGTCAAATTTGCACAGAATAACCCATGGACAAGACTGATTTTGGTGACTTGTATTCAAATTAGCATAATATCACTATTTTTGCGACTTTTACTAAGCTTTTTTTCACCATGCATAGTTAAAGGCCTTTACTTTACTACTATGTGAAAAAAATATTTAAAATAAGTTCATTAAGTAGGTAAAAATTGCTGTCAAAAGTGGGTGTCCTTTTTTTCGAACCACCCTGTACATAATTGTTCTTAATTGTAATGAATGGCATCATTGAAATAAATGTTACTACTACTACATTTGTGAAACGTATGACGCCTTTTATGATCATGATATCTTCCTTTATGGCGTTATGATGATCCGCACTAATTGATCTTCGTTTGCAACGTCACAGACGTGGTTTTGACAAAAAGACATTGTGCTTGACCATGTGCTACGGCACCCTGGAATGCAAACATCCAAAATACTCGATATAGACTTTGCTCTTTACAGTAGACAAAGCATGCAATAAAATCAAGATCAACCTAAATCGAACTGAGAATTTTTTTCTTCAAATGTTTTGTGTTAATTATATTAGAAGGCCGTCAATAGGTGATACAATAATAATGCCCCATATTAAGTTGCCAGAAACCTAATGAACCCTTTTTGCAGGTGCTGAAATGTCATATTAGTACTTATATATGGGGTGAAATAAATTATTATAGATCACCCGACGACTAAAGGCATCTGAGATGTGGTGAACTGCCTGCTTCGGTAAAGCTCCTGGAGTTGATCAGCATGGCAGCCGGTGACCATAGATACAGAAGAGACGGTGACAATGGGATCGACAACATTCGATTTCTTGCAGAATAGGAAGGCGCACAGAGCCTTAGTTCCATCCTTGTAGTCTGGCATCCGCCACCAGTAGATGAATGGGTTTACCACGGAGGTGATAAGGCCGACACACAGACCGGCGTAAAACGGCACATTAGCAACGAAACAAACGTTCTTCTTGCCGAAACTTAGGGATTGTACCATAACGATGACTACCATAGGAAGCCAACACAGCGGAAACAGGCCAACAATAAGGGCAAAGAGGGTTGACAGACGACGGGTCTGATGAAGTTCAGGTGCTAAGGGAAGGTTAACCGTAATCTGTCGTCGCTGTTTACGGACGGTGTAGTAAATAGCTGAGTAAAGAGCCCCTGTGAGGCAAAGTTCAAACAGGACAACACACGGGGCAACGACGAAAAAGACACGGTAGAATATCTCGAGGTTTAACGACAGAGGGATGGTGACTACCACGGGGATGATCCAGCAGAAAAGACTTATCACGATGCAGCGTCTGTACGTAAACATCTCTTTGTAACGGAACGGAGACAAGACCACCGCCACGAAACGCTCCAGGGCCACGGACGTCACGCACACGGTCGACACGAGCAGGAAGACGCTGCTGACCACGTCCACGCGTGACGAGCCAAGGCGGAGCGTGATGGGGAAACACACGCCGATGCACAGGTCGGCCAGGGACAGGTTGCAGACGAAGATGTTTATCCGTCGGCGAATCCTGCGCTTGAAGCTGTTGAAGAGGCAGGTGGCGATAACGAGAGAGTTGCCGAGAACGGACAGGATGCCCATGGTGAAGGTGACGGCAAGGATTGTCTGCTGAGCCACAGTATCTGGCTGGCCATTCTCGTCAACTATGTCGTACAGGTTTGGTAACGAGCAATTGCGGGATGACATTGTCACAAACCTCACAGTAATGTATCGAAAACGTCTACCATTTTATTGCTTGATAATACTTTAAGGCAAGGGTGTGGTGTCGTTTACGGGCATGCCAGCATTTACAAGTCAAATTGTGTACGCCTACGTCACTTGAACCGTTGTGAATACACGACAGAGTCCGTCTGACTGCAAACTACTCAATCCAAATTCTACTAGTCCTCTGCCAAATGCATACGTTGTGACACCATTGGTTACTGTGGGTTCTCTCTCGGGCGTTTGGCACAAATCTGTTTCCAGTAGGGTATCAATGTCACCTGACTGAATATCACTGCGTGGCACAAGTGGGTTACTGGAATACACTGAAGCAGACTTCACTGAGCGAGAAGTGCGACGAGTTTATAGCTTTTGACACTAAAAGAAGGACTATTTCTGTCGTGAGTCTTTCTTTTCAGTCACTCGCAATCTCTAGCATTTCTCCGGATCAGTTTGGGAACTTGTGGTGTGTCGTCGTTTTATATCCATTTTAGCGGGTCAAAAAAGTGAGTACATTAAAGGCTACGCACTCCCATTGGCCTATTGCTCAACAGATATCAGGCTATATATGGCCGCATCACATCACTGGTATTTAATTAACGGACGCGATATTTGCGAGCATTCAATGGTCGCTTAGAAGACGCTTGGTGGAGGAGGCACTCGCCTGCGGATGCCGCCTTTCGACCGCCCGCTTAAGTTCATGCTAATGGATGGTCAAGTGTTGCCCGGCACGTACCGATGACGGAGAGGCACGAGCAGTGCTCGGGCTCAGATAATAATTGTCCGGGAAACCGTGCACCTTTGAAACAATCTCCCAAGAAAAATGATTTGCTCATGAAACAAAAACGTCACATCCAGTCACTTTCTGAAAGCAATGATGGTGAGATCTGTTGATTGATGCTGGCCCATATTACGTGGGTAGCAATACATGTTATGGCTAAACGACACCATTTGGGAAGCAAATATTTGAGTTTTCAATCTGCTTTTCTCCCCTCGCATCTAAAGAGCTGCATCTTGGGATGATCTGTGTTTTCCTTAGACCTTGCTTTTGAACAATTTATTTCAATTATGGTGGACTCCATGTGCACTATAATGGCAGTTTATTTATATAGCAAAATGAGGTTTGAGCTGTGGAAAAGAGTCTCTTACTACGTGCGAGGCGGTATGGGGCTTTGGCGCGGATCCGGAACCACTTAGTGGTGCGACAGTTAATAATTTATTGTGGAAACCAAAAAAACATCAGCCGATAACCAAGAAAAAGTTCTTGGTAAATTTGCTGATCATATGAAGTAAAACGACCGAAATAACGTTGCTGAAAAACCTAAGCAAATAAATGGAATTAAGGAATTTTTCTCTTCTCATAAGGCTGAAATACATGTACAGTCATCCTTAATACTGGAAATAGGCAAGATAAAATTGTGAATTTTGCGTCAATAAAACATTTTGTTTTTAAATTCTTTCCAGTGCAGTCTGCGTGATATATGTATATCTATATTTTTTTTATGGCACCTGTAAATTGCAGGTCTCTGCTGTTGGTTATCGAATAAATAAATAAATAAATAAATAAATAAATAAATAAATAAATAAATAAATAAATAAATAAATAAAGAGTCTCAAAGGGGTTAGCTCGTATTCAACAAATTCGTCTTATTAGAAGAATAAATAAAACCGGCACGCATTTGAAATCGATGTCATCTTTAATCGTTAAAATTGTATAGTTTTGTCGACAGTTTTAAGTACTAGCCATATCTGTCAAAATCGTTTGAATTTGCCTCTGATGATACAGAATTGAATGCAGCATTTAGAAAAAGAATTCGTCTTATATCGATACATTTAATACTACTAAGTTATTAGTTATAGTCTATAATTATGAGGATAGGCATTTTCCTCGGGCCCTACTAATCGACAAATTCGTTCGTATAATATCGGAACATGAAAAGTTATTCCCATATTTGCCTAGATGTTTATGTTACCTTTGAAGGTGACATGTTGGCAGTACGCATGACGAAATCAACACAAAAAAAACAACGTTTTTTTGCGTGAGGATTCTTTTTGTTTTTTTAATTATATGGTTCGGTGCAGACGAGCCGAAATCGAATACTTCTTGACAAATTCATGATACGCTCAAAGACGACAATAAAAATTATAAACTAAAAGTACATCTGCTGGAGGAATTTCAAATATAGAATCGGTTAAATTTGTTAAGATGTAGCCTTGTAGGCCTATACTAAAATGTATAACCGGAACCGACCGTATAATTATTGACGTCGTTTTCCTGCTTAATATGGGAGCCACAATTATCAATATAGGCTTTGGCTTTGTGCCTATACATCCTTCAATAGCAGTTTCGAGCTTGCGGCTGCCGGCTTGGACGCTGGCACATTAAGGCAACGGCTGTGGCATGTTATTGAAATACGTCTTCGTCATCTCTTGAGCAACGAATGTTTGACCACAGACTGACAAGAGTCGAGTGTTATAGATTAAAAGCTGGTGTCATAAAAAAGGGGCTAATAAATTGACCATATACCCTCCACAACGGGAGGTACAAAAAGTACAAGATCTCAATGAACGTTAAGTTCCTTGTACATAAATATAGCACAGCAATTAGGTACATTTGTTTTGGATTTCACTAAATGACATATCTGTGGCCGACTAGCTGTCTCTTAAGCGCAGTGCTTAAGTGCAGGTCGCCCTTGTGGAGCAAGTTCAACGTTGTATATTATACGCTAGTTATAAAGCCCTCGGGAAATAGTAGCCTATGCCCACTATACTGTTGCAGTATAGGTTAACAAATTGGCAGATGTCCACAAACTGCTTTCTGGGAGAAATATTATCTGCATGCACGTATAATAGTCATAATAAATGTTTGTGGCGTTTTAAATGTGGAGCATATACAAACTCATATACATTTACATGTACATCTATATATAAGCCTAGCTCGCATGGACTCCGCGTACACTACTGAATGAGTACACGCTTAACGTTAGGGCCTATAGGGCTAGGGCATAGCATACATGTAGTGTTATAGCTAGGACAGGCATTTTTATCAACACAACACAACGCAGGCCCAACTTGCTAAACTTTTGACATGAAACAACAGTTTGGAGTCAGTAATATAGGTTTTCTGGGCTATTTTAAAACATTTTCGTTCGAATTCACCGATCTCTAATATTCAGCAACATCGATTAGTGCACTTCGTAATTATGTTTAATTTCGCCTTTTTTGTCAGACAACTTCAAATTTAGTCCAAACAAACTTGAAGTCAAACAATGAGCACACGTTTTCGACCCGGCGTATCGATTTTGTCTCGTCTACGCCGACTTGTGTTATTCAGAAATCAAATTTGTCTGATTGATTTATATAACCTTTTTTTATAAAACGAATTTGATCTCTGAATGCTGCCATTCGTCAACAGCTTAGACGAATTTAATCCGTAATGACGAATATTCTCGACTCGGTGACTAAAGAGGATGACCAAACTTTGAAATTGAAAGGTTAATGACTAAATTTGTTTTGTTAAAAGCGTGTGATTTTGTTGTGGACTCAATGAAATGATAGAGTTGGTGAATTTGAGTGAAAAATCTTTTAAAATAGCTAGGAAAACCTATATTAATCATAACTTTAAGGCATGATGAATCGTCCCTTACTCCCGTGCCAATAAATTATTATTATTAATATTAAGCCTATATATGCAAAGTACGGATAGGCCTATATGTGGAATCCCCTTGGCAGCTTGGCGCACTCAAGTTGTTGACAATCTTAAAATTCATTTTGTTAAATACTAGGCCTACTACATGTATATAAACTTAATAATGCTTGCTGTTGAACCCTTGTCAACAATTCTATTGTCGTGAAATCGAGTCCGAAATTAACAAAAAAATGGTGGCGTCCGGAAATTGGGCACGAAATCGGCCGAGTGTTCCTTAAACGTGGCGCACATCAAACAAATCTCAGAAATTACCAAAAAATCATTTAAGAAATCCTTGAAAAAAAATCTGATAAGCCATTAGTTTCTCCACTCACATATCCAACAATGTGTGAGTCCGAAAATTATTTTCTATTTTTTTTTTGGGGGGGGGGGGGATTTTTAAAGGGTTCACTTCGAACTTCAAAATATAATCTGAAAATCGCGCAAAACTAAAGCGAAGACAAAGTAAAACTTCTCTCTTTTTAACTTTGTAACCGGAAGGTCTAGCCGAGGAAAACTCAAGTGTTTATGAACGGGAATATTTAGAACGTGATGAAATTTCAGGTACTGTGTGATTTGAGGTGAAACAGAGGTGAAAAATGAAAGTGTACGGCAAACATCGTTACAACTTACAAGCTTTGAACTTTTTTGTGACCCGGAGAAACATGACAAAAGCAAGGTTCAAAGTTGCCCACGAATTTCATTCAAAAAGCCTACCTTTTTCCCTGTGTGCCTGGCTTGCATCTGAGTCCATGCTTGGCTTTATTCCATCTTCTTTTGCATCACTTAAGTCAAAACTCAGTCTCCGGTGTTTCCAGCTAGATGCAGGACTAAACTTGTTTCTTTTGCATGCACAGCATGTTTTGGGCTCATTTTGACTTCGCGCCGTTGCCATGAACAGCGCCCCCATGTGAGAAGGTGAAATAAACTCGCCCAGTCCATTCCATCCTGGAAAAATTATTGGGCGCGTAGCTAGCTATAGGTTCTAATAGATCTGGGCCAAGTTCACTAAAAAAGAAAGAAACATTTGACTCAAAATGGGAGTTGTGACGTCAGGAAATGTCTCCCTAATGTCCGGTGTCTCCCTAAGGTATAACTAATAACGAAAAAAGGTATCCATTACATTACAGGAATATATCAAATTGAAAAATTGAAATATTATTATTATTATTTTTTTTTAATACATTTGTAGCTGCTGTGACTTGCTGTAAACACCAATTTTTCCGGTGGCATGCTTAGAAAAAAATGTGGCCAATTTACTGGACTACCTCCGTAAATAAAGGCCACACTTCCACCATGTACAAAAATGTCGAACTTTGTCAAATTTTGATTTTCACATTTAGGCTTGGTTTGTAGTTTATTTAGAAGCATACTCGCCCTCTTTATAGGCTCATCAAAAAGTGCTGCCTTTTTCAGAAGTCTAATTTCCGTGAGATTTCAAATTTGGATACGTAAACGTGTGCAAACGAATCTGGAAATTTCACGAAAAATAAACATCTGAAAAAGGCAGCACTTTCTGATTAGCCTATAAAGAGGGCGAGTATGCTTCTAAAGCAAAAATAAACTACAAACTAAGCCTAAATGTGAAAATCAAAATTTGACAAAGTTCGACATGTTTTTGTACATGGTGGAAGTGTGGCCTTTATTTATGAAGGTAGTCCAGTAAATTGGCCACATTATGGGGCTAGCTTAGAAAAGATAGACAAATCTGTAGCAACTTCAACAAATGGAGTCAAAAGTACAATGATTTCTTTGCATCTTATTTTTGTTTTATTGGTCCAGAGACAAAAACACAAATGTGAATGGGAATATACCTACCATACTTTCCTGACTTCAGCAAACTAAGGGAAAATATCTGTTGTATAATATACAACAGATATTTCCAACTTGCTGATGAGCTACATGTACAAATAGTAGACCCACTACTTGTATATTTAACTGTGATTGTACAAACCTATGATTACATAAACATGTGTGTGCATGAAGCTAGCTATGATCGAAACACATCCGAATTTCCCTGAACTATGTATCTCTCCCCCCCCCCCCCCCACCCCACCCCTCCCCCCCCCAAAAAAAAACCAGGAGAAAAACACATTTTCTATGTACATACATGCATTTGGTGCCACTTACATGAAAAAAAAAATCATTACTCATTTAAATATTCACTGACGACATTGCTAATGATGTACTTCTACAACAATTTTCTAAATTCAAATTTCCATACCAGCACTGCCTGTTAACAAAAGACGTCACAGTTTTGGAGAAAAAACACATTAATACAAATTATTAAAACATACAACAGGCAAGATACTTTTACAATGATTTTCTAAATTCAATTTTCCATACCAGTACTGCCTGTTAACAAAAGATGTCACAGTTTTGGAAAAAAACCCACATTAATTAATACAAATTATTAAAACATACAACAGGCAAGATACATCTGGCAATTGTAATTACAACAATTTGTAATTAGAAATTGTCGGAAAGCCAACTTTTCACTGTCCAATCAGTGGGCAATGCATATCTATTACTGTCACAGTTTTCAATAAAAACAGTTTTTCACAACACTATCACAAATGTCTTAGCCTCACTTAACTGCTAAACATGCAAGTTTGAAGGATATAGGTATATAACAGCTAAAAACGGACATGCATCTGTATTTATTGCATTTGATTTCACCTGAATTTCCTTCACCAGCAAAAAAAATCCTCGCAACTTTCTGTTGCAGAACAGTCTTAACCTTAGTGCACAATGCACACAAACTAAAACAAGTTTCATGATTTAGCAGAATAATCACACCTTCATCAAATTTCATCTAATTTCCTTGCAATTCAATCATACTTAATTAATCTAAGTCTTTACAGAGTCAATTCACAACAAAACCTCAATTCAAAATTTGTACACCAAGTGTCTTATTTTGCTAGCTACAATCTGAGAAGAAAATAGGCATATAATTATATTTGAGGACTAGGGCCATCAAATTACCTATCTGGGGAAAACTCATTTGAGACAAGCGTAACGATTGGAAGACAAGTTATTTTTTTTCCTTTGTCAATGATTGTGACAGCCAATCCAGCCCCTCGTACAATCCATCACCGCTTGTAGCACACGTTGCCTGGATGTACCAATGGCGGCTGCGCAGGCCGTGAAGATTTAGCTTTTCAGTGATCTCTTGGCCGTTCATGGCATTTGGAAGATCCTAAGATTTGAGGAGAGACAATCAAAAGAGAATATTGAATCATCTTTTGAGGATAGAGAGTAACAGTTATAGACGTTCTAGTTCAAGAAAGTCTTGCCCTGCTCAAATACCAAACTACAATAACTATTTAAAGGTATAGTCCATCATTTGTAATTTGTGCATTTTGTTCGTTTGAAGCAACAAACTACTCAAAATCTGAAGAAGGGTGCTGAACAACTAACCTGATGACGTTTTAGCTCAGCTTCAACTGTATATTCCGAGAAAAACAGCATTCTAGGATCTCGATTTCAAATCAAAAGTTGCTGAATCATGTTTTGAATTGGGCCTGAATTCAGTGTTCGAGACACGTTCTCACTGAGCCGAATGCAGCTACGCGATGTCGCGCACTGATCCGACAAATTAAAGCAACCGCGCGCGCGTGTGCGCCCTGCCAATGCTTGCGCGCGCTTCGCTGAATAACAAAACAAACTACTCATTTGAATTTCCTACGGTGCGTCTTAAGAAGCACCGTTGGAAAGGCCTTCTTTTCTTGATTTCTTCAAAATGACAGCATGCCAGAAAGAATAATTTCACAGGGAGTTTAGTCCCCTTACTATCTATCAACCAAGTATGTTTTTCAACACTAATTACGTCAGTCACTTTTTGGATAGCAGCAAATGATGGACTATAGCTTTAAGAAACTAAAGGAAGTAAAAGATACATCCTCCCCATCCTAACTCCCCCGATAGTTATTCTCCTCTTGCAGACATTTTTTTAAGCACTGAATATCCATTTGTGCATCGCCAGGCAAGTGAATGTACCTGTTTGTTAGCAAAGACCAGAACATGTGCGTCTCTCAGTTCATCCTCATTCAGCATCCTGGCCAGCTCGTCGCGGGCCTCTCCGATTCTCTCCCTGTCGTTGCTGTCCACGACAAAGATAAGACCTGTGTAGACAACCAAAATGTCTTGCTATCAACGGTCAAGAAAAAGCTGATGGGCAAAGTGAGGTAGGGTACTGATACAGCCGAATCCAGCCATTTGATCACTGCACACCCGCAAGGCCCCCTTCAATGGCGAAAGCATTGTGCAAGCTATTGTGCAAAGCTAACGCAATGATTTCGCCATTGAAGGGGGCCTTCGTGATGGAATCGATAGCATGCCTGGATGGGTCTATGGCTCTGTGCAAAGGATACAAAGATCAGCGGGGAAAGCAGTCTTACCAGGATTTTCTTTCCTGACGGGGAAATTTAAAATGTGTTTTTTTTTTAAACCATCATCGGAGGACTTCTTTCTTTGTAAGGGTACTACTACTACTACCTGTACTGCACAAGTCTATCAGAGGGTTGTAGTGACCTCCAACCTCCCCGAACAGAAGTAAGGGACCAACAATCACTTGGGAGCAACTGAACAGTATCAGCTACCTGCTTTAGCCAGGTAAGCAAGGGTCTTAAGCAGAGGTCTTTTCCAGTTAGCGGGCCGATGACCATGATGAAACTAGTTGGCACAATCCATGAAAATGTAGTTAGGGTGGGAGAAGGCTCTGAATTGAGGGGAAAGTGGTCTTCCTGACTAGTTTGACATGAGGGACCAACAAGTATCCCACCTTGTGTGTTCTGGAAGTAGTGTCGCCAGAGAGGTCTGATTTTGTCTTGGCCACCGACGTCCCATACTGTGAAACTGATGTTCTTGTATTCCACTGTCTCTACGTTGAAACCTGTTGGATTAAGAACAAATGAGGACTGTAAAAGTCAGAACGTCTATAGGATCATCATGCTGAGGAGAACACAAGTGTTGTGGGGTCTTGAAAGGCACACTGGCAGCTGGTTAAGGTGCTTTTTCATACATGACTTCTTAATTTTTTTTTATGATATTACACAGTTTATGTAAGTCATGGCAAGCCTACATGTCACAACTTCATCAGAAACTTCCAGTCTATGACATGTCCACAAGAAAGCTAATGGGCAATTCCACGGTTACTCACGTTACATTTTTGATGTACTTTTGAGTTTCCTTGGGCTGTAATTACATGTACCTTACTGAAAAGGTTTAATAACTGTTATCTCCATGGTAGATAGAGTAGACCTAGACTTACCTAAGCACCAAAGATGACATCCAGAAAAATGTGTTATGTATGATAAACAAGACGCACAAAATCGGTTACTCACGTTACGAAAATGTAACGTGAGTAACCGATTTTGTGCGTCTTTTGTAACGTGAGTAACGTGGAATTGCCCTAATTTTTAAGAGATAGAACCAGGGGAGAGGTCTAGTCCCTGCAAGTCCTCCAGTCCATCACAGGCTATTTAAATGAGCTTTGACATAGGCATTCCTATGTTATTGTTCATCCACTGTTACTTGTGACTTGACTTGTGAATGGAATTGTGATTTACTTGTGACTGGACTTGTGGTGGATTTGTGATGGACTCGACTCCATCCCTTGATAGAACATTTTCTTTTTAATCTTACATTGCCTAACACTACGACCAGTTAAAGGGAAAATACAACATTTGCAAACATCGAAAAATAAAAATACCAAGTTTTTACGAAATACCTTACTAGGATGTTGATAAATGACAGTCTAAAGCATTCTGTAAAATTATGGCACCTGGTGTGAAGTCATTTTCAAGAAATTGGTATTTTTGTATACATTTCCAACGGTGGTCGGCCGACCACCGTTGGAAAAACCTAACTATTTTTCAACTTCTGCTCCATATTTACCATTTGTTTCAGTCCACATTGTGTTTGCTATTGGTTACATGTTCATGAATGGGTGCAGGCCAGGTAGACTGGTTCCCTTACCGTACAATTTTCCAGCATCTATAAATTGATCCATTCCATCTTTAGTGGAGTCGGGAACCAGACTACTTGAACATTTTTGTTTTTCTTGGTTTTTTTCAACATTTTCGAACACAAAACTTCAAACATGTCAGTGTATCAATATTTTGTTCTATTATACTAACCGGAAAATTACAGTGAAAGCTAATGATGTACATTCCCTTTAACATCAAGTCAGTTGGGCAACATTGACACTGCAATTTATTATTATTATTATTAATCATTTTTGGTAATGAAACCAAGGATTCCTCAAAAGCGCCCTAGGCACTGTAGCTCGCAAGCCTGAAGAAACCTGTGGAGAGAAGACAATGAGAAGAAATTACAGTTTTAGAGGTGGGAGGAAAAGCCCAGAAGAATATTCTGAGGAAAACCCACGGAATCAGGTAGGGACTGAAAACCCAATCCACATATTGGCCCAGGCGGGATTCAAACCCGGGTCACAGCGGTGGAAGGCGAGGAAAGTACCGCTACGCCAACCTGACTCCCCAAAGTTGAACCACATCTTCGTTTTTCCAAAAACAAAAAGCCTCAGCAGTATTCCTAGCCAAGAGAAGATGTTGCCTGGACCGTAAGGTACTCACCGATGGTGGGTATGGTGGTGACGATCTCTCCCAGCTTGAGCTTGTACAAGATGGTGGTCTTGCCTGCAGCATCCAGCCCGACCATGAGGATACGCATCTCCTTCTTGCTGAACAGGTTCTTGAATAAACTTGTGAACGCTCCCATCTTGTCTTGAGTTGACTCGCCGAGTTGTTAAAATTTAGAGGGATGCAAACTCTTTGGAGTTAACAAGACAAATCCTGAACGCCTACGGTGACTTCTGCAAAGATGAAAAATCAAAAGTACTGGACATGATTTTGTAAAATTATTGGCAGGAAAAGCAAATAAATAGTATTGCAACTTCCGAGGAAGACTGAACTTTTAGATTGAGCTATAGGTAAGACAACAATATATCAAAACCTTGTTTTACCTGAATTAGAAATTGTGAGAGCAGTTGGATTTTTTACAGACTCCCTGTAAATATGAGAAAGGTATACATGTGTGGTGCGTGATAAAAAACACCCTTCATGTTGAAGAAATATCTTGACTCTCAATCAAGTAAGCTTTGCAGGAGTTGACAAGACTAAGTTTGGATTTTTTTTAAAACTGGAATTGGTTAAAGCAGGCAGGTTGGGAAGAGAAAACACAAAAGGACTTTTGATAACAACACTTAAAAAAGGATAAATTTGCAAACATATCTGACATTTTTGGGAGTGGGGAAAAATAATTTTCAAAGGTTATAGAGTTCATAGCGCAAAACCAGGACAACTCAATTTGAAAATAAGCACAAGCTGGAGATAATACTCTTTTTTTTAGTCTACAAATTTAAAGGTTTATTCACTCAAAACAGATTTTGCCTTACTATTCTAAACATACATGTATACAACTCAAAATACAGAATGCCAATAATAATCTTCAGAAGATAAATTATGTGGACGTTATTTCACATGTTTCATCCGTAACTGTACAATTTGTTAATCTGCATGTTATCGTGGTAAGCGGAAGTGATCACTAGCCTGGTATTTGGTTACCGCTACTGATTACCAACCAAAATCACACATAATACACACTGCCTTCTGGCTGGTAGTCAGTTTTACTCTAAATTTTTGCTTAGCTTAATATTGCAGTAAACCTCTTCAAATTCAACAATGATTTGGTTCCTAATCAGATGTGAAATAACGTCCACAATATTATGTAATATACATTGTAAATACTAAGGAAAAAGCGCAACTACCAATCCGAATAATTTTATGAGGACACATTAATAAATCGGTAATTCGGGATCTACATGTACATGTATGTAACCCCCTCCCAAAACACACAGAAAAATATATTAATATCCTCACTGAAAATGCCATTACAAGGCGATCTAATAATAAATACACACTGGGACGTTTTTGTTTTAACTGGTTTTGCTTTTCACTGGAAAAACTTAAAAGCAATTTACAGATGCAATGGAGTTCTAAGGTACATCATACATGTACTTGTACAAGCACCATGTTTAATATCAATACCACGTCCGTTTTGTCTATCTTGGGGGAGTGCCATGCTTACGGCAGGAATGTATTCAAAAGTTCCTCCGAACTCTCTCGTTGTATTCAACTGAAGGGGAACTTGCTTACCAAGTCCAAAGAATTTTAACGTAATGGCCTTTTTGCAAAAGGTTTTGGTTGTTTTAGTTAAAAAAAACACCATGAACGCAAAAAAGTCTACTAAAAACTGTGCAAGAACAAAGAAATGGAAAGAAGAGGAGGAACTTACCAGTGACGGGTCTGGAAAACATAAATTTCAGTGGGATCGGGAATTATATCTGCCAATTTTGCAAAGACTGACTAACAGTAGAATAAGTTATTCGAATGAATTAACAACTACCACAAAAGATACTACTGGCTATATGATTTCCGGTTAAAACGAAACTGCTACATTTTCATACTTAGGCACGTGTACGGTAAATATAAGACAAGTGCAAAATAGGTAAACAAGCCATGTACAAAGTCCGCATTCATTGCCAAATACTTGAACAAATAATAAATTTAGGGAATGTTAAACTACATGTACTCTGTACCACCAGTCCGCGTTTCATGACCTCAAAGCTTTGAACGACTTTGTCACAATTGCAAACTGCAATTTTTAAAGAGAAACACCAACCCTCCTAGAAATGTTTGCAGTCGGGCTTCAATTTCCACAAAAGTTTTTAAAAATAATTTTTACATGTGTATTTCTAATGAAGCAAGTTCCTGAATCATATTAACCCCAAAAGCTGTAAATTTATGATCGTTTTAGTATCAACAGCGTGTCCTATGGTTGGTTCTGCTAAACAGTATTATACTTTCTAAATAGTTACATGGACAACTAAATCACTTGTTAAAAATACCCACAACCATTAAATATGTACTGTTTTCATTTACTATTTTTTTTTTACATGAAAATCCTGAAGGTTAATAGACGAAACTTTGTCCTTTAAACATTGAAAGGGCCGGTATTTTTGCCGATGTGAGCAAACATGAACACACAAAAAGGGACGGTACACTTCCCTGCAGATCTTATTAAATGATAAATTGGTTCTTCCTTATTTGGACATTTGCTGGAAGTCGGGTGCTGCTTCGGCACTTTTACCATGAATGAGATTCCATCATGATTTACTCTCAATCTTAAGAAAAAAAAAAAATAGATCCAAGGATCGATAACACCAAACAACTTGCATGTCGGACACGACTGCAGTAATTCCTAAACCAGTGTGGGCCTTATTCACGAGTTGGCCATTTTTGTCGAGTTCCCTGAACGTATTTCATTAAGTGTTAACTGTTCAACGGGATGGCGCCAGACTATTTATGCAGGCACAATGCAGCCTTATTTTACTGTCTGGTTTTTTTGTTTAACCCTCCTACTATTTAAGAGGTCACCAATGGTCAAAATGTTTGTATCTCACCTCCTGGCCTACTGTGTACAAACCAATGGGGGTCTTGACCAATATTGACCCAAGTAATAACCAGGCTGACAATGCATGTTTCCATAGGAGGGTTAATCTGGCTTTAAACATAAGAGAATGTTTATTTACAAATTTAATATTATTCACTGAAGCAGACTGGAATTAGTTAAGCACTAACTTGCTTTCACTTCTCTTCACAAGCTCCAAAAATTAAGATTTCCCTCACTTGAATTCAATATGGCCGACTCGCGAATAAGGCCTGTAGTAGTCAACTGCATCACAAATCGTCACAAGTCCATCACAAGTCCATCACAAGTCCATCATAAGGCTTCCAGTCTCATGTCAAGTCATAAGCTACTCAAATGATCTGTGACAAAAGTATTCCTTTGTCGTTGTTCATCCTGTTACTCATGACTGGACTTGTGATTTACTGTAAACTAGCCTCGTGATGGATTTGTGATGTACTCAACTACAAAAATGTCCTGAACCTCCAATATCCCTCCTGACGCCCACCTCCCACCCCCCCCCTCAAAAAAAAAAAACACACACCAATGAGCCTCTGCCCAACTGAGCACTCCCAAATGATTCATCTACATGTACAAACAAGTAAAACCACCCAGGTTCTCGTTAGAGGTTCTTTATTTGGTGTTCTTCTTGAGTATATTGGACAACCAGTCTAGACCTTCGTACAAACCGTCTCCGCTAGTGGCGCACGTGGCCTGGATGTACCAAGTGCGATTGCGCGTCTTGTGCAGACCTAGTTTGTCTGTGACCTCTGCTGCATTCATTGCATTGGGAAGATCCTGGACGGGAAGAGAAAATGAGCAAAAGTTTAAAGGGAAGATACAACATTTGCAAACATCACACAACGAAATGATCAAATTATCACGAAATACCTTACATGACAGTCTAAAACATCATGTAAAATCGTGGCTCCTTGTGCTGACATTTTCAAGAAAAATGGTATTTTTCCAACGCTGGTCGGCCGACTGGCTTTTTCAAAAACTGCTCCGAATTTTTCATGATTAGTTATTCCACGTTTTCTTTTCAATTGATTACTCAACTAGGGGTACAAGCCTGCTAGACTGATCCTCTGACCTTACAATTCCCCAAAGTCTATAAATTCTCTGTTTCATCTTAAGTGGGGTCAGGGTGTCACGGTCATGGGTGTCACCAGGATTTTTTCTAGAGGGGGGCAAGATTTTGTTTTTGCCAAAAAATGCTTGTATTTCTCAACACATTCTCGATTTATCAGTTTTAGAGGGGGGCAGGGACATTTTGCCCCCCCCCCCAACTCATTAAATTTACACCACTTTGTCTTCGTGCCTCTTTTATTTTTTTCTTCTTCTTTTCTTTTTCTTCCTTTTTTTTTTTTTTTTCTTTTCCAGGGGGGGGGGGGGCCAAGTGCCCCCCTTGCCCCCCCCCTCGCGACGCCCATGGTCACGGTCTCACTTCTCTGGCGTGCTAGCTTCTCCAAGTTGGAAATTTCGTTTCAACACGCATGCACAAAATTGCGCAGAAGTGTTCACTTTCGCCAACTTGATGTGTGTGCTGAGTTCTTTGGGGTTGTACTGGTGCACGTAAAAAGTTAGGATGTTTGTATGTATACGTCACAGGGTACCATCGAATCCAGACCTAGGCATGGTGGGGCGCGCAATTAACTCCAAACATCCTAATAACCAAAAAGACTTGACGGATGCACATTTATTTTCAACTGTGGTTGAATGGGTTGCAAATTGGATATGCATGTGATGGACCACGACCGAGCAAGGAACACGCTTTTTATTTTTTCCTCAACGCACACGCAATGACGATGGGAACACAACTTCAGAATGCTTGCAATATGACTTGACCCACAGGAAGTGTTACATAACGCATTCTTGGGTGTCCCTCACTGTCTGTATGGACCGAGTAGACTCTACAACAACAACAATACAGCCCGAGGAAAAGTTAGCACAGCGGACACATGAGCATGAATAGTGCTCATGTAACGTGCACTGTAACGTGCTCCATTATCCGCCAAATCCAACCAAAGAAGCTGGCACGCTGGAGAAGTGAGACCGTGACAAGGGAACCAGACTACAAGAACATGAATGGTTTTCTTGGTTTTTCCACTATCTACAAGCCCAAAACGTGAAACATGTCATTTTTTAACAAAATTGGCTATAACATACTAATCCTCCAAATCCATTTTATTTCTGAAAATTGCAGCAAAAGCAAATGTTGTACATTCCCTTTAAGCATGGATGTGCATACAGTACACCTGTGTAATTTCAGTGGTTTCACAAGACATACTTAAGGGTGCCGCTGCCCCAATGTTGACCGGAGAAATTGAAATGTGGCCCCACGCTACACAAGTTGTGCACCTCTCTCGGAAATTATGTGCTGCATGGAAAATACTAAATTTAAATTTCACCATCTTTACAGCAGCACTCCCCCACCAGTAACTTTGTCTAAAGCAATCCATTTTAATACCCCATCCTTATTGAAAATCTTAAAGACTGCTGGATTTGTGATGTGCAGTGGCACTTTCCTTTTCCTTCCACCACTATGGCCTTGGTTCTCATCTCATGCGACATGTCAATTGGCTTTTTAGTTGCTGCCTGACACTTCTGCTTTTTAAGACAGAATCAGAAACTCTTGACCAGGATATCCCTACTTTTTCTTTATCAGTATTGAACTGGGTCCAAAGAAGCAACAGCTTAAAGGGAATGTACATCATTGGCTTTTGCTGTAATTTTCAGAAATGGAGTATTTGAGGGATAAGTATAATATATCAAATATTGTTACACTGACATGTTTGAAGTTTTATGTTTGAAAATGCTGGAAAAACCAAGAAAAACAAAATTGTTCAAGTAGTCTGGTTCCCTGACTCCACTAAAGATGAAATGGATCCATTTATAGTTGCAAGAAAATTGTAAGGTAAAGGAACCAGTCTAGCTGGCCTGCACCCGTTCATGAACATGTAACCAATACCAAACAAATTTGGACTGAAAAAAGGTAAATTTGGAGCAGTAGTTGAAATATAGTTAGGTTTTTCCAACGGTGGTCGGCCGACCACCGTTGGAAATGTATACAAAAATACCATTTTCTTGAAAATGACTTCACACCAGGTGCCATAATTTTACAGGATGCTTTAGACTCTCATTTACCAACATCCTAGTAAGGTATTTCTTAAAAACTTGGTAGTTTTATTTTTCGATGTTTGCAAATGTTGTATATTCCCTTTAAGGAATGGGTGCTGTACCTGTTTGTTAGCGAACACTAGAAGGTGTGCGTCTTTCAACTCGTCCTCGTTCAGCATTCTCGCCAGTTCCTCTCTAGCCTCGCCGACTCTTTCTCTGTCGTTGCTGTCAACCACAAAGATCAGTCCTGGAAAAGAAAAGAAAATGTATACCATTAAAGCCAAACTCCTAGAGTAATGGAACGTTCCAGATCTGGCCATAACCCTGCCCACATTAACCCTAACCCACCTCACTCCTCCAAAATCCTCCTGGCGGTATTGGAGGATTCTAGAGGATTGAGGATGAATGGTGATTGAATCAAATGAGGATTCTGGAGGATTGAGGATGAATGGTGATTGAAGCACATGAGGATTTTGGAGGATTGAGGATGAATGGTGAATGAAGCACAAGAGGATTTTGGAGGATTGAGGATGAATGCATTTTGAGGCAGGACTGTCTGATGATTTTGAAGGATTTGGCGTTGGTTATCCTTCATTTAAACACGAGTGCAAAGTTTTGGGATGAGGAGGATTTTGGAGGATTGAGGATGAATGCATTTTGAGGCAGGACTGTCTGACAATTTTGAAAAATTTAGGCGGAGTTGAAAAATTTTGGAGGATTTTGGAGGATTGAGGATGGTTGTAAGCAACAAGGGCCTAGGGGGTTAGGGTTAATCTATGGAACATCCCCTTGCACAGCAAGGGTCTATGATATGCCAGCAGATTCGGCAATTAATTACGCAAAACAAGACTGCGTCTTGACCTCCAGATTCTGACCATTCAGCGGGCGCCTTCTATATCGGGTCTTTGATAACCTGTTGTCATAGACCTAGACACACATCTATCGTGTTTTCGTTGTGAATTGTGTTAGCAAACCTTGGCTGCGTCACACAGCCTGTAACGATATGTTGCGCGATGTGTCAACGACATGTGGCTTTGAATGATCATGACATTTTTTTTAATAACGCGTGTAATGCGAACGCCCTTTGGGCCCGTTCACGTCACGCCCACGATGAGAGCTTGTGCATTCTATACGCGTAGTATTTTGCTAACAGTTTTGGAGAGCCAATGTCGTGTCTAGGTTTTATTAGATATCTATGCCCGTTATTGTATTACAAAAACATGGCATTCAAATTGACCAATCAACAGCTAAGTCCAGATTTTGGAATGAAATGACGTCATGTCGACTCCGATTGGCTGGTGCATGGGGTCGCATAAGTTTGCATGCATGGATATATCAGACACTGGACCGGAGACAGAGAAGGCTCCGTTGGACAACGGGTGATACTCAGACTACGCCCACTTTTGGTTTGTGTACATTTGTCACGGTGCTTGGACCAAGTCTTATCAAGCCAACGTGGTCACCTTGCCAAAGTCCTGAACTACGGGCTTATTTATTTTAAAGGAACAACAACTAGGAAACAGCAGTCTAGCTGTTGCATTTTGACAGATTTTGGGTGCTTAACCCTAACAACCCTGAGCCCATCAAGCTCCAACAGCGGGTTTTGCTTGATTTTGGCAGGGTTGGTACCGAACACTGGCCAGCTGGTGTTGGACTTTGATTGACTGGGTACCAAAGGCCCAGGGAGACCCTGTTGAATTTTGTGAGGTTCGGGGCAGAAGGGCATGAGATTTGTGAACACGTTGGAGTTTGAGGGAGTTCACTGGCATTTCTTCGTGGGTATGCTCACCCACGGTCCTCAGCACAGTTTGTGGTCAAATGTGCATGTACATGGGAGTTCACAGGCATTTCTTCGTGGGTACGCTCACCCACGGTCCCCAGTACAGTTCCTGGTCAAATATATTGCTTTATTTTGTTAGGTTTGGTACCATCCCTATCCAATCACTCGACAATGCATAGGCCCATCCATACCAAGTCAATCAAACTCCAACAGTTGGAGTTTGGCAGGTTTAGTACTGTTCCCCGTACAAGGCCTGTTGGAGTTTGGCAGTTTTGGTACCAGTGCTTACAGACCTGTATGCAGCTGTTGAAATTTGTTAGGTTTGGTATCCTTTCTAGTGCAAGAGCCTAGGGGGTTAGGGTTAAAGCAATATGGCGCGGAATGAGCCTCAGTACTGATGACGTCACGCTTTGTTTACTTGTGCACTTTACAATGGGGCTAGGAAATCGTGGTCCCCACTAGGCTCCCATTAGAGAGCACACATAAACAAAGCGTCACGTCATCAGTACAGCGGCTTAATGATTCTTAAACACTACAGTCGCACCCACCTTGTGTGTTCTGGAAGTAGTGACGCCAGAGAGGTCTGATTTTGTCTTGGCCACCGACGTCCCATACTGTGAAACTGATGTTCTTGTATTCGACTGTCTCTACGTTGAAACCTGCCAAAGAGAAGCAAACAAAATTGTCCATTAATCTTACTTAAAATGAAAAAGAAACTGAAAAAGTGTTTTTACAAAAACTATTTGTGCAATATCCAACCAATCTGGAAGTTATGAACAATGCTACATGATAATGTGGGATATGACAATAATTAAAAAATCTTATCACTCTTCAGTGAAGTTTAAAACAACTAAGTGTTCTTGTTTAGGTAAGCTCCTTCTTAAACCCTCCAAAATCCAAACCCCCCCCCAAATAAATCCTGACACATTTTTGGAACTTTAAAGTTCAAAGGCAGCAATCAAGTCCCATGTAAAATAACAGTGGCTGGGCTCTACTGTCCCCAATCCTGCAAAATCCTTCAAATATGCCTGGTGGATTTTTGTAAGGTCTGCGAAGGCGACTGTGAATGGACAAATGCAAATAGGATTCTGAAAGGATTTCAGGAATTGCTCCGTCTACTCACCAATGGTTGGAATGGTTGTGACAATCTCTCCAAGCTTGAGTTTGTACAAAATTGTCGTCTTTCCGGCGGCGTCCAGCCCCACCATGAGAATCCTCATCTCCTTTTTGCCGAAAAGGCCCTTAAATAAACTCGCAAATGCTCCCATGGCAACGGCGCTTGTCTTTATAACACAGACAGGTGGACGGGTGGGTGACAATTGGCACAGCAGTTTTACATGCAAGGACGACACAGGTACAGTAGGTTGGGTGACTAGGTCTGTGAACCAGACTGATTGGTCAACTTTCACAATCACTTGGACTTCCTTTGAAAGGAAAAAAAAAAGGCAATGCAAAAAATCAATCATTTTTTATGAAACAATCGTCACTGATGATCAGAAAAAGGTATTACGTTGACTGTGAAAAACTTCAGTTTGAGTCAAGAGAGCTTGAAATGTACAGTGCTTGGATAAAATGTCCACTTTGTTTTGAGCGGTGTTTGAACACAGTCATGGCAACATTTTGGTGAGAAAACTTGTCCGACTCTACATGGATAATTTTATCACTTCTCTGCACTTTCTAGTTGGCACTTCATGAATATTAATTAAGACAGCGGAATACACTGTCCAACCCTGATGGCACATCACCAGTTCACCCTTCAAAACACAGACACATTTTTTTTTAGGTTCAAAACAATTCTAGCATTCTTGGGAACAAACATAATTCAAAGTTGAATATGTCCGTTGCAATGAAGGAAAACGTACAAAAACATGCACGTACTGTACGTACAAACCGTCAGACATACAATGCACATCATCATGTACACTTTAACCCAAAATCAACACCCCTGTGTTGGAGGATTTCGGTGGATTGAGGATACCTCCATATTGCAAAAGTTGGTGGATTTTGATGGATTCAGGACAGTAAGCCTAGCAATACTGCAGGATTTTGATGGATTCAGGATACCTCCATATTGGGCAGTTGGAGGCTGCTGGGCGCATCCACGTTCGTGCACAAACCTGGATGGCTTTTGTACTGCTATTTGCACATCTGCGTTTGTATTCTATACAGGTGCGTTAATGAAGCTGATACGCCTAAAACCGAAACTCACAATCAGTAAATGAGCGTTTCATTCTGCTCTGCGTAAACAGTGCAACGCGTGCGCGTGTCTGCTGCAGATGATTTTTGCCATGACATTTTTTAATCGTCATGAAGCACTTATGTTGTTTGCGTATGTTGTACTTGAGTGTTGCATTTAGAGTACATTTTCAAAATTCACTCCATCTGATTTAAAATGTCTGCGCACTGGAACGCTTCAATGTATCTTCGTGGGCAAGAATGAGGAGTTAGCGCCCCAGTAATCTACATATACATGAAGCTCTGTGGTATTGGAGGATTTATTTTCTACACACCAAAGCCATGCTACGTGTACAATATACAGCACAGGCCCAACATACAGGTGACAATATACAATAAACAAGCTTCAGACGCTGTGCCCTAGTCTGTCCTGGTGGAAATATGTAGAGCATAACTGTTTTTGAAGGCGAGTTGAGCACCATGCACCAACTTCATGCAACCTTTAAAACATACTCAACGAACAACAGTCGGTTTTAATAGGATTCAATTGACCTTGTGTCTGCAGTGAGTGTGTCTTCTTTTGGCTCTGGTGTGTCTGCCTTGGGTTTCTTTCCAATGGACGTTTGGTTTTCATTTGAAAAGAACATTAAATCCCAGGTAGACAAAAATCAGACACAGAAGATCCAGCAGAAGTCATGCGAACTGCAGCCTCGTAGTGACAAAATTCATACGTCGAACGGCAATCGTGCCAATTGTATCTTTTGCAGACAATTGCTGGCATAGGGAAGCCGGGCTTCAATACTTTCCCTTCGTCTATAGTGCATCAGATGGGCCAGGCGCCTCATGATTGGCCCGTCTGACGGCACCCTTGATATGCACTAAATAGACGGTGTCTGTGGTCGGTTCCCAGACCAAAAAACTCTTTGACTATTCTGAGGTCATGCCAACAAGGCTTCGCGTGCACGTTACAACTCAAACTGTAGCTTCGGTCATTCAGTTTTGGTCAAAAGTGCGCCCGCATACATGCACTTTTGACCAAAACTGAATGACAGGCAACAGCCGTACAAATGCACATTGTCAAAAATTGATGCAAGCTAGGGAGGGCGCGATTTATCACACCATGAATAATGCAACACGACGCTTTCGTGAACAATGGCTGTAAAAGTCGTCCGAATTCAACTCGAAATTACAAGATAACTAGACCTCTGAAGAGGTGCCGAATTTAACGTTTTGTTGATATTAAGCAGTTGTAGACGGCATTGGGTGAGTATAAAGTGACAAAATAATTGTGATTTCGAATGGATTTTCGGCTCCCTTAGCAACCGACCCTCCGTCCAAATACCATATCTGGATCTGTGACGTTTAATTAATACGGAGATAGGCCTAGTCCAGTATTATTACGTCACATTTACATGATTTATGGGACTAGTTTGGACTTAAACATTTTTTCAGCAACTCCCATTCATTCAGTGTTGCTTCGTTCTCAAGGGGACCACACTATCCGCATAGCTGGCACTAGTGGCAGTGGCAATGGACTTGAATTGTCATGAGGGATGATGAGACATGATTGTTTCTTTTCCAATTCCAGTGACTCTTTTCCAACCTCATCATGCTCGTAGTCGTACTAGCCAGAGATTTTTTTAGGGGTAGGCCTAGTCCGAGTAACTTGGACCCAACTTATAGCCTTTTTTTAACATTTGGACATGGTCTGGCGATAGTAAGGTCCAAGCTAATACCGCGAGCTGGACAACACCGTCCCAAAAACCAACATTTTCCAACAAAAAACATCAGATTTCACCTTCAAAACGGCCTCCAAATTACTAGATATGCCACCTGAGGTACAAGTAGACATCGATGATTAAGATGGTTGTACTGAAGTTTACTTACGATCCGGAAAAAAAGTGAAACTTTCCGTTCATTTCGGAGAGCTCCCCTCGCGATCTTGAACACGTTAAATTTCCGATCGTGTTTAATGAGTGCGATTCCGTTACCGAGCGCGCGCGATGCATCGATTATGATAATGAGTCACGTTTGTAAACACATACATGTGCATTTCGAACTGTAAAAGGGAATCGGGAACCAGCTTGAACTGGCTTGCACAATGTATGTGTTTACAAACGTGACTCATTATCATAATCGATGCATCGCGCGCACTCGGTAACGGATTCGCACTCGGGATACGGGGACCATCGAATGTACGCTGGGCATGTAGAAGAAATCGCGTCGTTCAAACATTAAACACGATCGGAAATTTAACGTGTTCAAGATCGCGAGGGGAGCTCTCCGAAATGAACGGAAAGTTTCACTTTTTTTTCCGGATCGTAAGTAAACTTCAGTACAACCATCTTAATCATCGATGTCTACTTGTACTTCAGGTGGCATATCTAGTAATTTGGAGGCCGTTTTGAAGGTGAAATCTGATGTTTTTTGTTGGAAAATGTTGGTTTGGGACAGTGACAGGTTGATGTTGTCCAGGTCGCAGTACTTGGTCGCACTAAAAAGCGTCAACACAGCGTCAACACATGACAGAAACGTCAACACACCGTCAACACATCCAAAACACATTCTGAATTGACAGAAAAGGTATATAATTGTAAAGCATAGAATAAAAGAGAATTTTCAATGGATTGAGTTTACATTTTGTTGTTAAAAATATAGTATTTTCACGCGAAAAAATGACCCTTCACTTGCACGGCCGTTGTCCGCCATTTTGACTTCGCACAAAGCTTGGACTACACCATTTAAAGTAGGGGTGTGTAGGTAATCTTGTCATAAACAACAGAGGGCGCCTTGCTGCAGAGAGGGACACCAGTGCACTCTGATCTGTGAGGGACTGAGGTTTATTGTACAACGCTATCACCCTTTAGCATAATGGTATGGTCCGCGCTTCCACTGAGGCAACATGGCAGCCGATCTCGGAGCGGCACGGAGAGCCAATTTTCTTGAACTGAAAATCGCAATTTTCAGACGTTTAACCTATTGATTTTAAGCCAAAATCTTGTTTCTGTCCATACCGTATGGGTTACATACTGCTTGTGTCAATTTTAATGCATTTTGGATGTGTTGACGCTGTGTTGACGCCGTGTTGACGCTTTGGAGTGTGTTGACGCTGTGTTGACGCTTTTTAGTATGACCGGCGGTACTACTAGCTTGGACCCCACTAGACCCGTGAACGTGGCGTTGCGTTGTATACAACGCCACGTTCTTGTTTCATTTCGAACCTGGCGAAATCGATCCGACATACATAATTCCGTATGGGTGTTGAGTACTCACCTAGAAATCTAAATTTGCCCGTCCGATTGTTTCGGCTGTGTAATTTCGACGAAATTTGCCCATCAGTGAAGACCCATACGAACGTGTAGAAATTAGATTTTAACCTGACCCTGACAAATAACCCCGGACGCGTCTGAGTCGCTTGGACAGATTGACGGCTGTTTCATGTCGCAACCCCGAAAAAAAAAAACCCGCAGATGATTGGCTGCTCGGCTCATCTCGTGTACAGTACGTGTGTGCACACTAGGCTTGGACGGTATTTCGGTATTACCGGATAGTCAAGGTTTTTTTTAATAACCGACTAACACCGACTAATGATTCATGAATACCGAAACACCGGTGAAGTCGGTATAGAATTTCAATACCGTGGTATTCTTCCTTTGTGTTCAGAATCTTCGCAAAAGCCTTTCAAACAGAAAGACAAGCAACCTCTTTGACATGTTTGATTCCATTCTTTGTGGTTTCAGGCATCCAGTTTCATGTCTACATTGTCAACTACCGTTGACAGATTGAACACAATTGTCAAGCTCGACGAGAAAACCTGATACTTCGGCAGCTGCAATACCACAAAGGCCTTTGAAGTTCTGCTAACGCCGCCGTGTTTGCGGTTTTCTTTGTGTGTAAAGTGTCTCCGCTGAAAGTTCAAACAATGTTTTACACATGGAGTTTTTGACGGTCGTGACAAAAACTGGTCGTCTTAATTGTTTCTCCGTGGTTGTTCCAGAGAAATCTTACATCATCATGCGTAATTTTTGCCACAACATAGTTCCCAAGAATATCAGCAACAAGAACAAAAACCTTGTCAATCTTGGTTATATGACCGCCGAAACTTGCAGGCTTCAGTCTAGTGCTATATGCGTGCGAGATGCACGTGCAAAGGGAAGGGACGCCTGGATTCACATGCGATGCTGAGCCGTCCGATCCGGGGAAAATGAGAAACAAATATTTCAAGGAAAGCGCAATATCAAAGCCATCATGATGTCTCATCATGGGCCTTGGGAATAAATGTACAATCAGGCAGTGTCGGCACCGACGCGCAAAAGGAAAACAAATCTGGACTCGCCTGAATATACGAGGCAGCGAGTGTGAACCATCCGGGAAAATTAAGGGAAAAAAATACTTCAACGGATGATTTCTCAACGTGGGTAAAAACTCTTGAACGATCTGGAAGCGGTCACTTTAGTGTTTATGTGCGTCATGTGCGTGGTGCGTGGCCGTACATATGCCAGTGCATGATACGTCATACACGTGGTCCCACACTGGTTCCGCACAGAGAGAGTCGGAACACGTGCTTTTCCCCACCCATTGCATTTATCGATCTAAAGCTGTGTCCGCACTCGCCTTTTTTTGGAAGGTTTTACCGAGACGATGGTGAGATGAAAAATGGTCAAACACCCTTTTAAAAGAATCTGATTGACCACCTAAATCTACGCTCGGAACATTTTTTTTCATTCATGTTTCGGTTCGATTGGTCCGTTAGTTATTCATCGGTACCAACGTTCAAAGGGAAGGGACTCGCCTGAGTATGCCGAGTCGTCTAGATAAAAATCCGGAAAAGAAAATACTCCAAAAGAAAGCGTAATACAAGAACCATGATTTCTCACCGTGGGAAAACCCCCCGTAATGCCCGCACGATCACACGTAAAGCTACGCCCGTCCTGCTGGGCCCACAAGCACAATTGCACGTGCTTTTTCCCACGCACTGTGTAGATCAAGCTGATTGGCCATCTAAAACGGCGCTCGAAACATTTTCCATTCATGTTTTGGAATGATTGGTCCGTTCGTTATGAAGGTCGCGGCACCGACAACTTCATATTACAGCGTCCACAATTGCGCATGCGTAATATTGTGATGTTTACTATTATCAATCACGGACCGATCACGTGAGAAGGAGTACGATATTTTTTGTAGGAGTCCGATTTTCACATGACACCGGCGAAGCACGTAAGGAGTCGCTGGTGGCCGGCATTAATTGCGTGAGCCTTTTAAGTCACTCACAATGGATACCAACTGAAAAGCATACGTTAGCTAGGATCTGGGGATCGTCGCGTGGTCGGCCTCTGGCATCGGTCGACGATCTGCATTATTTTTTAGTGGACCTTGTCAAGTCAATGACTTACAAATTCGAAAAATGCAAAACCACAAAAAGTAAGCTTCCCCTGTTTAATAATCTGTTACAATGATATGTTGTTTTTACAAAGAAATGGACTGATAATGAAAGTTTGAAACCAAGACACTTTTAGTGTAGGACTAGGAGATTTGCGGCGTGAAGCATTTGCGTGATTTATGCTGCGCCGGCGGCTTATCAACTCGGCACGTGGTGTGGTGGTTAGTTATTTTTTTCTTCTGATAATGACGTAACTAATACCCCGCTTGACATAATACTGCGGTTTTAGTGAATACCGCGGTTTTTTTGTCACTCTATACCGCGGTATAGTAAATGCAATACCGTCCCAAGCCTAGTGCACACACACGCGGGCGCACGTGCGACCGCGTGCGGTGCGGTGAGAGAGGAAAGGACTTGAAACTTGTCTAAAACGATGTCTGTTTTAGCTGCGACAGTAAACAGCCGTCGAATCATACGAAAATAAAACGCAATGCGCATGCGTCAGTTGGGAGAAAATGGCAGCTAGCAGTAGCGGACGGACTTCATGAACCGGGGCCAGAATTTTCCTCAATTTTCGTCAAATGCAAGTTTTGACGTACAAATAGAATTCAAGACAGCTTCATATGTGAGTAAGCCTACTTATTACATGGGCAAAATAACGTCCAGTGTGTGTGTGTAACGGAGGGAGTCAGAGGGACACGTTCGCCAGGTTCGAAAATAGACAACAGCGTGGCGTAGTTTACAAGCCACGTTCACGGGTCTAGGACCCCACTATCGCTAGCCCCACTAGTGTGGCCGTCGGTATGCTGCGCTGAACCTTTGGCCACACACCGTGGTACCGCGCGCTACTGAGGACGAAGTTTTTCATAAAATTCAGGGCAGTTTCTTACAATTTCAGTTTCTTACTTTCTTATGGTTGTAATGTCTCCTATCACTTCTGGGATGCTTAGCATGTGCTTAGGTCTAATGATGTTCCATTTTCCGAGATATTCTTCAATCTTTCTGGAGTCCATATGCACTCGTGAAACGTCTGGTGATGGCAGCCATTTTGAATGGGACAAGAGATGACCTCAAGCTGTGACGTCGCGTGTATGCAAATTGCTTGTCGAGCGCGCGAGGGCGCGAGTTGCAAATGCGACGGCTGTTTCCTGTACCATGCATTTATCGTCAGGGGGCCACGTGCACCGATCTCTATTCAGGATCTACGGCACAGGAAACAGCCGTCGCATTTGCAACTCGCGCCCTCGCGCGCTCGACAAGCAATTTGCATAAACGCGACGTCACAGCTTGAGGTCATCTCTTGTCACATTCAAAATGGCTGCCACCACCAGACGTTTCACGAGTGCATTATGGGCTCCAGAAAGATTGAAGAATATCTCGGAAAATGGAACATCATTAGATCTAAGCACATGCTAAGCATCCCAGAAGTGATAGGAGACATCATAGAATACAACCATAAGAAAGTAAGAAACTGAAAATGTAAGAAACTGCCCTGAATTTTATGAAAAACTTCGTCCTCAGTAGCGCGCGGTACCACGGTGTGTGGCCAAAGGTTCAGCGCAGCATACCGACGGCCACACTAGTGGGGCTACACTATCGCCAGACCATCCATGTCCAAAATGTTAAAAAAGGCGATAAGTTGGGTCCAAGTTACTCGGACTAGGGTAGGCCTACTGTGTAGGCTTATTTCCGAGTGGCGGGGTATTCTGCAATTACTCCACGCCCCCGCCCGCCCCCCCCCCCCCCCCCCCCCCCCGCCCCCCCAACATGCCCAAGGCCAAGCAATAAACATGGCTTCCCTTCCATGGGCCATAGTGACTGGGAATTGGGGGCGAACACTGTGGTTATTGTGTAATGCAAACGTGCCAAACGTTATGAACGAGGTTGGGGCGAGTTGACACACAACGTTCATGACGTTTAAGCCGTCCAGGATTCTGCGAGGAAAACATATCATTTCAAGCACTACAATACCTAAAATTCAAACTTACCTGTACTATAGATTAATCTCCAATTCCAATTTTCATGAAAACTCAGAAAACCGATTCAAAACCCCAACAAACCACAATTTTTAAAGTGTGAATATCACCCGTCCGTGCCAACATCGAATCTTCAACGTGGAGGAAGAAAATTGTTCAGAGACACGTCACTGCGTGACATCACGATTTCTAGCCAATCCGCATCGCGTGCCGGTAAATTATGCATATGCATGACCATAATATGCAAATAAAAAGAAATCGTTGCATGAAAAACTTCCTTTGGAAATCTGAGGGCCTTTCTTGTTTTCTAGATAATTTTACCCTAAAATCTCTCTCTCCCTCTTTAAAACTAAAACTAAATATTTTTAAAGGTTTTTCTTCAGATGCAATTCATTCCAACAAATTATTGGGTCCACATTCCCAGACAAACGGAACAAAATCAAAAGCAGAAAAAAGGGGCTGGACATGTGGTTCTTTATGAAACTTTTAAAATCAACCTTCTCAGTGTTCGTTTTCTTTTCAAACCTTGGACAGTAAACTAACTACTGTAGACTTTAAAGAAAGAAAAGGGAGCAACATTTGGTCTTCTGTGTATTAATTCAATACTACATTTATTTCCTTACTTCCAAAAATGGTTTGCTTCCAACTTTGGTAGTAAATCCATACAACAGAAATCAAAACCTTGAACCACAGAAATTATTTTGTAAAACTGTGCCCCTCCCAAAATTTTATCTACAATTCCACCAGTTGCGACCTGCTAAATTTCATCATTTTATCGGTGGAAAGGAGAAATTGATGACATAACTGAAATCATGGAGTTGTGGAAAAAAATGCTCCATATAATGCCAACTTTACCCAGCACAGAAACTGTCATGAAAATCTGTTTGCATTTACACAAATGGAGACAATTCTTACACAATGCTCTTGGTAGTGGCATGTACAATTGCCACTAATGTTATTTCCTCCAATTTAGCATATCCCCACTTTTATAACCCATACAAAAAACCCAAAAAGATAAATTCTGCCTAAAACCTTGCAGAAATTGGCTTAATTGCTTAATAGTCCATTACAATCCTTTACGAGTTAAATTGAAAAACAGCTCACATCGGGAGAATTTTAAGATTGGTGCTTTCCACAGAGCTATATTTAAATTACTAGAGCGCTAACTTCGTGTACAAAGTAATGCCTGCTGGGCGCATCCATGTTTGTGCACAAACCTATGGAGACCTAGAAATTTTGTACGGCTTTTGTACGGCTATTTGCATATCTGCCTTTGTATTCCAAACCGGTGCGTCATCGAAGCCGATACGCCCAAAACCGAAACGTATGATCAGCAAATGAGCGTGTCATTTTGCTCTACGCAAACAGCGCAACGCGTGCGCGTATTCGCTGCAGATGCTTTTTGCCATAACGTTTTTTGGAACCGTCAATGACGCGCTTAAGTTGTTTGCGTATGTTCTACTTGCGCGTTGCATGTAGAGTACACTTTCAAAATTCAATCCATCTGATTTCATTATGTTCTACAAACACGCACATGAATTCAAAATGTCTGCGCCCAGGACGGCTTCAAAGCGTCTCCGCGCGCAGAATGAGGAGTTAGCGCTCTAGTAATTTAATATAGCTCTATGGTGCTTTCACACTCATAGACTCATGTTCAAATGTGACCCGTGCATACCAACAGTGCATTGTAGTCAGGGGCGAGGCTCCAATTTGAACTCTTAAAGTGACGTTGAACAGGGTGCTAGACATTCTTCAAATTCAACTCACAAAATACTAATACGTTAGATTCATAATCACACTATTCTTCTTACGCTACACATATTCTGGTTTGGTTACAGCGAGTGGAACAGCTTTACATAACTGTAGGCACGTGTATGGTTTGTTAATACATGTAAACAGACCATGTCCACATCAATACGTCAACATACACATACTGCAAATACCAATGTTGTGAAAACAAAGAAAGAATTTCTATAATGAGTTCACACAAAATACATTCAATGTAGGACAACTGGTTTCCCAAGCACTCTTTTGTGGCCTTATCGCATTTGTTTTATTGGTAAATATCACAAAGATTAACATACGGTTGTTCTTGGTAAAGTTATCGGACCATGTAATAGTATCATACAATTAACAGTATCTCTCACATGCAAATTAATACAGACATGTTTACTTATCACTATGCAAATTTTTAAAGAAAACATGGACACCCCTTTGTCCTGAAACTATCAGCCTTGAACGAAAAAGTTCAAATCATTGACTGATGTTTTCTTTTCAAGCAAGGAAACTATTTACTACGCTGCTTTTTCATCAAAGCCACTACTTTTTCTCCAAAGTTCAACAAAACTGCAACCTAGAAAAGAACAATTTTTCTGAGTTTATAATCGGAATGAAATCAAGGTTAGATATCAACAACAGTCTGCCAACACCATTGACATGGCTCCATTTTAAGAAAGCCTTGTTTCAATAAAGTTGGTGACATGCAAAGTAAACACAGACATTAAAATTGTTCATTCATTACTTTTATTGGACAGCGAAAACCCCAAAATGGTCACAACTGTATTAAATCATTAAGTTTGTTTTCTTTTCTTCCAAATTACATTAATTCCACTTAAATATTAGCAAACTATTTTTCTTGATTTACATAGAATAGCAACCCCCACCCTTCCCTAAAAAAAGGGGAAAAAAGACAAAGATATTTTTATATGAAAGAGGGACAGACAATTAGAGACACCAACCAACAGACAAACTGTTAAGGCTAGATCTGCACCGCTTCATATAATTCCCATAAACAAAGTGCAAAAAAGCCTTCTACTTCATCCAATGTAGTGTCTTTCCGGAGATGCATAACTTGGAGAACCATGTATTTGAAACGACACGGATTGCGTATAAGAAATGTGTTCAAACTGTGCCAATTTGATGAAATAAACAACCGTTTAACCAGTTCGTGCTGGATGACGTGTATACACGCAAAGGTTTTGTGGTATTCGGAACGGATGACGGATAAACACTCAACAAGGGAGGCCGGAAATATGTGTGTGCTGCCTGAGGGTGATGGCTTCAACCCGTATGGCTTGAGATCGAGTGAAAATTAATCCTGCGCCTCATTCCGTTCTTGTCAAGGTAACCCAGTTCGAACTGGTTAAAGATTTTTATTAAAGAAGTTTGCACCCTTACCAGGATCATTTACTAAGGGTTTCCCTTTGACCCACTTGTACCCAACTTTTACTGGACCAACTAAATTGTCCACCATTTGGTATCACTATCATAATCCATCAAACGCCGTACCAGTGTTCTAACAGAAAAGGCATATATAAACAGAGGAAAGCATGCATAAATCGGCAAGGGTTTGGATATGACAGGATACCAGCTAAGAAACACACCATTACAGAATGCAGAGGTTTAAATCTGGTTACCATCCTTATTTATAGTACCCCCTTTTACTGAATGTGAATGTGACACTTTAAAGAGGTTGTGGAATGCTCGAAGACATTTCCGTCATTTTTTGGGTATATGTAGCCTAAGGTGTGATGAAATAAAAACGACTATTGTTTCTGTCATAAAATGAGTACAAAGGGTACTTTTGAGAGCTATTTTTCAGGTCCTGTTTCGACCCGAACGTGCAATTTGTGTAAAAGTCGTCGTTGCGAGCAGCAAACAAAACACAGTAAATCGTGACGTAATAAACAGGGCTCGTTTATGCTACTCTGTATCGGGAGTCCTGTTTATTAGGTTATGATTTACTGTGTTTTGTTTGCTGCCCGCAACGACGACTTTTACACAAATTGCACTTTCGGGTCGAAACAGGCATGACAGGACTTGAAAAACAGCTCTCAAAAGTACCTTTTGTACTCATTTTATGACAGAAACAATAGTCGTTTTTATTTCATCACACCTTAGGCTACATATACCCGAAAAATGACGGAAATGTCTTCGAGCATTCCACAACCTCTTTAAATCTGATACAAATTTAGGCTGATGCAAAATATGTAAGAATAAGGTGCATTCATGAAGTTATATTGAATCATTATCTTTAAAAAAAATCCAGACATAATTTTTAGTAGGGTTCTTCCTACCATCAGATAAAACATGTAACTCCACTCTTCACGATTTCCCGTTTTCTACAAATATGACCCAAAGAACTCATTCCCCATTTTCAATGTATGAATTTGTCTTTTCATGATTTCAAATTTTTCAACTGGCCAGACAGCCAGTCTAGGCCTTCGTACAGACCATCGCCGCTCGTTGCGCATGTGGCCTGGATGTACCACTGGCGGCCCCGAAGGCTGTGCAGGCCCAGTTTGTCGGTGATCTCGGCCGCATTCATTGCATTGGGAAGATCCTGTCGGGGTAAACAAAAATGCAGGTTGACACACAGACAACTTTTACGAATTAAGTAAACCCTTCCTACATGTATGTACTGCAACGTTTTACCTTAACCCTAACCCACCTCACTCCTCCAAAATCCTCCTGGCGGTTTTGGAGGATTCTAGAGGATTGAGGATGAATGGTGATTGAATCAAATGAGGATTCTGGAGGATTGAGGATGAATGGTGATTGAAGCACATGAGGATTTTGGAGGATTGAGGATGACTGGTGAATGAAGCACAAGAGGATTTTGGAGGATTTTGGAGGATTGAGGATGAATGCATTTTGAGGCAGGACTGTCTGATGATTTTGAAGGATTTGGCGTTGGTTATCCTTCATTTAAACACGAGTGCAAAGTTTTGGGATGAGGAGGATTTTGGAGGATTGAGGATGAATGCATTTTGAGGCAGGACTGTCTGACAATTTTGAAAAATTTAGGCGGAGTTGAAAAATTTTGGAGGATTTTGGAGGATTTTGGAGGATTGAGGATGGTTGTAAGCAACAAGGGCCTAGGGGGTTAGGGTTAACCTTCCCAAATCCTCCCAAATCCTCTTTGCAAAATGGAGAATCTATCAGGATAGAGGCTGTATGGCACAAATGTGTGGCCTATTTTTTGAGGATGCATGCACTGTACATGTATCAATGTCTTAGGCAGGACCTTGTGTTGTTTCTACTCAGCCGTGCATTCATTTAGGCCTAGATTATACTTGAAATCCTCTGCACTGCTCTAGGATATCACTGGATCTGTCTCAACATATTGACAGTGATTGCTGGAGGATTTTTACAGGATTGAGGCAGTGGTCACCCCTCCAAGGACCACATTCAAGAAATAACTGATGATTTTGGAGGATTGAGGCTGTATGCAATTTTTACATGGAGGCAGTTGGAGGATTTTGTAGGATTGAGGTTACATCCCAGCAAAAATGCTTAGGGAGTTGGGGTTGTTAAAAGTTAACTGACAAAGTGCGCTAATCAATTCATTTCAAAAGAAGTCAAGCACATGTACTTCTCGTACCCACACTCAGATCGTAAAATTTTAAGACAAGAATTTCCCCTATCCTTGCCCTTTAATGACTTCACCCTGATCATACCACAAAATTCAAAATCAACGAGGTTTTGGAGGATTGCGAAGATTTAATATTACATCAGCACTAGGCGTGGCTACTCAGTTCGGTACTTTTAAAATAGCTTGCAAAGAAAGCTTCACAATCTTTCTTAATCTTGCTGAGCTCAAACGAATTACCACATGGTCCATGATTTGATGACAACTTTTTGCACAGAGTGTCAGACTAGTTCACTGGTCCTTTCCTTGCCTTCTGCCTCTATTTCCAGGTTCAATCCAACCAAGGACAACATGTGGTTTGAGTTTATATCAGTCCCTACCATAGAGCTATATTAAATTACTAGAGCACTATCTTCGTGTACAAAGTAATGCCTGCTGGGCGCATCCATGTTTTTGTGCACAAACCTATGGAGACCTAGAAGTTTTGTACGGCTTTTGTACGGCTATTTGCATATCTGCGTTTGTATTCCATACGGGTGCGATATCGAAGCCAATACGCCCAAAACCGAAACGCACCATCAGCAAATGAGCGTGTCATTTTGCTCTACGCAAACAGCGCAACGCGTGCGCGTATTCGCTGCAGATGCTTTTTGCCGTCACGTTTTTTTGAACTGTCAATGACGCGCTTAGGTTGTTTGCGTATGTTCTACTTGCGCGTTGCATGTAGAGTACACTTTTAAAATTCAATCCATCTAATTTCATTAAGTTCTACAAACACGCACATGAATTCAAAATGTATGTGCCCAGAGCTGCTTCAAAGCGTCTCCGCGCGCAGAATGACGAGTTAGCGCTCTAGTAATATAATTTAGTAGTAATTTAATATACATGTAGCTCTACGGTCCCTACCTAATTCTTTCAGTTTCCCCCAGATTATGTCCATGTATCTAGGATTTTTGTCCCACAGCTAACAGTATTTCATCATTGTCTTCTCTCTATACATGTAGATTTCTCTAGGCTTGCTGACGTCAGTGCCATGGGTGCCTTTGTGAGGAATCGGTGCTTTCATAACAAGAATAATATTATTATAAGATGGAATTGTTGCGTCTGGGTGATATAAATCAAATTAGGCTTTTGCCCTTCACACTGAGTATACAGTGTAACACACTGAGTATACAGTGTTTAAACGTCGGTGAAGGGCAAAAACCTAATTTGAAGAATAATATTAGTAATTTTCACCATACCTGTTTGTTTGCAAACACCAGAAGATGGGCATCTCTCAGCTCATCTTCGTTCACCATCCTGACGAGTTCCTCTCTGGCTTCACCCACTCTTTCCCTGTCGTTGCTGTCTACTACAAATATCAACCCTGCAAAAGACAAGAGAGACCAACTTACTTTGGAAGAGTTGAGATGGACGTATTTTAAACACTCGAAGTGAAAACATACCAAACAAAAGTCGAGGTGCGCGCGCGGAAGATGCCAACCATTATGTCTCTCCCGAAATGCTTCTCAAAAATCTTTGCTCATAAAAACATGCTGGTAAAGATACTGTTGTCCCTATTTCAAATTTTTGCTAATTTACACATCAATGGTAAGTGAGAGTTGGAAGCATAACCAAACCAACTCCAAATTAAAGCTATAGTCCATCATTTGCAGCCATCCGAAAAAGTAACTGGCGTATTATCGTTGAAAAACATACTTGGTTGAAAGATAGTAAGTGGACTAAACTCCCTGTAAAATTAATCTTTTTGGCAAGCTATCATTTTGAAGTAATCAACGAAAGAAGGCCTTTCCAACGGTGCGTCTTAAGACGCACCGTAGGAAAATTTTAAATGAGTAGTTCGTTTTGTTATTCGGCGCAGCGCGCGCAAGCATTGGCACGATGCACAGGCACGCGCGGTTGCTATAATTCATCGGATCAGTGCGCGACATCGCGTATAGCTGTAATTCAAAACAATTCAAAACATGATTCAGCAACTTTTGATTTGAAATTGAGATCCTAGAATACTGTTTTTCTCGGAATATACAGCTGAAGCTGAGCTGAAACTTCATCAGGTTAGTTGTTCAGTATCCTTCATTAGATTTTGAACACTTTTGTTGCTTCAAACGAACAAAATGCATAAATTACAAATGATGGACTATATCTTTAAGAACATGTACAGGTGTACACCATTTTTTTTTAGTTCCAGTGTAGTCTGTGACTTTTATAAATAATGTATCGTACACTAAAGGCAGAAGTTTTCACGAGGAATTTCCGATGTCTGCTTTGTGCAGCAGGAAAGTTAGTATGTCACTCCACATGAAATCTGGACCCACCTTGTGTGTTCTGGAAGTAGTGTCGCCAGAGAGGTCTGATTTTGTCTTGGCCACCGACGTCCCATACTGTGAAACTGATGTTCTTGTATTCAACTGTCTCTACGTTGAAACCTGCAAAAAGGCGAAAACAGATGTTGGCAAACTAAATGGAAAGGATGCAATTTCAAGTTCTGGAATTTTTTATAATTTTTAATCTTGTATGTTATTCTGTTGTGAATCGAAACTTGTTATCTGTGAACACGCTTGCTCAAGTCAAGAATATAGCATCCTTATATATGACAGAAAACAAATCTACGCAACTTGTACAAATCTATACATTTAGAATATCTTGAGGATGCACAGAGTCTTGAAAATATAGTGTTGACTAGGGCTGTGCATCAGCACCGGGTACCCAAGTGCCCAACCACTGATGCCAGGAAACCGGTTCCAGATTATGGAGTCGAGTAACCGTAATTAACTTTACATATTGCTTGGTAACTTCTCAGTCAACGAAAAAGGAAAGGTTTTGAATGTTATTGACAGGGAATTTTCAAATGAAAACCTGGCTACATGGAAAACAAAACAGATTCACATCTACGACCCTTGCAACAATTTACATGGCAAAGCTTAAGAGCCCACTGTACATGGGTCATTCTACCAGGTTGGGAAGCAGTGCATGTTACCTCCATATATTTGGTTATAATATTAAGGGTATCAATGCATTCTAAACAATTGCTCAACATAATATTTGTCTTAGGGTGTTTCAATACTTGAGAAAGTTTGAAATTTTTTGAAAGTATTTTGACAAAAATATGAGCAAAAATGTATTAATTCGGACGTAACATTGACACCGTGTAAATGTTACATCCAAATATTCTTTTTTTGCCATTTTTTACACGTATGTAAAATATCACCTAAACTGACATTGTCCAATTTATCATTGGACACCTAAGCACCAAGAAAAGCTTTTGTTTTGGTATAGTCAGGGTTCCAATATAGCAGAAACAATACCTCAAGTGTGGATGTAACGGTGACATTTGGGTTTTACACCGTGTCAATGTAACATCCACACAACCAAGCAATCATATCTGCTCCATTTGATACCCGACTACCGTAACAAAAGCTTTTCTTATTGTGTTGCATCTAAAGTAAGAAGTACGCAAAGTGAATTTGGGTAATGTTTCGCAGAAATTTAAAAAAAAAGGTACAAATGTCATATTTGGATGTAACGCTGACACATTTTTTGATCATATTTTTGGCAAAATACATTGAAATGATTTCAAACTTTCTGCAGTAGTGAAACACCCAACAACAAATATTATGTAGAGCAACTGCTAGCAAGGCATTCATGCTTTTCTTAATATGGTCCCCAACCCGGCGGAATAACCCACATACTTTTATTTTGCTGTACTGACGCACCGATGTGGTAGTATAATCGTGCAGACCTTTATGAACAATGTGAACAGCAATTTCCGAGATTTAAATTTTGGGTTTTTTTTTTTTTAAACAGGTACAGGTGTTTTTTCAACAAGTTGCCCGATTCCTGTACTACCCGTAAATGCACATGCCTAGTGTTGACATAATTCATAAACAAAAACCTCTGTAAAAATCCCGCCACTCACCAATGGTGGGAATGGTTGTGACAATCTCTCCAAGCTTGAGTTTGTACAAAATTGTCGTCTTTCCGGCGGCGTCCAGCCCCACCATGAGAATCCTCATCTCCTTCTTGCCGAAAAGGCCCTTAAATAAACTCGCAAATGCTCCCATGTCTGTTTACACACAGGTGACTGATGTATAGGCAACAGCAGTGACACACGTACAATCAGTTGGTTGTGTGCTGTGATTCAGCGTAAACAATCAATGGTGGGCTACCTGAAAGAGAAACAGATTCCAGGAAAAAAAGTGAAACAAAACTGTACAGAGTGATTCTTATTCGACTTATTGTCAAGGCTTGGAGAGTATCCAATCCATGGAGGAAGGAACACAGTAAAACACTGTCTATGAAATAGGTAGGCATATCAACGCCAACATGCTGTATACTCCACGAATAATATGGGAGTGACTTTTGGAGCAGCCGCTGTATATGTGTCCCCCAGACTATGCCCAGTACTTTTTGACATACTCATGTTTATTTCACTAACAAGTATAAGGGTTGAATCGATCCTGATGGTGCAAAAAAATGATGAAAACAGTCCCCTTTCCGTACCGAAGCTACAGCTTGAGTTTTAACGTGCACGGGAAGCACTGTTGGCGTGACGTCAGAGTCTTTTGGTCTGGGAACCGACCACAGACACCGACTTTGTAGTGCATATCGCGGGCGGCATCAGACTGGCCAATCACGAGACCACGTGATAAACGCTGCTAATAATTTGGAATCGCACTTACGATCCGGATATGAGGAGTGCCCGGAGCGTCAGTGCGATACCAAATTATTCTTCTGTCAAAATGAAGGTCACTGCCACAGTCAGTCATTGCAAAAGTGATGATAAAGACATGAATCTGGGACTGACACCCACTGAGAAACATTCTCAATTTTGTTAGGAAATACTTGGAAGAAAGTTTTCTTGACTCTCCATAGACTTTGTACACAACCGCTGAAGGGGCGTCAGGTTGCAACATTTTTTTCTGAAACAAAACCTTACAATGCCTTAACAATATGACTTAATTAAATGTTTACAGATAAGGCCGAAAAAAAACCAAACTTTTTGCTTCCGATTACATGCCTTTCAAAATAGGGTCGGTTGGTCGGAAACACACGTGCTTGTACATGTGTGGGTTCATGCTGGTACGTGTATGCACATGTACTACTAAAAGTCCACCCCGTATCCCCGCATCCGCGAATCCACTTCCCGGCACCTACTTTGGACTTAGACATTTTTCCCCTGCTCCCCATTCAACTCACGTTGTCTCTGCCTTCGTTATTTTCCAACATGGATATGGATGCCTCGTTGGCTCGTTCTCAAAAATATTTTCCTCTGCTAAAGTCCACCCCGTATCCCTGTATCCCTGTATCCGCGTATCTACTTCCCGGCATCTACTTTGGACTTAGACATTTATTGAACCCCTGCTCCCCATTCAATTCACGTTGTCCCTGCTGGCCGCATTTCTCATTACAGGAAAATATCGCCCACTTTAGACCCTCCACCGCTCAAATCCACCCCGTATCCGCGTATCCACTTCCCGACACCTACAATGTACATGTACTTTGGACATTTCTGCACGATTCAACTACTTCGCAATTTGATGTCTATAATCACGTGCGTAATAAGCGCAATGCGGCGACGACTGTTTCCCGCCGCGCCGCGCAGGGGCCAATTATGAAAATGCGGTAACTAGTCTGTGCACGGCTATGCGATCGTTAGCGCTAGCATGGCTATGCAGGCGCAGGCACGTGCTCTGTCAACTGGTCGGACTCGACATCGTAAAAATGCTGAGAAAGACACCGTAAAAATGCCAAGAAAACACAGATGGAGAAAGAACATTTTTGCAAGTTAAATCACAGATTTGATTTAGCTTGTCTGTGTATGTATTTTCCGTGTTCAAGAGTTCATTTTGAGATCGCACTACTCGTATTTGGAGTGATACAATGCAGCGTGTTTCCTGAAATGTTCGACCTGTTGGCCGCGGGCCACACATGTACAGTGTACATGTACAGTGCATCACACACTTCGGAGTTTTGGCCAGCTCCCCTTCTTGACTAGCGTTGTGCCTATGGTGCGAACGACCTGAATTTCCCACAATTTTTTTTACGAATTGCCAGACGCAACACAGTGCATCAGGTGAAAAAGTCTGGTGCACTTTGATGCATTCAGCTACCAACACCAGTGCATAAACAGCCGCTTCTGACACAATGAGAGCTAGTCCCATTGAACAATGCCACAGTTGTACCCTGCTGTGTGCGGTGACCACAGACTCTGAGGCAATTCGGCCTTGAGACTTTTGGCCTGATAGATCTTGCTGCACTGGGCAGGCTTGTCACTTTGACAAGTGTTGCATGTTGCTGCGTTTGGCAGGGTTTCTAGCCAAAATACCCTGGCAGTGCGTGAAATTACAGTCGGACATCGGACATTTTCCGACCACTTTCATGGTTTGTCCGACCAAATGCAGATGTGCTCGGACAAAATGTCCGAGCGATTTATGTATTCTTTGTGGAGTTGTCTTTTTCAGAAGTATGAAATAAACGTTTGCACTCAAAAGTATTTTGTTGTTTTACTTTATTTCCGATGATCCGGTCTGTAATACTTACCGTACGCTGAGCGGCTGCTAACTACATGTACGTGTTGTCTTATATTCACGCAATAGATGCAACGCGTTTACACCCCAATACATGTAATGAGAATTTAGTAAGATCAAAGTACGTTGTGTTGCGCGGTATGCTTTAAGTGCGTGATTCTTACTAAATTCTCACAACGTGGCTTACTACAGAAACGAGCGCGTGAATGCCCGGCGCTTGTCATTGCAACTACATAGTGTGTATTATGGATACGTACGTACGTAAACATACATACTGTACATGTACACACGTGTATGTACCGTCCACGTGTTTGAAGTATAGTAAACGCGGCCTTTTGAAAGTTCGTCTCGCAAGGTTTCACAGAGTAATTTACTTGGGAAAAAGGACGCATTTCAAGTTTTCAATCATGAAGAGAGCACTATGTAAGTATGTTTTAACTAGTCCTCGACTGTTGATAACCTATTTGTTTGCTCATGTGACCTTCAAATTTGGAACGCTAAATGGCAGATCAAAACTTGACAATCAGACAATGGCAGAACACTTTTGATTGTGCTCGGACATTTTGTCTGACCACTTTTTTTGTCTAATTTCACGCACTGCCCTGGATAGGAGGGTTAGGGTTAAGGTAGGTTTTATTCACTTTTTGTGGCCATTTTGTGTATAGCTTTTGTAGTGCAATGGAAATAGTTCAGGCTAAAACTTCGCATATAATACGGGCGATTCCCAATAGTGCGCCTCCAAGAGTTTGCAACGCGTTGGCCAATCACAATGCGCAAAATCTGTCGACCCAATGCGCGTTTGGAAAAGGTCAACTGATTTCGCGCATTGTGATTGGCCAACGCGTTGCAAACTCTTGGAGGCGCACTATTGGGAATCGCCCGTATTGAATACCCCATTCAATCTGCATAAAAAAAATTGGCAAAAGAAAAAAAAAAATTCCGACCGACCGACCCTATTTTTGAAAGGCATGTAATCGGAAGCAGAACTAGTCTTTTATTTGGCCTCATTGGTTGAGCGTTTTCGTGACATCGGTTGGCTGGAGTGACGTCACGGTTCCAACCAAAGCTAAACAAATGAGGGCGCTAGCGTGCGTGCGCGCTTTCGTACGCACGTACATTGTACATAACGTACGACTCTGGGAATAAACTGATGAAAAGAGACTACAAACACGTACAAGTTTAACGTTGCTTTAGAGTTTATTTTCCTGATTAATGTCGGTCAGCATCACATATGGAATTCCTGAACCCAGCAGCCTAATACTATAGGTAAGGACACCAAAAATCTGGTCCAAATTGTGAGTGGTCTTATGTAGAGAATTCTCGTCCTGAACGTTAGTCGTAATGCAATGAAGACTTCGTCCAACCTGGGCTAGGTCGGTCGGGTAACCGGTGTCGTGCCAAAAACCGTCCGGTGCCAAATAGTGTCCGCTGAGCATGCGCAATAGGCGCCAGACACTATTTGGCATGTAATACATGCCAAATAGTGTCCGGTGCCAAATAGTGACCGGGCGCCGTCGATCGAGCGAGAACAAGGGCACGTACGTACGTCCTGCCGGACAGTATTTTGCAGAAAAAATCGGACAATATTTGGCAGGGCGGGGAATCAAACAGTATTTGTTGGCAGGAAAAATCGGTCAATATTCAGTAGCGGGGGAATCAGACAATATTTGGCAGGGGGAATCGGACAGTATTTAGCAGGAAAAATCGGACATTTTTTTCGCAGGGAAATCGGACACTATTTGGCAGGGGGAATCGCACACTGTTTAGCAGGAAAAATCGGACAGTATTTGGCAGGAAAAATTGGACAGTATTTGGCAGAGGGGAATCGGACAATATTTGGCAGGAGGAATCGGACAGTTTGGCAGGAAAAATCGGACAATATTTGGCAGGAAAAATCGGACAGTATTAGGTGGGAGAAACCGTAAAATATAACGTTGGTTATAATGCTACACACAGCACAGTACGTACTACACACACTTCACACGGCGTTAGGCCTACGTACGTACTGCATGCCAAACAGGTGAACTGACGCGAAAAAACACACAAACATTTTGCACAAATATATTATTAGGGAAACCAAGTCAGATAGTTATCAAAGATAACAAGGAAAACGTTAAAACAGATTTTTAAAAGCAAGTTCAGGTGAAAAGAGATCTTTTCTATACGAGTATTGACAGCTCGACAAGGCACGCAATAGGATGCACGCTAAGCGCGGACACTATTTGGCAAGCATCCGTAAACAATGTGACGTCATAGACGCATGACCAATCAGATCGCATTATGCTAATTAGCGGACACTGGCACCGGACGGTTTTTGGCACGACACCGGAAGCAGAAGTATTATTTTTTTTGGCCTAAGACATATTGCCAGATATGCTAATTAGTATTGTTATACTTAAAGGGAAGCAGTACATAACAAAGAATCACAAAAAAATATAAAACAATGAATTCATCTTTTCATGGGGGCGAGTTACACGAGTAAACCTATGGGGGCGACTTGACTTCTTCAACTCAAGTCGCCGGGCACGCGGCGCGTACACTAGTCATGCTAGTGCAGGGACAGGTTTCAACTGGTTTTTCTCACCATGTTTAATCATTTACTTTCAAATTTTAGCATACAAACTCACCGTACCTTGATCTGTGGCTTGTTTCCTCAATGTTCAACAACCAAAACTAACCGCTCTCATGTGATCCAATGTGATTTACCCACGTACAAATTTCATCCGAACGGTGAACCCACGACAAAATGGCCGACGTGGAGGATCAGAAAAGTCATCACACGGCGCATTACGTCACACAATGACGTCACGATATTTGCATATTGCTCATCGCGCACTTTGAACTTCAAGAGTCAAGCTTTCTGTGCGCGTGGGGGGCGTGTTGTTGAAATCGAGCAGTTCCAATAATTTAGGGAAGATACAACATTTGCAAACATCAAAAAACGAAATGATCAAATTATCACGAAATACCTCACTGGATTGTTAGGGACTGACAGTCTTAAGCATCCTTTAAAATCGTGGCTCCTGGTGTGCTGACATTTTCAGGAAAAACTGTATTTTTCCAACGCTGGTCAGCCGACCAGTGTTGGAGAAAACTGGCTTTTTTGAAAAACTATTCCGAATTGTTTATATTAGTTATATCTGACCTTTCTTTGCAATTGATTACACACCTGTGAAGGGGTACAAGCCAGTGCTAGACCGATTCTATGACCTTGCAATTGTTTGATTTGGTCTAACTAGAGGGGTGGGGGTGGGGGTAGGGAGGGGATTGTTGTTTCTGTTCTGTCCAGGGATGTCTACATGTGGTTTCTGTTTTTTTAATGACTATTTGACTATGTTTAGTTTACATTTACATTTCAGTGTGGGGTGTATTTTATACTTTAATCTTTCAATTTAACTAGCACCTTTTTTCAAACGGTCCGTTATGTTTGAAAATACTCCTATTCTTTAAACAAAAAAAATCACACAATGAATTTCAGTTTCAATTTAATGTGTTAATTTCCTCTTTCATTTTTTACTTAACATACATCAAGTATACCTTGTGGTACTGTATATCGTGGAAAAACATATTGTTCCACACATGCATTTTCTTTCATAGAAATATTTGAAAAGCAAACCTTAGTTACTGACAAAAATACTCAATTTCTCGACAATTATTTACAATCTCAAATAACTTTGTAAGAAATAAAAAATGGTTTTACCCAAGTTTGTAAACATGGTAAAATTTTGGCAGGTTACAATCAATGCACCTTAATTACACAATCTCACGGCAGTAACAATCTGAGGTATTTATATTCCACAACCGATCAACTCTCCACAAAAGCTTTCTTTCCATAAAAATATTTGTCAGTTTTATCTCATTGCATAGAGTTGGGCCAATAGTTTACAGAGGTCTAATTATGCAATGGACACAAATGCGTTTATGGAAAGACGGCTTGAATCAAAAGCAATTTTAATTTAATCGTAAAGTATTTCAACATCCATGTTATGTACATCACACCACATTCTTATTTGAAGAAAAAAAAATAACAGCGTTGCTGTTGAAACCCCTCAGCCAGAGTCAAGTTATCATCCGGAAACCATTAACCTTTAACTCACGTGGTGACCTTGACCTTTGGCCTTTGACCCCAGAACCAGTCCCAACATGCCTGTACCAATGGGAAACCCCCTACCGAAGTTAGACACCAACATTTCATTTCTAACTCAAGTTATCATTCGGAACCATTTACATTGAACTCACCACGGTGACCTTGACCTTTGACCTTTTGACCCCAAAACCAATCCCAACTTGCCTGTACCCAAGGGCAAACCCCTACCTCAGTCAGACACCAAAATCTCATTTCTAACTCAAGTTATCATCCGGAAACCATTTACCTTTAACTCACCATGCTGACCTTGACCTTTGACCTTTTGACCCCCAAACCAATCCCAACTTGCCTTCTCCCAAGGGGAACCCTCTTCCCAAGTTAGACACCAAAATTGCATTTCTAACTCAAGTTATCATCCGGAAACCATTTACCTTTAACTCACAATGGTGACCTTGACCTTTGACCTTTTGACCCAAAAACCAATCCCAACTTGCCTACTCCCAAGGGCAACCCTCTACCAAAGTTAGACACCAAAATCTCATTTCTAACTCAAGTTATCATCCGGAAACCATTTACATTTAACTCACCACGGTGACCTTGACCTTTGCCCTTTTGACCCCAAACCCAATCCCAACTTGCCTACTCCCAAGGGCAACCCCCTACCAAAGTTATACACCAAAATCTCACTTCTAACTCAAGTTATCATCCGGAAACCATTTACATTTAACTCACCACGGTGACCTTGACCTTTGACCTTTTGACCTCAAAACCAATCCCAACTTGCCTACTCCCAAGGGCAACCCCCTACCAAAGTTAGACACCAAAATCTCATTTCTAACTCAAGTTATCATCCGGAAACCATTTACATTTAACTCACCACGGTGACCTTGACCTTTGACCTTTTGACCTCAAAACCAATCCCAACTTGCCTACTCCCAAGGGCAACCCCCTACCAAAGTTAGACACCAAAATCTCATTTCTAACTCAAGTTATCATCCGGAAACCATTTACATTTAACTCACCACGGTGACCTTGACCTTTGACTTTTTGACCCCAAAACCAATCCCAACTTGCCTACTCCCAAGGGCAACCCCCTACCAAAGTTAGACACCAAAATCTCATTTCTAACTCAAGTTATCATCCGGAAACCATTTACATTTAACTCACCACGGTGACCTTGACCTTTGACCTTTTGACCCCAAAACCAATCCCAACTTGCCTACTCCCAAGGGCAACCCCCTACCAAAGTTAGACACCAAAATCTCATTTCTAACTCAAGTTATCATCCGGAAACCATTTACATTTAACTCACCACGGTGACCTTGACCTTTGACCTTTTGACCTCAAAACCAATCCCAACTTGCCTACTCCCAAGGGCAACCCCCTACCGAAGTTACAACCCCAAACAACATTTCTAACTCAAGTTATCATCCGGAAACTAAGCTGCCCGGACGGACGGACGGACGGACGGACGGACAGACATACATACATCCGGACGGACGGACGCCCTAGGCGATGACAATACCCCTCGAGCCTCTCGGCTGAGGGGTAAAAACGGTTCTTAATAATTAAGTTTTGGCTGTAACTTCTGAGACACTCATAAACTGCTGAAGCAACATCAAGGTTAAGCACCGAGGTTAAGCACCATCAAGCAAAACTTTGGGCAAACCAAAAAAACGATTGGCGCAGGACATGAAACCAAAAAAAAGACCCACAAAACAACGTAGCAATACTCTACTACATATACTATTACCTTTAAGTAAACTTGAATCCTCGATCCTGATTGGTCGATCCATGGCAACAAGCCGTGCTACATATAACCATTTAGCACAGTCTCGGTGCATACCGCACTCCGCGTATTCCGCTGTTCAAAGATGCGAGCGACATTCCGGCTGCATACGCTACTGCGATTGAATGTCCGTGTAAAGTGTGCTCGTTCCAACTGTACTGCGCATCAAGTTTGCTTGAAGATAAATTCGTTATCACGCTCGCGCTCGTGGAACACGGAAAATGCAGTGCGTCTGTGTCCCACATATTCGGCCTCGTGGTATGCGGGACACAGACGCACTACATTATTCTGTGTTCCACTCGCGCTCGCGGGATAACTTATAAAATCCAGACCCATAAATTGTTCAAGGGTACCCGTCAAATGCCGTAAACTTGTAAAAAAAAAATGTTCAAGCTTCAGAATCGTTCTCCGTCTCGTTGTGGAACCTCATCATTCTTCCAGCTTCGCCGTTCTGATGCAGACACTGTGTCAACTTCTCCGTGTGGAAGAGGTGACCCCTGTCCCTGAAGGAAAAGACGCAGTACAAGACGGCCCCCGTGCAGATGAAAAAGAAGGAGATGACGATGAGATAACCAAAGGTCTCTGGAGCCGGGAGGATGATGACCAGGATGAAATGAAGCATGTCCATGGAGCACTCCAAGGAGCGCTGGACACCGTTGAAGACGCCGCGCTGATTCTCCTGGACGTTCTCTTGGATGAGCTGGGTGGTCACCAGATCAAACATCCACAAGCCTACGGCAGATGGGAGCAAACAAACACAATTATTGCAGATAAGATGGAGCAACCAAAATCCTAACAGGACTGTACTAGGATTTGTCAAAGTGAGTCAGATTGGTGCAGTGGTATTTCCTCGCATTCCACTTGCCTTACCCAGGTTCAACAGACAGCCTTTGGATTAGTCTGGTTTCCAGACCAAAAGATTCTGACTTTTCCTGATGAATCTTAGGTCCGATAGCCTCCGGTAATACATTGTATTACAATTTACATCACGTGACTAAAACGGGAGGAATTCCTCCTTTTTCCGAAAATGTCCGAAGTTTGCCGAATTCATTTCGTCGACAATCGGATAGTGTCCGAGTATTTCCGAGTATAATATAGGTTTTATTAACTGCTAATTGCTTATTAAAAACTTTAAAAAACTAGTTGATAATTAATATCCTTGCTTTTATTTAGAAAACTTGAAATTCAACGACGATTTTGCACTCGGATCGTATACGAGGGGCAAACTTTTTGCTGCGTCATGCACTAGTTTGAATTTGACGACCGTTACCGGCATTTTCCAAAACTCGGCGTGGTCTCAATTCGGCTCCGCCTGCTTACAGTGCTGTTTGGGTGTCTAACTTTGAAGATTCCAGGTCAAAATTAGTCAATGTTTTCTTACAGAAGTATTAAACTGTATATCATAACTGTATGATACATGAAGCAAGTGATTCATTTTTAAAAAAAGATCAGAACATTAAAAGCTTTATGTGATAAAGCAAATTCGGAAACGAAGCCGAGCTTTGAAAAAGGGACATCAATGTCGTCATGTTTAGTTTTAGCTACGGATGCTGCCTGACCTACAATTGAGACGTGTAGACGTCGGGGGAAATTGTCAGGTCGGGGAACCAGACTACCTTCGAATTGAATTTTCAGTTGTGACCTAGTTAGCCTTTAGTCAAGTCCCACGCGCTTACCTGGACACGTGACGCACCCCGGATGCTGACACATAAAAAGACTAGCACGAGCGGCGAAGCCGCGAGGGCCTTTACCATCTCGTGGAGAATGCTTATGTTTTTCTTTACATTTGTCTACCGATTTGGTAGACATGCATAATGCATTACCCGTTGTGAGTTGACCAATGAAAATGCAGAATTACTAACGTTAAATCAGCTGTCGTCTGGCGCCAGACAGCACGCGCGCCATGGCGAACGTGCTGTTGCTGGTAACCGCAAACCACCGTTAGATGATTGGTTTATATGTGACCGGCTCCACAAAAAAAGGTATTAAGTCGCTCTGAGCATTATTGTGTAATGGCCTGCTCAACATTGAGAGGGTGAAAATTTTGTCAAAATGTGATTTTCATTTTTTATCATGAATGACATCTTTAATACCTACAGTTTCAGGTTTCATTCACAGAAATGTTGATTTTGATGAACAAAGTGGAAAAACATTTTGTGTGCATCATTCTATTGTTCTACATGAACGCCAGCTATTTCAAAGCCTGTTTTCTCAGTTGTGTAATTTGAACTCCAAGGAAGTAATTAATAAGCAAATACATCATATCTCCAGAACGGGAGGGGCTATGGAGCTCTGTTATGTACCAAATGAAAGCTTACATTGTGGGCTTTCCAACCACGTATATAACTCAATTTTCCCTTTTTTGCGACATAATACCCTTTTTTGTGGAGCCGGTCACATTTGAGATTATCCTCCAGCATCTGAACATTTGTCCATTGTCCTTCCTCCACAGGTCTCTTGGAGCTATAAATGGTAGTCTCAAAATATCATTTGCCAGTTACTTTGGTTAACGATGAATTTTCCTGATCAACTCTTAAAATCTGTCATGATTTATCGACAGTTCATCAACTGACACCACAAGTGTTGTAAAATCTTAGAATTGAAATTTTTTTTAGGAGGGGGGGGGGAAGAGGGGAAGCTGATGACCTGTTCCTTACCTACTCTGGAAGTAACCATTCCTGCGAAGAATAAAATTGGAGATAAGTAGCTCTTTGGATCATCCCTGCCCTGTGGTGTTATCAGGGGTGTGTGATCCATTGTGACGTTTGGTGTGACAGCAGAAAAGTTCCCTGTGTCATTGCCAATAGTTGGCCCAGCTGTTGGTGAGTTTGATTGGCCAGAAAAGTAGTAGTAAGGGTCAAACGGACTACCTGCAGCCCACACGGAAAAGACGCAGAGCAACAGACACAGAATTTCCTCGGAGAGGGCGTACAGACCCGTGCGGGTAGCACCGATCTTTTGACGCATTCGCTGGTAGACGAAAGTCCCCACAATGCCGGCGATGGAACCTAAGCCTCTGATGACCCCCAGCAAGGCTTCCGATATCCCCATGGAGTAGCCATAGCCGGTCGTGATGGAATCGAACCCCATGACGGTCATGTAGAGGAACGCTAAGGCCAGACCAGCCATGTAGACGGGATAGGACTTGTAGGTCAGCCAGCCATGGTAGTAGGATATGAACCAGTTGGCAACTCGTCGCAGGATCGTGGGTCTGGGCGAAGGCTGCGTGACCTGCACCTCAGTGTCGGCGGGTTGCTGGTCGTCTGGCGTGTCTTCCTCCAATCTGCTCCAACCCTTCGCTGTGTTTTTGGGGCCTCCTGATTTGTAATCTAGGATGAGATTTGAGAAAATATAGGAATACCTCAGCGGAAGAAAGGGCGAATCTTCAATGAAAGTTACATGTTGCTCCTACTGTTCTCAGGCATGCAATTGGGAAGTAACAAAAAAAGAGGAAGTTCAAATCTTTCCAAGACTTTGTACAGTGTTTTTCTATTTTCAATGGCACACAGGGGAAGTAAACGAAGAGGGATTCAGCTGATCCGAGGAAAAGTTGCATGCCCGTGTTCTTACTAACACTTCCTGTGTGTGAAACAAAAGATCCGAATTCTGAGCTCTTCACCCCAGATATACACAGAACCCTCAATATTTTTGTACTATTCAGGTATTATCAACACACCTGGTTCAGCATGTTCATCAGTCCCTCTAGCATCTCCAGCTGTGGAATGCTCCATTGGAGGTTCATCTTCATCTGCAACTTGTGCGTCTGCTTGAGGTTCTGCGTCTGGGTTCTCTGCACTGGGCTTTATCTCTGCCTCCTCGTTGGGTTCAGTGGCTGCCTCGGGTTCGGTGGTCTGGCCCGCTGGCTCCGCAGCCGTGGCCGTTTCTGCGAATCAAAAACAATGGTTCAGAGAGCGTCTTGAAAACATTGGATGCAGTTTTGTCGCCATTGTGCTGCCTTGTGACTGTCTTGTGATCATCTTGAATTGAAACTCTGCAGTTCTTAAAGAGTCCTGTCGGGATCATTAGTCCCACTCTCAAGTAAGCTAGTGATTCTTTTATTTCACAAGTTCTCAGACAACACTGCATATTAAGTGTTTATAGAATGAAATGGTTGAAGAGCAAAACCAAACATTAAAATTTACAGGGTGAGTAAAAAAAAACGAAACCCAAATGTCGGGACCATTGTTTTAGTGGAGTTCTGTATGTAGCACTTTCAAAATCTAGGGTATAGGCCTGAAAGCCACATTCATAAGCTTTCTTTTAGTTCAAGAATCATTCAAATCACTCTTGTACTTTTCAAACACAATTAACAACCCTTTTAAAGTTCTGTCCACGGATCACAAAAAAGGCGTGCATTCTTCCATCAAAACAAAACAATTCACACACATCCCTATGTGATTTGTTTTCGTTTTCCTGAAAGAATGCTGAACTTTTTTGTGATCCGTGGACAGAACCTTAAAACGGTGGTGGTATTTAAAATTCCAGGATTTGAAACGTACGTAAGTGTTATGAATGATTCTTGTACTGAAAGAAAGCTTATGAATTCGGCTTTCATATCTTAGATTTTGAATGTGCTACATGCAGAACTTCACTAAAAAAATGGTCCCGACATTTGGGTTTTGTTTTGTTTTACTCACCCTGTATGATGTAAAATCCCATTACAACACAAAGTTCTATCATCTACGATAGCGTCATATTAATCCAATATTAGCTGGTTTGAATCCAATGTGATTTTTCTCACTTTCACTCGGGGGGGGGGGGGGGGGGGGGGGGGGGGGGGGGGGTAACACATGGAGTATACAGTGTTTATACGTCAGTGAAGGGCAAAAACCTTATATTAAATTTACATCACCCAGGCGCAAACTCCATGTTATGAATGGTCAAATTTATCGACAACTCACCAGTTTCATCCTTGTGAAGCTTTATGGCCAGTCTGGGGACCTTCTTGTAGACCCTTAGCAACAGGTAGTATTCCAGTATGAGGGAGCACAGGTTCCAGCCCGCAATGAAGATCCCGGCTACCGTCATGGAGGCAAACGACATGATCTGACCCACCAGGATCGGGGCCAGAATATTGACTGTCAGGTCGATGCGACGAACCGTGGCGTTCATTTCTAAATGGTTGAAGGGGGAGGGTGAAAAAAAGGTGTTTGTGTCAAAATTTGTATGAAAAACCTATTTTCAGCATTTTTTTATACCTTGATGACTTGCAATTGACTTATAAGGACTTGTGAGGTTTTGTTAGGACTTGTAAAGACTTGAGAGGTTTTGAGAGGACTTGTGAGGTTTTGTGAGGACTAATGAGGACTTTAAGGTTTTGTGAGGACTAATGATGATGACTTGTGAGGTTTTGTGAGGACTTGTGGGGACTAGTGAGGTTTTGTGAGGACTATTGATGATGACGTGAGGTTTTGTGGGGACTTGTGGGGACTAGTGAGGTTTTGTGAGGACTTGTGAGGTTTTGTGAGGACTTGTGAGGACTTGAGAGGTTTTGTGAGGTTTTGTGAGGACTAATGTTTGTGTCAAAATTTTTATGAAAAACCAATTTTCAGCATTTTTAATACCTTGATGACTTGCAATTGACTTGTAAGGACTTGTGAGGTTTTGTTAGGACTTGTAAAGACTTGAGAGGTTTTGAGAGGACTTGTGGGGTTTTGTGAGGACTAATGAGGACTTGTAAGGTTTTGTGAGGACTATTGATGATGACGTGAGGTTTTGTGGGGACTTGTGGGGACAAGTGAGGTTTTGTGAGGACTTGTGAGGTTTTGTGAGGACTTGTGGGGACAAGTGAGGTTTTGTGAGGACTTGTGAGGTTTTGTGAGGACTTGCGAGGACTTGTCAAATCTTGTGAGGACTTGTGATGGGAGCTTGGCACCAACCTGCCAGACGCTCCTTGTTGCCCCCTGCCAGCACCACCACCCAGTCCTTCTGGATGCAGATCTTCTCGGCAACGCTCGCCAGGTTGGCAATCACGCCCAGGACGATGATCACTACCTGGCAGAAGAAGAAGAGGCTGCCGTTTCCAACGGGCAGGATCTCCGTCTTGAAGTGCAGCAAGATGAGGAGACAGACGGCATTGATGATGACCCCCGAGTTTTGGATCACAAGACTCTGCCTGGTGGCTGCAAATCAAAATCAAACACCATTCATAGTTGAACAAAAAAAAATGACTAAGGCGGGATTCGAACTTCTGGAATGATGTACTGAGCTATCTTATAGAGGTGGTCACCATATTCGTTTATAATAACAGCCTAGTTTTGCATCACCTTACTCCGACTCATGACTGTATGCAAAAGTTGAAATGGATTTTCAGTCGAGTGGAGAAAAGCGAGCGGAGCAGGATTTGAAACCTGTCTCTAGAATGCTGTACCGATGTTCTACCAACTAATTGGTGGCTAATTACTCGATTTTGCCTGGTGGCTGATATTCCAATTTGACATAAAATACTGAAAGGCATTTGGACCAGTACGTGACCTCTAGAATGCCATATACTGACACTACTACCAACTGAGCCAACAAGCTCAATTTCTTCATTACCACTTAACCGAGGCGTTCTGTCCACCCACTGACCCACCAGGGTGCCAAACAGTAGAACCGAGATGGTCAAAGCAAAACCAAAGACAGCGGTCAGTCGTAGCGAGTTGTCCTCAATTTCCACGAGGTACAGGGCAACGGCAAATGTCCACATGCGGTCACCCTACAGATAGACAACATGAAAGAGTAATTGATACGATAACACACAGACATGACAGAGTCTGCAACACGGTGTGAGGCTGAAGCAAATACATTTTGTACGGTTGCAAGAGCACGCAGCAAAAACAAAATTAAGAAACTGCTCCAGTTAAAGCTATTGTCCATCATTTGCAGCTATCTGAAAAGTAACTGGCGTGATTATTGTTGAAAAAACATACTTGGTTAAAGGACAGTAAGGGGACTAAACTCCCTGTGAAATTATTCTTTCTTGCAAGCTGTCATTTTGAAGTAATCAACGAAAGAAGGCCTTTCCAACGGTGCTTCTTAAGACGCACCGTAGGAAATTTAAATTAGTAGTTCGTTTTGTTATTCGGCGAAGCGCGCGCAAGCATTAGCACGACACACAGGCACGTGCGGTTCAGTGTGCGACATCGCGTAGCTGCAATATGCTGAGTGAGAACGTGTCTCGGATGCTGAATTCAGGCCCAATTCAAAACATGATTCAGCAACTTTTGATTTGAAATTGAGATCCTAGAATGCTGTTTTTCTCGGAATAGACAGCTGAAGCGGAGCTGAAACTTCATCAGGTTAGTTGTTCAGTACCCTTCTTTAGATTTTGAACACTTTTGTTGCTTCAAATGAACAAAATGCACAAATTACAAATGATGGACTATATTTTTAATTATGAACCACAAGATGCTCCCAATACTTGAAATTCGAACTAAGTTGTTATCTGATTACTATCATCATTAGATAACCAGTTTGCGTCGGAGGATGTGATAACACAAACTGGCTGTTTTTATACATGGGCATGGTTGATGGGTTAAAATGTCAAGATTGCTTCAACTCGCCTCCGGGTGACGTCTAAACACGATAATCCCTTGTGTCTTTTGTACACACACACAAAGTCTGTGAAGTCTGTGGAGGCGGACCATGTGTTGATTTTGAATTGGCCGCTGTGCACGGCCTATTGTTCAACAATTTACGTTCCAGTGCGCACCTGGGAGTACTGAAACATATGAGGTTTCAGCAAGAAATATCGTACAAATACCGTTGAAATGACTCTTGCAAATCAGTAGTTATGGCGTTTGGCTGTATATCAGAAGTTGGCTGGAAAATGTTTCTTTTTGCAAAAATTGAAATTTTCGGCAAAAATAATCCTGGCGCAAAGTAGTTTAAAGAAAAATGAATTTAATATGAACCTACCCAGGCAGAAAAGAACTGGCTGCAGTAAATGAGAAACGCATTGGATTTAAACCATGCGACCAATGCCGGGCACCGACCTGTAATAAAACAAGGAAACAAGTGCTTCGAGTGAAATCTGGGAACTGAAGCTATGAAACTCATAATGCACTTTGATCCATACACATACATGTATGTCGAATGGTAGCCCCATAAATGTGGCCAGTTTACTGGACTGCCTCCGTAAACATAGGCCACACATCCGCCATCACTGAAGCTACTCGAACAAGTTTGCAAAGTGATTTCCACATTGCGACTTCAGACCCAGTTCATTTATGCTTTAAAAATACACTCACCCTCTTAATAACAAAGTTTGAACCTGCTTCCAGTGTCAGTTGCCAAGCTGCTGCGTAATTTACGATATTTTCTGGAGGCTTCTTGGCAACTTTTCGGTCCAACTGAACAATAACCTTGTGCAATACCTGACGGGATACGAACCAATATGCAGGGATCGTTCACCTGTCAATCACGCGTGCACGAGGCACGCCACATTACCTTCATTTGGCTTTTAGGCCAAAGAGCGCCCTCAATGAGTCATGCACATGCGCAAGGCCAAGAAAAAAATAAACCATTTTCTTGTCCAGCCCACTTCCTTTTTACTGCCCGCCTCTTTATTTTCTAATTCATACATTTGCAATATATTTTTGCAAATATACTGTCAATGTATTGTCTTTTTATTTGTTGCCAACAAAATTGTAACTTTTTTGGACACAATTTTCTATCAGAAAAAGAGTCGAGAAAATGGAAGAATCCATCCGCCATCTTAGAAAATCTACCATCTTGGAAAACACAAGGAGGCTGCCTCCTTCATTTCTTAGAAAAGTCTGGATGAGAAACTTTGTTGTTTTTAACTTGGCCTGATGCTAGCTACCTTGTGGTTGCGCATTGTCATCATCATCTTGCATTGCAATTGCTGCATCCCCGTCTCCAATACTGGGTGGATTTTCTTCGTCGTCCCTCCCATCCTCCCCCTCATTATTCTGTGACTCCGCCCCCTCTGGCTCCAAGTCCCCTTCATCCATCTCTGGGATCGTGGCAATCGTGGAAGGTGGAGGAGGCTGATGATCTAGGTCTGGTGCAGGAGCATTGTGGGATTCTGTCGATGCCTGGTTCAGTGGATCAGCCATAGTGAGTGAAGTATGCTTTTATGAATGATGAGGTGCTCACGTTGACCTGTTTTTGTTTAGACATACACACATAAACGTTATTTGCACAACTATATGTGTAATAGTTTTGGCGATCGTGTATCTACGGACCCCGTTTCTTTAAGGGAACAAAATGCACTTTGAAATTGTTAGACTGACAAAGCACAAATGTAGTTGGCAACATTATGAATAAACATGTACATGAATGTCTTAGATAGAGGGCAGCGTTTTGGGCGACAACACGCAACCCAAAAATAAAGATGGCGATCACTGCATCGTGTACCATGAGCACGCACGGCACGCTGAATCGCAAGGCAGCAACCGGCAGTAAACCACGCAGGAAAATTGTGATTTCTACCCCAAGAAACTATCAAAATTGCAAAACAGTTGTCATTAGAATTAAGAGAGGTCTGCTTTTGATTGAAATTTTGATTGAAAAGGTCATTTTTGAGCAATAAAAAACATCTTTGACTCTAATTTGATATTTACTAAACAGGGGCCCTACGCTACACGATCATCATAGTTTTAGCAGTTCTAATGTCGAATTCCTGATGAGCATAGTTTTAGCAGCCCTGATGAGCATTGGAGCTGGAGTTACTCAAACTAGGGTGAGTGTGCCTCTAGTTCTAATTTCTAATAATTCTAATGTCTAAAGTATAAGTTCATGAACTGCAAATATTAAAAGTCTGAGCTGAACATGCTGAATGTGTTTTTTTTTTTACTAAGTCATAAATGTTTGGGTAGGCTATGCGGGTGATGCCTATTCTTTGCCACATTTATGGGGCTATGAGGGAGGCCCAGACCTCCATGTAGGCCTTGAAGTTGAGGCTGTGTACTGCGTACGCACAGTGGCCGGTCATAGTGGCGCGGGCCAGCGCACCGGCAGCGGGCCGCATATTTTTTTCTCCCAAACGACATCCACATATGGGTGTACGCTATGGCGTTTTGGACTTAACTTTTATGAAAACATGAGAAGAAAATATAAAACTAGAAAAAAAGTGAATTTGAACGTTATGAATTTCGGACTTTATTTCCCTTTTAAAAAAAATCCTCCAAAGCCTCAGGTAAGAAAAGGAACAAAAAATCGGGTGCAAAACTAGCTTGAGTAACTCCAGCTGGCATGCTACATGTGAATGAATATGGAGCATGTCAATTGTCAGCTAGCTAGAGTTACATGCTCAAGCTATGCAAAACCGAGATCCGAACCCAGACTACAACCTTGCGGTGTAAAATCCTACTTTCTATCATGTGTATCGACTGACCCACGCCAAAATTTAGGGAAACAAATAATTTATACCTGCGTGCGTATCATAAAAGTATCGTAGAGGGCGCTACGATACTATGCATGCGGATGTCGTTTGGGAGAAAAAAATTCGCCGGCGGGCCAGCCGGTGCGGCCGATGCAACTTACTTAAAACAAAGCGTACGACAAGCTGAAGTTTACAAAAAGTCCCCGATACAAATTATAGGAATTAATCACAATAATCATCTCATCTTGAATTTCATACCTGAAAAGCAGGTCGAATGTCAGGTTTTCATCTGCAAAATCAAGAATATCTCAATAAGTTGACGACATGTCGATCGTCTGAGCTACACCTGACTTTAAATTGGCCAAATGCCGTCAATTGATGGCGCTGTGCAATATTTTCACTAATCACGTGCGTGGCGTACGTGCTCCAGCCTGGCGCACCTGTTTCCGAACTCAATCAGTGTTCGCGTGCAGAATTTCTATTTTTTATTGAGTCCGACAGTGGCGGGGTACTTAGGGCGGGGCGATTTTCTGGGACATTATTTTGTGTATTACACAATAAATGTAAACACTAAATGATCAGCAAACCTATTACTGCGCATGACAATCTCGCATTGGAATGAAATACATATATATGCATGACAAGTTTGCATAATACAGAATACACAAACATGAATGAAACAGACAGAGATCAATGGAAAAACAAACAAACAAATACCCCAACACCCCAATAAACGTCAGAAAACATGAAAGAAACAAAAATTGCTAAAAACAGCAAATAATCGCACACTTCAAGAATTAATCTATGTAGCTAAATTGTTTTAATTATGTCAATCATAGAAATATAATGGTAAAATAAAGCCGACCGTCGATTATTATTCAATGAAAAAACAAACTTTACTGGGGGTAACCTGAAAAAATACAAGAAACACCATTTTAGTTGACTGAACTAAAACCCAATCACCCATATCGACAATATTGGTGAAGATTTGGTCATATTGTACAAACATAACGAGCAAAGGATAAATAGATGGTAATTCAATAACTGGCTGGGAAACGTAGTTGTCATTGTTTTTTTTTTCCCCAGCTTTTTATCCATAACTGAACAAGTTGTGGTTATAAATGCATCACCCACTACCCTCGGCTAATGTGAAACAGATTTCAAACCATTTATGATGAAAACTGCATCTTGAGTGAAGGCAAACCAGTTGCAATTAATTACATGTACTAACCCACAGACTAGAAACAATAGAAACCGACCGATTCCCTAGCCCCCTTTTATCTACTTTTTGCTTTTAAGAGAAATCTACTGAAATGACAGGAAAGTTTAGCTTACTTTGGTACATTTATCGGACTGATATTAGAAAACTGTTAGAAACGGTTACAATCCTAATGCTTATCAAAAAAAGGCAATATTTGGACCAATTACTTGTGCTTACATAAACTATCTCATTTTAGCATTAATGGGGAAAAATAATTAATATAAGACAGATTCGTTGAAAGCTCTTTTTTTCACTAAAAAGTTCAAAAAAGGTGACAGCCTTTTTTGACATTTGCAAAAAAGTAAAACATAACGGATATAAATAAAACAAAGTTTTGCATTTCCTTCAAAAAATAGTAATAAGTAGCATTTATGACTTTTTACCTGTATCCAATGGAATTCAGATTTTAATTAAGAAAGTCAATGTATCAGGTCTGTCTAAAGAGGGCGCCATTACACGCTATTGACCACAAAAGTAAGTCCAAACACTTTGGTCATTAAAATCAGTTATTTTTTTTTCCGAGCTATGTAGGACTTTCCAAACCCTTCATTTGATCTGAATTGACAATTTTTTGAGCTTACATTTTTTTTTCATTCAAAGCCATGGGATAATCTTCAATTTTTTTCTAAAAAAAAAAAAACCTAAATGGTTTGGTGCAGTCCACTTGATCCGTTATTTCCACAAAAATGCCAAATGCGCAGACCAAATTGTCCACACATTAAGACAGAAATGAACACAAACTTTATGTGTCACTTCTGTTTCTTCCACATCAGTGGAATGCCCCACATAATGTGCCGACAAGCAAAATTTCAAAAATATAATCAGCAGAGAATTTGTCCTCCGTTTGCCTTACAACAGTGCACTATATATACACAGGAAACGCACTGTCAGGTTTATCCAAAAAAAAAGTGTGTTCTCATTTTTCTTTACAATTACACTGTAAGTTCATTTGTGTATATTTTTGATGCGTTTTACACTCTGGAAGAAGATGATTTCCATGATTCGAGTCTTCTTCAAAGCTGACTTTAATTGCGGACAAATGTTTTCCCACTGTAAAACAAGGGAGAAAGAAAGAATAGCATAAAATGCCTGCTGCTGCCTGTAAAATCAAGTTGAAATATTAAGAAAGGCAAAATGTAGCATTACGGAACATTGTTCCTGTTTGCTTCATGCAAGTATCAAAAACTTCACAGATTTTGAATGAGTTTTATCACAAAAATTAGGGTTGATATGGGCAATCAAAAACTTTTCTGGCAAGTTGTCATTCTTACAAAATGACCAAGACCCTGGTTGGCTGTTTCAGCGTGGTCATGTGATCACTCCTGATCCAATGAAAAGGCATATTCATGACTTCATAGTATTTTGTAAGTTTTCATTCATAAAATCATGCAGGCCTTCATTGGCTGCTCCTGCGTGATCATGTGATCACTCCTGATCCAATGAGAAGGCATATCTATGACTTCATAGTATTTTGTAAGTTTTCATTCATAAAATCATCCAGGCCTTCATTGGCTGCTCCTGCGTGATCATGTGATCACTCCTGACCCAATAAGAATGCTTTATATGAGTGACATCACAGTATCTCACCTCATTGTTTTCTTCTCCTTGTTGGAGTTTTCAGGCCGAGCCCTGTTGAGGACTTTCAGGAATTCCGAGGTGCGTGCTCGCATGCGGGTGTGGATATATGCCTATCAAGATCAAAGGAAATTTAACTTGAGAATTATAGCTTTTGATTGAACTTGGTGTTTTAGTGAACATTATACAGCCAGATTTATTGTCGAGTGACTCAAGTCCTCGAAAGTCCTAACAACTCTTCACAAATCAAACAAGAGTCAATCACAAGTCCAGTGTTCTCCAACTTTGAAAATTAAAGGTCGGTGTGCCATCAAAAAGCGGAGGGGGGGGGTGCTATTTGCAGTCATACATTTCTTTATGCTAGGGGGCGCTATTTGCAGATGAACATGTAATTTCTGTATGGATAACAGCTTTTAGGCTATTTCTAAAACAGTAACAGTTAAGTACAATACTGGCTCAGCATCATCTTTTTTAATACATCAGTGACCAGGGACTCTGAGCACAGTTTGGCCTTGAGACTTGATGGATTGCTACAATGGGCAGGCTTGTCAGTTTGACAAATGTTCCATGTTACTGCTTTTGGCAGAGTTTCGGGCCAAAATATACCTTGGAGGGTAAGGGTAGTCCCACTTGTTTGTCTTTTTTTATATTTTTTTCATTTTTTTTTAAAGCATGGCGGGCAACTTTTTAAGCATGGCGGCAATTTTTGAAGCTTGGTGGGTGCCTCAGAAAGCATGGCGAGGCACCAGGTTATTTTTACAGGTTGGAGAACACTGCAAGTCATCCGTCCTAAGTCAAGTGACAAGCTGAATGTTGGTCAAAGGAACATTAAGTACCGACGTACGACCTTCCGTTGAGAATGTCGCGACCTCAGTAATGACTTCTGATTGAGGCAGTTGGTCTGAGTCCATCACAAATCCATCACAAGCCGGTCGCAAGTAAATCACAAGCCTAGTCATTAGTTACAGGTGATGAACAACAACAAAGGAATGCCTTGTTACAATTTATTGGAGTAGCTTGTGACTGGACTTGAGACTGTGATGAACTTGTGATGGACTTGTGATGGGCTGGACAACAACACTGTCAATATCTTTTGGACGTTCACTCTTTGGATGGTCACACTGCATGAATAGCTTGATTAGAAGCGAGAAGGGGGGTGAGGGGGTTGTGGGGGGGTTAGGAAGCATGAGGTTTGGATGGCTGGGGCGTGAGGACAGGGGTGGGAGGTGGGTCTTCATCGACTTACCTTGGAACACTTGATGTGATAGTGAAGGTAATCCCGGAACAGATGGATCAAGTTGATGGTGTTATCACGGGCCTTGCGATTGGTGTGACGAGGCTCCAACACTAACAAACCAAGAGAAAAAAGGGTAAACAAATAAACTGACTTAATCAACGACTGTGACGGTGCTGAAAACGACTGTGACACGGTCCTCCTCAGCTGAAACATACCTGAACAAAATTACACATTGCAGCTAAAAGTAATTTGTTTCCCATGATTTTTTATATCCATTTCTCTTGTGTAATACAAATTTTAATACCTTACTATCAATTCACAGGCATGCAACTGGGAAATCACAAAAAAGAGGAAATTCAAATTTTTCCCAGACTTTGTACAGTGTTTTTCTATTTTCAATGGCACACATGGGAAGTAAAAAAAGAGGAAATCAGCTGATCCGAGGAAAAGTTGCATGCTTGAATTCAGCTGTGATATGAAAGGTCTCAGTTGGGAAAATAAATGGACATTTCAATTATTTGCCTCACTTGACATTCTCTGAGCCGAGCAGCTGGAGTCATTTAGCAAGAAACAAACGTCTCCTCATTCTCCTCAAGTCAAAGTAGGAGAAAAAAACACTGAGGTTTCAAAGCTACTAAACGATCTGTTTAATCTTGCTGTCTAACTGCCAGTGCCATGTTTGTGATTATTTTTTTGTCTTCACGACTCACCAAAAGTGATGTAGCCGATATTCTCCCCAGTCGCTGCGTCGGTCCCTTGCAGTTCTAGAGGGGGTTCCTTGTGACTGAAGAGGACCTGGGGGGCGTTCTGTGCACCCCTCCTCCCTTCCTTGAACTCCTAGGAATGGAGGAATATCAACAATGAAGACTTGTCAGTGACTGGATGGCTGGAAATTAGTTCGCTAAACTCACATAATTTTTTTTAAATAAATTGAAAAATAGAAGCCATTGTTACGAGACAATAACCAACCTGCATAAAGACTTTGCCAAAGATGACATCATCATCATCCTTAAAGACGGTGCTGAAGACGACTGTCACACGGTCCTTTCTAGCCGACACATACCTGAATCAGAAAAGATAAAGAAAATTCAATTTTAAAAGTAGTTTTTTGAAGGATTCGTTATCTCCATCTCTCATGGCAATTAGAAGTGCCTTTCGGTATCATTATAAATACATAGTGTTTTTAGGGGATTTCTCAGCTACATGTACATGTACATGCATTTTTTTCAGTTATTCATCTTTGAGAGCATTTACTTTCACCCTCCGAAAAAAAGTTAAAAAACAACAACAACAAAACAACCAAAAAAACACGTAAATAGAAACTTATAAATATTTCATATCTGATAAGTTTATCCAACACTATTATAAAATTCTTGCATTTTCATACATGTACACTGAATCACGCAATAAACGTTTTTGCCATAAACACTGCATCATGGGAGTGGATAACAAACATGCAATGCAGTTAAATACACAAACACAATGGAGTATAGGAACCAGTCAAGCTTTTAAGTATTTTTTTCCCCATTTTTTTCCAAGTTTAAGTGAACATCATCAATTCACCTATAAATGCATAATTTGTAAATAAAATTCACTTTTTAAACTTTAGAACTAATAATAAGAAATAATCTTTGAAATTTTTTTATTTCAGGATACCAGTCATCAGGGACAGAGGGACAGTTGTGATTGGTCAGTGTCGGAAGTGTGAGATTGACATCTCGATTCGGATTGGTCAATATCATAATACTAATATTCCCTCTAAAAAGGGATTCCCCGAAACTTTCTTCATTGTAATAGGCTTAAAAAAAAAAATTAAACGATTATATGCCAAATTACCAGTGCAACAATGCGTGCAAAAAAATAATCACGAAATTCTTGATATTAATGAGGAGTCAAATGAAAGTTGTAACTGTTTACTCAGCCCCATAGGTTGGTGTACAAATTGCCAATTTTTAGTCATCCAATTCCAAGATGCATTGCAAATATCGAAAAGTTTGTACCGAAGTGCGCCGCGTATTCTGTTCCACGCACACAGCTTAAGTGTGAAGACATCAGCGCACAAACCAGTGTGAACAAGAACAAAGACAGCTGACGTATCACTTCAGTTCTCTATTCTGGATCTCCCCAAAAACCAGGGTTATTAAAGAAATACAAAAGTCACTCACAGTGTTTCGTCTTCACGATAATTGATGACCGCCCGCTCTTTTCCGGATTCTTCGCGCTCCTGGAAATCAAAGTACTTCTCAAAGACGGAGGCGAAGCAGTTGCGCTTGAGCAGCGCCCCCTTGGCGGCTTCCTCAGTGATGTTCTCGGGGAGGTTCTCCAGATCGTATAGGATGGAAACGCTGTAGTTCTCCTCTGTGTCGACAATGAGAGGACCATACTCTCGCCTTAACAACTGATGAGACAAATCAAAGTGAAAAACAGAGACACATTAGATGATTTATTTAAGATAGTGGATATTTTGCAGGAGGTAATGACGGCCAAACTAACGATAACTAAAGGTTTGCTGGCGGCAATCCATATCAACAGAGGGCGCTGTACTCTTTAAAATAGGGCTGAATTATAAGATGTATTAAATTCCCACCAAAAGTTGTATAGCACGTTTGGTGTAATGGTTAAGCAAAGGCTCTAGTAAGCGGGATGACTCGCGTTCGATTCCGACCGCACCACATTTTAAAGTTTTTTTTTTCTCATCCCCAAATAAATAAGAATATTCTTCTTTTATTATTTTAACATGTCTCAAACATTTTTTGCAGAGTATTACATTTTCTTTTTCAGATTTGTGGCTCTGGAGGATTTTTTTTAAAAGGGAAATAAAGTCCGAAATTATAAAATGGTCTGAATCCCATCTTGTGAATACGAGGTAACAACGATAATTTTGGCATGATGCCAGACTAAAACTTGTCACCGGAAAATGTTTAAGTACCAAAAAACAGTAACTGTGCATGTTCAGTGCATATCCGGCAAACTAACGTTTACTAAAGGTTTGCCGTCTCCGGCAAAATATACACTGCCTTTATTTAACCCTCCAACAAACCTCAAAAACACTTATGTATTTGAAAACTCTTTGATGATACAGAAATGAAGACTACAAATCATTTACTAACCTCATCTGCTCCATGTTTTTGAAGATCTTTGTAGAACTTGAGTGAAATGCTAACCATAACTTTGGTCTTCTGTCCGTCGGGATTTGATATGTGGTACGTGACGCCATCGTAATCTGCAATAATAGCACAGTGTTACTCTTAGTCACATATCTGATTTGAACAAAAATTATCAACATGGTCGATTTTTTAAATATAAAATTTAAAATTTAAAATGTAAAATTTAAAAAAGGAAGAGAAAAATGTCTTAATATTGAAATGTAATTGTTGCACACTAAATTTGAATACACTGCGAAATATAGCCATAAACATGACAAACATACACAAATTAAAATTTGCAAAAGCTGTAGTATTTCAATTCAAGTTTTCAGCGAAGTTTCAACAATGTTTACAATTTTTACAAATTTAATTTCAATCCACCTTGAGTCATGTTGACCAAAAATATTGTCATGATTAATTGTGGACATTTTGCTTTCCTGCTTACCTGCAATAACAATGTCTGTGCTATCGGGTTTATTTCTGTAAAGTAAACAAAAAGATATTTTTATTTCCATTTGATTCAACACGTTTAATCACTTATCCTAATCGAAGTTGTTAATCTTCTATTTATCACGAATCTGGTGCAACGACCTGAATGAGGAACTCACCCCGCCTTAGCCGCCTCAAATTTCGCAAATAACGTCTCCTCCAAAATTCTGTTCTTGATTTCCAGAAGAATCATCTTCGGCTCTGTTACGAGGTCTAACCAGCTGGGAAAATCAGAAAATAATTCACTTTTCCGGCTTCAAAATCTCGGCTGAAGCAAATCGGCTCCACTCCCCACGACACGATTACCGGAAGAGGAAATGATTTGACATGGACAAAGTCAAACGCAGAGGGCGCTATATAAAATTAGCGGTCAACGCACTCGTTCCCTGTATCGATTCGGCAATAATTTTAATTTTTATGGGTTGGGAGCAAAACTCACAAACCCAGCAGGTTCCTCAATGTTAAATTCGAACACTTTTGCAATATCAATTTGGCTACATAAGGAAAAAAAATGGGCATTATAAAGATCTGAGATATATAACACCATCACTATTAATTATGCTTTGACCATATCCCGTAAAAGAAATGTCTGAAATTTTAAAGCACCTTCCCTATATTTTTGAAGGATCGACAAGTATACACGTCTATAAAAATAAGCCCTATTTAACTTTTCTGCAGTGTTCTGTGCAGATACAGTGTCTGTCACTTACCAAAGGTCATGTTTAAATTAAAAGTAACAAGTTAAATCCGCGTAACCCTCCTTGACAAACGATCAAGTGGTTTATTGTTGGTACAAAGGGGCGTTTCCTCTAGCAATTACTACCACGCATGATGCCATACTTACAAAAAGTCTTGTTTACAAAATGCCACCAAGTTAATTTTTTCTATGTCAATGACATAAGTATTCGACTGATGAACTTTATTTAACAGGAAACATAAACATTTGTTTTGCAGATTGAAGCTAATATGAGATTTCCGCTTTTAATTGTACTTGGGCTGACTGGCACAAATTTTCCCTGCATAATAAACACAAAGACACACGGGGTACGATACGATGGGTACTGGGCCTACATGTTCCCGTACATTGGTCCTGCTCGCCAGGCCCGTTCACCACCGTGACGAGCTAGAGGTGCATGGGGTATACGCCCCCCTGAATTATAGCACCGGCGCGGTGCCGACCTTCGCCCCCTCTCGACCCGTGCATATCATACCAGCTTATTTGACTTATCCATTCCGTTTACGATTGTGGGCAAAGTTGATAAGCAAAGTTTGTAATGCCCAAGTCATCGGGACATCATGGATTGATGGGAAAAAAAAGACCTCTGCACGACCACACAAAATCGGCATGATCGGAGACAAACTGCAGAACTGATTTAATCGAGTTTCTATAACTGCCATCGCTGTTCACTTGTCTGCAATCTTGCAGGGTTTTTTTGTCACACCGTCCCACGTACGTACAGTGAAGTTCGTCTTTTTTGAAAGCTGGCAAAATATCGTGTGTACAAAATGTGTCCATGGTACAAGAGTTAAGTACATGTACAGGAAGTCAACTTCAATCACAAGTGTTAGGAACAAACTACGCGAGCTGTTTAGCAGGTTGTTCATTGCTATTGTGTGTTACTATAAGAACTTGCACCCGTGAACTTCATTCGGTGTATCAATATTTTTAGCTGCCGATGGGACAATGGCGGAACCAGACCAGGGCGGTGCCAGACTGGACCCTAGAATCAAGGTAAGTCTAAATTAGTTCACGGAAAACTAGAAACATACTGTTTAAAAAGAATCATGAGGCCTGGCTATGCAGTGATCAGGCCCGTAATCTAGTGTTGCTGGATTGGGAAGCGTTCTGCCACTTCGTGTACTTGAATGAGTTTGTCGTCCTTTGGTATACTGGCACTGGGATGGGAATATTGGCCCCGCCTCCCCGAGAATAAGCCACGCCTTAATTACATCACAGCCAAATTTAAAGTAACTCTTGGCTAAATAAGTTTAATTCCTGGGAAGGGCAAGTTGGCTGAAATATTTGTTTTCCTGAAATATAAAATATCATCTTCTGCGCAACCCACTTAATCTTGAAAAGAGATCACTCCTTTTTAAGAGAAATAAGGACAATATCTCATTAACAATGACAGTCATAAAATTCCTGTACATTCATGAGAGTACATATTCACTACAAGTATACAACCGACTCTTATACATGACAGTTTCATTATGGACGAGAAAAACATAACACGTACCGATCCGTGTATGACAACAATGTGACTATACATGATTGTGAAACTTCGTCATATCCTGCTGTCTGTTATTATTTGGTTCGTTGCATGCAAGGATTGTTACGGAAATAGCCTGGAAAATAGCACAAGTGAAATCAAGTTGGATTTATGTCGCTCAGCATTTCAGTAAAACCTTTGCAAAGCATTGTCACTATTTTCTAGCTCGGCAACACACTAAGGCGAAGGTGACAACAATTAAAAAGAGACGCTCTGAAATATAACTACTGCGAACTGATACTGCGAACTGAATACAAAGTGTTATACAATAGTGCATGTGAGTGTTTCTTCAATAAGGTGACTTTTCTGTTACATGTATTTACACAACGGTAAAATGGCGCTTCTGAATAAATACCGGCCGTGTGTACATGTAATGGAAGAGTGTTTATTATTGATATCACATGATATCAACTGAAAAAAATGCAGGTTTTCCATAGACGAATCAGGGCACAGGAGCGGACCTACCTTTCAGGAAATGGGGGGGGGGGGGGGATGAACGGAGGGAGGTTGAGGGGAGGCGTGCAGAAGGCAAGCCTTGTTAATAAGGGGGGTCTGGCCCCCGAAAAAAAAATCTACGATGCTTTTTTCCTGCATTCTGAGGTAAATTGAGAATGAATTGAGGAACTTTGGCATTCCGGACATTTATTATTGTTTGCCCAATTTTACTAGTGTCATAATATTAGTCAGCGGCTGAACGGGGGGGGGGGGGGGGGGGGGCAACCCCATACCCTCTAGATCCGCTGGGGCACTTGATCAATGTACACACACGCATGGGTGGATCCGGGGGGGGGGGTCAACGGGGGCCATGCCCCCCCCCCCCCCAAAAAAAAACCGAACCATTTTTTTAAAGTGACGTCGCAATAAAGGCAGGCAGTACGTACATACACCACCCTCTTTTCCTCAACAAAATTTGGTTAAAGTGGTCAGAAATTGCCCCAGATCGCACCACAGAGCATCTGGAATCCAAAACAAAAAAATTCGGGGCCCTTCCCTGAACCCAACGCCGTTATTTTTTTGACACCGTTTTGGGGGACAAAAACATGTTTTGCCACCCCCCAAAAAATTGTGTTCTGGATCCACCCTTGCACACACGGCCCACATCAATGGCGAAAGCATTTTGTAAGCTATTGTGGAAAGCTACTGCCTCGTGACGGATTATCTGAACAACAGCTAAGACAATGCTTTCGCTATTGAAGGGGCGGCCTTGTGACAGAAGTGACTGCATTGCGTCTATAAAATGCATACATTCATTTCACATCTACTGCATAACTAAGTCCACTGTCGTCTGGCGGATACATTTCCGAAGTTATCTGAACAGGAATTTCCGCAATCACAATTCATCATTTACATAATCTGTCCATTGACAGAAACTTGGGGAAAGTATATATTAAGCCACAAATGTTTTTTAAATTCAAACCAGGGCGAGCTGGATAAACTGAACAGCACTTCGGAGGAAATCAACCGCTTGGAGAAAGAACTTGATGTGAGTTTATTAACAGTCTATATACTCTAAGATTAGTTGCCGGAATTACACATCGACTGTAGAAAGAGCGCGTATTTCCCTTGATTCCTCCTATATGCTAAATTACCATTTTTCATGCTGTCCACGGCACAATTTTGAGACAAAAAAGGTGTTCAACACTGACCAACTTGAGCTCTTTTCAGAGATCCTTTCAGTAGAGATCGATCCATTAAACCCCGCCCACAATGGTATTATGACCACTCACAGCCGTGATTAATGTCGGACATGCGTCCATCTATGCGTCCATAATGGACCGATCCAGTAAGCCCTTCCCACTGCGCACGTGGGCAAATTAACACGTGCTCCTCTCCAATGCCACACTGCATTTTCCTGCCGCGCGCATCATACGCGCGTGCCACGCATGTCGGACTTTTGAGCACGCATGTCGGACATAAATCACGGCTGTGACTGGTCAGAATACCATGGGGCGGTGCTTACTGGATCGGTCCATTGACGTGCACGCGCGCATGACGCGCGCAGCTGGAACCATTTACATTGGAAAGGCGTGGCAGTGGGCGTGGCCTAAACAAATGGATCGGTCTATAGTATCGGAAGAATTAGATACCAATCGTTTCAACAATAATTATCTCACTCAAATTACTCCAAATATTCCTCCTGAACTGAATTTCCACTTGTCACACTTCCATTTCTGAATGTAGGACGCCAGGCAACAGTTTCGCGTGACACTGACTGAATCATCTCACAAGTTGAGCGAGGCGGCCAAGCGATGCGGCAAGTCGGTCAAGAAGGCCAAGTCGTACCACGAGGCGCGAATTAAGGCCAAGAAGGTATTTTAACAGGCAATCGCTATTCACGAAATAGTTGTCTTTTATTCACGAAAGTTTGTCAATCTTTCACTACACAAACAGTAATACTCTCTCTAGTTTTCAAATTCATTTTATTTTTACCGGAACGTTTGGCGATAGAGAGCTGCCTGATTTCTCCAGATATTTCGATGTTTGAAAGATAGGGAACTATGCCAGCCTTTATAGGCATAACGTGTCGGGAAAATACCGGTTAAGTTTTCAAAGTATATGCCAGTACAAACTGTACATTACCGATTCGGCAATTGGATAGCTCCCATGGGCACTTGATGGGTATTAGGTATCAAATATATAATTTGACCTGATGCAAGTCGTGTTTTACGTGACGCGAGCAACCTCAACATCAGACGATATCACATCTTGATAATTTTAAAGGCCTATAATAACATCTTTACAATAAGAAGTCTAAGATACGAACATGTCGAAACCCGACCACTCAAAGCATAGTGGGATCTTAAAATAGTTGCATTATTTCTTTTCTCCAACGAAAGGCCCACGAGAAGGTGCAAGAGGCAGCATACGCGTACCAGCGGGCCGTGGGGATGTTCAGGGCGGCTAAAGAGACGATCACCATAGCGGAGGAGACGTCCATGCAGGGAAACAAGAAGAGAGATTTTGATTCGGCCCTTCAGGAGATGCTGAACCATGCTACGGTCAAGGTGAGTTGGTTTGATGGTTTGACTATAACCGTGACAGTGAAAACGACAGAGACTGTAAACATGACAAAGACATCTGCTCAATAGTAACAGAGTTGCCAGTACCTGGGACAATTACTTCTAGTAGACAACCTCCCTCTGATTAGCTTTCATTTGGTCTTGCTACCCTAGCTGAACGCTGCTGAGCAGGAGAAAGTGCGAGGGCAGAAGGAACACCAGCAGCTATCCAAGACCTACGTTAAGTCGCTGGCTAAGGTTGAACAGCTTGCCAAGAAGCTACGTAAGAGTATCGCAAAATCCGCGTGAGTGGACGAATTAATTTTAATATATGGAATTTCATATAAAAGAGATTAGATACTTGTAATATGATAATTGGTTCAACTTTATTTTCCGGTAAAGACCGAAAGTGGGAACACAGCTGCACTGAACAGAGAAACAGAGAGTGTAGAAGGAAGTTTGGTTCGGCAAGAAGACAACAAAATCGTTAATAAGACCCATCTGATAAACAGCAACACATAACCTGACTGAATTCTAGTTTCTTCAAATCTCCGAATTCTGTATTTCCCAAAGAGCCTACTACGATCTCAGGGATGCCTTCTACTCCCGTCTGGAGAACCTCAAAGAGTCGGTGGAGAATCGCCAGAAGCTCCTGGCCAAGTGCAAGAAGCGATACCGGGAGGCGCTCCGGAATCTTGAGAGGATCTCGGAAGACATCCACCGGACCAGACAGCTGCAGCTAGAGGCGTCCTTGACTCTGCATGAGAGGAGCTCTGGGGTGGGAGCTGAGAGTGAGACGGAGGCAGCGAGAGATAGTGAGGAAGAGGAGGATGAACTCTTCACACCACCAACAGGTGAGGATTGGATTGTTGTTGAGGACGATGCTGAGACTTATATTGTAGATGAGGGTCGTGGATGTGGTAGTGGAGGTGGTGGTGATGATGATGGCAGTCATGAAAGAAATGGTGATGATGGTGATTGTAATGTTTATAATTGTGGTGATGAGTGGTGGAATTGGATTTGTGGTGAGGAGGATTCTGATATTTGTGATGTCGCAGATGAGGGGTCACGGTTGGGGCCACTGTGGGGATGACTAAGATGATAATGATACTATCTTGCCGTACTGCAATTGAGGTAATTGTGATGGATCATAAGTTATCACAAGTAAATCACAAAATCGACCAAAATCATCGAGTCTCGAGTCAACTCACAAGCGGAATGACAATACTATTCCTTTGTTATCCTGTTACTTGGGACCAGACTTGTGATCCATCACGTTCCTCAACTACAACGATGGCATCTGGTCACAAAATTCATCAATTATTGACAAATACTATATTTGTTTTATTGCTAACAGGTGGCAAAGACGAGCCAGGAATCCAAGACAATGCAGTTCCGGTGCAAGGAGCTGTCGGAGGCGCCGGCGCCTCCCGTCATTCCTCCTCCTATTCCTCCTCACCAGAAGATGGTGAACCTCAGTCCCCGATCCTCACAGAGCACGGCCTGCCTACCCTCTCCCGGAAGATAAAGCGTGAGGAATCCGACCCAGACTTCTATCAACCTAAAGTCGCCATCTCTAAGCTTCCTGGGATACTCCCTGATGAGCAAGAGGTGATTGAGGCGACTTTCCGAGGTTACAGGTCCTTTGATGCGGAGCTGACCCAGGAGGAGGTCACTGCCTTGAGGCAGGCTGGAGGAGCGGAAGCCCCGGTCATTATGATCGAATCCCCGGAGGGAGTGGTCAGTGATCATCAAGATGAAGACAGCGAGGAGGAGGAGCTCGAAATATACGAACCTGAGGAGATTGAGATGTCAGAGTTGGGTAACGAAGAAAGTGAGGGTGAGGGTGAGAACAGCGTGGAGATGAAGGCATTCCAACAGGAGACGCAGCTTAACGGAGACGTAGAGTCCGAATCATCATCTGAGAATACAGAAGACGATGAGGCAACAGAAGACATCTTGGCAAACACTGATGAATTTAAAGAAGCAGTTGGAGATTCAGAACTGAACGAGGATGGATCAGTGTCTCCCAGTGACGACAGCCAGATGCAAGGAGTGGAAAATGGCCATGAGAGTCCAACGGAAGAAAGAGTAAGAAGCATGTCCTTCGGGTTTGAGAAGACTCTACAGGATGAAGATCATTTTGAACAGCCGGATCTTCTACCAAGTCCCATCAACAAATTCCAGGTCTCGGAACTCGAGAGGCCCGCTTCGCCTGCGCTTTTCCAGTACCGTGCTGTAGAACATAAAAAGGACGTGCACGAAGCTGAAGAAAAGACCACCTTCACATTCCAGCCCATAATTTCACAGAACGACGCGCCAACAACCAGTAGCAAACAAGAAGACAATACCAATGAAACGGACTGACCAATCAACGAAGAGATGCGACACCGCGATGTGATTTTTACTCTATCTGCGATTCTGGTGTTGATTCTGTCGCTTGTCTTCGTGAGTTTGCAAATCGTATTGGTTGAGAAGCTACACTCGAATCCTAAGTAATTCCGTATCAACCAATGAAAATCAGCATTTCAAAAGTTGGCAACCTTATTGACCAATTAAAATGATGTAAATAGGCAGGAGACTGACTTCTTACTTTTCAGACGTTCTGCAATGCGACACATACAATTTTCAGAAGACAGTAGTAAATAATATTTTTTCTTTCTTCAATTTTCTTGACATCACCAAAACAGTATTCAGTATATCATGACAATGCACATTCACAATAAGACATATCTGAATTAAAATGTTAACCTTAAAATATTACCTAAATAAACTTATGCAGCAATAATGACACTATAAAATATATCTAAAATAAAACAAATACAGAAACAATAAAAGACGAAAATCAATCAAACATCAGTGACAAGCCATTCGCGTCATCAAGACAACATAAAGGGTATATATATTTGTACACTTATTACATGTACTTCAAACTGTTCGCTCCAATCCATTTTGCACCCAATTATCTTTTAACTGGCTGATACTTCATTTGGAGATAATAATCTTGTACAGTGGCTAGTCAGGAAATGAGTCATTGACTAAAATAGAGAGTACTTCCTGACTCCAAAACAAATCAACCCACAGTGGTCCCGGAAAGTAAAAAAGAGAAAAATGTCTGTGCCTGATGTCCAAATAAACAATGAAATCAAAGTTCAGATGAAACAAAGGCTAATTAATGGACTCTTTAATGGAGTCTTTTATCTTTCCAAAGGTTATGAAGATCCTGCGAAATGTGCATAAAACTCACGCCAAAGAACCAATTAAGACAAAAGTTGAACGATTAACACTTTCAACCACAGTAATTTGAACTTTTCATGTGAAATGTGAGCTCCTGTGAAGTCTGATCTCTGTTACCTACAATGGAGTCTAACCATCACACGGACCTGTTATTTTTCTTAATTGTGTCCACTATAGGCATGCACAGTACCACCAATGAATCCGTAGTGCAGGATCCAAATTTTACACTAAGCTGGCCTTGTGTGTTCAGAAATACGATTGTTAATCTGATTAGAACTACATTTGCTGACAATTTGTGACATAAATTTATGAATGTAATAATATAAAAAACAGAGATGCAACAATCAAGGTGTATTTTGGGACGTATTTTCAGTTATTTCAGATACAAATTGCATACAAAATTAATATATTCTGAATATGAAGTATATCTTTATTCCTTTAAAACATTATTTTATCAATGCATTTTATCACTACTCCTTTAAGTCATTTTGCTACTAATACTGGTATAATGGCATGTTTTAAAGTAATTCACTGGCTACCCTGCAACTTGTTTTCAGCAAATAAACTACTTGATTTTGCACAAATAAATGCAGAATACTACAATGTCAAACTTTGCATGTCAGCTGGTAAAAGAATGACTAATTTTAACATATTTCTTCTACATCTAATTGCAAAAAATTGAGTGCAGTCATTATGTGGATCATAAGCCTCCTTCAGACAATTAAACTCAGTTGCTTGTACATCCTAAACTAGTAGACAAACTGTACTACTTTACAAATTACTGATCAGAAGAACACCTGAAATTGTCACAATCTTTAGGTTTCTCAAGCCATCGACCTAACCCTTCTGAGAGAAATGTTGCTTTCAATATCTTCTTACATTTTTGGTAAGCCTCTGCACCTTCCTTGACTTCCCGGTAGGTGGCGCCGCCTTTGAGGTTCTGCTGAGATTTGTCTGTTGAGACCCTCTCCTTACTTTGCTTGTTCTTTTTTGAGGTTTTGCGTCTCTTTGGAGAATGCTTGATGGAATCTTCTGTGGCATGACTCTGGTGAGGAGGCTTCCTCATGATGTCCAAGTAAGTAGAGAAGAGTTTTTCTTGGGAGACACGAGAGGGGGTGCCATCCTCAGTTAATCCTGTATCAGTCTTGATCACCTCAATATTGTCTGTGTCTTCAGTCTGCATCCAGTTGATGCTGAAGCTGGGTGCTTTGGAGGATGAGGAGGTTCCAAAGAGGCACTCATTGGGCCTGCTGGCACCTACCATGAGAGGTTTGTTCAACTTGTAGCCTCTTGGCAATTCTGGTAGGTCTGTGAGGCGCCCGTAGAGAGCTCGTGGGAGGTGATCAGGGTGAAACTGCATGCCAAGAATCACGCTGGAGAGGTACACTGGTGCGATGAGGTGGCTCAAGAGTGCACCTTGAACTCCTAGGACATTCCAGCTGGCAACCTTGTCGCTGCAGGTCATTGTAAACAAGCGCTCCCGGGCCGTAATGGCTTTACCCGTCAGAGGAATCGTGCTTTCTCCCTGTTTGATCTTAGCACGGAGGATGCCCCTGGCTCCTCGGTGAGGGTGGCCATCGCCGCATCCCATGCTTCGCTCCTCCTTGATGAAGCTTGCAGCATCTCCGCAAGGGGGACAGCTGATGTAGAGATGAAACTGGATGCCTTCCTTCAGCTGCAGAATCCCATTGCTGCCATCAAAGACAGATGACTTGGGATCTTTCTGATGCTTCAAGTGCTGCTCCATGAGGTACCTTTTTAAGCAGCGACGGGCGACAACCTCTGCATGACAATCACGAAGAATGGTTCCCTTGGTCACCGGCTCCTCTGTGAGAGGACACTTGGTGCCCGTTGCCAGGCAAACAACCCTAGAGCTCTTCAACACGTCGCCATCCGACTGCACAACCCCAGCCAAGACCTTGTACCTGAGGTACCTTGTCTGGCCATCTTTGAGGGCAACCTCTCTCAGTTTCTCCTCGACGATGCTTTGGATGTGGTTGGCACAGGTGAAGGCCTCCTGCCCAGTCCAGGTAGTATACAAAATGCTTGGTGTCGGTCGAATCCTGGCATTTGGCAGCGAGTCATTATCAGAAGACATGATGCCAAAAACTTCAAGAAGAGCTGCCCGAGCAGCTGTTTCTTTCGCCTTCTGCTTTTTCTTACCCTCGGCCATGAAGGTTTTCCCTTTCACCTGGACGCTCATGACATAGAAGGGATCATGTGGTGGCCCATCTTTGCTGACAATGACAAAGTCCAAGGGAGCGATGCTCATCTCATTCAGCACCTGGACCGGATTCTTGTGAGAAGGTGGCTCAAAATCATCCTTAATATCTGTAGGATCTAAACAGAATTAGACAAGGGACTTGTAAAGAAGACAAACATATTGTTTTTTCTATTTGCCTTAATGAACTATCCCCTAATTAAATTGACTTAAAGTAAATCTTTGGATGAACAGAACATAATGAAAGTAATTAGACAGGGTGTCACACTAGCTGTGTAAGATCATGAAGATGTTTTAATTCAGGTTTGACAATCCACAAAATGTCAACTTTGCATGATTCACATTAAGCTTTTCTGCAATAAAAATACATATCTTTGAAACATTTCTTAAGAGTAAACATCGCAGATAATACATGGCTTGAGGTTTATTATAAGTTAATAGAAAACATAGAAAACATTGTTCACACGTTTTTCTTATTGTAATGCAAAATCAAAGCTTGAAATTTTTCTCGAACTTTTTCAAGACTACTCAAAACAGCAAATTATGCAAATTTCTATTCTTGATTATTAGTTGAAATTGTCAGCTGCTGATAAAAGTACTTTACATGAAAATTCTCGACATATTACACAAAACAGTTGTTAGAATTGCAATTCATCTTCAAAAATCATCAATTATGAAAATCAATCGTGAAAATTGATTATTAAATTAGCGGTGTTTATTTTAAATGCTTTAACAAATTTAAAGTCAATGATTATAATTTAGGTGGAAGTGGGAAATAATTAGCATTCAGATTTTCATCTCAATTGCTTGTAGAATAAAAAAAAATGGCCCCAAAAATGTATTGATAAAATAATTCATATTCTCTACAAATAGTTTTTATTAAATGTAAGTTTGGAGAAAGGCTTAAAGAGAGCATTTAGTAGTCTAGGGTACCTTACATGTAACTTAAACCCTTTCCAATATTCAACAAACGAATAGGATATACAAGGCTTAGTGAGAACAAAACATGTTCTCTACAGAGTTATATTGTCCAACATTTTGTTCGAGGGCTAAGTAATTTGTGAATGACCAAACACAAATTCGAGGAAGATTTCTAAAATCTATCAATTCAAATATCACAGATATCACTGTAAAACAAAATTGCAGCTATTCTGAATACCAAAGACCCAAATGAAAACATTCATGACACAGACAATACCATTACATTCATTCATTTCAGCAGCTGACGATGGTTGAAATCAAGGACAAAGTACTGGAGGGTCGCAGACTGAGGGAAGAACTCATTTAGTAAATCATAACTGAGTAAAATATTGTGTTAAAAAAAATCAATATAACGATTGCCTACTTTGCTAAATCCATTTTTACTCCTATAATGTAACTACTGAAATTTGCAGCATAGAATATACTGCTTTAATGAACTTCTCCAATTGTATTTGGGAATATATTGGGTGGATAAAAGTGTCACACTGGGATAAGACAGGCTGTTGTTGCCAAATTTGGATGATTGAGTTGGCTTTGGAAGGTTGACTTGATGCACAGTGAGTTCACAGGACGTTGAAGCTTTGTCTAATACAGAAAATACCCTTGAATATATCCATAATACTTTTGAAGTGGATCATGGTATCTCCAATTTCCCTATTTTGACGTTAAGACTTGGCTATCATGAATTACCGGTTGGAGGATTTGGGGGTTTGTGGGCCATCGTCTTTATGTAGTACAGGGCGTTACGTGCCGCGGTGGAGCGTGCGCTTTCCGGAGTCGGACCCATGCCATGACAGACAGCTAGAGGGGATGTTTTCAGTTCCACTAGGCACTGATATTCCTCCTTCAGGCTGCGTTCCGAGAGGTCTATGTACCTGGTCTCAAAATTTTGCTCATCCGCTACCAGTTGAAGTATCTGGCAGGATTGCGAGTCTGGTGGGGAAGGTCAGAAAGACAGACTTTCAAGATGGTTCTCGTATTTTGTCTGATGAAAATGCTGATTTTAAAGCTGGCAAAAAGTAATTGGTATTTAAATCGGCATATTACCTGGCATTAGTTTGCTACTGTACTTTGTACATGTGCATTGAATTTTAGTGCAGAGCTTACTATAGTTTATGTCCATTTCTGCTATGCATAAACAGTTTGATGGAGTCACAAATTAGCAAATCATAATTTTCATTTCTTGTTGAGAAATATAGACAAAATTAGAGATTTGAAAGAAAGAGTGAAAGAGGGAAAGTTACCATAGAAAAACTTCAAAACTGGCAGTCAGTGTCATTGGTTTCAATCTGGACAGTTAAACGCCCACCACCAAAGCTTCGCCAAACTTGCAGAAACAGATATGCAGTTACGTGTGGTAGGAGAAGAAACTTGAACGGGGTTGTGCTAAGAATGGTTTCAGTTTGACTCCATATAGGTCTCTCTCAAACGACGTCACTTCCTGCAGATTGTCACGTGCATTGGCATTGTGGGCGTCAAATTTTTTGTGAAGTGCATCTGCTGCGCCTTTTTTCGAAGAATTTTGAGCAAGATGCATGTATCTTTAGAGCATTTTGCACACTGCGCGCACGTGTACCTGATGGCGTTGAACACGCAGTTGTAATGTTCCTACGAAGATGGCTGTCTATGAGAAGGGTCTATTGGGGTCGTGCTTCCGAACAGTTCGTAACTTCGTATGCACCTTGATTGGTAGGAGTGCTTGTGTCCCTGAGCAATATACCTCGCAACAATAATTCCTCACCAGCAAACAACTGAGTGCCAGTACAGGCAAAGATAGCTTATATACTTACTAGCTTTGATTTGTATAACTAAGAATTATATTTTGAACCAAAGCTGAGCACATTTGGGTTTCTGGGAACTGAGATTTAAGAAAATAGCCGCATCCCTTGGTTATAGTGGTCTGCAAATTGATGGGAACACTTAACAGCCAAAGCTTTATTGATAAACTAATTCGGCCACTAAAATGAGGAGCAATTTTTTCAGATGGAACCAAGTTCGCATGCATGCAGCACAGGTTCTTTAAGATAAGGCGTGCGCACATTTTGGTAACCCTATTAGTCAAACAAGCATGTATGTGTGTGCCACCTGAGCAGGGCCTGGTACTTGGTTGGTTCTTCTCCTAGATACTCCGCAGGGGAATTTTAACAGAAGGCCAGAAACACCGGGGCAAACCCTTCTCTTTGCGAGTGTTACTGTTCTTTTTTTAGGTGCAATGCATTACATAACACACGGGACCCACGGCTTTACGTCCCATCCAAAGGACGAAACAATAATGGTTTAGTGCCTTGCTTAAGGCTACAAATGTCCAGATCCGGGCTTAAACCCACATTCTGTTGCCTCTGAAGCACAAGTGCGGTGCTCTTAACCGCTAGGCCATATGACACTCCATGGTTCCACCTTGAAAATTGTTTCTTATTTATTAGGTCGCCGAATTAGCCTATAGCCTGTTTAATGGACCAGTCCCCAGGCCTGAATGAAGAATGAATTCTGAACACTCTACTACATGAACAACAACAAACTGCACACACAGTTCACAAGCTCACATCTACTGTTAACTGGATGGCAATATAGCTTAGTGCATAGATTAGTAAGTGCTTAGAGGAAAATCATGCAGGGAGGCTAGGGAGTGTCTCAAGGATGGTCCTGTTCCTTTGAAATGCTTCACCTGGAACGTGCTGCTTTCATGTCAGGACAAGCAGTGTTCCAGACACAAAACAGGCTTTTCTTAGTCAGCTTTCCCATGTGGGCACAGCCTGGACTAGGCAGTTTCCCAGTGGAACTACCAAGCATTCCAAAGTTTTGATACACTCCCATGGCCCATGGAAGAGGCTACAAGTAGGAGAACAGGCACCAGGCATCCATAAAAACGTGATGGTTTTGTACAGAGAAGTATAAAGGATCATCGCTGGGAGACGAAAGGAAAAAAGAAATAGAAAGGATTATAGAAGTGGGTAGAAGAGTAAATGGACCAACCTGGGAAGTTGAGAGGATTGTTGCAGAGCCTGTCGATGTTGGGTCCTTCTGCGGTTTGCAGCGAGCAGCCTGCTGCTGCTTTGGTTGCTGCTGCTGCTACTGCAGCTTGCTTCTTCTGCAAAAAAAAAAAATTTCAACCTCTTGACTGTCACTAAACCGTAACCCACCTCAATCCTCTAAAATCCTCATGGCGGTTTCGAGTATTTTTGTGGATTGAGGATGAACGGTGTTTTAGAAACATTAGGATTGTGGAGGATGGAGGATGAATGGTGTTTGAAGAGGAGGAGGATTTTGAAAGATTGAGGATGAATGATTTTGAGTGGCAGGACTGTCTGACAATTTTTGAAGGATTGAAGTGTTGGGTATCCGTTTTTTAAACAAACATGCACAATTCTAGAGGATTTTGGAGGATTGAGGATGGTTCCTAACAAAAAGGGCCAACAGGGTTAGAGTTAATCTCTGGAAGTTTTCATATTGTTTTAAATACTACTGGTCGGGCAAGACTACGACAAGGGAAGGTAATGAATTCAAGATTAAAATCATGTTCAGATCCTGGATCTTGGAAAGGAGTTCAACCTTATTAAAAGGTGCTTCTACCCCAAGGGATAACATTACATGTAGATTGTCGGATGCTAATGTGTGCGGACACAGTCTAGATTGCACAATATGTGAATGTGGAAATTTTTATTTTTTTCAAAGTACAATTATTAAAATGGTCAAAATTTTTACCTTTGGTTTGGTGGTCCCAGGTTCGACTCCCGGGTCCGTATCTGGTGGCAAGGCTTTAATTGTGTCCAGCATGCTTTTGGCGGCTGTACGCTTGGCAAGACGTTTACTTTTGTCTGTTCCTGTGGAAAAAAAAAAAATATGCAAATATGACAGACTTGTGGTTTTTTCTTCTTCAGAATTTCAATTGTTACGTACATTGTACATCTGTGTTTGTTTCAGGAGTTCAATTTCACTGTAAAGGCTTCACAAATTCTTTCCACTGTCTTGAACACTTCGTACATGATTTTAAAGACATTTCCACAACTCTAAAAAAAAAAAGGCCCAAGCTATTTCCAAGGCGTTATACAGAATTTGTGCAAATTGTCACAACCTTATTTAGTTTTGTTTTGGTCAGCAGTTAAGCCCCTGTCACATAGTAGCGAATAGAGCTAACTTATGCATAGCGAACTGATTTTTTTCTCAAACTTGGGCAAAGTCCAGATACGCTCAAATTCTCGGCCAAAATCCTTTTTTTTTTAGCGAACTCCTGACGTATAAGACGAATGCCTAACAAATGAGGAACGAATGCTGAGCCTATAACTAGCGTCCATTGTAACGAATGACAGCACATGCATAGCGTCCATCCAACGAATGCTGAACTTACGCAACTACATGCACGTTGTCGCCCGCTCAAAAGACCCCAGCGCACCTCTGCGAACCCATACGAACCGCCAACGAATACAACTTATGCCAAACGTGTCACGAACGAATGCCAACTCACACGAACGTACATCCAAATTTCCAAAAACGTTGGGCACACATTAGCTCTATTCGCAACAGTGTGACAGGGCCTTTACCTTGTTCTCTGAACTTTCCAACAGTGACACCGACCACAAAGCTTCTATCATGCGGTGGTCCTGTCTCCTCAATCTCGTCATACTCTGGCCTCCTCCATCCCAGGTACGTGACCAACTCTTGGAGCTCTCCGACAGGGTTGGGGGTGTCTACCCTGGGGACATGAATGGCAGAAAATGTTGAATTAAAGCTAGTTTGAGCGTACAAACAAAGGAATATGACAGAATATTGAAGCCCAGCTTGTAAGGAAACTAGTTTACTCAGTTAATTAAGTTACTCCAATATGTGACCGGCTCTACAAAAAAGGGTACTAAGTCGCGCTGGGCATTATTGTGTAATGGCCCGCTCAACATTGAGAGGGTGAAAATTTCGTCAAAATGTGATTTTCATTTTATGTCATGAATGACATCTTTAATACCTACAGTTTCAGGTTTCCTTCACAGAAATGTTGATTTCGATGAACGAAGTAGAAAAAACAACCATTTTGTGTGCATCGTTCTGTTGTTCTACAACAAAGCCAGCTATTTCAAAGCCTGTTTTCTCAGTTGTGTAATTTGAACTCCAAGGAAGTAATTAATATGCAAATACGTCATATCTCCAGAATGGGAGGGGCTATGGAGTTCTTTTATATACAAAATGAAAGCTTACATTGTGGGCTTTCCAACCTTGTATGTAACTCAATTTCATTTTTTGTTTGCGACATACTACCCTTTTTTGTGGAGCCGGTCACATATGGCCTGCATACAAGTGTGTACATCTGAACCACTAGACACTGGGCTGGAGTGAGCAGGCCAACCTTCAGGTGACTAACTACAAAATCATGACAGAGTCCTTCAAAATACAAGTTTTTTTGTGATTTTCATGGATTCAGTACAGTTGGGCCAAGCCTACATGTACCCTTACTTAAAAGGACACTAGGTCCTGGAACAGCCCAATTGGGCTACAAAACGCGCTTTGAACGAGATGATGTTAATCCGAAATAACATTTAAAAGTAGCATATAAACATCCACACAACTATCCTTTTAAAACTGGGCATTTTTGTGTTATTCCTGTATTAAGCGTGCGAGAACGAATTTCAGGGTCCACTTTTGCGACCCCATAAATTCGAGCTGTTTGGATGCTAGTTGTGATTTCATTCGTATCGTGTTCGCCTTTTGCGGAACGTTGAAGAAACCACTTTTTTTTTGCATTGGTGATTGGTCACCACGCGCTGTTCCCGAGACACACAACGTGTATATCGTACACTGAGAACGACACGAAAAACGTATTCGTATTCCGTCATGTCCGATGTAAACAAGCTGACTTTTTTCGTCTTTTCTCAGGAACGGTAAGACATTAGGTTGGTTTCCTTTCAACCAGATGTTTGAAATAGGCTAAGTAAACAATCCAAAACATACAATTTTTGGGGATTTCAGGACCTAGTGCCCCTTTAACTTTAAGATAAGTCTTGAAATCCAAGTTTGTTTGAGAAAAATGTGTCATTTGTAAATTGCAGAGTCTTGGATATTGATAGGATTTGGAAAACTTCCTAGCCAAAACAACGCTGTTGGGTTAGGGTTAAGACAATGTCTAAATGCAGGGAAATGGGAAGAGTGGGGTTCAGCGCAAAATACACGTACGTTTCAGCTTTGACAGAGTCTAGTTTGGGTATCTCCACGTCCCATTGCTGCAAGACGGCCTCGGCTGCTGCCTGCTTGGCACTCTTCTTGCTCACTCCTTCACCTGTGTGTCAAGAACGACAGTAATAACATTACGGAATAGTTCTTCTCAAAAACTTTTCAGGAAGTTACGTGGAAACTCAACTTGGAGGAATGCATGAAATAATTTTTCCTGAATCAGTTTAGTAAACAGGGACAACTTTCATGGAACTGTTGAGTACAGAAATTTGTTAACCACAGAAAATATTCGCTTAGCAAAAACAAGTTACCAGTTAAAATGCCATGAGCTGTCTACTGCTTTCAACTTGTTCCTGGCTGATTCTTGCTTAGTACACAAATCTGCTAAGCAGTATTTACTGCAGCTCCGTAAAACGACATCATCATGAAAACTCTGTCTGTCGTGAATCCGGCAACCAGATTCCAGAATTAGAAGCTTTTACTGCGGTGGTGCCACACTCGCGCCCATGCTGACGCGTTCTTAAAGACAAGGCGCGCGCATTTTGGTAACTAAAATTGGTCGCGATAGTGCGTGCGTATTACCCGAGCACGATTAGCGCGAGCCTGGTGCCACTGCAGAAAATGGCAGTTGTCGGATTGGGGTCCGCTCAAAAGTCCGACGCCTCATAAGTCCGACAAAATCGCATCCCCTAACCAAATAAAGGCCCGTAAGTCCAACGCCTCATAGGTCCGACGCCTCATAGGTTCGACGCCTCATAGGTCCGACGCCTCATAAGTCCGACAAAATCGCATCCCCTAACCAAATAAAGGCCCGTAAGTCCGACGCCTCATAGGTCCAACGCCTCATAGGTTCGACGCCTCATAAGTCCGACAAAATCGCATCCCCTAACCAAATAAAGGCCCGTAAGTCCGACGCCTCATAGGTCCGACGCCTCATAGGTTCGACGCCTCATAGGTCCGACGCCTCATAAGTCCGACGCCTCTAGGTCCGACGCCTCGTAGCTCCGACGCCTTGTAAGTCCGACAAATTAAATGCCTTGTTTTTCCGTTGTCGGACTTATGAGGCGTCGGACCTATGAGGCGGAATAAATAAATTTTATGCCTCATAAGTCCGACGCCTCGTAAGTCCGAAATTTCGGACTTATGAGGCGTCGGACCTATGAGGCGTTGGACTTATGATATGGCCCTGTCGGATTAGTCTATCGACGGACTTACCTGTTCCTACTGTGGGTCCAGCGGTGCAGCTGATGGTGAATTTGGGCTGGTGGGATTGCCCTTCCTGACTAATGGTAGTATAGATGGGTGTCATGCCCTGCTGGGCACAGTGCTCTTGAAGAATGCTTACTGCTGTCTTGCAGTTAGCCATCTTGGAAGTCAGCTGAATCAATTGGATGCTGCGAAGGTAGAATGCCGCAGTTTACAGTCAGTGACGGTAGACCTGTTTACCAAACGGATAGGTGTATTAGCTTGAGTCCCTGGTTCCATCTGTCGATGGGGGCGCTGTTCAAAACCGACAAATCGGACAATTATGCACACTAACAGATAATATATGGTGCTTTTCAAAACAAGGCACCTGTAATGGACGATGGGACAAAAAAAGGGCACAACTTTTTTTACAAAGGGCACTTGTTCAGAAGAAAGGGCACTTGTAATTTTTTGTAAGTTGTTAACAAAAGAACTAAGAAGCCAGAAGAGCACTCTATACAAATGTTGGAGGGGGGGGGGGGGGGGTAAGCGTTCGTGAAAAAAGGGCAGTGAATGGAAAAGAGCAGTCTACAAATATTGGGGGGGGGGCGAGTAATACCCCCTTGCCCCCCCCCCCCCTCCTAACCCCCCTCCCCCCCCCTTCTTTTCTTCGATCTTTCTTGGGCATGTTGGGGTTGCTGAGCGTCGAAGGAAAGTCTGCTTAAACTCTGCAGATACAGCCAATATTAGGGAAGTCACATTCCATATTTATTTTGTCCCAATTCAACTTACCGTCTAACTCTTTATTTCTCTGCCCAGAAAGCCCCAAGTACCTTTCTAGGGCCGTGATTTTCTGACTTAATAAAATCACTACCTCTTTGTGACCTTTTTTTATGGACGTCTACGCGTCTCGGCGCTCCCAGTAAATCGCTGTAGCGCCACCAAGTGATGACACAGCTGAATTTTCCATGCGATGCTTTGATTGGTTGATTTTATGACCTAAATCTCTAGCTCTAGTCTCGTGTGCTCTGTCTGTGTCACATGGATCTGTTGTGGGAACCCGAAAGTTGTTCGATATAAGTTTGGGTAAAACTTGTTTTTGTAGAAAAAGAAGACATAACAGTTTATTCATATTGTTTGCTATACTTTGTAGTGATTTGTAGTATCAAGGTTCGTATGCATGCTGAAAGAATTTACTGTTTAATTTAACAAACATTTATTTATAAAAAGTGGCGTGTCACTTTTTTCCATATTTTTTTGACTGGCAATGCCAATGCATCATTGCATGACCGGTGAGTGGTTTCGCGCCAAAGCTGTGCGGTGCCGAAATAGTGTCCGCCGAGCATGCACAATGGTCAATAGACGCAGGACACTTGTGTCCGGTGCCGGTGTTACTATTTAGGCAGTGGATATTTAGCCGGAGACGGCAAACCTTTACTAAACGTTAGCTTGCCGGATATGCATGCGCGATATGCATGCGATATGCGCGTTGTCCAACGCAAATTGAATGCGAGGGCGTCAAAACATATCCTCGCCATTTTAGGGGATCTGACGATACTGTTTTTTTTGTACTTGAACATTTTCCGGTGACAAATTTTAGTCTGGCTGCATGCCAACATTATCGTTGTAACTTCATATTTACAAGATGGGAATCAGACCATTTTACAATTTCGGACTTTATTTAAAAAAAAATCCTCCAGAGCCACAAATCTGAAAAAGAAAATGTAATACTCTACAATAAAAAATGTTTGAGACATGTTAAAATAATAAAAAAAGAATATTCTTATTTTTTGGGGATGGGGGAAAAAACCTTAGAAATGTCGCCAGCGGGGATCGAACCCGGGTCTTCCCGCTCATGAGATCCGTTGCTTATCCACTAGACCACAGGTACACAACCGTTGGTAATTTAATATACCTTATATTCAGCCCTATCTTAGAGAGTACAGCGCCCTCTGTTGATAGGGATTGCGGCCGGCAAACCTTTAGTAAACGTTAGCTTGCCGGGATTACCGCCGGCAATATATCCACTATCTTCTATAATTTACCGGAAAACACCGGAAAACTACTGGAAAACACGAGAAAACTACCGGAAAAAATAGTGTCCAAGCGCTGTCGTGCATTGCAGCACAGACTTCAGTCTGTTCTTTATACGGTCATGGTGGTACTGTGTGTCAATTGTCTTTCCAAATATTACTGCTCAAAACAATGCTCAAAATGTGAAAGAAAAATTGTAATTTGTATTCACGGATTTTCATAACTAATTTGTTCATAATGACCTATCCATCTCAAAAACTTTCCTTGCAGGTTCTTTATCCATCATGTCTTCCAGTCCAACTTTGTGATTGGAGTACAACTACAAACTGCATTTCAAACCAAAGGCAATTCCTCAGTCGTCGCCCGATTAAAAGTAAAAATGGCCAGCAACGTTTTGTCCTCCATACCCATCCGGGAACTCAAACAGCTCATCTCGATTTGCTCTCTACGAGTACAACAGTGTCGCTACAGCTGTTGGAATTCCAAACTATCCCACACAGTGAATGGACAAACTGTGAGGTTCAAACATATTGCAGTCAGTTCAAGAAAAGGAGTAACCACCCTGAACACTCCTCAGTTTGGTGCAGTGGTTAGGTTAGTAGAACTACCAAAATTGAGAGAACTGTGCCTAAATGACGAACATTTTGGAAGACCATCAAGGAATATTCATCAAGGAATCCCTGAGGACAGATTTGGCAGTAGTATCCTCGGAGCTTCTCGCCAATTCTTAAGACCAGGCAGTTGTGGTCCGACGATCCATGTAGCAACGAGGCTTTTTCATGGGAGTGGCCGGATGTGGGCGGGGCATAACAAGTGGTCCAAAGTGAAGAACATCAAGGGGCCCAAAGATAACCTGAGGAGCCTGCTGTTCAACAAACTTATTCTGCAGATGAGAATTGCTATCAAAGGTAACTAAGGCCAAGTAAAAAAGTGAACCAGTTTTGGACACGCCTCCTCCCTTTTGCCCGCCCGAGAATGTGTCTTTTCCTCCAAGATGGGTCTGTAACTTGTAAGGACCTGAGACGTAATGACGTCACACTTTGTATACAAGAGTGCTTTCTTTTGGAGTTTGTGATTTGCATCCCCACTTGTTACCCATGTAAACAAAGTCTCAAAGCTGAAGCATGATGTCATTAGGCCAAATAATTTTAAAAAAACAGGGTTAAAGGGAATTTACAACATTTGCAAACATCGATAAACAAAACTACCACATTTCTATGAAATACCTTACTAGGATGTTGGTAAATGACAGTCTAAAGCATCCTGTAAAATTATGGCACCTGGTGTGAAGTCATTTTCAAAAAAAGTGGTATTTGGTATACATTTCCAACAGTGGTCGGCCGACCACCATTGGAAAAACCTAACTATTTTTCAACTTCTGCTCCAACTTTACCATTTTTTTTTCGGTCTAAATTTTGTTTGCTATTGGTACTTAACATGTTCATGAACGGGTGCAGGCCAGCTAGACTGGTTACCTTACCTAACAATTTTCCGGCATCTATAAATTGATCCATATCATCTTTAGTGGAGTCAGGGAACCAGACTACTTGAAGATTTTGGTTTTCTTGGTTTTTCCAGTATTGTTGAACAAAAAACTTCAAATATGTCAGTGAAACAATATTTGATCTATATGCTAACCCCTCATATAGTTCATTTCTTAAAATTACAGCAAAAGCCGATGATGTACATTCCCTTTAAAACTTAAAATTATAAACAGTGACATCATTTTGGCCTCTTTGTCTGTTGCATCTAGCCCATATAAAGCTGGTATATCATTTCTTGAGTCCAATTAAAAAAAACAAAACTGGCGGCCATCTTGAAAAATAGCCCGGGCAGGCGGCCATTTTGGAAGGGAAAACAAATGGCCTCCCTCTTTCATTTTTTTTCAAAAAGGCAGGACACTAAACAAGGTTTTTGTTTACTTTGCATAGGGCTATAAACATGTTGTAATGTCAGTGTCATTGTCATGTTGAATTTAAATAACAAAAATATTTCTGCCAACATGTCTGGCCATTGAATTTTGTAACCTTTTGATAATATTTCCAAATGTGTTGAAATGTAATTTCTTTGTTTTTTCTTTTCTAGACAATGGACCCAACCCAGAGTTGAATTCTACGCTGGCCAGCCTCATAGCCCAAGCCAGGCAAAAAGCCATGACCAAGGCCACAATAGAGAATGTGCTGAAAAATACTGTAAGTACCAGGATTTGAAAAAAAATGTACTTCTTTGCCAGTGTTATGGCTGTAAGGGAGTGAAAAGATAAAGATCAGTTTGAACATCTTGGCAGACTGTTGGAGGCTATGGGCAATATTCATGAAGGTAATAACTTAAAGGGAATATACAACATTTGCAAACATCGAAAAATAAAACTACCAAGTTTTTACGAAATACCTTACTAGGATGTGGGTAAATGACAGTCTAAAGCATCCTGTAAAATTATGGCACCTGGTGTGAAGTCATTTTCAAGAAAATGGTATTTTTGTATACATTTCCAACGGTGGTCGGCCGACCACCATTGGAAAAACCTAACTATTTTTCAACTACTGCTCCAACTTTACACTTTTTTTCAGTCCAAGTTTTGTTTGCTATTGGTTACATGTTCATGAACGGGTGCAGGCCAGCTAGACTGGTTCCCTTACCTTACAATTTTCCGGCATCTGTAAATTGATCCATTTTATCTTTAGTGGAGTCAAGGAACCAGACTACTTGAACATTTTTGTTTTTCTTGGTTTTCCCAGCATTTTCGAACACAAAACTTCAAACATGTCAGTTGTAACAATATTTGATCTATTATACTAACCCCTCAAATAGTTCATTTCTGAAAATTACAGCAAAAGCCAATGATGTACATTCCCTTTAAGAGAGATTTGACTTGCAACGTACAGTACATTGTTGTGATATTTTGCTTTGCGCATAACAAAATTTGCTTCAATTTCTTATGATTTTTTGTTTAAGGCTAAGAACGCAGACACTCGCTTACTCCTGGAGGCAAGAGGACCAGGCCAGTCATGTCTTCTCATTGACCTCTTGACAGATAATGCTAGGAGGACAAGGAGCGAAATCCAACGCATCTTGCAAAAGAATGGGTAGGGTGTCTGGAGCATTCCTTGTGGTTTTGAAGAGGAGTTCCTTACTCCAACTAACAGCACTTGAACCTAACACCTCCTGGTAACTAGTGCAGATGCCTTAATACTAATAAGTAGGAGGCTCGGGTTCTATTCCAACCTTATTAAAGAGGTTGTGGAATGCTCGAAGACATTTCCGTCATTTTTCGGGTATATGTAGCCTAAGGTGTGATGAAATAAAAACGACTTTTGTTTCTGTCATGAAATGAGTACAAAGGGTACTATTGAGAGCTATTTTTCAGGTCCTGTTTTGACCCGAACGTGCAATTTGTGTAAAAGTCGTCGTTGCGGGCAGCAAACAAAACACAGTAAATCGTGACGTAATAAACAGGACTCGTTTATGCTACTCTGCATCGGGAGTCCTGTTTATTACGTCACGATTTACTGTGTTTTGTTTGCTGCCCGCAACGACGACTTTTACACAAATTGCACGTTCGGGTCGAAACAGGCATGACAGGACTTGAAAAACAGCTCTCAAAGTACCTTTTGTACTCATTTTGTGACAGAAACAATAGTCGTTTTTATTTCATCACACCTTAGGCTACATATACCAAAAAATGACGGAAATGTCTTCGAGCATTCCACAACCTCTTTAAGTTTTTGAGTTCATCTCAGGCACCACTGAAATTATAGTGCTTTTAATGGGATATTTTTGTTGGAGGGGAGAACCCAATATTAAAAATGTATGTCTCACCGACACAAAGTCCATCAAAAGTCAATGTAAAAAGCCTCATTGTCATTTGATAACCATATTCTGCACATTGCTGGGGAGGTGTGTTGAATTTTTTGTACTTATTTTTTTGTTGTTTTCAGAGGTGACTTTGGCACTTCTCTGTATGCCTTCACCAGGAAGGGTGTGGTCAAGGTGCTACCCCATATAGAAGGTCAGGAGAGTCCCTTGACCCTTGACCTTGCCACAGAGGTTGCCATTGAGGTCGGCGCTGAGGACGTGCAAGAGACGAATAGTGAGGATGACACTCCATTGTTCATGGTGAGTGCAGTTAGTTCCTGTTATGTTTTGGATGTTCTTCTGCCTGCATAATGCAAGGCAACAATTCAAGTTAAAACTTGCTCGGGAGTTGAGATAGTGTTAATATTTGTCAATGAGAACTCTTCAAGAATTGCCATGGCAAAGACACAAATCCACGATCATTGATAAATTTCAAGAACTGCATCAACATTAAATGGAAAGCTTTTAGCAACTACATGTAGGAGGTTCAAGAGCAAAAAGTCATTGTTCTCGGACACCACCATTTCTCATTTCGTCAAATCAAATGGCAGGAAATGTTCAGGCCTGTAGTACATTCACAAGTTAAGAGTTTCCCTCTGTGGCTCTGTCTTCGACCACCACTCACGGGCGATGTTCTTCTGCATATAGCCTCCCCCCCCCCACCATCTTCCATACCCCACCTCTCCCCAAGCACTTAGAAGTGCAGGATATTTACAGTTGAACCCTGATAAGGAGAGCACTGAAATACAACATCCTGCTTGAAATATAAGAACATGTTAGGTCCCAAGTCTTTGTTTTGCTTTGTTTTCCATTACTTATAATACAAGGTACCTGTTATAACTAGGTAATTTGTAAAGTCCCAAGGACCTTGTTATAAAGCAGTTCCACTGTATATTTTTTGGTCATACATTATTTTATTCATGATTCATGTTGTGTTTTTCTGTCCCTTGGTGTTTGGTTTTACTGTCTTCCACATGTTCTTTAATTTTCGCATTTGTTCTTGTCTTCTGTTTTACTCATTCAGTTCATCTGTGATATGGGGGATCTGCGCACAGTTCGCAACAATCTGGCCTCGCTAAACTATGCCGTAGAGTCCTCATCGTTTGAATATCTGCCGGAAACCTCAATAGCTTTAAACGATAAAAACTTAGAGGATGCTTTCCATTTGATATCGCTCCTAAACGATAACCCAAATGTTGTTAAGATCTATGATAATGTAGAAAGCTCTGGTTGAAATGTGCCGTTTGAACCTGGGTTGCTGGGGTTTTTTGGGGGGGGGGGGGGTTCTTGACAGACTGGTTGAACCAGACATGACATTTTTAAGGAATACATGTATCTAGGTGAAGCACTCTGAAGATTACTGCCCACATGATTGAAAGTAATTTAAATTGGCCTACATTTCAAATGGATTAACATTTTTTACGTTGAAATTCTGCAAAGCAGAAAAAGTTAGGGGTTTGACATTGAAAGCAAAACCAAGTTTTCATTTCTTCATCCTTGCAATAACTCAATGGGCTCCATGCGCAACAAAAAGAGGGCGCTTTTTGTAAACACTTTTGGGAGTGCCGTGGATGGGACACAGCACGTGTTCATTCCTGTTCGCGCAAGTGTAGTGTGAAATATGCACGACTAATTTTTATTTGAATATTCACAAAGAATGTGTCTTTGTGTGAGCCTCAGGCGGCATCAGCGATGCCATCGAATGCTTCTTCCAATGGTCTCCATAATCGGGTCCTACTAAAGCGTGTCAACAAGCGTCAATAAGCGTCAACAAGCATCAACAAACCTCAACGGTCGTCAACGAGCATCAACAAATTTTGTACATGCTTTTGAACACTAAAAGTAGCTTTATATGGTAGAAAAAGCAATAAAGAGCATTTTCTGCATATCAATTAAAGTTAAAATTATCTAAACACTTGGTTTTTTTAACGCGAAATGTACAACGAATTTGTCGATTAAAGTTGGCCGCCATCTTGTTTACGTGAAGCTTAGCCCTACTACGCATGCGTGAAGTGTACAGAGCCATACTACGCATGTGCGAAGTGTACAGCGCCATCCAAACAAGATGGCGGCCAACACTAATCGACAAATTCGTCGTACGTTTCGCGTTAAAAAAACCAGTTTTTGAATAAGTTGAACTTTAATTGATATGCAGAAGATGTTCTTTGTTGCTTTTTCTACCATATAAAGCTACTTTTAATGTTCAAAAGCATGTACAAAATGTGTTGATGCTCGTTGACGACCGTTGAGGCTTGTTGACGCTTGTTAACGCTTGTTGACGCTTGTTGACACGCTTTAGTAGGACCGCCATAATCACCTTTTCTTGCCGCGGAGGGGGCACTTGTGTACTACGGAGCCCATAGGTGTACTACAACAAAATTCTTTGTAGCATTAATTGATGTAAATGTGGACCCCCATCTGGGGTGGATGGGTATAGAGAAAGTGGATAACTGCTTGTTTTTAGTCTCTGTTCATTTTACTTTGGGATTTGTCTATTCCACCCATTTAAAAACAAACAATTGTAAAATGCTAATTATGTTTGAATATTGATGTGAATAATTATTGGTGTTGAGACGCGCAACTGATTCTTTTTACTGTGGGACACCAAAGTCATACATGTTGTATAATGTGTATCAGATATCAATTCCATAACAGGGGGACCCAACTATGCATCTTCTCCGTAGCTGGCATAGATGGAATGTGTTGTTATGAAAAAAAAAGGAAATAAAAAAATTGAATTTAACTTTTTGGACATTTATAATTGTGCAGTTATTTTATTCAGTGTGATCAGGAAAAAGATTAATTTAAACTATACATACATGTACATGTAACTTCATTATAAATTTAACTCTGTCTAAAAGATGTAAAAGTGAAACTGGCAAGAATGATATGCATACATGTTAAGGCACTTCACGGGAAAGAAAAATATAAATTGCATTAATTAATAAAGTTCCCAAAGTGGCATGTGGAACACAAACGTGTACATATCCTTTGGACAAAAAGTGGAAGAGGAAAAAAAAGAGAATGAAAACAGAAGCTGTTCACAATTGAAATTGGGAACAGTTAATAATTGGGAACAATGCATCAATTTTAAGAGTAAAGTCTCTTTGATTTTACTCTTAAATTCTAAAGTCACCCGAAATTTATGGAGTAATTATCAATTTGCAATACCATTTTAGCAAACGGCCAAAAGGGATTGAGTCCAGATAGTAAAAAGCAAGTGCAAACATGTTTGAATCAAAAGGATTTTGTAGTGAAACGCTAAGCCATATAAAGCATCGAACACATGTATGATGCGTGATTCATAGTTGGGACTAATCTCGGAAATTGACATACATGTAAATCTTTAAACCGTGTATTAAATTGAGAGATTTAAATTTAAACCTAATACTTTTGTTTCTTTTCAGATATAATTTGAAAACGGATATTTAAAAGTTAAAGTTTAATGATTATATTCATTTAAAGGGAATATACAACATTTGCAAACATCGAAAAATATAACTACCCAGTTTTTACGAAATACCTTACTAGGATGTTAGTAAATGACAGTGTAAAGCATCCTGTAAAATTATGGCACCCAGTGTGAAGTCATTTTCAAAAAAGTGGTATTTTTGTATACATTTCCAACGGTGGTCGGCTGACCACCGTTGGAAAAACCTAACTATTTTTTAACTACTGCGCCAAATTTACCATTTTTTTCAGACCAAATTTTGTTTGCTATTGGTTACATGTTCATGCGCAGGCCAACTAGACTGGTTCCCTCACCTTACAATTTTCCGGCATCTATAAATTGATACATTTCATCTTTAGTGGAATCAGGGAACCAGAGTACTTTAACATTTTTGTTTTTCTTGATTTTTACAGCATTTTCGAACACAAAACTACAAACATGTCAGTGTAAGAATATTTGATCTATTATACTAACCCCTCAAATAATTCATTTCTGAAAATTACAGCAAAACCCAATGATGTACATTCCCTTTAATTTATTTGTTTCTGCATGTCAAAATGCGCACGGAAATTCCTTTTCTTCCTCCCAGAAGAAAATACCTACTGTGTTCTATCTTTGTCGCCCATAATCTTAATGGGTTCTGACCTTGTACAGCGCAACATCATGTAGGCTCATTTCACGAGACGTATATTTTGTTAAATCACGGCGAAAGAATTGAACTATTTAAATACATATTGTTTTAAGTTTTAATTGTTAAATTCAATAAATATAATTTTGAATTCCATATTAGATTTATTCTCTGTTTTCGCATTACTTGGGCCTTCTAATCCCAGGTGTTAATCTCTTCTAAATGACGAATTGCAATTGTTTGCGACTGTTTATAATGTTTTGAACCAGTCTGTGTGAAGTGGGCGTGGTATGAGATGACCTTACGTAATCGTGAGAGAGGCCCGTCATCTAGATCGGTACAAACGAAGGTGGCTGCTTCTCATCGCGCTTCAGGTCATACATCTGAGGCTGCTTGTTGCCAGATCTCTCATCTTCACCACCGTCAGATTCTGAGCTCAAGTCGTCATCTCCTTGGTAACCCCTCCCTTGATCCTTCCTGCTCCTGTAACCACCTGCAGCCCCGTCTGCGTTTTCCTCCCGGGCTCTAGAGGGGTAACTGAAGCTATCCTCGGGACTCATCAATGACATGCTGTCAACATTCTCCCACTTCAGGGCGTCCCAGATGGACCTCTCGTACCTGCTTTGGAGGCTTCTACTCAGCAGCAGCTCCTCATCGCGAAGGAACTGAGCAGCCTTGTAGGGTCTCAAGCTCCCTCCTAAGGCTCCGTACCTGTACCCATAGCCTGGCGCGTATCCGGACAGGCTCCCAAACTCCAACTCATACTCGTCGAAGTCAGGATCGAAGGGGATGCCGTAGTAGAGCATCTGGTCTGTGGTGTCTTTCAAGTTGCTCAGTTCTCCTAGAAGCTCTTCTATCCCGATTCGTTCGCTCCGGACCAGCTCGTTCAAATAGCCTATCCTGTCTTTCATTATGTCGTTGTATCTGGAAAAAAGGGGTAGAAAGATGTGTTAGTGATAATTAGAATGTGTGATGCAAGATTTTCTAGGCTTTTGACATCAATGGTCAAATTTTGAGCTATTCTGAAGATCACTCCCTAGTTGGGTATTTTCGATAACTTTTCAGTCAGTGTGCATGAGTTTCTTATGTACCTCTAGATTGAGAAATGTTCAGTACTCTAGGACACGTCAGTTTGTTCAATTTTTGGTGCTACGCTCTCAGCTCGGTGATACAGTGTGAAAGTAAGTCCTACTAGAATTACTTGTGGATTTCATCTACCTGTAGAAAGACCCGTTTAGCTTCATTTCCAGCCTGAGGTCCTCTGATAGGAGCTGGTGCTGATAATCCAGACTCTTGGTCTCTTCCTTCCATCCATGGGCCTTCTCCATCAGCAAGGCTACCCTGGCTTGCAGTCTGCGTTTTAGGCGGTAGCTGCCTCTATACTTGGGTATCTCCCTGGCCAAGTTGTCTTTCATTGCTGTCAGAAGCTTGAGAGCGGCCTGCTGGGTCTCCTTGCCTTCTATAAGCTCTTCCAGCTTCTGGCGTAGCTTCTCCAGTTTCTTCTCTTGCCAGGAGAGGGGTCCAGAATCACGTGGCTCCTGCTCATTGCGCTCCTGTTCTGGTTCAAGGGACAGAGCCTCCATGCCATCTTCTGTTCCCCTCATCGAAGCCGGAGCCTCTTTTGATCTTCGTTGAGCAGGTTGCCCCTGATAATTTCCTTGTCCTGTTTTGGTATTGTTTGGTCTTGCTTGGGCAGGTGCTTTGCGTCTTCCCTTGGTATTGCCATTGTTGTGAATCGAAGGCATCGTGTCAACTTCGTTGTAATCCGGGGAGGCGCTTCTCTGGTTCTTGTTGGTATCTTGATCCCTCAACTTCTTCCCCTTCTGTTGAGATTGTAATGCTGGTAGGTTGTTCGCTCCGTTTTCCTCAAGTTGCCCGCGGTTGTCCTCGGTAGCCTCGCCTGCATCCTCGGCGTCGGCTGCATTTACCTGGGAACCTTCACCTCTCTGAACTCCACCTCTTTGATTGCGAACAGCAGGCCGGCTCTTGGTATGCTTGCTCATCTTTGGATCACTTGTCTGATAACTCTGGCCCGTCTCTTCCTGATTTTTCTCTTCCTCTGCTGGTCCGAGGTCATCTGACTTAGATTCGGCCTTGGCTGCTCTGGATTTCTGATTGAGCCCCCTTTTTGGTGGTGATTTGTCGTTTGGTGGTTTAGGCTTCCTTTCAGCGAATGACTGACCGTTTTCAGGTTGCTCAGCTTCTTTTATTGCCTCTTGGTTGGGATTTTTTTTGACACCCGTTTGCCTGTCTGAGGTCTTGGATTTCTTGTTTTGATTGCCGGGTTCAGGTACAGGTGCCGGTTTCTTGACGTACGATGTTCGCTCCTTGTCCATGTCTTCCAGACTTTTCACCTTCTTACGGGAGGTGGTTGGTTGTTGCCGCATAGGGTTGTTGTTGGTGGCCTTCTGTCGGTTAGTCAATCGAGAAGGTCTAGACGCCACTGAAGGAGCCTCTACCTCTGATGAAGATGACATACCGCTGTCGGATCCAGGGTTTCCAGCTAACTTCCGTCGAATCTTCTCAGCTTTGTACCACCAAGCCCTGGCCAGCACCACCGCCATCCGGCTCTTGTTAAGCACGTCCGGAACCAGCCTCAAAAGATCCTGGAATCTCTTGCAATCCTTATGCTGACGGATGCTTTGAGCCGAATTTTCGTCAAAGAGATTCTGGTCGATGTCGGACTCCCCCAGAAGTTCCTGCCAGCAGTTGACCGTGTCTTCCAGACCGTCGATGTTGAATGAGAGCTGTCGGCACAACTCCCCGACCTCCATGACCAGTTCTGGCGACAAACCCTGGCCCTGCCCCTTGACCAAACCCCCTTTCTTCACGTGCAGGTCTTTCAGTCGTATGAAGGAGGTGTCGTAGTAGAACTCGAACAACACAGTGTAGATTCTCTCCTTGAAGATCTCGGCAAGACGCCGCAGGTACTCCAAGTACTCATAGAACGTCTTGAAGAACATGTTACTGGCGCGTCTTTGAGGCGATGGCGGGGCGTTTTTGACGACCTCGCGGAGGGCCTTGAGGGAATTCACGGTGAAATTCTGTGGGATGATTCCCCTCAGCTCTCGGTAGAGTCGGTCGACGGAGAAGAGGCTGTCAGCCCGCCGGACCTCAGCCTCGAAGACTGTGAGCTGCCTGTGCATGGCGTAGTTCTGCTTTGGCCTGCTTGCCCCCATCATTTCATCGGGATTGGTCTGAAGAATAAATAAAGCAATAACAACCAATAAGTCATAAATATCTGGAGTCATGAGATTGAATCATTGTTTGATTTATTGGTAAATTAATATTCTTTTGGTTTAAAGACGGACATTGGTGGAGTTGTTTAAACTGAGTCATCGCGTCGTAGTGCTATATTCGCGAAAAGGAAGGAAATACCTAATACATGTAGTTGCATGCTATTGGCGAAGCTTTAGCGCTTGTTGCTTGAGAAAAGACTTATTTGCTTTATAATGATCTATTATTTTAGGACTACTTGCTCACAGACCAAGGCTTAAATGCACTTGCTACCCTAAGCTGTGTGAATACCAAGTGTAGCAGTCTTGAAAGCATTTAATTAATCGAGGTAAATAGAGACATGAAAGTGCCAGCCTTGTCACACGCACAAACCAGCATTGTATGCCGAGGAATACCTTTTAGCTCGTCTAATAACTAAGGGAAGAATGAATTCGAACCCGTGTAATAACAGAGAAAAGTGTATACAAAGTTTAAATAAAGGGTCATACCTCTTAAAACCCATTTTTTGCAATAACGCAAGAGAAACACGAATGTCATTGTATCGTGTAAAAACATAATTGTCCTCGAAGTTCAATGAGTCTTGCTTTAGTTTCAAACTCACAGGGGTTTCTGTATAAGGCTTTTGAAAACAAAGCATCCATTCTCTTTTCATGCGTGGCTCAAACACAGCTGACAAGTACTTGAAAATTTCGGTAAAAAAATCAATACTTGAAGAATATCATCACCAGTACATTGACATTAAAAATGAAATGGTTGGCGCGTGCAAGGTCAAATGAGAACTGGTCTCGGTTACTTTCATTATAATGCGATATCTATTGATATGAAAAATTTAATATCTTGCCTAATTACCGTGACGAGTCGCTTGCTGTTGTCATGGCAGCGCGTCCGGTGTGTTTGTGCTATCATGCATTTTTAATTCTCATCGCGTTCGTCGAAAACTGGTCAACGAAACCACTGTTGTATTTTTCCATAGGGAAATAACTGAGGCACATTAAGATACTTTAATAATACGTTTCAATTTTTCCCATTGTAACAACATTTACATTTTCGGAATCCCGGGAAATTTAGTTGTTCAGTTTCTTGTGACATACAATCGAAATTGGAATATGGAGGGAATAAAATAACCTCTCTCTGTAATTTTTATACAAAAAAGCAGCATTATCAATAATTATAGTACAGTGAAGTCAGATTAGTAGCAATAGATGATTACGTATATATGTCTCATGCCCTTGCAATGCGAATCAATAAGTCGTCGCCGTTTTCCGTTATTAGAACGACGACTATATTATTGGTCTTACTGCACTGACCATTATTATCGATTGAAATTATGACTGGCCGAAATAACAGTGTATCGGTGTGACTTTATAATTTAATACAGCACACGACATAATTGAGTTATAATACATTTTGCAGCGTGGGATAATTCGAAACGCTACAGTTGAAACTGACGACAGCATAATTATGGTACTCTGTTTATTTATTTATTTTACATCTTTTGCAATTAAAAATTATGGTTTAAAACACGAAACAAACAAATATCCAACATGCAGTGAAAACCCTTATAAAATGTGTAAAAAAAAAACAACATTTACACAGACAAACAAGCAAATAGAAAATTCAAGACAAGTCGTTTTACGGCAGAAAATCAGACACGGACAAACAACCACACAACCAGACCAAATCAGACGAACAAATCTCACACAATATCAGACTCACAAGTGGACACAGTCAAGCAAACCAGACAAACAAGTACACAGTGTCAGACACCCAAGCATACCAGGCCAACCAAAAGCAGGCAAAGTCAGAAAACGAACGGACATGTTCAGACCAACACTTAGACAAAGTCAGTACTTCTAAAATAGGCCAACAGAAATAAATAAAAAAGCAAACAACTTACAAAAAAAACCATACATCCCAATCAAACGAACAAGCAAAACAAACAAACAAACACCCCAACACCCCAACAAACAAACAAACAAACGAACACCCCAACACCCCAACAAACAAACAAACTATAAAAAAAACTAATTAGTTTGCCTTAGAAAAATGCACCAATATGTACACAAATTATTTCTGCATTTTAGTTTTCTATTCATCATCTGATAATGTGAAGCAGTTAAAGGCAGTATTTTGGTTACTATAAGACACGAAGAGCCTTCCTTGAAGAGTCTTTTTGGAAGGTAAACAAAGCTTATTGTCCCCGAAAAAAATTACCAATAGAGCATTAAAGTGCCAGATTAAACCATACGAGAACTCAGTGCTGAGTTCTCAATGAAAAAAAAAATAATATGGTTCCTTATGAGGAGGTTCTCAGAATGTGCAGCTAAAATGGCCATTTCGTAGCGTCCTTCCTCGTGTTCCAACATATAATTTATTTTACGCTTAGCCGACCACGGGGTTTACATCTCAGTTTAACTACGATCCATCTCCCCTCCTTTGCTTGAAAGTACTCCATTAACCTCGGAATGGACGTGCGTCATTTGTTGAATGTATTGATAACAGGTTTTTGTTTAAAAGTACAAGATAATTAACCTCAAATAATTAACCTTCAGTATAAGGAAAGAAGCAAAACCTAATAATAAAAGAATTTATTGAAAATAAAATTACATTATCACTGTCCGTCCACATTACAAAGATTTTTGGTCAGAGCTAAGATGAGATTAGGTTTACATGGTGGAAAGATACTAAGACAAGATGAGTTTGCGGTAGCACCATGTGAATAAATCTCTTTTGTGAGTAGGTATGTGTGGTTCTGAAAAGAACCAGAGGGACTCAACATTTCGAACAGTATGCTGTGCCCGTCGTCAGGACGTCATTCTCCTGACGACGGGCAGAGCATACTGTTCGAAACGTTTGAGTCCCTCCGGTTTGTTTCAGAACCACACATACTCACAAAAGAGATTTATTAACATGGTGCTACTGCAAACTTATCTTGTCTTGGTAAGATGTTTATACTTGAGACGTATTCAATAAGTTGTTATTAAAATAAGCTGGTTATTATTGTTTCATTAGTATTTAAGAATGACAGTATTTTAATTATAAGAACAAAGGATAAACTCACGTAATAAATTTCCGAGTAGTCTTCCATTCTGATGCTCCTTTCCGTCGAGATCCAAAGATATTTTCTTTCAGCAGACGCCGACGGTCACAAATTGATCAGTCGTCAGCTCGGTACGATCGCAACTGGTTGATTCAATATCGCTCGGCGAAGTGATAATAATCGACCGCCTCCCTCGTCGTTTAAGTATCATTAGATGTTTGGATTACCATGGAAACCGTCCAGTCAACAAACAGCGGGAAGTTAGCAACTGGTTGCTAACCAATGATTCCGCTCTGATGATCTGGTTGCTCGAGTTGAGACGGTGAGGGCGCTCATCATTTTGTAATTAAATTGAATTTGAATTAAATCTCTTCAAGTTTACAAATTTTATCAGAATTTCCAGGCCTAGGCCTTAAACCTTATGCCTTATACCGCAAAGGTTCAAGCGTGGGTTCCGAATAGGTTATGTAAAAGCACGTTTTGTCTTAATTTTACATTGAGATATAGGAGCATTTTCTCTTAGACCACAAATTGAGAGCCGCATTTTGAGCTTGGTAAAGGCTCAAAGAGGGCGCTCGTTACATGAAAACAACCCCGAAGCTTTACACGTTCAGGTTCCCAGCATACAGTACAGGCGCACGTTTCAGATCAATGTGAATAGCCATTTCCAAAAACTCGACTCGTCGGCATCTAGTATCTTTGGCTTCATTTTTGGATCCAGAGACATTAAAAGAAAAACGTTTTCTGTCCAAACTGAACAGAAATGCTCTTAAGTTTGGTCGCGTGGTATAGAAATGTATGTTCCCTAAAGTAGATCCTAGAGTTATATTGAGCTTTATTTCAAGTAAGGGAAGGAAAATCTCCTGGGGTTGAATCTGGAGACGAGTTCGACGTTTTGAAAGCACTCAATGATAGCCTTGCAACGTCAGAAGAGCTGCGTTCAGCATTAAGTTTTGACTTGACCGGATCTTGTCTTTTGTCAGGTACACTTTGCACCATGCAGTCGAATTAGACGGTGCAGTCTGGGTTGATCAGCCCAAATTGGATCGTCTCCTTGGGAAATAACGCAGGAGGACTACAGCTTGACTACAAGAGAAGACGACATTCGATGTCTGTTGGGCGGTAAATCTCTAATGGCTGGTGAGTACATTTTCTCACATTCTCACGGAAGATAAGAAATTGAAGATCTTAAGTTTCGATTCCAGCTTTGGTCAAATTTTAGGATGGCTAATGAATGCAGCCTTACACAGTGTCGTCAGATTGCTTTTACAGAAATACTGTAATACGGATACTTTTAACCTAATCACAAGAAAACTGTGATTACCAGTACCGGATTATATTATGCCGGACTAACTCGTTAGCAGTCAGCCCAGATGGCGAACCGGAACATGCCATCGAATGTGGTATGTGTTTTTCCCCCCTAACATTCCTGTTTGTACAAGGAGTACGTCATCATATGGAATTTCGATTATAATTGCTGGTTTATTCCTGTAAAGATAGCCCTCCCGAAAAAAAGGAAAACACACAAAACTGACACAGGTAATCGTACAAAAACACTCGTACGCCTACTCGTACTCATAGTGTACTCGACTACACTCAAGATGGACGTGTTTTGTACCCTTTCCTGTGTACGAGTTTCCTGTTTGCATATTATTTCACAGGTTTGTAGAACTTTCGTTATACAAGATAATCTGCTTTGAAGAGGTTGTGGAATGCTCAAAGACATTTCCCAACGACGACTTTTACACAAATTGCACGTTCGGGTCGATACAGGACCTCAAAAACAGCTCTCAAAAGTACCTTTTGTACTCATTTCATGACAGACACAATAGTCGTTTTTATTTCATCACACCTTAGGCTACATATACCCGAAAAATGACGGAAATGTCTTCGAGCATTCCACAACCTCTTTAAATGGGTTGATTGTGTCGGAGCACTTTAACACGCACTCGAGTATGGCCGTGGGCTCTAACTACTTGTACTTGAGCGTGCGTGTTCTGATAGTGTCTTGCCATTGACGTTAAAGAAACTCTTTAATGAGAGATTAACCAAACTACGGATTTGTCCCTGGCTTATTTATTTATTTATTACACTTCGTAAACCAATCACAAACACCTCTATTTCACGCCTTTAATAAAAGCTTCGGCTCTGCGTTCTATCATAAAATGTTTAACTTTTAGCCCCTTACCTGGTAGACACCTGGTCAGTCTTGGTCGAGTTGCTGCTTCATGAAAATGATATGCTCAAATATGAAGCCAGATATGAGCCTTGTGAGTATCAAAGACTTCTAAATAATTATTGTTCTTGAAGCAGGGATGAAGCCGCAGCTTGAGACGGGGTCGGGATTTCATAAACCCCCATGCTCTGATTAATATGAAATTGGTACATCAGCAAATGTATGCCACAATGCTTCCATGCATGTTATTCCACGTAGACCAATGAACTAAAGGCTTGACTGGTTCATTACCGCCGCATTCTGTCAAAGGCTGGCGAAATGAAAAATGTTTCCCCGAAGAACTCGACGGGTATAACCTCATTCCATTCTGTTGGAAATACGCTCGCCCAAATTTTGACGAACCTTAGACATTCTGTGTACGGCTTAACATTCGGATTCAATATGTCATTGATTGCTTATATATTTAGAGACATGCAATGAAGGTGTTTGTGATTGGTTCACGAACTGGACCGTGGTAGCCGTAAACTGGTCAAATTAGAGTGAAATTACAGAATGTGAATGATTACATAGGATATGATGCCGTCGGCATAAGGTACAAAATCTGGTTGTATTCTGGCTTGTATATAATTGTAATCGAAGGTACGCACAAATTTGTGTAATTGATAAGTTTCCCTGCATCGTGGATTAAGTAAATTATGCCGAAAATGATACGTTGTCATCCACGACGAAGTCCACCTTGTCGACAAAAGGTACTAAGGCTTAGTATAAGTCGATCTGATAGGGAACTTCCCTTAAAGAAGTTTTTTTTAATGTCCTCTCGGGTGGTATAAGCGATCACAATGCAACCTTATAGATGACAACGATGAACCATAAACGGTCGAAGTTGTCGGTATTCTGAAAAGTTCAACAGCAAACTCAGAAGATGAACATGTAATAAATAGAAATTACATATAAGAATGACGTCTGTTTACATATATACTAAACTGTCTGCTGAATTATTGTGCAACTCCAAACTCAAGAGAGATGAGATTAGAAGTTAAAATTCCAAGACGAATCGCGCTTAAGTGGCAGGTTTAACGAGTCAGCATTTTAATGTCGCAATTCTCTCTAGTACCCCTGGGTAGAACATGTTTAAGTATGTATTAAAATGTATTTTGCAAGAGGCAATCGGATGCTTAATCCCTTGAGAAGCGACGACAGACATGATGCAGAGAATTGAGATATTATGAAGTAGATATGTCAAGAGTCTCTTCTGTAATTATAGACGACAACAGTGGTGTGCTCGAAACGTCGATAACTTGTTAAGATGATGCTTATACCAATAGAAACTATAGAACATACAATAAAAAACACGCGGACGTGACAATTTTTGTATTGACATAACATCGAATTGATGCAACACGCGGTCGGCCCAACAGTTGAGGATTCACAGGTTCTAAGGCGCTGGCGGGAAAGTCGCCAGCCTATCACATTCGTGCTACTGACATGCATCAGCCAATCACTGATCGCCTCGCGACATTCACACCTCGCACCGATTCTCCCTTGTACGCGACAACTATACTGTGAACTGGTCATACTTCTATAGTCATAGTGAACGGCGCTGCCAACACGGGAAACCTGTGCCAGGGGCTGGCTATAGCGAGCAGACTGCTTAAAGAGACCTGAGGCAAATGACTTTTCGCACCTTAATCACGTCTTCGCCTGTCGTCATTCTTTGAAGATCTTAAAGGTGAGATGATAAGTCTATCTTCTCTTCATCTCGAAGGAGCCGTGTCTTTGCATTGAGTGAAGACAAATTATCTGCTTTTGTTGAAACTCATGGGGATGTTCGATTGATGAAATGCAACACGAACCATACACACGAGGTTCGTGTCTGTACCCACCGTTCACGATTCCGTTTTCTGTCATATCAGTATTGATTCTTTATTTAGTTTCACCGGTTGATATCAAGATTATCGCAGGCTCCGTAAACTACAGGAATTGCTAGAAATATTGTTGCCTGTCAAGGGGGGGGGGGGGGGCAGGTAAGTGCTTTGGTGCTGTGTTGCATTGATTATTATTGTAAACCTTATATTCTGGAGGAAAATTATTCTGTTAAATCCTTGAAATCTAAGGCTTTTAAAAACATTTTTTTTGGGGGGGGGAATCAGAAGCGAGCCTAGAGTAAAAAGGACTCAATCAAAATAGGACTCAACTGGGCAAAAGCTGGAAAGGTAAAAAAGAGAGAACAAACTTGAAAGATTGTTAGCTTCTTTTAAAATTTGAGGACGACAGCGATCCAGTGTCCGCTTTAAGCATTCATACCCTAGAAGGTTGTGGGGGAGTGTGACTTAGTGGTTAGGGTTTGTGACTCATGATCAGAGGATCAGGGATTCGAATCCAGCTACTGGCCTTATGTGTGTCCTTGGGCAAGCCACTTCATCCCCTTTTGCCTCTTTCCACCCAAGAGTATAAATGGGTACCGGCATTAGCTGGGGAGTAACCTGCGATGGATTTATCCCATCCAGGGGGAATAGAAATATTCCCAGCCGTTTCATGCTACTGAAACCGGAGATAAACGTCGGCCTCGTGACAGACTTTACTTTTTTCTTTTCTTTTTTCTTTTCCCCCGGAAGGTTCAGTCGATGTTCTTATGTTCGTAATTTGTCAAAGCGGCACTTTTGAAAGCACTGTGTATTGTTTCCACCAGGGCATTCTTGATTACGAGAAGTTTCACAAGATGGAATTTTCCGTCGGGTTGATGTAAATCAGTATTAGGGCAAAACCTAATATTGATTTACTAGAAGGTTCTTTTAGGCGACTCTTAAAAGAAAACTCCTATTTATTGCATGCTATGTTGTCAATTATAAGGTTAAGTTCAGGTTGTGATTCTGCGTAAGTAACATGCAGAGTTGTCGAAATAATGGGATTCTGGCATGGAATATTATAATGAATAAGCAAAATACTATACCAGCAGAAATCTCAGCCAGATATTACGAAACATCTGGATGATAGTAGCATTAAAATACTGAATTTTGTAGCCCATTAATCCAGGGTCTCTTATGACGCGATTATAATGAGCCTGTGTAATACAAACCTTTGATCAAACAGCATAATTGATAGGACTAAGGAACGGATGGCATTCATTGTTCATGTAGCCTCGCCAAGTCACGTCCCAAGAGAATGACCTGCAATTACCGCGCGCTGGGCTATTATCTTCGTGAGCAGAACAACATTAAAGAAATGTAGGATCTTAGACATGACTGAATGTTCTATCTATTTAGTGAGATCCTTTGTTCCTATTCAGGCGTTGAAAGGTTTTGTTGAGTTAAAACCGTCCACCTAGGCCCCCTTATTTCTGAAAGGGCAAGATGCGTCGTCGGGTAGATAAAGCGATGCCCAAGTTTATTAACCTTCGCTGAGGTTTCATATGGAAATTAACTGAAAAGAAAAAAAAACGTTAAAAAACTTTGCAGAGAAGTTGTGTGCCTTTTTGGCTGATACTTCTCACAACAGTCTTAATTTCGTCAACACTTCCTCCTTAAGGTTTAATTTTAAGAGAAAAAAGGGCTTGTCCTCCAAAATAGCTTCTCGGGAAAACTCACTTTCAAAATGCATTGCGTGTTAAGAGTGTTTGGGTGAATTTTACCTTTTGAATCTGCAAGCTTATTTTTTTCTTGTCAATACTTAAAGGGGTAATTTCCACTTTCTGAACTAGATTTGTCGATGCCCAAGTTGATATACTCTCATTTCTATCATATATGCGTCATTGTAAACTGATATTTTATGCAATTTAGGGATGAGATGTATATTACGTTATTAAACGCACCAACAACAGACAACATGTTTACTGTTACGAAACTGAAACACAACATCCACAGAAACGAGATAAATCCGTCAATGACAAATTAGTCCATGTCCCCTGGCCAATGTGGAATTCTCGTGAAAGGAGAATTCACATTAATGTAAAACCTTTTACCGCGTGGATTGAATTTCGCTGCACCGTTGCAAAATCCGAATTATCGGTGTCGCCGAGAGATAGCGTTGACGGTCTCGCGTCAAGCCCGGCTGAACGCGCTTTTCATCGGCTTGTCAAGTCGCACCGTGCTCGGTGAATCGCGGCTGTCCTCATGTATCATCGAGAGTTTGTCTTCTATTGTAGATCTTTTATTGTAGCGAACTGAAAGCACCAGTATATTAATCTAGCTTTACTGTACCTGAAACCGTGCATATATTATAATACCTCGGGTGAAACAGGAGCCCTTATGAGACATACGGCCATTTGAGCAGTTTTCTATGTTCGTCTTATACGATACTCACAACGTAAATCAGGAATTATCTTGACAACAGCGCATGATCTATCATGCATGTTTGGACTTGTTATATGGCTGTCTTAGACCGTGGATAATTTCACTCTTATTTAGAACCCCTTTGGACACATAGTGCCTATCTACTGACCATTGTTTCTTATTGAAGGAGTTTTTGCTTTAGCCAAACATGTACTCGCTTATATTTTTTATGATATTCAGATCCGAATAATATTCAAATTACAAATTTTGTCGTTGTAACAAACTTAAAACATTAGATACGGTTCATATAACAAAGATAGTCAAAATCGTGTATAGAAGGGGAATTCAGTGACCCGCAATATAAATCATTATATCCTCTCGTATGAGCGTCTACTAGGTGTATTACAGGTGATTCTGGCGTAAAGCAGGTGCCACGTTCTGTCCACCGTCCATTTAGCACAGGTTCTTCAAGCGGCAAGCATATTTGCAAATGTACTCTCGAGTTGGTTTGTATAAAGCGATTTTCTTCTGTAACATCGTCCTCAAATTGCCCATCTCGGTTACACGTAGAGCTGTTGAAATCAGATCAACGCACAAGAGCTCCTCCTTTGCTCCTCTAAGTACTGTAACCAGATCACCATTATACTCATCTGGCACTTTCTTCATAAGATGGGATTTTTTGCGTCGCGGTACCGGGTGATGTAAATCAAACTAGGTTTTGCCCTTCACCGACGTATAAACACTGTATACTCAGTGTGTTACCTCCCGAGTGAAAGTTGGAAAAAATCACTCGGTGGGACTCGAACCCACGACCACCTGCCTTCTAGTGCAGATGTCTTGCCTCTCGACCACCGAGCTATTAACAGGATCGGTTGGCTGGTTTGAATCTAATGTACATAGCAGCGGGCACTTTCTTGTTGTCTTTCTTCTTACTTATCTTCTTCAGTTTCTTCCGAAGATGTTTGCCCTGGCCGTTTCGTACCTTTAGCTTAAATTAAGGAGATGAACCTTTGGAAAGATTAATGTTTTATTTGATTTTCAATGAACTTTATGGAATCTGCAGCTCTACTCAAATATCCTATAGTATTCTTCAAATTGTCATTTTACAGACAACAATTTAACACGATGTTTGATAGCAGTTTTTCTATCATTGTAAGTAAAATTAGGAGTAATTAGATGATTATTGTGGAGTTAATTTTTTAATCATACCATCTAACTCTTGCCTTCTATATAATATTTACACACACACAATTTCTAGCATACATTCAGCTACATACCTACCAACCAGGCTTATCATATGGACAAAATTTGTTTCTGTCCACCATTATAATATGTGCCTTTATACACTGGCGGTCGCCAAACTCCCACTGATCGTAATATTTAAGGTAGAATTCAGTTCCCAACACATTTTATTCATGAAACTGTCTCATCGTCTGAACTCTCATCAACTGTAATGTAATTTATTTATAGAGGTTGATCGTGCGTGCAGCAATGGGCATATTGTTAGCAATTTAGATGTCATTGTGCGGTAAACGTATCTGAGCATGACGTGGAAATTGCCGTGCATTTTGTTTTTAGACTGGTCGCCTGTCTTTTGTTGTTGTGAGGAAAGGCAGTTTGGAGTGCTGAAGATGCTGCGTGTCGTGTGCATTATTGTAAATAATGAATGTCGGCTACCAAGAAATAACCTTAGGCCACACTGATGGAAAGAAGACGCTAGGAATGGAAACCTTTGTCTGGACTGATTCGTAAACATCCTGACGTCTAGTTGCTCGACCACAATGATCCGGAACTTCTTCCTTTGTTCATCCCCTGTTCCTTGTTTCATTCCTGCGTGCCTTCGTCGTGTGAATGACCGTACACTTTACTCGGGAGTGTTCACTGTTTTCCGGTTCGCAATGCCCACACCAACTTTCAATCAAAGAACTCTACTTTTTTGTCCCTCCACAGTCTACACATCTACAAACACACGCATACTTGTTTCACATGACTAGTGTGGACTTTCCATTGCTTTCGTGTAGTTAAGAAAAACCAGTGAAAAAACTCATTTTTCTCAAACTGTGAAAACTCTTTCAACCCAATTTTTTTTCTATGATTCCCTTTAGTGTTTCTCTTCATTCTGCTACAGATAAACCTAACCCAAAAATGCCTCTAAACCTGTTTTCCAGAAATGGGGAAACACTGTGTGGACGTGGGGCAAGTCCACACAACGTCGGTGCTACCTACATTATGTGGACGTCTTTTGTTCGGAAGTCCACACTGCGTATGTAAGACAAGCTCACACACACACGTTTACGTTACATACGTAGTATGGACATTCCTTTGTTTTTGTGTAGTTAAGAAAAACCTGTGAAAAAAAAACTAATTTTACTCACACTGTGAAAACTCTTCCAACCAAATTTTTATTTTCTATGATTCTCTTGAGTGTTTCTCTTCATTTTGCCACGGATAAATCTAATCC